AATCTGAAATTTCAGTCATACTATACTATGTCATTTTTTTTTTCGGACTAAAATATGTTGGTTTTTTTCGCACCTAAATATGTCATTTTTAACATCCTATACTATGGCATTTTGATGAGACAATACTTAAGCATTTATTTTCATCCTTAAATCTGAAATTTTTTTATCACCCTAAAATCTGAAATTTTGGTCATACTATACAATGTCGTTTTTTTTTTCGGACTAAAATATGTTTGGTTTTTTTGCGTCTAAATAAGACATATTTAACATCCTATACTATGGCATTTTGATGAGACAATACTTAACCCTAACCCTGACCCTAACCCTAGCCCCAACCCTAACCCTAACCCTAGCTCTAACCCTAACCCTAACCCTAGCCCCAACCCTAACCCTAACCCTAACCCTAACCCTAACCCTAACCCTAGCTCCAACCTTAACCCTAACCCTAACCCTAGCTCCAACCCTAACCCTAACCCAAACCCTAAGTAAACTTTTCAAAAAACTTCCCCCAGAATTAGGTTCTATAGACTCCCCATGCCCTGAAACGTGCTCCTAACACAATTCTGGAAGGTGAAAAATTGGGTTGGCACTTAGCCCAACCCTAACCCTAGCTCCAACACTAACCCTAAATCCAACCCTAACCCTAACCCTAACCCTAGCTCCAACCCTAACCCTAACCCTAATCCATGCATTCCTATGGGAAAAAATCAAATTTTTTTAGGAACATCCTACAGACTCAGGAGTTGGTTCAGTGCACTCAGAAAAATCCTAGCTCCAAGCCCAACCCTAACCCTAGCTCCAACACTAACCCTAACTCCAACCCTAACCCTAACCCTAACCCTAACCCTAGCTCCAACCCTAACCCTAACCCTAACCCATGCATTCCCATGGGAAAAAATCAAATTTTTTTAGGAACGTCCTAGAGACTCGGGAGTTGGTTCATTGCACTCAGAAAAATCCTAGCTCCAAGCCCAACCCTAACCCTAGCTCCAACACTAACCCTAACTCCAACCCTAACCCTAACCCTAACCCTAGCTCCAACCCTAACCCTAACCCTAACCCATGCATTCCTATGGGAAAAAATCACATTTTTTTAGGAACGTCCTAAAGACTCGGGAGTTGGTTCATTGCTCTCAGAAAAATCCTAGCTCCAAGCCCAACCCTAACCCTAGCTCCAACACTAACCCTAACTCCAACCCTAACCCTAACCCTAACCCTAGCTCCAACCCTAACCCTAACCCTAACCCATGCATTCCCATGGGAAAAAATCAAATTTTTTTAGGAACGTCCTAGAGACTCGGGAGTTGGTTCAGTGCACTCAGAAAAATCCTAGCTCCAAGCCCAACCCTAACCCTAGCTCCAACACTAACCCTAACTCCAACCCTAACCCTAACCCTAACCCTAGCTCCAACCCTAACCCTAACCCTAACCCATGCATTCCCATGGGAAAAAATCAAATTTTTTTAGGAACGTCCTAGAGACTCGGGAGTTGGTTCATTGCACTCAGAAAAATCCTAGCTCCAAGCCCAACCCTAACCCTAGCTCCAACACTAACCCTAACTCCAACCCTAACCCTAACCCTAACCCTAGCTCCAACCCTAACCCTAACCCTAACCCATGCATTCCTATGGGAAAAAATCACATTTTTTTAGGAACGTCCTAAAGACTCGGGAGTTGGTTCATTGCTCTCAGAAAAATCCTAGCTCCAAGCCCAACCCTAACCCTAGCTCCAACACTAACCCTAACTCCAACCCTAACCCTAACCCTAACCCTAGCTCCAACCCTAACCCTAACCCTAACCCATGCATTCCCATGGGAAAAAATCAATTTTTTTTAGGAACGTCCTAGAGACTCGGGAGTTGGTTCATTGCACTCAGAAAAATCCTAGCTCCAAGCCCAACCCTAACCCTAGCTAAAACACTAACCCTAACTCCAACCCTAACCCTAACCCTAACCCTAGCTCCAACCCTAACCCTAACCCTAACCCATGCATTCCTATGGGAAAAAAATCAAATTTTTTTAGGAACATCCTACAGACTCGGGAGTTGGTTCAGTGCACTCAGAAAAATCCTAGCTCCAAGCCCAACCCTAACCCTAGCTCCAACACTAACCCTAACTCCAACCCTAACCCTAACCCTAACCCTAACCCTAGCTCCAACCCTAACCCTAACCCTAACCCATGCATTCCTATGGGAAAAAATCAATTTTTTTTAGGAACGTCCTAGAGACTTGGGAGTTGGTTCATTGCACTCAGAAAAATCCTAGCTCCAAGCCCAACCCTAACCCTAGCTCCAACACTAACCCTAACTCCAACCCTAACCCTAACCCTAACCCTAGCTCCAACCCTAACCCTAACCCTAACCCATGCATTCCTATGGGAAAAAATCAAATTTTTTTAGGAACGTCCTAAAGACTCGGGAGTTGGTTCATTGCACTCAGAAAAATCCTAGCTCCAAGCCCAACCCTAACCCTAACCCTAACCCTAGCATTCCCATGGGAAAAAATCAATTTTTTTTAGGAACGTCCTAGAGACTCGGGAGTTGGTTCATTGCACTCAGAAAAATCCTAGCTCCAAGCCCAACCCTAACCCTAGCTCCAACACTAACCCTAACTCCAACCCTAACCCTAACCCTAACCCTAGCTCCAACCCTAACCCTAACCCTAACCCATGCATTCCTATGGGAAAAAATCAAATTTGTTTAGGAACATCCTACAGACTCGGGAGTTGGTTCAGTGCACTCAGAAAAATCCTAGCTCCAAGCCCAACCCTAACCCTAGCTCCAACACTAACCCTAACTCCAACCCTAACCCTAACCCTAACCCTAGCTCCAACCCTAACCCTAACCCTAACCCATGCATTCCCATGGGAAAAAATCAAATTTTTTTAGGAACGTCCTAGAGACTCGGGAGTTGGTTCAGTGCACTCAGAAAAATCCTAGCTCCAAGCCCAACCCTTACCCTAGCTCCAACACTAACCCTAACTCCAACCCTAACCCTAACCCTAACCCTAGCTCCAACCCTAACCCTAACCCTAACCCATGCATTCCCATGGGAAAAAATCAAATTTTTTTAGGAACGTCCTAGAGACTCGGGAGTTGGTTCAGTGCACTCAGAAAAATCCTAGCTCCAAGCCCAACCCTAACCCTAGCTCCAACACTAACCCTAACTCCAACCCTAACCCTAACCCTAACCCTAGCTCCAACCCTAACCCTAACCCTAACCCTAACCCATGCATTCCTATGGGAAAAAATCAAATTTTTTTAGGAACATCCTAGAGACTCGGGAGTTGGTTCAGTGCACTCAGAAAAATCCTAGCTCCAAGCCCAACCCTAACCCTAGCTCCAACACTAACCCTAACTCCAACCCTAACCCTAACCCTAACCCTAGCTCCAACCCTAACCCTAACCCTAACCCATGCATTCCCATGGGAAGAAATCAAATTTTTTTAGGAACGTCCTAGAGACTCGGGAGTTGGTTCAGTGCACTCAGAAAAATCCTAGCTCCAAGCCCAACCCTAACCCTAGCTCCAACACAAACCCTAACTCGAACCCTAACCCTAACCCTAACCCTAGCTCCAACCCTAACCCTAACCCTAACCCATGCATTCCTATGGGAAAAAATCAAATTTTTTTAGGAACGTCCTAGAGACTCAGGAGTTGGTTCAGTGCACTCAGAAAAATCCTAGCTCCAAGCCCAACCCTAACCCTAGCTCCAACACTAACCCTAACTCCAACCCTAACCCTAACCCTAACCCTAGCTCCAACCCTAACCCTAACCCTAACCCATGCATTCCTATGGGAAAAAATCAAATTTTTTTAGGAACGTCCTAGAGACTCGGGAGTTGGTTCAGTGCACTCAGAAAAATCCTAGCTCCAAGCCCAACCCTAACCCTAGCTCCAACACTAACCCTAACTCCAACCCTAACCCTAACCCTAACCCTAGCTCCAACCCTAACCCTAACCCTAACCCATGCATTCCCATGGGAAAAAATCAAATTTTTTTAGGAACGTCCTAGAGACTCGGGAGTTGATTCAGTGCACTCAGAAAAATCCTAGCTCCAAGCCCAACCCTAACCCTAGCTCCAACACTAACCCTAACTCCAACCCTAACCCTAACCCTAACCCTAGCTCCAACCCTAACCCTAACCCTAACCCATGCATTCCTATGGGAAGAAATCAAATTTTTTTAGGAACGTCCTAGAGACTCGGGAGTTGGTTCAGTGCACTCAGAAAAATCCTAGCTCCAAGCCCAACCCTAACCCTAGCTCCAACACTAACCCTAACTCCAACCCTAACCCTAACCCTAACCCTAGCTCCAACCCTAACCCTAACCCTAACCCATGCATTCCCATGGGAAAAAATCAAATTTTTTTAGGAACATCCTACAGACTCGGGAGTTGGTTCAGTGCACTCAGAAAAATCCTAGCTCCAAGCCCAACCCTAACCCTAGCTCCAACACTAACCCTAACTCCAACCCTAACCCTAACCCTAACCCTAGCTCCAACCCTAACCCTAACCCTAACCCTAACCCATGCATTTCTATGGGAAAAAATCAATTTTTTTTAGGAACATCCTACAGACTCGGGAGTTGGTTCAGTGCACTCAGAAAAATCCTAGCTCCAAGCCCAACCCTAACCCTAGCTCCAACACTAACCCTAACTCCAACCCTAACCCTAACCCTAACCCTAGCTCCAACCCTAACCCTAACCCTAACCCATGCATTCCCATGGGAAAAAATCAAATTTTTTTAGGAACGTCCTAGAGACTCGGGAGTTGGTTCAGTGCACTCAGAAAAATCCTAGCTCCAAGCCCAACCCTAACCCTAGCTCCAACACTAACCCTAACCCTAACCCTAGCTCCAACCCTAACCCTAACCCTAACCCTAACCCATGCATTCCTATGGGAAAAAATCAAATTTTTTTAGGAACATCCTACAGACTCGGGAGTTGGTTCAGTGCACTCAGAAAAATCCTAGCTCCAAGCCCAACCCTAACCCTAGCTCCAACACTAACCCTAACTCCAACCCTAACCCTAACCCTAACCCTAGCTCCAACCCTAACCCTAACCCTAACCCATGCATTCCTATTGGAAGAAATCAAATTTTTTTAGGAACGTCCTAGAGACTCGGGAGTTGGTTCAGTGCACTCAGAAAAATCCTAGCTCCAAGCCCAACCCTAACCCTAGCTCCAACACTAACCCTAACTCCAACCCTAACCCTAACCCTAACCCTAACCCTAACCCTAGCTCCAACCCTAACCCTAACCCTAACCCATGCATTCCTATGGGAAGAAATCAAATTTTTTTAGGAACGTCCTAGAGACTCGGGAGTTGGTTCAGTGCACTCAGAAAAATCCTAGCTCCAAGCCCAACCCTAACCCTAGCTCCAACACAAACCCTAACTCCAACCCTAACCCTAACCCTAACCCTAGCTCCAACCCTAACCCTAACCCTAACCCATGCATTCCTATGGGAAAAAATCAAATTTTTTTAGGAACGTCCTAGAGACTCGGGAGTTGGTTCAGTGCACTCAGAAAAATCCTAGCTCCAAGCCCAACCCTAACCCTAGCTCCAACACTAACCCTAACTCCAACCCTAACCCTAACCCTAACCCTAGCTCCAACCCTAACCCTAACCCTAACCCATGCATTCCTATGGGAAAAAATCAAATTTTTTTAGGAACATCCTACAGACTCGGGAGTTGGTTCACTGCACTCAGAAAAATCCTAGCTCCAAGCCCAACCCTAACCCTAGCTCCAACACTAACCCTAACTCCAACCCTAACCCTAACCCTAACCCTAACCCTAACCCTAACCCTAGCTCCAACCCTAACCCATGCATTCCTATGGGAAAAAATCAATTTTTTTTAGGAACGTCCTAGAGACTTGGGAGTTGGTTCAGTGCACTCAGAAAAATCCTAGCTCCAAGCCCAACCCTAACCCTAGCTCCAACACTAACCCTAACTCCAACCCTAACCCTAACCCTAACCCTAGCTCCAACCCTAACCCTAACCCTAACCCATGCATTCCTATGGGAAAAAATCAAATTTTTTTAGGAACGTCCTAGAGACTCGGGAGTTGGTTCAGTGCACTCAGAAAAATCCTAGCTCCAAGCCCAACCCTAACCCTAACCCTAACCCTAGCATTCCCATGGGAAAAAATCAATTTTTTTTAGGAACGTCCTAGAGACTCGGGAGTTGGTTCATTGCACTCAGAAAAATCCTAGCTCCAAGCCCAACCCTAACCCTAGCTCCAACACTAACCCTAACTCCAACCCTAACCCTAACCCTAACCCTAGCTCCAACCCTAACCCTAACCCTAACCCATGCATTCCTATGGGAAAAAATCAAATTTTTTTAGGAACATCCTACAGACTCGGGAGTTGGTTCAGTGCACTCAGAAAAATCCTAGCTCCAAGCCCAACCCTAACCCTAGCTCCAACACTAACCCTAACTCCAACCCTAACCCTAACCCTAACCCTAGCTCCAACCCTAACCCTAACCCTAACCCATGCATTCCTATGGGAAAAAATCAAATTTTTTTAGGAACGTCCTAGAGACTCGGGAGTTGGTTCAGTGCACTCAGAAAAATCCTAGCTCCAAGCCCAACCCTAACCCTAGCTCCAACACTAACCCTAACTCCAACCCTAACCCTAACCCTAACCCTAGCTCCAACCCTAACCCTAACCCTAACCCATGCATTCCCATGGGAAAAAATCAAATTTTTTTAGGAACGTCCTAGAGACTCGGGAGTTGGTTCAGTGCACTCAGAAAAATCCTAGCTCCAAGCCCAACCCTAACCCTAGCTCCAACACTAACCCTAACTCCAACCCTAACCCTAACCCTAACCCTAGCTCCAACCCTAACCCTAACCCTAACCCTAACCCATGCATTCCTATGGGAAAAAATCAAATTTTTTTAGGAACATCCTACAGACTCGGGAGTTGGTTCAGTGCACTCAGAAAAATCCTAGCTCCAAGCCCAACCCTAACCCTAGCTCCAACACTAACCCTAACTCCAACCCTAACCCTAACCCTAACCCTAGCTCCAGCCCTAACCCTAACCCTAACCCATGCATTCCCATGGGAAGAAATCAAATTTTTTTAGGAACGTCCTAGAGACTCGGGAGTTGGTTCAGTGCACTCAGAAAAATCCTAGCTCCAAGCCCAACCCTAACCCTAGCTCCAACACAAACCCTAACTCCAACCCTAACCCTAACCCTAACCCTAGCTCCAACCCTAACCCTAACCCTAACCCATGCATTCCTATGGGAAAAAATCAAATTTTTTTAGGAACGTCCTAGAGACTCAGGAGTTGGTTCAGTGCACTCAGAAAAATCCTAGCTCCAAGCCCAACCCTAACCCTAGCTCCAACACTAACCCTAACTCCAACCCTAACCCTAACCCTAACCCTAGCTCCAACCCTAACCCTAACCCTAACCCATGCATTCCTATGGGAAAAAATCAAATTTTTTAGGAACGTCCTAGAGACTCGGGAGTTGGTTCAGTGCACTCAGAAAAATCCTAGCTCCAAGCCCAACCCTAACCCTAGCTCCAACACTAACCCTAACTCCAACCCTAACCCTAACCCTAACCCTAGCTCCAACCCTAACCCTAACCCTAACCCATGCATTCCTATGGGAAAAATCAAATTTTTTTAGGAACGTCCTAGAGACTCGGGAGTTGGTTCAGTGCACTCAGAAAAATCCTAGCTCCAAGCCCAACCCTAACCCTAGCTCCAACACTAACCCTAACTCCAACCCTAACCCTAACCCTAACCCTAGCTCCAACCCTAACCCTACCTAACCCTAACCCATGCATTCCCATGGGAAAAAATCAAATTTTTTTAGGAACGTCCTAGAGACTCGGGAGTTGGTTCAGTGCACTCAGAAAAATCCTAGCTCCAAGCCCAACCCTAACCCTAGCTCCAACACTAACCCTAACTCCAACCCTAACCCTAACCCTAACCCTAGCTCCAACCCTAACCCTAACCCTAACCCATGCATTCCTATGGGAAAAAATCAAATTTTTTTAGGAACGTCCTAGAGACTCGGGAGTTGGTTCAGTGCACTCAGAAAAATCCTAGCTCCAAGCCCAACCCTAACCCTAGCTCCAACACTAACCCTAACTCCAACCCTAACCCTAACCCTAACCCTAGCTCCAACCCTAACCCTAACCCTAACCCATGCATTCCCATGGGAAAAAATCAATTTTTTTTAGGAACGTCCTAGAGACTCGGGAGTTGGTTCATTGCACTCAGAAAAATCCTAGCTCCAAGCCCAACGCTCACCCTAGCTCCAACACTAACCCTAACTCCAACCCTAACCCTAACCCTAACCCTAGCTCCAACCCTAACCCTAACCCTAACCCTAACCCATGCATTCCTATGGGAAAAAATCAAATTTTTTTAGGAACATCCTACAGACTCGGGAGTTGGTTCAGTGCACTCAGAAAAATCCTAGCTCCAAGCCCAACCCTAACCCTAGCTCCAACACTAACCCTAACTCCAACCCTAACCCTAACCCTAACCCTAGCTCCAACCCTAACCCTAACCCTAACCCATGCATTCCTATGGGAAAAAATCAAATTTTTTTAGGAACATCCTACAGACTCTGGAGTTGGTTCAGTGCACTCAGAAAAATCCTAGCTCCAAGCCCAACCCTAACCCTAGCTCCAACACTAACCCTAACTCCAACCCTAACCCTAACCCTAACCCTAACCCTAACCCTAACCCATGCATTCCTATGGGAAAAAATCAAATTTTTTTAGGAACGTCCTAGAGACTCGGGAGTTGGTTCAGTGCACTCAGAAAAATCCTAGCTCCAAGCCCAACCCTAACCCTAGCTCCAACACTAACCCTAACTCCAACCCTAACCCTAACCCTAACCCTAGCTCCAACCCTAACCCTAACCCTAACCCATGCATTCCTATGGGAAGAAATCAAATTTTTTTAGGAACGTCCTAGAGACTCGGGAGTTGGTTCAGTGCACTCAGAAAAATCCTAGCTCCAAGCCCAACCCTAACCCTAGCTCCAACACTAACCCTAACTCCAACCCTAACCCTAACCCTAACCCTAGCTCCAACCCTAACCCTAACCCTAACCCATGCATTCCTATGGGAAAAAATCAAATTTTTTTAGGAACGTCCTAGAGACTCGGGAGTTGGTTCAGTGCACTCAGAAAAATCCTAGCTCCAAGCCCAACCCTAACCCTAGCTCCAACACTAACCCTAACTCCAACCCTAACCCTAACCCTAACCCTAGCTCCAACCCTAACCCTAACCCATGCATTCCCATGGGAAAAAATCAAATTTTTTTAGGAACGTCCTAGAGACTCGGGAGTTGGTTCATTGCACTCAGAAAAATCCTAGCTCCAAGCCCAACCCTAACCCTAGCTCCAACACTAACCCTAACTCCAACCCTAACCCTAACCCTAACCCTAGCTCCAACCCTAACCCTAACCCTAACCCATGCATTCCTATGGGAAAAAATCAAATTTTTTTAGGAACATCCTACAGACTCTGGAGTTGGTTCAGTGCACTCAGAAAAATCCTAGCTCCAAGCCCAACCCTAACCCTAGCTCCAACACTAACCCTAACTCCAACCCTAACCCTAACCCTAACCCTAGCTCCAACCCTAACCCTAACCCTAACCCATGCATTCCTATGGGAAAAAATCAAATTTTTTTTAGGAACGTCCTAGAGACTCGGGAGTTGGTTCAGTGCACTCAGAAAAATCCTAGCTCCAAGCCCAACCCTAACCCTAGCTCCAACACTAACCCTAACTCCAACCCTAACCCTAACCCTAACCCTAGCTCCAACCCTAAGCCTAACCCTAACCCATGCATTCCTATGGGAAGAAATCAAATTTTTTTAGGAACGTCCTAGAGACTCGGGAGTTGGTTCAGTGCACTCAGAAAAATCCTAGCTCCAAGCCCAACCCTAACCCTAGCTCCAACACTAACCCTAACTCCAACCCTAACCCTAACCCTAACCCTAGCTCCAACCCTAACCCTAACCCTAACCCATGCATTCCTATGGGAAAAAATCAAATTTTTTTAGGAACGTCCTAGAGACTCGGGAGTTGGTTCAGTGCACTCAGAAAAATCCTAGCTCCAAGCCCAACCCTAACCCTAGCTCCAACACTAACCCTAACTCCAACCCTAACCCTAACCCTAACCCTAGCTCCAACCCTAACCCTAACCCTAACCCATGCATTCCTATGGGAAAAAATCAAATTTTTTTAGGAACGTCCTAGAGACTCGGGAGTTGGTTCAGTGCACTCAGAAAAATCCTAGCTCCAAGCCCAACCCTAACCCTAGCTCCAACACTAACCCTAACTCCAACCCTAACCCTAACCCTAACCCTAGCTCCAACCCTAACCCTAACCCTAACCCATGCATTCCTATGGGAAAAAATCAAATTTTTTTAGGAACGTCCTAGAAACTCGGGAGTTGGTTCAGTGCACTCAGAAAAATCCTAGCTCCAAGCCCAACCCTAACCCTAGCTCCAACACTAACCCTAACTCCAACCCTAACCCTAACCCTAACCCTAGCTCCAACCCTAACCCTAACCCTAACCCATGCATTCCTATGGGAAAAAATCAAATTTTTTTTAGGAACGTCCTAGAGACTCGGGAGTTGGTTCAGTGCACTCAGAAAAATCCTAGCTCCAAGCCCAACCCTAACCCTAGCTCCAACACTAACCCTAACTCCAACCCTAACCCTAACCCTAACCCTAGCTCCAACCCTAACCCTAACCCTAACCCATGCATTCCTATGGGAAAAATCAAATTTTTTTAGGAACGTCCTAGAGACTCGGGAGTTGGTTCAGTGCACTCAGAAAAATCCTAGCTCCAAGCCCAACCCTAACCCTAGCTCCAACACTAACCCTAACTCCAACCCTAACCCTAACCCTAACCCTAGCTCCAACCCTAACCCTAACCCATGCATTCCCATGGGAAAAAATCAAATTTTTTTAGGAACGTCCTAGAGACTCGGGAGTTGGTTCAGTGCACTCAGAAAAATCCTAGCTCCAAGCCCAACCCTAACCCTAGCTCCAACACTAACCCTAACTCCAACCCTAACCCTAACCCTAACCCTAGCTCCAACCCTAACCCTAACCCATGCATTCCCATGGGAAAAAATCAAATTTTTTTAGGAACGTCCTAGAGACTCGGGAGTTGGTTCATTGCACTCAGAAAAATCCTAGCTCCAAGCCCAACCCTAACCCTAGCTCCAACACTAACCCTAACTCCAACCCTAACCCTAACCCTAACCCTAGCTCCAACCCTAACCCTAACCCTAACCCATGCATTCCTATGGGAAAAAATCAAATTTTTTTAGGAACATCCTACAGACTCTGGAGTTGGTTCAGTGCACTCAGAAAAATCCTAGCTCCAAGCCCAACCCTAACCCTAGCTCCAACACTAACCCTAACTCCAACCCTAACCCTAACCCTAACCCTAGCTCCAACCCTAACCCTAACCCTAACCCATGCATTCCTATGGGAAGAAATCAAATTTTTTTAGGAACGTCCTAGAGACTCGGGAGTTGGTTCAGTGCACTCAGAAAAATCCTAGCTCCAAGCCCAACCCTAACCCTAGCTCCAACACTAACCCTAACTCCAACCCTAACCCTAACCCTAACCCTAGCTCCAACCCTAACCCTAACCCTAACCCATGCATTCCCATGGGAAAAAATCAAATTTTTTTAGGAACGTCCTAGAGACTCGGGAGTTGGTTCATTGCACTCAGAAAAATCCTAGCTCCAAGCCCAACCCTAACCCTAGCTAAAACACTAACCCTAACTCCAACCCTAACCCTAACCCTAACCCTAGCTCCAACCCTAACCCTAACCCTAACCCATGCATTCCTATGGGAAAAAATCAAATTTTTTTAGGAACGTCCTAGAGACTCGGGAGTTGGTTCAGTGCACTCAGAAAAATCCTAGCTCCAAGCCCAACCCTAACCCTAGCTCCAACACTAACCCTAACTCCAACCCTAACCCTAACCCTAACCCTAGCTCCAACCCTAACCCTAACCCTAACCCATGCATTCCTATGGGAAAAAATCAAATTTTTTTAGGAACGTCCTAGAGACTCGGGAGTTGGTTCAGTGCACTCAGAAAAATCCTAGCTCCAAGCACAACCCTAACCCTAGCTCCAACACTAACCCTAACTCCAACCCTAACCCTAACCCTAACCCTTGCTCCAACCCTAACCCTAACCCTAACCCATGAATTCCTATGGGAAAAAATCAATTTTTTTTAGGAACGTCCTAGAGACTCGGGAGTTGGTTCATTGCACTCAGAAAAATCCTAGCTCCAAGCCCAACCCTAACCCTAGATCCAACACTAACCCTAACTCCAACCCTAACCCTAACCCTAACCCTAGCTCCAACCCTAACCCTAACCCTAACCCTAACCCATGCATTCCTATGGGAAAAAATCAAATTTTTTTAGGAACATCCTACAGACTCGGGAGTTGGTTCAGTGCACTCAGAAAAATCCTAGCTCCAAGCCCAACCCTAACCCTAGCTCCAACACTAACCCTAACTCCAACCCTAACCCTAACCCTAACCCTAGCTCCAACCCTAACCCTAACCCTAACCCATGCATTCCCATGGGAAAAAATCAGATTTTTTTAGGAACGTCCTAGAGACTCGGGAGTTGGTTCATTGCACTCAGAAAAATCCTAGCTCCAAGCCCAACGCTCACCCTAGCTCCAACACTAACCCTAACTCCAACCCTAACCCTAACCCTAACCCTAGCTCCAACCCTAACCCTAACCCTAACCCTAACCCATGCATTCCTATGGGAAAAAATCAAATTTTTTTAGGAACATCCTACAGACTCGGGAGTTGGTTCAGTGCACTCAGAAAAACCCTAGCTCCAAGCCCAACCCTAACCCTAGCTCCAACACTAACCCTAACTCCAACCCTAACCCTAACCCTAACCCTAGCTCCAACCCTAACCCTAACCCTAACCCATGCATTCCTATGGGAAAAAATCAAATTTTTTTAGGAACATCCTACAGACTCTGGAGTTGGTTCAGTGCACTCAGAAAAATCCTAGCTCCAAGCCCAACCCTAACCCTAGCTCCAACACTAACCCTAACTCCAACCCTAACCCTAACCCTAACCCTAACCCATGCATTCCTATGGGAAAAAATCAAATTTTTTTAGGAACGTCCTAGAGACTCGGGAGTTGGTTCAGTGCACTCAGAAAAATCCTAGCTCCAAGCCCAACCCTAACCCTAGCTCCAACACTAACCCTAACTCCAACCCTAACCCTAACCCTAACCCTAGCTCCAACCCTAACCCTAACCCTAACCCATGCATTCCTATGGGAAGAAATCAAATTTTTTTAGGAACGTCCTAGAGACTCGGGAGTTGGTTCAGTGCACTCAGAAAAATCCTAGCTCCAAGCCCAACCCTAACCCTAGCTCCAACACTAACCCTAACTCCAACCCTAACCCTAACCCTAACCCTAGCTCCAACCCTAACCCTAACCCTAACCCATGCATTCCTATGGGAAAAATCAAATTTTTTTAGGAACGTCCTAGAGACTCGGGAGTTGGTTCAGTGCACTCAGAAAAATCCTAGCTCCAAGCCCAACCCTAACCCTAGCTCCAACACTAACCCTAACTCCAACCCTAACCCTAACCCTAACCCTAGCTCCAACCCTAACCCTAACCCTAACCCATGCATTCCCATGGGAAAAAATCAAATTTTTTTAGGAACGTCCTAGAGACTCGGGAGTTGGTTCAGTGCACTCAGAAAAATCCTAGCTCCAAGCCCAACCCTAACCCTAGCTCCAACACTAACCCTAACTCCAACCCTAACCCTAACCCTAACCCTAGCTCCAACCCTAACCCTAACCCTAACCCATGCATTCCTATGGGAAAAAATCAAATTTTTTTAGGAACTCCTAGAGACTCGGGAGTTGGTTCAGTGCACTCAGAAAAATCCTAGCTCCAAGCCCAACCCTAACCCTAGCTCCAACACTAACCCTAACTCCAACCCTAACCCTAACCCTAACCCTAGCTCCAACCCTAACCCTAACCCTAACCCATGCATTCCTATGGGAAAAAATCAAATTTTTTTAGGAACGTCCTAGAGACTCGGGAGTTGGTTCAGTGCACTCAGAAAAATCCTAGCTCCAAGCCCAACCCTAACCCTAGCTCCAACACTAACCCTAACTCCAACCCTAACCCTAACCCTAACCCTAGCTCCAACCCTAACCCTAACCCTAACCCATGCATTCCTATGGGAAAAATCAAATTTTTTTAGGAACGTCCTAGAGACTCGGGAGTTGGTTCAGTGCACTCAGAAAAATCCTAGCTCCAAGCCCAACCCTAACCCTAGCTCCAACACTAACCCTAACTCCAACCCTAACCCTAACCCTAACCCTAGCTCCAACCCTAACCCTAACCCTAACCCATGCATTCCTATGGGAAGAAATCAAATTTTTTTAGGAACGTCCTAGAGACTCGGGAGTTGGTTCAGTGCACTCAGAAAAATCCTAGCTCCAAGCCCAACCCTAACCCTAGCTCCAACACTAACCCTAACTCCAACCCTAACCCTAACCCTAACCCTAGCTCCAACCCTAACCCTAACCCTAACCCATGCATTCCCATGGGAAAAAATCAAATTTCTTTAGGAACGTCCTAGAGACTCGGGAGTTGGTTCATTGCACTCAGAAAAATCGTAGCTCCAAGCCCAACCCTAACCCTAGCTCCAACACTAACCCTAACTCCAACCCTAACCCTAACCCTAACCCTAGCTCCAACCCTAACCCTAACCCTAACCCATGCATTCCTATGGGAAAAAATCAAATTTTTTTAGGAACGTCCTAGAAACTCGGGAGTTGGTTCAGTGCACTCAGAAAAATACTAGCTCCAAGCCCAACCCTAACCCTAGCTCCAACACTAACCCTAACTCCAACCCTAACCCTAACCCTAACCCTAGCTCCAACCCTAACCCTAACCCTAACCCATGCATTCCTATGGGAAAAAAATCAAATTTTTTTAGGAACGTCCTAGAGACTCGGGAGTTGGTTCAGTGCACTCAGAAAAATCCTAGCTCCAAGCCCAACCCTAACCCTAGCTCCAACACTAACCCTAACTCCAACCCTAACCCTAACCCTAACCCTAGCTCCAACCCTAACCCTAACCCTAACCCATGCATTCCTATGGGAAGAAATCAAATTTTTTTAGGAACGTCCTAGAGACTCGGGAGTTGGTTCAGTGCACTCAGAAAAATCCTAGCTCCAAGCCCAACCCTAACCCTAGCTCCAACACTAACCCTAACTCCAACCCTAACCCTAACCCTAACCCTAGCTCCAACCCTAACCCTAACCCATGCATTCCCATGGGAAAAAATCAAATTTTTTTAGGAACGTCCTAGAGACTCGGGAGTTGGTTCATTGCACTCAGAAAAATTCTAGCTCCAAGCCCAACCCTAACCCTAGCTCCAACACTAACCCTAACTCCAACCCTAACCCTAACCCTAACCCTAGCTCCAACCCTAACCCTAACCCTAACCCATGCATTCCCATGGGAAGAAATCAAATTTTTTTAGGAACGTCCTAGAGACTCGGGAGTTGGTTCAGTGCACTCAGAAAAATCCTAGCTCCAAGCCCAACCCTAACCCTAGCTCCAACACTAACCCTAACTCCAACCCTAACCCTAACCCTAACCCTAGCTCCAACCCTAACCCTAACCCTAACCCATGCATTCCTATGGGAAGAAATCAAATTTTTTTAGGAACGTCCTAGAGACTCGGGAGTTGGTTCAGTGCACTCAGAAAAATCCTAGCTCCAAGCCCAACCCTAACCCTAGCTCCAACACAAACCCTAACTCCAACCCTAACCCTAACCCTAACCCTAGCTCCAACCCTAACCCTAACCCTAACCCATGCATTCCTATGGGAAAAAATCAAATTTTTTTAGGAACGTCCTAGAGACTCGGGAGTTGGTTCAGTGCACTCAGAAAAATCCTAGCTCCAAGCCTAACCCTAACCCTAGCTCCAACACTAACCCTAACTCCAACCCTAACCCTAACCCTAACCCTAGCTCCAACCCTAACCCTAACCCTAACCCATGCATTCCTATGGGAAAAAATCAAATTTTTTTAGGAACGTCCTAGAGACTCGGGAGTTGGTTCAGTGCACTCAGAAAAATCCTAGCTCCAAGCCCAACCCTAACCCTAGCTCCAACACTAACCCTAACTCCAACCCTAACCCTAACCCTAACCCTAGCTCCAACCCTAACCCTAACCCTAACCCATGCATTCCTATGGGAAGAAATCAAATTTTTTTAGGAACGTCCTAGAGATTCGGGAGTTGGTTCAGTGCACTCAGAAAAATCCTAGCTCCAAGCCCAACCCTAACCCTAGCTCCAACACTAACCCTAACTCCAACCCTAACCCTAACCCTAACCCTAGCTCCAACCCTAACCCTAACCCTAACCCATGCATTCCTATGGGAAGAAATCAAATTTTTTTAGGAACGTCCTAGAGACTCGGGAGTTGGTTCAGTGCACTCAGAAAAATCCTAGCTCCAAGCCCAACCCTAACCCTAGCTCCAACACAAACACTAACTCCAACCCTAACCCTAACCCTAACCCTAGCTCCAACCCTAACCCTAACCCTAACCCATGCATTCCTATGGGAAAAAATCAAATTTTTTTAGGAACGTCCTAGAGACTCGGGAGTTGGTTCAGTGCACTCAGAAAAATCCTAGCTCCAAGCCCAACCCTAACCCTAGCTCCAACACTAACCCTAACTCCAACCCTAACCCTAACCCTAACCCTAGCTCCAACCCTAACCCTAACCCTAACCCATGCATTCCTATGGGAAGAAATCAAATTTTTTTAGGAACATCCTACAGACTCGGGAGTTGGTTCAGTGCACTCAGAAAAATCCTAGCTCCAAGCCCAACCCTAACCCTAGCTCCAACACTAACCCTAACTCCAACCCTAACCCTAACCCTAACCCTAGCTCCAACCCTAACCCTAACCCTAACCCATGCATTCCTATGGGAAAAATCAAATTTTTTTAGGAACGTCCTAGAGACTCGGGAGTTGGTTCAGTGCACTCAGAAAAATCCTAGCTCCAAGCCCAACCCTAACCCTAGCTCCAACACTAACCCTAACTCCAACCCTAACCCTAACCCTAACCCTAGCTCCAACCCTAACCCTAACCCTAACCCATGCATTCCTATGGGAAAAAATCAAATTTTTTTAGGAACGTCCTAGAGACTCGGGAGTTGGTTCAGTGCACTCAGAAAAATCCTAGCTCCAAGCCCAACCCTAACCCTAGCTCCAACACTAACCCTAACTCCAACCCTAACCCTAACCCTAACCCTAGCTCCAACCCTAACCCTAACCCTAACCCATGCATTCCTATGGGAAGAAATCAAATTTTTTTAGGAACGTCCTAGAGACTCGGGAGTTGGTTCAGTGCACTCAGAAAAATCCTAGCTCCAAGCCCAACCCTAACCCTAGCTCCAACACAAACCCTAACTCCAACCCTAACCCTAACCCTAACCCTAGCTCCAACCCTAACCCTAACCCTAACCCATGCATTCCTATGGGAAGAAATCAAATTTTTTTAGGAACGTCCTAGAGACTCGGGAGTTGGTTCAGTGCACTCAGAAAAATCCTAGCTCCAAGCCAAACCCTAACCCTAGCTCCAACACTAACCCTAACTCCAACCCTAACCCTAAAGGTCCACTACTGAGGACGTGTCCTGAAATTTAATGTCTAAAACCAGCGCTGGGTCAATGTAAAGGTCTATTCAAAAACTTTAAAAAAAAAAAAAAAAAAAAAAAAAAAAAACCAGATAGGTCTTAAAATAATTCAAGAATCACTTACCTAAACACAATCTGGTCCTCTTGTCTTCTATTTTGAGTGTCGATTTATCTGGGTGCATGAATAAAGGTCCATAAAACCCGCACCTCCTTTTGGTTTACCTTAATTTCTATTCTAACATAGCATTTCAGTACTTAACCATTTACCAAACTCGTATTTTCCACCTTTTGATCACTGGGTCCAGTTTTTGACAGATTTTATTTCACCTTTCGTTTTTTGCCACTCCAGTATTCCCCACTTTCCAATTTGATAAACTTTGTACATTCCACTGTTTATCCCAGACCTTATAATTTATTAATTTTATTGGGCAATTTTACTTTTTATTTTTATTTTTCCTATTAATTTCCCCTACCTGTATATTGTACCTCCCATTTTGAACAAATTAAAAATGTTTTGGAACAACTATACACTAAATTTTTTCTTCTGTTTTTCATTCTAATTTGCTTTTTAATTCAAGTAGGTGCACTTAGATCGCCATTTTTATTATTTTTTTAATTCTTTTATTCTTAAAATTGTGAATTAAATATAAAAAAATTTGGTTCCACTGCAATCAAAGTTACAATTTATACTCAATTTTACTAGAATATTAATCCAATGTTAGATGTAACTTTAACAGTTCCTGCTTGTACTTTTTAACAAAATAAACAACGTACACACTGATGACACAATTTCATACAACATTCCAATTTAAACCCGTAGGCAATAAATTGGGGAGCTAACCTTACTTATCTAACTCAAAATTGCTTTAATCATGTAATGTACCTGTAGAATAGTCCGATACCTAAACTACAATTCCTATCTAATTGCTTAACCCTGAAATAATAATTTACAGTTATACCTAGCTCTTAGATAATTCATAAAAAAAATCTCCAATTAATTTCAAACTTATCCATCTACAACAATACAACCTTCTGAAAAGTCGATACTCTGGACCAATAATTCTATTAATTAATCAAAAATTAATAAAATTAAATTAATAAAATTATTGATAACATTAACACTTAACTCTGCAGTAATATTTTCAAATAATTTATAAATAACACCTCTGATTTAACTTAAGTTGATTTTAGGTCACAGCGTTAGGGAGATTAGCGGGGTCTTGGGCCTACACAGGCCTGAGTGGAACAGAAGGTTCTACATGGGACCATCCACTTGTGACTCTGAATTAAAAATTTATTAAAATATAATAATTTATAAATATACCCAGTTCAATCCAAAATAATTTTAGGTCACAGCCTTGAGGGACCTTATCAGGGTCTTTGGCCTAAACAGGCCTGAGTGGAACAGAAGGTTCTACACAGGACCATCCACTTTTGACTCTAAATTAAAAAATTGTGAAAAAAATAATAATTTTTAAACATACCCCATTCAATCTAAAATTATTGTAGATCACAGCCTTGAGGAAGCTTAGCAGGGTCTTGGGCCTAGACGGGCCTGAGTGGAACAGAAGGTTCTACACGGGACCATCCACTTTTGACTCTGAATTAAAGATTTATTAAAAGGAATAATTTAGGAATACTTCGAATTAAAAATTATTTTAGTTCACAGCCTTGAGGGAGCTTAGCAGAGTCTTTGACCTAGACAGGTCAGAGTGGAACAGAAGGTTCTACACGGGACCATCCACTTTTGACTCTAAATTAAAAATTATTCAAAATAATAATTTATAAATATTTCTAATTCAAAAAATTAATTTAGGTCACAGCCTTAAGGGAAGCTTAGCAGGGTCTTTGGCCTAGACAGGCCTGAGTGGAACAGAAGGTTCTACACGGGACCATCCACTTTTGACTCTGAATTAAAAAAATTAAAAATTTATTTAAAAGAATAATTTATAAATATTTCCAATTCAAAAATTATTTTAGGTCACAGCCTTGAGGGAGCTTAGCAGAGTCTTTGACCTAGACAGGTCTGAGTGGAACAGAAGGTTCTACACGGGACCATCCACTTTTGACTCTGAAATAAATAAAAAAATATATATTAAAAAGGAATAATTTTTTAAATATACCCAATTCAATCTAAAATTATTTTAGGTCACAGTCTTGAGGGAGCTTAGCAGGGTCTTTGGCCTACACAGGCCTGAGTGGAACAGAAGGTTCTACACGGGACCATCCACTTTTGACTCTGAATTAAAAATTTATTAAAAAGGAATAATTGATTAATATACCCAATTCAATCTAAAAATTATTTTAGGTCACAGCCTTGAGGAAGCTTAGCAGGGTCTCTGGCCTACACAGGCCTGAGTGGAACAGAAGGTTCTACACAGGACCATCCACTTTTGACTCTGAATAAAAAATATATTAAAAAGGAATAATTTATTATTACACCCAATTCAATCTAAAATTATTGTAGGTCACAGCCTTGAGGAAGCTTAGCAGGGTCTCTAGCCTACACAGGCCTGAGTGGAACAGAAGGTTCTATACGGGACCATCCACTTTTGACTCTGAATTAAAAAATTAATTAAAAAATTAATTAAAAATTTATTAAAAGGAATAATTTATAAATACTTCCAACTCAAAATTATCTTAGTCCACAACCTTGAGGAATCTTAGCAGAGTCTTTGACCTAGACAGGTCTGAGTGGAAGAAGGTTCTAAACGGGACCATCCACTTTTGACTCTGAATTAAAAAATTATTTAAAAGAATAATTTATAAATATTTCCAATTCAAAAATTATTTTAGGTCACAGCCTTAAGGGAAGCTTAGCAGGGTCTTTGGCCTAGACAGGCCTGAGTGGAACAGAAGGTTCTACACGGGACCATCCACTTTTGACTCTGAATTAAAATTTATTAAAAAGTAATAATTTAGATTTCCAATTTAATCAAAAATAATTTTAGGTCACAGCCTTGAGGGACCTTAGCAGGGTCTTTGGCCTACACAGGCCTGAGTGGAACAGAAGGTTCTACACGGGACCATCCACTTTTGACTCTGAACTAAAATTTATCAATAAGAATTAGTAACTAACCTTATATATTTTATACTGCATTTTCAGTACTTTCAACCATAGCTTTGCTACCTTTAGCAGAGTCCAGAGTCTAGACAATCTGAAGTGTCGTATTCTTTGAATTTTAATTCTTTTAAATAGCCATGGTTAGCTCTCTTCAGGCACTAACCATAAACATCACCCTCACCCTAACCCTAACCTCTAGAACCTAAATCCAACCCTAACCCTCTTAACCCTAAATCTAACCCTAAACCCTAAATCTAACCCTAACCCTAACCCTAACCCTTACCCTAACCCTAACCTCTAGATCCTAAATCTAACCCTAACCCTAACCCTAACCCTAACCCTAACCCCTAAAACCCTAAATCTAACCCTTACCCTGACCCTAACCCTAACCCTAACCTCTAGACCCTAAATCTAACCCTAACCCTAACCCTAACCCTAACCCTTACCCTAACCCTAACCCTAACCCTAACCCCTAACCCCTAAACCCTAAATCTAACCCCAACCCTAACCTTACTAACCTCTATCTTAACTTAATCACCCCACCCTCCTTTTTCGTATCAGAGGATGAAAAGCAACAGGTGAGGAGAGTTTCTCTGGCTAGTCACTGTGGCAAGTTCTATTCTTTCTCTATCACTCGAATCCCTGTAGAAACAGAATGGTTTTAATCCAGACCACCTGTTTCTCCCTCTCCCCATCCTCTGAGACTTTGTACTAACGCATCCTAACCCTACTCTCTTAGGTAAATTTCACCCTTTTCCCTCCCTACTAATATCACCTAGTCCTTCTCAATAAATAAAATTATTACTTTTATTATTATTATTATTATTAGTATAATTATTGTTATTACCATTATTATTATTATTATTATTATTATTATTATTATTATTGTTTTAACTGGTAACCATACCAACTCTAACTCCTAACTGAACCTCAAAAAATAATGGCTCTACAAACACATAGTCTAAAAGATAGACAGCATAGCATACCAACTGAGCTGAGTAATTAAACTTCCTACCCACACATAGTTTTTTACTCACAGATTGGGCTCGGAGACTCGACTGGGAACATGTGACAGGTCGACATGCGACGGCCAGTGCAAGCCCTTGATTAGCCTACCCCAAACCGCCAAGTCAACAGACGAAAGCGGGGGCTATCACTGTATCTTACCCACACCTAACCCTAACCCCTAACCCTAACCCTAACCCTAGCCCTAACGCTAACCCTAACCCTAACCCTAACCCTAACCCTAACCCTAACCCTAACCCTAACCCTAACCCTAACCCTAACCCCTAAAACCCTAAATCTAACCCTTACCCTGACCCTAACCCTAACCCTAACCTCTAGACCCTAAATCTAACCCTAACCCTAACCCTAACCCTTACCCTAACCCTAACCCTAACCCTAACCCTAACCCCTAACCCCTAAACCCTAAAATCTAACCCCAACCCTAACCTTACTAACCTCTATCTTAACTTAATCACCCCACCCTCCTTTTTCGTATCAGAGGTTGAAAAGCAACAGGTGAGGAGAGTTTCTCTGGCTAGTCACTGTGGCAAGTTCTATTCTTTCTCTATCACTCGAATCCCTGTAGAAACAGAATGGTTTTAATCCAGACCACCTGTTTCTCCCTCTCCCCATCCTCTGAGACTTTGTACTAACGCATCCTAACCCTACTCTCTTAGGTAAATTTCACCCTTTTCCCTCCCTACTAATATCACCTAGTCCTTCTCAATAAACACAATTATTACTTTTATTATTATTATTATTATTAGTATAATTATTGTTATTACCATTATTATTATTATTATTATTATTATTATTATTATTATTGTTTTAACTGGTAACCATACCAACTCTAACTCCTAACTGAACCTCAAAAAATAATGGCTCTACAAACACATAGTCTAAAAGATAGACAGCATAGCATACCAACTGAGCTGAGTAATTAAACTTCCTACCCACACATAGTTTTTTACTCACAGATTGGGCTCGGAGACTCGACTGGGAACATGTGACAGGTCGACATGCGACGGCCAGTGCAAGCCCTTGATTAGCCTACCCCAAACCGCCAAGTCAACAGACGAAAGCGGGGGCTATCACTGTATCTCTTACCCACACCTAACCCTAACCCCCTAACCCTAACCCTAACCCTAACCCTAAATCTAACCCTAACCCTAACCCTAACCCTAACCCTAACCCCTAACCCTAACCCTAACCCTAACCCTAACCCCTAAAACCCTAAATCTAACCCTTACCCTGACCCTAACCCTAACCCTAACCTCTAGACCCTAAATCTAACCCTAACCCTAACCCTAACCCTAACCCTTACCCTAACCCTAACCCTAACCCTAACCCCTAACCCCTAAACCCTAAATCTAACCCCAACCCTAACCTTACTAACCTCTATCTTAACTTAATCACCCCACCCTCCTTTTTCGTATCAGAGGTTGAAAAGCAACAGGTGAGGAGAGTTTCTCTGGCTAGTCACTGTGGCAAGTTCTATTCTCTCTCTATCACTCGAATCCCTGTAGAAACAGAATGGTTTTAATCCAGACCACCTGTTTCTCCCTCTCCCCATCCTCTGAGACTTTGTACTAACGCATCCTAACCCTACTCTCTTAGGTAAATTTCACCCTTTTCCCTCCCTACTAATATCACCTAGTCCTTCTCAATAAACACAATTATTACTTTTATTATTATTATTATTAGTATAATTATTGTTATTACCATTATTATTATTATTATTATTATTATTATTATTATTATTATTATTATTGTTTTAACTGGTAACCATACCAACTCTAACTCCTAACTGAACCTCAAAAAATAATGGCTCTACAAACACATAGTCTAAAAGATAGACAGCATAGCATACCAACTGAGCTGAGTAATTAAACTTCCTACCCACACATAGTTTTTTACTCACAGATTGGGCTCGGAGACTCGACTGGGAACATGTGACAGGTCGACATGCGACGGCCAGTGCAAGCCCTTGATTAGCCTACCCCAAACCGCCAAGTCAACAGACGAAAGCGGGGGCTATCACTGTATCTCTTACCCACACCTAACCCTAACCCTAGCTCCAACCCTAACCCTAACCCTAACCCATGCATTCCCATGGGAAAAAATCAAATTTTTTTAGGAACGTCCTAGAGACTCGGGAGTTGGTTCAGTGCACTCAGAAAAATCCTAGCTCCAAGCCCAACCCTAACCCTAGCTCCAACACTAACCCTAACTCCAACCCTAACCCTAACCCTAACCCTAGCTCCAACCCTAACCCTAACCCTAACCCATGCATTCCTATGGGAAGAAATCAAATTTTTTTAGGAACGTCCTAGAGACTCGGGAGTTGGTTCAGTGCACTCAGAAAAATCCTAGCTCCAAGCCCAACCCTAACCCTAGCTCCAACACTAACCCTAACTCCAACCCTAACCCTAACCCTAACCCTAGCTCCAACCCTAACCCTAACCCTAACCCATGCATTCCCATGGGAAAAAATCAAATTTTTTTAGGAACGTCCTAGAGACTCGGGAGTTGGTTCATTGCACTCAGAAAAATCCTAGCTCCAAGCCCAACCCTAACCCTAGCTAAAACACTAACCCTAACTCCAACCCTAACCCTAACCCTAACCCTAGCTCCAACCCTAACCCTAACCCTAACCCATGCATTCCCATGGGAAAAAATCAAATTTTTTTAGGAACGTCCTAGAGACTCGGGAGTTGGTTCAGTGCACTCAGAAAAATCCTAGCTCCAAGCCCAACCCTAACCCTAGCTCCAACACTAACCCTAACTCCAACCCTAACCCTAACCCTAACCCTAGCTCCAACCCTAACCCTAACCCTAACCCATGCATTCCTATGGGAAAAAATCAAATTTTTTTAGGAACATCCTACAGACTCGGGAGTTGGTTCAGTGCACTCAGAAAAATCCTAGCTCCAAGCCCAACCCTAACCCTAGCTCCAACACTAACCCTAACTCCAACCCTAACCCTAACCCTAACCCTAGCTCCAACCCTAACCCTAACCCTAACCCATGCATTCCTATGGGAAGAAATCAAATTTTTTTAGGAACGACCTAGAGACTCGGGAGTTGGTTCAGTGCACTCAGAAAAATCCTAGCTCCAAGCCCAACCCTAACCCTAGCTCCAACACTAACCCTAACTCCAACCCTAACCCTAACCCTAACCCTAGCTCCAACCCTAACCCTAACCCTAACCCATGCATTCCTATGGGAAGAAATCAAATTTTTTTAGGAACGTCCTAGAGACTCGGGAGTTGGTTCAGTGCACTCAGAAAAATCCTAGCTCCAAGCCCAACCCTAACCCTAGCTCCAACACAAACCCTAACTCCAACCCTAACCCTAACCCTAACCCTAGCTCCAACCCTAACCCTAACCCTAACCCATGCATTCCTATGGGAAAAAATCAAATTTTTTTAGGAACGTCCTAGAGACTCGGGAGTTGGTTCAGTGCACTCAGAAAAATCCTAGCTCCAAGCCCAACCCTAACCCTAGCTCCAACACTAACCCTAACTCCAACCCTAACCCTAACCCTAACCCTAGCTCCAACCCTAACCCTAACCCATGCATTCCTATGGGAAAAAATCAAATTTTTTTAGGAACGTCCTAGAGACTCGGGAGTTGGTTCAGTGCACTCAGAAAAATCCTAGCTCCAAGCCCAACCCTAACCCTAGCTCCAACACTAACCCTAACTCCAACCCTAACCCTAACCCTAACCCTAGCTCCAACCCTAACCCTAACCCTAACCCATGCATTCCTATGGGAAGAAATCAAATTTTTTTAGGAACGTCCTAGAGACTCGGGAGTTGGTTCAGTGCACTCAGAAAAATCCTAGCTCCAAGCCCAACCCTAACCCTAGCTCCAACACTAACCCTAACTCCAACCCTAACCCTAACCCTAACCCTAGCTCCAACCCTAACCCTAACCCTAACCCATGCATTCCTATGGGAAAAAATCAAATTTTTTTAGGAACGTCCTAGAGACTCGGGAGTTGGTTCAGTGCACTCAGAAAAATCCTAGCTCCAAGCCCAACCCTAACTCCAACCCTAACCCTAACCCTAACCCTAGCTCCAACCCTAACCCTAACCCTAACCCATGCATTCCTATGGGAAGAAATCAAATTTTTTAGGAACGTCCTAGAGACTCGGGAGTTGGTTCAGTGCACTCAGAAAAATCCTAGCTCCAAGCCCAACCCTAACCCTAGCTCCAACACTAACCCTAACTCCAACCCTAACCCTAACCCTAACCCTAGCTCCAACCCTAACCCTAACCCTAACCCATGCATTCCTATGGGAAAAAATCAAATTTTTTTAGGAACATCCTACAGACTCGGGAGTTGGTTCAGTGCACTCAGAAAAATCCTAGCTCCAAGCCCAACCCTAACCCTAGCTCCAACACTAACCCTAACTCCAACCCTAACCCTAACCCTAGCTCCAACCCTAACCCTAACCCTAACCCATGCATTCGCATGGGAAGAAATCAAATTTTTTTAGGAACGTCCTAGAGACTCGGGAGTTGGTTCAGTGCACTCAGAAAAATCCTAGCTCCAAGCCCAACCCTAACCCTAGCTCCAACACTAACCCTAACTCCAACCCTAACCCTAACCCTAACCCTAGCTCCAACCCTAACCCTAACCCTAACCCATGCATTCCCATGGGAAAAAATCAAATTTTTTTAGGAACGTCCTAGAGACTCGGGAGTTGGTTCATTGCACTCAGAAAAATCCTAGCTCCAAGCCCAACCCTAACCCTAGCTAAAACACTAACCCTAACTCCAACCCTAACCCTAACCCTAACCCTAGCTCCAACCCTAACCCTAACCCTAACCCATGCATTCCTATGGGAAAAAATCAAATTTTTTTAGGAACGTCCTAGAGACTCTGGAGTTGGTTCAGTGCACTCAGAAAAATCCTAGCTCCAAGCCCAACCCTAACCCTAGCTCCAACACTAACCCTAACTCCAACCCTAACCCTAACCCTAACCCTAGCTCCAACCCTAACCCTAACCCTAACCCATGCATTCCTATGGGAAAAAATCAAATTTTTTTAGGAACATCCTACAGACTCGGGAGTTGGTTCAGTGCACTCAGAAAAATCCTAGCTCCAAGCCCAACCCTAACCCTAGCTCCAACACTAACCCTAACTCCAACCCTAACCCTAACCCTAACCCTAGCTCCAACCCTAACCCTAACCCTAACCCATGCATTCCCATGGGAAAAAATCAAATTTTTTTAGGAACGTCCTAGAGACTCGGGAGTTGGTTCAGTGCACTCAGAAAAATCCTAGCTCCAAGCCCAACCCTAACCCTAGCTCCAACACTAACCCTAACTCCAACCCTAACCCTAACCCTAGCTCCAACCCTAACCCTAACCCTAACCCATGCATTCCTATGGGAAGAAATCAAATTTTTTTAGGAACGTCCTAGAGACTCGGGAGTTGGTTCAGTGCACTCAGAAAAATCCTAGCTCCAAGCCCAACCCTAACCCTAGCTCCAACACTAACCCTAACTCCAACCCTAACCCTAACCCTAACCCTAGCTCCAACCCTAACCCTAACCCTAACCCATGCATTCCTATGGGAAAAAATCAAATTTTTTTAGGAACGTCCTAGAGACTCGGGAGTTGGTTCATTGCACTCAGAAAAATCCTAGCTCCAAGCCCAACCCTAACCCTAGCTCCAACACTAACCCTAACTCCAACCCTAACCCTAACCCTAACCCTAGCTCCAACCCCACACCTAACCCTAACCCTAGCTCCAACCTTAAGCATTTATTTTCATCCTAAAATCAGAAATTTTTTTTTTTCACCCTAAAATCTGAAATTTACGACATAGTATAGTATGTCGTTTTTTTTTTCGGACTAAAATATGTTGGGTTTTATTGCACCTAAATATGACATTTTTAACATTCTATACTATGGCATTTTGATGAGACAATACTATAGCATTCATCTTTATCCGAAAATCAGAATTTTTTTTTCACCCTTAAATCTGAAATTTTGGTCATACTTTACTATGTCATTTTTTTTTCGGACTGAAATATGCTGGGGGTTTTGTTGCGCCTAAATACAACATTTTTAACATTCTATACTATGGCATTTTGATGAGACAATACTTTAGCATTTATTTTCATCCTAAAATCAGAATTTTTTTTTCACCCTAAAATCTGAAATTTTTGACATAGAATACTATGTTGTTTTTTTTTACAGACTAAAATCTTTTTTTTTTTTTTTTTGCGCTACAATATGACATTTTTAACATCCTATATTATGGCATTTTAATGAGACAATACTTAAGCATTTATTTTTATCCTTAAATCTAAAATTTTTTATCACCCTAAAATCTGAAATTTTGGTCATACTATGTCATTTTATTTTTTCGGACTAAAATATGTTGGTTTTTTTGTGCTAAAATACTTCATTTTTAACATCCTATACTATGGCATTTTGATGAGACAATACTATAGCATTCATCTTTATCCGAAAATCAGAAATTTTTTTTCACCCTTAAAACTGAAATTTTGGTCATACTATACTATGTCATTTTTTTTTCGGACTAAAATATGCTGGGGGTTTTGTTGCGCCTATATACAACATTTTTAACATCCTATACTATGGCATTCAGATGAGACAATACTTAAGCATTTACTTTCATCCTAAAATCAGAATTTTATTTTCACCCTAAAATCTGAAATTTACGACATAGAATACCATGTCGTTTTTTTTTTTGACTGAAATATGTTGCGTTTTTATGCCCCTAAATATGACATTTTTAATATCCTATACTATGGCATTTTGATGAGACAATACTTAAGCATTTATTTTCATCCTAAAATCAGAATTTTTTTTTCACCCTAAAATCTGAAATTTTGGTCATACTATACTATGTCGTTTTTTTTTCGGACTAAAATATGTTGGGTTTTTTTTGCACCTAAATATGTCATTTTTAACATCCTATACTATGGCATTTTGATGAGACAATACTTAAGCATTTATTTTTATCCTAAAATCAGAATTTTTTTTAAACCCTAAAATCTGAAATTTTGGTCATACTATACTATGTCGTTTTTTTTTTCGGACTAAAATATGTTGGGTTTTATTGCACCTAAATATAAAATTTTAAACATTCTATACTATGGCATTTTGATGAGACAATACTATAGCATTTATTTTTATCCTAAAATCAGAATTTTATTTTAACCCTAAAATCTGAAAATTACGACATAGAATAATATGTCGTTTTTTTTTTTTGGACTGAAATATGTTGGGTTTTTTTGCGCCTTAATATGACATTTTTAACATCCTATACTATGGCATTTTGATGAGACAATACTTAAGCATTTATTTTCATCCTAAAGTCAGAATTTTTTTTTAACCCTAAAATCTGAAATTTTGGTCATACTATACTATGTCATTTTATTTTTTCGGACTAAAATATGTTGGTTTTTTTGTGCTAAAATACTTCATTTTTAACATCCTATACTATGGCATTTTGATGAGACAATACTATACCATTTATTTTCATCCTAAAATCGGAAAATTTTTTAACCCACAAATCTGATTTTTGGTCATACTATACTATGTCGTTTTTTTTTTTCAGACTAAAATATGTTTTTTTTATTTGCGCTAAAATATGACATTTTTAACATCCTATACTATGGCATTTTGATGAGACAATACTTAAGCATTAATTTTCATCCTAAAATCAGAATTTCATTTTCACCCTAAAATCTGAAATTTTGGTCATACTATACTATGTGTTTTTTTTTTTTTCCGAACTAAAATATGTTGGGTTTTTTGTGCTGAAATATAATTTATTTGACATCCTATACTATGGCATTATGATCAGACAATACTATAGCATTCTTTTTTTTCTTAAATCGGAAAAAAAAATTTGACCTAAAATCTGAGATTTTGGTCATAGTATACTATGACTTTTTTTTTTCTGACTAAAATATGAATTTTTTTTTTTTGTGCTAAAATATGACAGTTTTTACATCCTATTTGTTGGCATTTAAGTAGAAAATACTATGGTATGTTTTTTCATCCTAAAATCTGAAATTTTTTTCATACTATACTATGACATTTTATGTCTAAAATACATTTTATGTACGTATTTTTTATGGAAAAAACTGTTTTTAGACAACAAAACTTAAATGGACTCCTCTGGGACCTCTGAGACCTATGTAAATCCACTGAAAAGGAGTATAATATGGGACCTTTAAAGAAAACATAAAAGTCGAAACATCATTAATGAATTTATTCACCAAAATTATTTATTATTTATTCACCACTAATCAGCCGACACTGAAGTGCTTTTTATTTAATTCACTGCATACAAAACATAAGCAGAAGTATGATTGACTTTTCTCTTAATGTTTCTGTAAATTACAACAAATATCTCAAACAGAAAGCTGCAGGATACACTGGTCTGTCAGGGTAACATACTGACCTACAAACATATGCATATACATTCATGCAAACTCACATTCATTTCATGCATTTGTTCTTGCACACAGACATACATTTATAAAAACATTCATACATTCTTCAATCAATACAATCTGACATTCATTAATGCACAACATTATATATTTATGCATATTTTCATACAAGTATACCTAAACACAAACATACTCTTATTCACACATACATTTTTTTTACATACATATATAAATACATCATACAAACGGAAACATTTATTTATACATATATTTGTTCCTATATACATACATATATAATTATTTATTCATTCCTTCTTTCATGTCACATTCATACACATTTAATGATTGATGTATGAATTGTAGTATGCATGAATGTTTGTATTCATGAATGTACTGTATGTTTAAATGTCTGAATTTTAATGATGTTACAAAAACTACAAAGTAACCTAATAATAATGTTTTCAGAATACACGTGTAGATTATATGTTTACATGTAGACATGATAAAAGATGGAAGAAAAGATAAATAAAAGTCTGTGCACCAAATGGCCCCACGAGTCAAAAAAGTTTGGACTTGCCCCTGTTATCTTAATGCATCATGCAATCTATCAATCGATCAATCATTACATTTGTTGGCAATGCATCAGTATTGTGGCTTTGACTCACCTTAGTCCTGTAGGAGGCGAACATTTGTGTGTTTAACTCTCATTTTAACTAATTAATGACACATTTAAGTATCTTTATTTAAAGATGTATTTATGTATCTCATTCTGTCTCTTTTCATCCTCCATAGCGGACACCCTGTTATATGTGCACTTAATTCACTCCTGTGTCTCGCTGCAGGGAGCACACCTCCTCTTATTCTTCCACTCCATCACTCAGCAGCTTTCAGCGAGCTCCTCAGTCCTAATTAACTGCCAAGATATGAATGCGCTAATCTGGGCTCTAAATCTTCAGTTCCTCTGACAAAAGCTTTTACAGGCTGTCACAGCTGCATGATAAACAGCAGAGCCGCCTCCTCGCCCAGAGGACACACTGCCATCTAGGGACCAGGGCTGGCAGCTCAGTATTTATACACTGGAGGGTGTGAAACACCAGGAGCTGTAAACTTTATCCAGTGTCTGAGTGTTTCTCATTATCTGATAATGAAAGCCATTCGGTTCTGATTTTTGGCAGCATGTTTGACTTTCCCCTGATCTCAGTGTCCACACTCAGAGAGGAGACATGCTCCAGGTAAGAAACTTAGCTGCTCCAAGTAGGAACTTCGACTTCAGGGCGTTCAAGGTGACGCTTTTGATAGGAATCTCTAAAATTTGACTTCTGAGATGAAATCAAACCGATAAAGGATGTGATAACTCCCACCTCTATAAACATGAACAAACATCCTTATGTTGAAGGTTGCACAGAATAACCTTTAAATGAGCGAAGCATGAATGGAAAAGACAAAAAAATTGCAGAGTTAGGAAACCGGTTTGCTTATAAAAAATAAAAGAGCTAATGTAAGACGTGGTGTATATAACATGAATCCCCTCCAGGTTTGCAAAGGAGCCAAAGCAAATGTTAGCTGTCACGAGGTAAGAGACGGGTCACACCCCGGACTAGTCACCAGTCAATCACAGGGCTGACCTACAGCGCCAAACAACCAGAAACACACTTAAATAAACACCTACAGGCGATACAGGGCCACCGATTAACTGAACAAGCGTGTGTTTGGACTGTGGGAGGAAGCCGGGACACCAGCATGCACAAAAAGGACACTCCACATATGAAGATTCCTACAGAGATGCAGAACTATAAAACCTTTAGGCATAAAAACGAGGACAGGATGAAAGTTCAAACATCAAATTCAAGAAAAAAGAAAAAATATTTTGTATTTTGTGCTTTAATTAAAGTCCAATTCGTCTAAAGCTGATGTAAAAGAAAATTAAAGATGTAGTTTTCACTTTCAGTGTCAGTCTTCCTTCAGCAGCAAAGATGTAGGAAACCTTCCTGATCACCAAATCTGCCCTGAGTCTGACTACTTTTTCATGCGTCCTCTGGGTGATCTGAATTTTACTGCCATTAGAGTCACATTATCATAACTAAATGGTTTATCACACATTTGGAGCAAAATTCAAGCAGGTAGAGAAGCTCCCCTGGAGGAGACTGGGCTGCAAAATTGAGGAGGGAGAGAGAGAGGAGAGAGGAGAGAGGAGAGTGAGCTGCACATCAAAACAAGCTCCACTGTTGCTCTGCAGTCTGGGGCATCAACAGGCGTGTGAGGAGCGAGACAGAGTGTGTATGAGAGCGGGCGCTCATTTATACTGTATGTCTGCGTCTCCATCTGTATGTGTCAGTGTGTGATGTACAAAACTCTGTCTGTGTGTGTGCGTGTGTGTGTCTGTGTGTGTGTGTGATGAATCAACTACCCAGGGAGACAGGCCTCCTCTCCGAGCCTGACAGTGTGATTGGATCCAGCAAGAATCCCAATGAAGCAATGAGTATCTCAGCGGCAGCTCTGCTCCCAGAGGTCTCCGCGCAGCCCTCGAGCCGACCCCAGCCCTCAGCAGTCAGCCCAGATGGAGAGTGAGGCATGATGGGATCTGGGAAGCAGAAAGAGGACGGGTGAACTTCAAACCGATTCGGTTGCTGTGAAGGTGACTGCGGCACAAGCGGCTGTAAAATGTGATCTGATCAGAAGTGAAGGTGGCGGATAATTGTTGAGGGTGTCTGTCGGGGGGCGCGTGCACGCTGCTCAAATCAAATGTGTCAGGTCTGACTTCATAAAAAAGCCAACATGGGATTGAAAAAGTTTGGATGTATTAACTGATAAAGATCAAAACCAGAAAATCCCGGCGATAGGTGAGACATTTTCATTAAAAATGTAAAAACACTGGCTCTTTAAAAAGTGGGACAGAAATCACTGCTGTGTGTAGAGGTGACTTAAACTCAATAGTGCATCCACATGAAGGTTTCCGCCTGCAGCGAACCAGTCATAGCAAATAACAATCTGTTTTTAATTGAGTTGCTTTGTTAAATAAAACATTTAGGCTTGCCATCTGTTTCGTTTGAATGAGACGAAGCTTTGCAGTGACACGAAGAATACGAATCTGTTAATATGTTTGTGCTTTAAGTTCTTTCCAGGCGAATAAACTGAAGACTCAAAATGAGAGATTTGACTTTTAAAGGTGGGAAAGGCCGGATTCTGTTAAAAAAGCTTTTTTTTGTGGTGTATTTACAAAAAAACTTATAATATCAGTCAATAGTTATTAGTTATTGATGACATTTGGTAATATAACAATATCCCTGTGTTTTGTTACGTCTGTGTAGTCGGTCCGCTCTCTCTGACTGTAAATAAAGCCGTTCTCTTCCTCCCCGACCTGATTGGTTGTGAGGCAGACACTGCTCCCTCGTGTTGCGAGGCACGCTCCATGTCCTCAAATAACGTTCACAAGCCCAAACAAAGTTAGCGTGCTACAATATCGGACAGGAGAAACCAACCAGAAAGTTCGGAAAATTGTCTGAATCCTCCTTTGTCCACGACTGCCGAAAAAGGAGGTAGACCGAACAATAAACATGGGGGGGCGCTCGAAATCTTATGGACCCTGTAACCTTTGTGCTGGACAGGTAAACCACTTTAACAAAGTACCGTATTTTTCGCACTATAAGGCACACTTCAAATCCTTTTGGCTTGTCGGAGCGCTGCAGCTACTGTAACCTCATGGAGTTATTGACCGTTTTGTTTGGCTTAATGGGCTTTATAATCCGGTCCTTATAAATGAAAATAGACGTGAATAGACGCGTTCATTGATGGTGCGCCTTGTAGTGCGAAACATACAGTAAGCCAAGTGTCTGTAACAGAAGTGTTTCTTGTCAAACTGGACCTGCTGCATGTTGTAGCGCCACTAAACTGTTGACCTTGGGTCCTGGACTATGTCACTTTATCCTAGTTGTAGAAGTCCTGCAAACATTGTGTTTGCTGGTAGTCTGTTGGCATCTACAGTAGCACCGATGCTTTTTACTTTCACGTTTTTAATTATCTGAACAATTTTTCTGCATTATTTCTGAATTTAATCGGAACGATACGAGCGATCAGGAGCGTCTGTTTGTGGGCGGGGCTAGCTGGAGCAGAGAGGGAAGGGAGAGGAGGATCTGAGGGGAAAACTGGTCAGGAGGGGTAGAGTCTACATTCAAGATTTCTCCCAAAAACTGGCACTTCCTCAGATCCTGACTACTCCACCTTTAACTCGCTCGGCCTCTTTTATTCAATCTTTATTATTAAATCTATCAGACGTTTATCTAAACCCATTCACAGGTTACAGCTGCTGCATTTATCTCACAGCTGTGAAATAATCTCTCTTAGCCAGACAGGATTCATTTCTGCTTGTTCCAGTTGGTCACTGATAAAACAGCATATTTAATTTGTTTTTTAAAGATTTTATCCAGACCTGTTCAGAACCAGTGCAGTATGAAATAAAAATATGCACAGGAGGATAAGACTGAACAAATGCAGACCAGCCTGTCATCCTGAGAGAGTCGGTATCTGGTCCACCTCTTTGCAGGTTTTACACGTATTCACGAGGCGCGGTGAATGGTGAGTGATGAACTGATGACACTAAATCTGTAACTACAACAGTCACGTCATTCAAGCTAGTTCACAGCAGGGTCATTACAGTCACAGTCTGTTTGCTGTGAGGCCATGCAGAGCTGCTCGATGGGATTCAGCACAGGTCCTTACAGTGATGACACTCGAGCGTGGCATAAAGAGAGAGAGAGAGAGGGAGAGAGAGGGAGAGAGGGAGAGCCGCCCGCTCACAGGGCCAGAGGAGGTCATTCTGGCATCATGACTGGACGCCTGGTCTCTCACACCTGTCTGCCATCAAACATGGAAATCTCTGCGCTCACCCTCGACTGCTGCATGACCAAACTCCGAGTGCAGCACTTCATTTTATTTCCAAATGGGTTATAAATACATATTGTTGCACAACAATAGCACAAAAATATCCTATTTTTTTTCTAAGCACAGTAGAAAATGATGTTGATATGGAGCCTCAGCTGCAATAACCCATTCACTTATTGAACGTCAGCGGCTGGATACAGTCTCTGCCTCCGGGCTTAAACGAAAAAGCAGAGCATGGCTGCCTGATTGAATGGGTTTGTAATGCAAGCCAAATAGGTTTGTTCTAATGGGAATCAGCCTCTGTGGCTGCTGCAGAGGCTTACGCCAGCACTATAACAGCAGTAAGCAGCGGTGGCAAACACCCCGACGCTGTTTGATTGGCTGCAGGAGGGAGAGGCAACACTAAGAGGTTGCTGTGTTTACTAATGGCTGTTTTAGTGGGCTAATATTCAATGAGCCTGAACTTCGGCAATCACTGTATTTGTCAGGGAGCCTTTATATGTTATGTATGTGGTGTTAAAAGACGAACTGACTCAGGTGTTTTTACAACTTCATAAAAGTCTGAAGCCTCTGCGCCGTGACAGGACTTGAATCAGACGTCCTGCTGTTATATCCTCAAGCAAAAACATCGACTAGATCCATAAAGCAGCTAAAACTTTTAAAGCTGACCCAAAAAAATCTGAATTCCCTGTGGGAACGGACACAAGAAAGGTATATTATCTTTATTAATTTTTAGAGTGAAGCAGAGAGGCAGCCTTAAATGTTAAGATATGACTCTTCAGAGTTTTAGAAGCTGATTTAGGTCTTTACTGAGCACTGAGGGTTCGTAGTTTGTCAGAGAATTTGAAGGTCTAAACTACAAAGCGTATAATTCTAGATAGAAACTTTCGCACCCTTTGCTCTGCCCTCTCAGTACTAAAGCGATGGTGGCCTTCAAGGACAAAAAGCACCTGTGACAATAAGAACAAACCCCCAGTACGTTGTTGAGTCAAACTACATTGATAGCTTGATTGGGCAATTAGGGCGACTGGATACAAACATGGACCAATCATAGAGGGTATTATGATTAGGGCTGGGCGGTATGGCCTTAAATCAATATCACGATATATTGAGCAGTTCACCTCGATAACGATAAACGGACGGTAACTACTCCACAAGCTGCTCACCCACTCCCACATTAACTTTGTCTACTTCAGCCGCCGCTCCAACTTTTGGGGGTGGAGTCACTTCTCTGATGTAGGACAGCGTCTTAAAGGGACATGAGACCATAGCCTACCTACACACATCCAAAACCAACTTTTATTCATTTATTTATTTATTTTTTTGACACCAAATACACCGACATGAGCAATATGACGTCGGTTATTGTCGTAAATTTCGGTATTGGCAAATTTTGGGTTTATCGCCCAGCCCTACTTAGGATACTAATGAAATCTGACAAATTTAAACACATGATCCAGACTGGAATCAACGGTGTTTACAAAATAAAGAAAGACAAAAAGAGCGAAAAACAGTGAATCTTTGAACTATAATTTACGATAATAACTCCTGTTGATTCCCTGAAACTGATTTATTGTTCGGTTCTACAGACGTGATATTTTGGCTCCAGTCCTCACGGTGTTAAAGGCAGCGATCTGAAGTGTTGTAACCTGATGTTTTAAGATTGGTGCAAAACATATAAAAGCCAGTCATAACCCGAAAACCCTCAACACAAATAAAACTGCATGATTTGTTAGATTCACATTCATATATTCTACAAAACGACAGTTATATGAGTCTGTTAAATATGGACTGAAGTGATGCTCAAACACACCGGAGACTATTTGGTATTAAACCAGCTCTGATGTGACACAACTTTGGCATCATTTGAGCTGAGAGACACTGACGGAGTGATGAAACTGAAACTGAAACACTCTCATTTACAATCCTCATATTTGAGAAGAGTTGAAATATCGTGTTTTGGCACGTTCGTATAGGTTGATCGTCAGCTCTGAACAGACTCCAGTGAGCACACACTGAACCCTCTGTGAAGCCAGGTCAACAAAGCCGTGTTGTCTTTGTGTTAGCTGGCTTGACAAAACTCAAACAGCCTCGATCAGGGACACTGAATATTAAGAAGGAGGTTAAAAACTTCACAGGTTAGCTGAGGTTTAATCCATCAAGCCTGCAAGAAAGGGCTCTTAGTGTTTCATGTCTTATTCTCACAAAGTAGGCCAATCTTTTGCTGCCAATTACAGACAGAAGATTCATTTCATGGGCTTAGATGGTAAAAATAATTATAAAATATGAATATAACAGCTAAGGGGACTATTTCTTTAAAATATGGACAGAGAGAACCGATGAGAAATAAGAGTTTATCTGCAGTGAAAACAAACAGACTGATTATGTCTAATCTGAGTTCTGTTTGCTGTAATTAGCAGACTTGGCAGGAAATCAGGATAAATCATAAAAGCGTAAAAAGCATAAAAGCCGTGATTCTTCAAGATAATCTGAGAGGAGGACTTTATGGAAGTACCAGAGGGGAAAAAAGCTGCGATGATATGCAGATGATTGCAGGAGAAGTTGTAACTGAAAGGTTTTTTTTGAGGCATTACTGCTTTTATGTTAATATTATGTTAAAAAGGTTTGCATCTATGAAGTATTTCCTACAGCCCCTCCAATAATCTTGTGTCATGTACGCTTTTCGCAGTCTTTCCACATTCAAACAGACAGTCAGTCAGATGAAGCCTCCTGCGAGTCCGTCTGAATCCATCTGAATTCTGCACGCACATTTTAAATAAGTTTGACTGTCAAGCTGCGTTTTTTTCTTCCAGACAGATGTGTGCTGGATTCCTCATGCATGTGCAAATGCAGATTACAAACTTGTTTCCAGGCTCTGAATAAAAAAACCCACATAAACACAAACTGAGAAAAGGCTGTGAATTTATTCATTCACATCTCTCAGCTCGACAAAGAGGAGTACAGCTGGACTGGTGATGGAGAGGAGAGCGAGTCTGTCTTTGTTTTTAAGCGTTAAAAACGACTAGAGTGAAATTATCCGTCTTGACATGGTGGTAAAGTTGAGCGTAAATTTGCTTTCGCCAGCCAGCTCAAAGACTTTAAGAATAACTTTCACCACTATTCAACAAACTGCCACTTCAAGGTTGCTCGTACTTAACGATCAATTTTCCCAGAGATAAAATAATTGAGAAAACGCTCCTCGGAGTAAATAAACTATCAAACTACTGAGCATGTTTAAGGAGAAGAAGCGCATTAGTGCGGAGTCAATGTTTGCAGAAAAATGCACTCCGAGAAGAGTTCAATATTTTCTCTGGACTTTGGCTTTTCCAAATGTGCTCAGAACTTAAGAGGGGAAACAGGGATTGAGCAAAGGCTTAGCACAGCTTCACAGCTCATTTTTCCTCTAAGCTTGGCTGAGCTTTGCTTTCCTCTGGATGCTGCTTCATAAAACACAGACCGGACTTGTAATTGACTGGACTATGAGGAACTGTTTTTTTTTTTCTTTGTTATTAAGTCTTAGAGAAACTTAACTTTTCCAAACATAGGACTTAACAAGAGTTTTACCTTTGAAAATGATGTTAAAGAGATAATGTGGCTGTTTGTTCAGAGGATGAGACGCTACATTCGTACTGAAGTGTTCAAAAATGCTCCAGCTATCGTGTGCTTTGATTTATAAGACTTATCAGCTGTCAATTACCTTTTTTTCTTCTCTGAAAGTTACAAGCTGCTAAAAAAAAAAAAAAAAACAGACACCTGCGAACGCTTTAAAGAAGGATTTGTGTTGTTCGGCTGGCAGAGCTCCAAAAAAAGCCCAGAAGCTTGGATTTTGCTAAGCTTCATGAATGATATTTCTCCGGGGAAGTTCAGCCTTATACGCTGATAGTTATTTTTCTGTGTGTGCTCGGCGTCAGGCCAAATACTAGATATATAATTAAGGTGAGTGTGCCTGAAATGATGAGTAAGTAAGTGGTGAAATTAGTATGATCGTTTCAGGAGGAGAATCTCATCTCTGGTACTACAGCAGGAGCGTCACACAGATTGTTAGTCGGCTGAGACAAAATGTAATACTCTGTACTGTCAGAGTGCTCGGCTTGTTTGTGTTTAACCGAAAGAAGAAAAAAAATAGAGTTATGATATCGAGCACCAGCCTTATCAGCGAGAACTGCGTTAGCCAACTCCTGTCACAAAACTACAGCAGTGCAGATAATCACCATTTACCACAAACTGCTTCGGCATCACTGTATGAATTTCGCATCAGACGCTGCAGCCTCACTGCCAGCAAACAAGGTCTAAAAAACTTCTGAGTATGTCTGCAGAATTTTAAATAACAAAAATCACATAATCTGACGTGACGTCTAAGGGTCAAATGTTAGGATCAAACTCCCTTACTCACCCCTCCTCTGAAGCTCCTGTGATGATGATCCATTTGTGAAGTTTCTACCCTCGAAAACGACTCTCTTCCTTTTCTTCTTCCAACCACTGCTACACTCAGGGTGGGCACTCAGCAGTGGCTGACAAGGGCAAATGATCTGCAGCGGCCCTAATGGTCTTCATCAGATGAAATGCACTGCAAATGCAGAAGTGACACGACTTGAAGAAGTTCAAAACAAATGCAACAGTGGAAATGCGCTGCAAAAAGCTCAAATTTATCATGTACCCTAAGCAGGCTGCAAATCCGGGTTAAATTTAGGAATTTAGGAAAAGCTTTGGAATGATTTTTCATCTTATTGGACTTTCTAGGAAATGTTTAAATAAAAATACCTTCTCTTAAAGACCCACTCCGATGAAAATCATGTTTTTCTTGTTGTCTACATGTTCATATGGCGTTTTTCTGATGCTACAGGACATATGAGAAAAGTTAAGTGCAAAATTGTATTTCTGAGTATTTCTGCATTCAAATCGTTGTGAATCTCTGGCAGACCCAAACTGCAGGTTCAGAAACAGTGAGATTTACTATGTCACAAATCCAAGCTCCGCCCCCAGGCCCCGCTATGCAGGTCAGACTCAGAGAAATAGAGAGGACAATCGTAGAACAAGCGTGTGCGTTAGCAGATTGCAGTGCTCGTAAGAAAGCTGTTACCTGTTACCTGCAACTTCTACTACACTGGCATTGTTAGGCTACAAGCTAGCGCAGGGGTGGACACCCATGTGCCATGGAGAGCCGAGAGGCTGCATGTTTTCTTTCCAACCCAAAACTCCACCAGGTGATTTCACTGATTACCTTACCTCCAAGCAGAGAGCAGGGACTAATCAGTGAAATCACCTGATGGAATTTTGGGTTGAAAAGAAAACCTGCAGCCTCTCGGCTCTCCATGGCACATGGTTGTCCACCCCTGAGCTAATGTGAAGAGAAGTGTGCAGAGCAGCGCTGTCTCCACCCACGACTCAGAGGCGAATTGCTAAAGAGCTACTGGAGCTCTGCAGAAGAAAAGCTCTAAAAAATGACACAGGTAATGTAATTTTGACTAAAAGCTTCATAGTCACAATGTAAAGGTAAAAATACCTTTTACTTAACAAGCATTATCTGTGGATGAATAACTCAGTTCTTGATATAGTGAGCATTGAGGACAAATTATCAGTTTTAAACCAAAAACCACATCACCTTACCTTTCCTCAGCTTTGGATATTCCCAAATCACGACTCTCCTGGAAGACCGTGTTCAACTTTAAGAAGTGTTTACCCAGCAGGCGCTGTGTTTACACCTCTGAAGCTGAGACATAAATTCAAAGAGGATGCTACTCTCTCTGTTGAGGCTCTGGATGGTCGTCCCTGATGTAAGATTTTAGCTAAAAGCCAGAGATATACCAGGGAGAGTATCTGGAGTCCCTCTGCTGCTGTAAAACCCACTCTTCACTCTGAAATGAAGGGGACATCAAGTATGCTCATAAAAGCAGACGTTTAGATGCACAAGGATTTATTCATAGTGCATATACTTCCTTTGCATTTCATAAAAAATAGACTTCCATTTGTGGTTATTTCTTTTTACAAATATATACTGCATGAAACATAACCAGTCATTAAAAAAATTGGTCAATACATTTAAAAGAGGTTGTAAAACATGACGAAATTGGATATTGTTCACAAGGCTCCAGTGTTAGTTTAACGTGGCGTTCTTTAAATCATTTCAGCACAAACACATTGGCATGTTAGAAACACAGACTGGTAAACAATGTTAAAAAGAGCAGATGTAACAAATAAGAAGGAAATGCTGGAACAATGGTTCATAACAGTCAGACTACTTTGGTTTGTAACAGCGTCCAAATCTCATAAATACATTTAATTCAGCTCTGTATAAATAACAAACACTTCACAGTTTCCTCCTTCACTTCTTCTCGCTGAGATTCCTCAACGTTTTCTGTCAAATCTCGCAGTAACTCCTAGGGTGAGGTGGTGGAGGAGGATTCGTGTCGAGTGCAAAAGGCCTCCGAGTAGTCGAGTTTGTTCTGAATGAGCACCGGGTCGGCGGAATCAACCAATAGCACCGTGTGTTTGTGTCTATGGAGACAAGGTCCGTTTGAAGGTTGAGCTAATCTCAGAGAGGTTTGGCCCCGGTGATGGCGGACTCATCCAGGTCTGAAGGGGTAAGGCGTTTTTGAGGAGCTGTGGCAGAGGGAGGAAGGAAAACAAAGAAGTGATTATGACGTCCTAAAAGAGAGCAGTGTGTGTAAATCTAGCTGGATCTATAAATAAGTAGATTCCCCTGAATTTGGCCCATTTCAGCGGCAGTTGTAGGCCTGCACGTAGGTCACATTGCAGAGCCTGCGATGTGGGAGGCAAATTAACTCATCTAATTTCAAGGGTAGCTGACTGAGATACACAGATGCATGTGCTGTGCAGCGATCAACCAATCACATTCGTTCTTTACTCAGCTGCAAATCAGACTACCCTGCCAGCTGTCAATCAAAATCATAGAGGAAGAAGCCACACCCCTGCACATGGGGCGAGTCGCTGGCGCTACCGGTGTTGTGCCGAGAAACGCATACCTGCCCAGAATTACTGTCTGAACATTACTCATCACTGTTTAGCCCCACAAATAACAGTTGTATGGGTTTTAAATCGTACTTGGACCACTCTACTACAAGCATGTGCGTTTCCGCCATGGCATGCAATTCTGGGCGGACATGCATTTTTCAGCACGACGACGATTGCAAAACGAGCAACGAGCAAGAGAAAACCTCAGAAAATGAAGACTTGTGTCAGTTTTCTGGAATTATTTCGGTTACAAGAAGGATGATATCGACCGAGCACCTGTTCTGTGTCGGCTGTGCCTTTCATCTGTTACCACAAGGAGAGATAACAAGTCCCAGAACAATGAAAGCTAAAAATATCTCTAAGACAGAGAGAAGCCATTCTACTAACATTCACAAAAAGAGGTAAGATCAGTGCAGGTTAACTGTCCACAAGATTTCAGCATAAAGTGCTTTTCAGGTCATCTGGTGAAAATTCCTGTATTTTTGAATATCGCAATATTTATCGCAGGGTTGAAAAAAATTGCAATGTTAGTTTTTTCAAATATTGTGCAGCCTTACAGGTCTGTGTGTCTCACCCTTACCTCAGAACCACCGCCCACTTTGTTCCACTCGTCACATTCACGGTCCTCACCCCTCTTATCACTCCAGCAAACTGATGACACAAAGTACCTGACATGACTGTGATCTTCTGCCTCTGGACTGTGATTCCTGGTGTTAATGGAAAGTACCGCACATCAATCTAATACCCCTCTATTCTCTCCCGGCTTAATGATGAGCGAAACCTGTCGCTGCCAAAGCTGTATTGTGTATTAACACTGGTGTTAAATAGCCATTGATATCTTTTGGCCATAATCATTCTTGGAGGTACAACAGACACAGAGCCACAGAAAGTATTTTCCTCTCACGCTGTGCCAACTATCAGTAAGCTGCTTAGGAAAGTGCTACAAGTGATTCTGGCTGTGGGCCACTGGCAGTGATACAGACAGACGTACTTCCAGGGCACTGATGGAAACTTTCAGCTCTGGGATTCATGTTGAAATACAGAATGAAAATAAAATCTCCTGTGCTGCAAGACTGCCACGGCGTAAACAATTGTTGATGTATATCGCGGCTTTATTTTAGAGCAGTGCTGAAATAAACAAAAGATGATGCTGCGAGAATATCAAGGCACAGACATTCATAATCATTAATTTATCCCAGCCGCCTCTTAGAGTTGTGATTCTGTATGATATAAAAAACACAACTTCACAGAGTTTCGAATGCAGAGACGCAGAAGAACATAGCCCTCTGATAGATAAGCTGTCAGCAGCTTCAGCGCATGAATACTCACACAGTGTGTCAGATCTCAGCGAGCTGCTCAGGAATGTGCTGGAGTCTTTGATGGAGGAAGAAAGAGCAGCCAGTCTCAGGCTCCTGGTGGTGGCGTCCAGCTTCTCGTCCTGGAAGACAGAGGGGGGGACGGTAACTGACGGGGCGGAGGGCCTCCAGCCATGCTAGCATCAAAGTGCAGAGTAATGCATGTAGAGAGAGGGGTTTTAGGGACAGCAGGTAGAGCCCGGGGTCGGTTCCAGCTTCATCCGTATCAAAACAAGTATGACCATTACAGGATAATTTGTGTTGATAACAGGCTCGTAGCTCCAGTGAGACGTCTCAACTGCTGAGCTTGTTTCTTTTTAATTAGGGGCAGAAAAATACAAGCGCCAAATTCTTGTGATTCTGTTGCGAGGGTTGCCAAATCACAGCGGTTTCTCGCAGATTACAAATTTTATGAACTGTTTTTATACAGATCATTAACTTTGTAGACGATTTGTAATCACGGGGCGGACACTGACCCGTGTAACGTAAGTCTTGATGGAGCTTTAGAGGCTAGTTTTCATCGCAGAGAGACCCTGCTGGATTCAGTGTTTGTTTTTTCTTTGCTGACTCTGACCGAGATGGAAGTCTTGTAAAGACGTTGCATCCAGCCTCTCCCTAAAACAAACCCCGAGTGGGCAGCGGCTATTAAACTAATGCAATCACCACTTATCAGTCAACATGGGAGTCATTTGGCAAACCAACAGGGTAATCTGGCAGATTAAAACCATTTAAAAAGTGACTGTATTGCTGTTTAGGGGTTGTTGCAAACTGCAGATGGCAATCAGCTGTCAACAATGATGTCTGGATGGCTCCCTTGGCTGCTTCAAAGCACAGAAGGAGACTGTAGCAATTAACAGCGAGTGGTAAAATTCAGGTTTTGTTTGAGTGTCGCTGCTTGCACTTCATCCACTCTGTCCGTCCGTGATGCATTACCATTATGTGAAATTATTCATTTATTCATACTACTTGCAAATTAGGAGCTTTGCACACATTGGCAGCAGTGTGGGCGAGCCAGACTCATAAATGGCTCTCAAAGTCAGGCTATCCTGATCCAAACAGTAGCTGTTTGAACAAAGCAGTGCAATTAGTGACTGAAATAGCAAAAGTGTGGGCTGCTGTTTGGGAGTGCAGGCTCTTGTGTGGCATTATAAAGCTCATTTTTATGGAACTGGATCCCTCTGTCTTTGTGTGTGTCCTACCCTGTACTCCTGGATTCTGCGTTTGGACTCGTCCAACTGGTGCTGAAGGTCCAAGACGATCTCTTTGTATTTGGTGTGGCGCTGTTCGACAACTTCTCTCTCCCGCTGTGACTCCTGACGGCACGACGGAAAAGACGTTCGATCAGTACTTATCAGACCAAACAATCAACCCTTAGACCTTATCCTTGAGTTAGGGCTGGGCGATATGGCCTCAAATCAATATCACAATATATTGATCAGTTCACCTCGATAACGATAAAAGGACGATAACTACTCCACAAGCTGCTCACCCCCTCCCACATTAACTTTGTCTACTTCAGCTGCTACAACAATTGAACCGTCCTCCATCTCCTCACCTGTCTTTCCCTCTTTGTTACGGACTGGAAGGGGTGGAGTCAAGTCTCTTAGGTAGGACAGCGTCTTAAAGGGACATGAGACCATAGCCTACCTACACACATCCAAAACCAACTTTTATTCATTTATTTTTTGACACCCAATATACCGATTTGTTCAAAATAATGTTGGTTATTGTCATAAATTTTGGTATGGGTAAATTTTAAGTTTATCGCCTAGCCTTATCTCGAAGGTCCTTCATACTCTACAAAGACAGTACAGAGCAAATTATGTTGCTCTGTACTTGTGATGTGCAATGACAATTAACCTCGATCTGTAATCTGACAGAGCCATGGAAAAAGAAGGAAAAATGGCGTTGGTCGTAAATTTCAGGATCGGTAAATTTCCGGTTTCTCGCCCAGCCCTACCTTGAGTATAACCGAAGGGCAGCTTCTGAAGTAATGATGATGCATTACTGTTGCACATTCACTTTCCAAAACCCACCTCCAAGTCTTTGAAGTTCTTCATCAGACAGGGTTTCTCTGGGATGGACTCCAGGTGGTCTAAGGCCACTCTTGTGTTCTGGAAACCACAAACAAACACATGAATAGTTCTGTTAACACCAGTTTGGGTTTCTTTGACAATCATTATAACGTCTATTTAAAGCCCTTTTAAATTTCTAACAAGCTGTCAAAGATTAAACTGGGGCGTCATTACCGTACTTGAGTTCTGCTACAGTTATAAAACAGATAAAGGTTCTTCTCTGACTGTAAAGATTGACAGGAACCTGCAGGAACTTCAGAGTAAATATAGAATACATATCCACAAGTGAATACAGAGGCTGAGTTACAATCCTTAATTGTCTCACCCTTTCCCTTACGTGTCTCTTCTTTGCTTTTGAACACTTTACACTTCAGATGAGTAAAACATAAAAGCAAGAGAAGAAAGGAAAGTGAGAAACTTCCACTCAATGAAATGCATATTTAGTGACACGAGATATCTTTCCCAGGTAAGGGTCACTCAGAGTCACTATTACTGATGATGGTTCACAGCTGGATCATCTGTCTGTGGGTTTTAACTGCTCTGAGTTGGCTGTTGGTGGATACAGACGCTTTTGTGTTTGCAGAGATAATGGGGACGCAGAACTCAAAAAGTAAAAAGTAAGTTTTAAACTTTCCAATCTGCAATCAGAATGACACCAGTTTGGGAAATGATTTTGGGCCCACGTAGTGGTTTCCACCGCAGAGTTATGTCTGCTTTACTGGTTTAGGTTTTCATTCCTTCTCTGCAGAGATTTTTTAAACATTTTCGGGATCTTTGGATGATATTAAAATGCGGAACTTCCAAAATAAGTTTTAATTTGAGTCTAAAACTGTTGAACTGTTTTCTCACTCAGGTATCTATCTTTCTATTAAGAGACTCTGCTACAACTTTTCATTTCCTACATTAAATATGCTGTCTTTGCAATTTTTTCTATAAAATGCAACGCTTTGCGTATCTCAAAACTTGTAATCTTGTGAACTAGACCTCAACGTCACACAGCGAATTGCTTTCCTGACGTATAATTACAAATTTCTTGTTTCTTCAGAGGAAAATACGCAGGTCTGCTTTCTGTCTTTCAGCACTGAAGCCCCACTCTAAGTATCAGTTGATAGATTGCAGACTAATTGGAATACACCGAAGATATAGATTAGCTGTAGAGGAGATTATTGTGCTGCGGGGATGACGAAAATGTTCTACCAGCATGTTGACATTTCATTGAGCTGTTTTTGAAGGTGCGCTTATTACAGCTGCCATCCTCATAATCAGGAGAGAGATGCACCACAGACGAAAGAGGGAGGGGTATCTGATGCCCGGAAGACGAAATCGCTTTTTCACGTTACAGCATGTTTGCATTCCTGGAAGATGAAATCCACAGTTTGAATCAGATCTATGTTATCTATCTCTACTTTATCAGCCTCTAAAATATTGATGAAAATACAAATCCTCTTCTATCGTTTGTGTTTGCTATCTGGTCCAAACGTGCCTCTGTCTCTAAAAGGTGTGGTGGTCTAATAATCACTACCTGTTCATACAGCTTTAATGCGGACGGGGAAAGCTATGTTTAAGCGTACGCAGAATCGGACGTGATGTTAGAAAGCAAACGATGACTTTTGTTGCAACCCTGTCAGTCTAATCTTTGAATGAGTAACCACTCCAGCGGCACTCCAGCCTATTCATCCCACCACTGAACATTTCAATAGATTTCCCATTTCCATTCGGATGAAGTATTTACACATCAAAAGAACTGGTTGTTACGAGGCGGCGCCCTGATTGCCGTTGTCGAATGGCGCGCTGATACACAAGCAGTGCTAGCAGTTTGATCAGCGCCGCCGGAGCTGAAAGGAGGAAGGGGTCGATGTTCGCTGCAGCTGCGGCGTTGACGGTGAGCAGAAATTATTTGATAGATGGACAGCGTGGAACAGACGGCTTCATTTATTTAACGCTTTCCAAGAGAGTAAAAGGGGCTTGGGTCAATATAACCTTTCAGTAGCGCTCAGTAATTTCAGGCTGACGTCTCAAAGCTGAATGTTAACTGTTTTGATGGTGAGGTCAATACTGTATTGTCAGTACAGCTTGGTTATTAACCCCATCAGCAAGACTTATGATGATGAACAGAGCTCTGAGCCTTGACTAGAGCAATCATTTCTAACCCTTGTGTGAGCCCCTTTGCGTTGCTAAACAAACATAGCCTGAGGTGAACCTGCCTACACAACTGCAACAAATCACGCTGGGAGTCAACATGGTGTCTAATTATTTACAATCCCGGTGCACTTGATAATACCAGGCTTTCATAACCTGAATACATGCACACCTTTTACCTTCTTTAATAAGATAAAATCAAACCTTACCATCTCCAGATCCAAAACACGATCCTGAGAAGACAAACAAACACAGACTTAATATGCATATCATCGTCTATTAGGAGACCAAAAACCAAACAGGTTTTAATCAAAAACGAACCAGACGGTGAGTTGAGGTAACCGCTTTCAGATAAGCAGAGAAAAACCCAAGGTATGTGGGAGAGCGATGACAGAAGAGGGAATAGAGCTTTTCGACAAATATGTAACAAGGGAGGGAAATGCAGGGGGCTAGGGAGCGTCTATAGCGCACTACAGGCTTCTTTTCAAACACACTGACACTTACACACCCACACACAAACACACAAAGACAAACCGCTTTCACCGCTCATCCAGCTCCTGACTGATGTTCCCTCTCTAACGATGCATAAGTGATGCTATGCCTCTTATCTGCCACTCAAACAAACACCTGCTCTCCCCTCCAAAAACAGCTGCCTCCCCCTCTCTGCCTGAAATGCTTTGCTGGTTTATAACATGGGTACTTTCTTTCCCTCAGCCCATCCCCCTACTCTTTTTTTTCTCACCCCCTATTTTGCTTGTAAACATCCCTCACTCTGTCTTTCCTTTCTAAACGTCTCTCCCCTCATTCTTCATAATTAAAAGCTCGGCTGGGTCTGAGAGGGCTGATTAATTGCACACCAGCTCTGGCAGGTGCCATCATGCAACCACAGATGGAACCCTGGTAACCAACACAAACGTACGCACACATATGTTCACAGAGGTAGAAAAAACCCACGCTGGGAAAGAACAAATGATAAGCTGACATTTAAGCGCGCGTGTGTGTGTATGCGAGAAAGAGAGCGGGAGAGACGGCGTGTGTTTTGCTTTTTAATGGGGAGTAAAGGGCCGCTGCGGCGCTAGGGGGCCAGTCCAATCCAGACAAGGTGAGCTGGTGGCCTGCCAAGTGTAAAAGCTGCGGTACTGAAAGACAGAAACAAGGCCTCTGGTGGCTTTTAAACTCCAAGGCCTCATGTCTGCAGTAATTAGCTACTTGTCCAAGCAAAGCTGCGAGGAGTCTGTCAGGCCGGCAGCTGTGTACCGCTGTTTGTAACACTGCATAACAGAACTCCGATGACTTAAGGCCAGCTCTTACTCAAAAAACAAACCAACAGATAAGCAACAAGAACAAAGAAATTGGAGGCTGTGTGTGCAGATAAAAATAGTACCAGCTGTCTCTGTGTGGCAGCCCTTCTTGAAATAAGGACATGTAGAAAAACTACAACTCATGGTGCAGATTTACCAACCTGGAGGCTCCTCATTTCTTCCTCTTTTCTACGACTCCTCTCCAAAAGCTCTGAAAGAGAAACACTTCATCAGTTTTTCACATCTGTACCATCAGAGCACGGCTGATACAGCATTTTTCAGAGAGGTTGATAAAGATTTAAGAGGGGAAAAAAGTTGATACTATATTGAATTTTGAGGCGGCATGAAAATTGACTTTTGTGGATTGTTCTCTAGTGTAACATATAACCTTGCAACATTATTAGACATGATCAGCTGATTGTATCGTGGACCTTGTCTGCTCAGCTGGGATGGAATGTGGAGCAGACCGTGCAGAGAGTTCATGATATCAAACTCTGCTAGATCAAATATGTGATGCCATTATTTCTGAGTCCAGGAAGGAATTTTTTTTGCAGGATAGTAAGGGAAGGTTCCGCCCTCCTTCACCTCTGATTGGCTAAAAGTGCTGGGCTCTGATTGGTTATTCCTAATGGCTGAGAAACGTCATCGTCTGTCGGGTTAGGGTTAGGATAAGGGTAAGGGTTAGGGTTAGGATGGGGGTTAGGGTTAGATTCAGAAGTGTGATAATGTTCTGTAATGTTCTGTTCGATGTACAGAGCCGACAGCCCGCGTTTGGCTTGAGCCTCTGATGACGTTTCCAGCTTTTCTAGCCAATCAGAGGCAAAGGAGGCGGGACTTTCCCCTACCATTCTACAACAAAAAAAAAATATATATATATATATATATTGCGTCCAGGAATTGTTTTTGTATCACCAACACGTTTTGAAAAGCAAACCTAAGGCTGTATGGTGATGCAGCTGACAGGACTCTCAGGGCAAGATAATTCTTGGTTTGAGTCCCAGACTGAAAAGGAGCCTTTCTGTGTGAAGTTTGCATTTTTCCCCTGTGGATGCCTGAGTTCTCTCCAAGAGACCACAGACTTGCTTGTTAGCTTAATTGGTGACTCTAAAATGCCTAAAGGTAAGACTGTGAGTATGAGGGCTTGTTTGTCTCTATAGGCTAGTGCTGTGATGGACTGGTAACATGCCCTCATCTCGCCTCATGACAGTTGGAATGACCTCTAGCATCCTCCCATCCCCATCACCAAAAACATTATGAAGTATTAATCGCGTTTTCAGACCATGTTGAAGTAGTGCAACATTTTTTATTTTAATAACAAATCTAAATTTCTGTTTGATTATTAATCAAGACACAGGTAAGAATTGCTTAACATTCTTAAATGGTCTTGGAAAGTGTTTAACAACAGCATTTTTGGACAAATATTGACATTTATTTGTATAAAACGAAGAACTAAACAGATGTTGTTACAAACTAACCAAGAAGCATACCAGGAAAAATCAATGACTAGGTCATATAAGGTCATGTGATGAATGATGTCCATATGTTGGTCTCATTCAAACAGTCTGTTTGTCATAGTCTATGTTTACCTGAATATTTGAAGGGAGAAAACACTCTTCTTATGTTTATCACACAAGCAGTACAATCACTGATTGTTTGCCTAATGAAGTGTTAATTTAAAGTAATTCATTGATTAAGTGCTGGGGTTTTATTAGGAGAAAGCCTCTGTTTTTACACAAGTTTACTCTGCTCGGTTTGCTGCGGAGAAAGTAAACTTTCTGCAAACTTTTAATCAAACGGTGAGAACGCTAAACAAAAGATGCTAAAAAACATTTCATTTTAATTTATCACTGTGATGCACTGAAGAATCGTACTGAATTATTCCTCCTATAAGTAACATTTACTGTTCAAAGTTTCATGACTTTGGATTAGTATTTTGTTACAAATAACTGCCTCACCATTTCAGACAGCTTTGTAGATGACTTCACTTTAAGATAAAACTTAAAAAGCTCCTAATCCACAAATCATAGCATACAAAACTTCTCTGAAGAAAACAGGATTATATTTACCTGCTAATGACTTTATCTTCTCCACTATATCAAGTCTGTGCACATTAAGACGAACATCCAACTACATCAACCGCCAAAGTTGATGCCTTGAGTTCTTACATCATTTCAGGCTCTTTCCAGTGTCTCGTACTGGTGGTTTAAGCCATCACTTTATAAATCACTTTGTAGCAAGCAGAGCCGGGGTGTTTGTTCCCTGTCTCCCCCCCCACCGACTCACATTCAGTCACATCTCACCGAGCGGAGTTACTGACATTCAAACATGCAGCGCTGCCTTTCTTTTAAGAGAGAGGGGCCAACAGAGAACATCGTCCAGGTGATGAAATCTCTGAAAATACAACCTCTCACAAGACTGCAGAGCGTTTCCATTGACAGCTGATGCACAGACGTGTACAGACAAGTATGGAAAAAAAAAAGCTTGATAACGGACACATTTTGCAGTCTGATAAAATGAAGAACAAGGATCAGTTTTGTTTTTTGTAGGTCAACTCTAACATTATTTATCATCAATAGTTAAAGGGATATTCTGGTGTAAATTTAAGTCATGGTCAAACACACCGTAACACCAAGTTAGACACCCCCTTTAGAGATGAATGTTGCTGAGTGCTTGCTTCTCTAGTTATATCAACTTTAGTAACGACCGCACGATAGCAATACACAGCAGTCTACATCTCCACACACAAACCTCAACCAAAACGCCACTCTATAGCCACAAATAATGCTCAGAACAGCACCTAACTTTATCAGCAGTACATATAGGGTCCCAGCTGCGGTAGTCCGTCTGCCTTAGCATCTTGGTCTGATTGCATTTCCATGAAGTAATGATCATAAATGTTGCGAAACTCCGCTGCATTCGGTTATTGACTCGTCAGGGCTGCCCCCACAAACAAGCGGCTGCTGGAAGTGAGTAGGTGAGTTGTGTTTAGTCTCTTTGCTAAAGAAATTAGGCAAAGCTAAAAAGATGTTTGGTGTCTAGTACTATGGCTAGGACCCTATATGTACTGTTGATGAAGTTAGGGGCTGTTCTGAGCATTATTTGTGGCTTTAGTGTAGACGTAGACCACGGTGTATTGCTATCCTGCGGTCGTTACTAAAGTTGGTATAACCAGAGAAGCAACAGTCGGCAACATTCATCTCTCGAGGGGGTTTCTAACTCGGTGTTATGGTGTGTTTGACCCTAACCTAAATTTATATCCCTTCAAGCTTATTGCTATCAAAGCTGATTATAAATCGGCATATTCACATCTATGTATTTTATCATGTCATTAAGCAAAAGAACTCACACTGCACACAGGTTATATTCAAAACTCAGCAGCAGATTAAATCTTCATTTGCATGCCTCCAATTCATCTCACCAGATCTTGTGGCTGTTGTGACACTAAGATTACTCTCAGGTGTAATTACAGAACAGACTGTATCAGTGCTTCTGCCTGCGGTGAAGGGTGACAGACAACTTCTGTCAAACTGCTGATAGGGACCGACGACAGAGCAAAGTGTGTGTCTCTACAGGGGTCTGAAAATAAGCCTAGAACCTAAGATTGCTTATCTGAAGGGCCTAATGGTACCGCAATTGGCCAAATCAGCTCACAGACACTGAAAAGCCCAGACAGAGCCACAGTTTAAGAGAGACGCGGTTAGAAGTTAAAACGGCAAACAACAACAGAAGTGAGCAGGCGTGCATGAATAATGTCAGCACATCCCTTTAAAAAAAACCCTGTTACCCAGAGACTGAAATGTGAAGGTAGTCACACTGCAGGATGTAATTCAGTCTTCATTTTCTACAAAATACACACTGTCATGCAGCCCCTGTTCACCACAGTTCACACTAGGGCTGGGCGATAAACCGAAAATTTACAGATACCGATATTTACGACAATAACAGACGTCATTTTGCCCATATCGCCACATTTAAAAAAATGTCAAGAAGTAAATAAAAAGTTGGTTTTGGATGTGTGTAGGTAGGCTATGGTCTCATGTCCCTTTAAGACCCTGTCCTATGTCAGAGTTGTGACTCCACCTCATCCAGTCCAGAACAAAGAGGGAAAGACAGGTGAGGAGATGGAAGACGGTTCAAAAGTTGTAGCGGTTGGAGCGGCGGCTGAAGTTGATGGCGTTAATGTGGGAGGGGGTGGTCTGCTTGTGGAGTAGTTACTGTCCATTTATCGTTATTGAGGTGAACTGGTCAATATATCGTGATACTGATTTGAGGCCATATCGCCCAGCCTTAGTTCACATACAGTAGGGCTCGATTATGGCAAAACTCCAAATCACGATTAAATTCATACAAAAGATCATCAAACTTTTTGCTTTTTTGTTGACTATTTAAAACTTTCTTTGCACTGATTTTTTATATGCAAATTTATCAAGACAATATGAAGTGCTTGTGCAAAGTGTTAGCCATGTGCTTTCTCTCAACAAACAAAAATTTGTGGTTAAAGAAATCTAAGGTTAAAAAACAACAACAATGTGACTTCACACAGAAATGATTCCCTTAGTGTAAAATCCTGCAACTCCTGATCCACGCGTTATTTTTCTCTCCCTCAACAGTCTCGCTAACTTTTAGAACTTCTTTTTTTTATCTCTCTGTTATTGGAACACAAATTAGGCCCATTTCCCCTGTATTGTTCACACAATGAGGAGAGAAACAAGCTGTTCTTTCCCCGGCAGTCACAGCTCATTAAGAGACACTTGGTGAAAAGGAGGGACGGCACAAACAAGTTCATTACTTAAAGAAGTCTCAAAGTTCACCCACATTAAGATGCTTCTTCAAATATTTGCAATGATACTGAGACAGTGAATGGCTTGAAAGACAACAGCTCAGACACTCAGGCACAGCCTGCCATTTTACTATACACTCATAACAGCAAAACACAAAAACTACTCAAACCCTTCATTTAAAGGAGGTTTTTTTTACTAGTTTTGACTTTAAGACTGAAAGTAAACGAGAGCAAGGGTCTGTTGAACTTTTTGGAAATAACAGAAGAAGAAATTTATTTGGTAAGAGCTGCTTCAACGTCATGAATTAAACGAAGGGATTAAAATCAGGTGTTGGTTTCCTCATAAAAACACTGAGCTTGATTAGTCTAATAGAAGTCTATGCTGTGGCGTTTTATATGGTGTGGGGTGTGTGACTAACGTGTCTCCTTTGATGACGACGGTACAAATGTCTTGCGGAAGGAAGCACCGCACGCAGCATAACTCATGAATCCTACGCTGCCTTCCCACTTGCTTCCTCGGCGTGGGTAAAATTAAAGCAATATTGTCGGTGTACCTCTCTTCTCAGAGCTGAGGGAGTGCAGCAGCTTCTCCTGTTGGTCCAGACGCTGCTGGAGAGCTGCCTGCTCCGAGTCCCGGCTCTGCCTGAGGGCTTTTAACTGATCTCTGGTCTGCTGATGCTGCTTCCTCAGGCGCTGTTCTCTGGTGTTGCACTCCCGCACCTCCTCGCACAGCCAGCGTAGCTTTGTCTGGGTGGGTAAATAAAAACAAAAGTGATGTTTTTTGATGCTGGTAATAACGCACTGATTCAGATCTTTTGAAATTTAAGGAGGACATGAGTTGTCATGATTAAAGCCTAAGCTACTGCCTTAAATTCTGGAGGTTTGACCCACTGCTGCTATGTCACATATGGCAATGTGTGCCAATTTAATATGCAATATGCAAAAAATATGCAATTACAATGTTGATACTGCAATAATAGTATGAAGTACGAGAAGTTACAAGAGACTATATTAGCTATAATCCTTGATTTCAGTTTCTTTCTTGTTTGGTGCATCTCGTATATGAATGACACATTATTTGCCAACATCTGTCTACAGTTACTAACTCTATAGTTAAAAACATTAACTGTTTTTAATGTAGAAGTCTGCACACTTGGATAAAACAGAAACTTCAGTCAGTCATTTAAACACTTGAATGCTGTCGATTTAACAGAAAATCTCAACAGTCTTACAGTGTTTTATTCAGAGGGTTGTCTCAGTCATATGCAATGATTGGCTAAATGGGAATTGTAAATGAGCTCTTTTAAGGCCGTTCATCAAATCCAGAATTTACTCAAATAAAATTGCTAACTAGGCAGCCAATTATTGCTCTTGTACTCTCCAGTTTTATTCTTGTAAATTATTCATGCAGTAAAAGCAGTTATGACAGGAGACATACATTATCGCTATGAATTGTGCAAACACATTTTAACACAGTATCATACATCATCGCCACCAGTGCATGTTTCTTTTGTGTAGAACATCACGGCGATGCTAAATGGGTGCTAATTTGTCTCGGAAAGAAGCCAAGAAATGAGTGTTTATGAAAAAACAGAGCATAACAACATAAGGGAGCGTGTTCAAAACAAACTTGTGATTCAATTAAAAAGAGACTCTCTGAAGCAGGCGACCATGAAAACCACGATGAATGAAAACGTGAAATTATCTTCTTCAACCAAACTTCTCGCTAGATTCAATATCGGCTTTTTGATTATTATGAAGAGATATTTTCGCTGCGAATCCCTGAGCTACACTGTTTCATTATGCACACTGCTGACTTTTAACACACATGACTGCTCGGCTGTAGAGAGGGATTTCTTCTTCAATTAATGCTCTTTTTTTAAAGAGAGGTTATCTGCACTTTGTGTTAGGCTCCGACAGGCAAGATTACAATCCTGGTGATTCGGTAAAATAATTTACATGGAGAACATCCTTGATACAAACTTTTCAGGTTGTTTAATAAAGTCCTGAGTGAGAATAAACTATCATCTTTAAAAATCTTCGAACTCTAAAATCAAATTCAATAATCCTGCCACTTCTCAGTTTAGTGCATGTCACTGTTTTGACGGATATATCACTTTACTGACAATTTAATCTGAATACCCCAAACTGCTCTGCTCTGCCTAACTCAGTTCATTTACATGCACAGTTAAGTCGAGCCACAGTTAAAGCTCAATTAGGCGATTAATTGGACTACTGTCCTTGTTTTAGTATACACATCCCAGGCAAGACTAAATTCATTGACAAACATGTCCACCGTCTTCTGATTGAACTGTTCCATCAAATACCAAAACAATCTCACATCTGTCATTAACCTCATCTTCCTTCAGCTGACACAAAACCCACCGTGTCTCCTTCATCCCAAAGTAAGTCAGGCTCTGTGTGGATTGCTTTATCTTTTTTCCCTTCCCTGCTCTGTATTCTGCTGAGGTTTGGTTTACAAACCGTTTAACCTTCAGGTCAGAGAGTGTACAGAATACCCAGGCCAGTCTGGGGGCAAATGAGGTGTTTACATGCAAAAGAAAATCAAATCCTGACCACATTTTATAGGTTATTTGTCTAACGGTGAAGACATTGGATGTTTAAGCCAGACTAACATATGGATATGTTTTTTTATTATGTTTTAAGGTCCATTTTTTGTTAAACTAATGACACAAATTGATGTTTTCTAACCTATCATATTAATCTAAACTTAGTATCAGCTGGTTCAGGGAGTATTTCCCCAATCAATCAATCAATCAATCAATCAATAAGTAAAAGAGTAAGTGAAATATGAGCTCAGTCTTGTACACAGGGGTGTTGACAAACGGCTCACCTGCCAAAGGGACCGGTAGATGAAAAAATTTACGGGCCAAATAATAAATGTCCTATTTTTTGTTAAATATACATCTATTTAAGTACTTTTTATTGAGATAACAGGATCATATTGCAATATATAACTAGAAAAGAGGCCAAAGTATTATTTAAAATAAACTTTAATCTTATTAATCCAATATTCTAACCAGAAATCATTGCACTAGAACAAAGGTTGATGCTATGTGTTAAGAGCGGAGCCTGGCCTCGAAGATCAAACCAACTACAAAAGCAACTTTAGTCCACATATAGTGTACGCATGCTGTGTCCACATGGATGGTTTTGAGACAAACAGTCTGAGCCAATCGTGATGTTTTACATGACGTAAAACTGGCAAACGGCCAGCCAACAGCCATTATACTTGTCCAAACTACAGAGAGAGATTATTCTTGTGTGCTGCAGTACAGTGTTTTACCCAGAAGATGGCCCTATATAATCTGATGCTCATCATAATTATGTGCCATCATGACTACAACCGTCACCTGCAAAAGATTTGTTGGGATCAGGACATCCGTACATAAAAAGTATGTATTATTTCCCCTCAGGGAAATTGTGTCTTATTTTGGGATGTGACCTCTATTACAGACTTTACGATACCTCCATTTATCTATGAAATGGCCCCCCTAGGTGATACTAAATTACCTTTTTTCCTTTTGCCTCCTCTGTTTTTAAGATCTTTAATACTTTTCTGATTATTTACCTTTCACATTTACTCTGTCACACTGGACACTGGATAGTGGAGTCCCTAAATGATCTCTCAAGTACAATAAAGGTTGAGGATAAATATTACATTAGACATTAACAACAGTCTAACATAAACCTGTGATAGACCAGTGAGTGAGCGTGGTACTGATGGAAATAATGTGACACACTCAGTCATCGTTTCCTCGCTCGTAGAATTAATTATGTAGACAAATCCCAGCACGACTGCCTGTTATCATCATACCTTTGTCTCAGCGAGCCAGCGGTGAGGGTCTCTCACTAATCCAGGTTTCTGGGAGATAGCCTGTTAAAAAAAAAAAAAACAGAGCAGAGATTAATGCAAATGGGAGCTTTGCTGCCTTTGTTAGCATGCATTATAAAAATTCTGTTCCTCAAGCAAGTCCACAATTAAAAGTGCAAATGTTAGAGAGTTTGTCGTTAAGCTTTCTAATGCGTACTGTTCTGTGTCTTAAAATACGAAAATAAATCAGCCAGTAGAAGGAGAAGAAAAAAAAAAAACAGCAACAGTGATTGAAATATGGCCGGACAAACAACAGAATGAAAATGAGAAAAACAGCCTCTTGTCAAACTCTTAACTTTCGTGAAGAAGTGCTTCTGCCAACTTAAATTGGCGTGCATGTTTGTTAAACTGCCTGTGACAGTACACACACTAGTGCATGCACACACACTTGCACTGAAGTTTTATGTGTGTGTGTCATAAAAAATGAGCTCAGGGAGTATGTGCCGTCCTTACCAGACAAGCTTGTCAGCATCAGCAATACAAACTGACTGTCTGCCAACTCCTAATGACTGCTGACACACAAAGAGACGCGTACGCACGCACATACACACACTGTATACACGCTCACGAGACAAAAGGACACTCAGACATACAGATAACTAGACTGCACTCTTCTCGAAGCGCACCTCTGAGATATGCAGCCCTGTATGAGGAGTACTCTCCAGAGGATAATAATCAGTGCTGCTGCGCTTAGTTCACACGAGGAGACCAACACATGTGGATGCAAGCACTTAAAGTTCAACATCAGAAATGACTCGAGCCATTATTGTTCTTGAAGTTTATAACCACAGCACCTTGTAGCCAATCAGGTCTGCGTTCAGATGCAATTACAGTTGCACTTTTACAGCCGAAGCACTAAGCAGCCGGTCATTATTTTTCATTCTTTCGGATACTGATAGTATGGACACAAACAAGGAACCTATAGAAGAAAAACAAACCCACAGAATATCTGCAAATTTGCAACATTTCACTGAGCCTGGGTGAGCAAGACATCCGAAAGTGGGAGTTCAATACAAAACAGGGGAAAGACGTTTTTCCAATTTGGCCAATACCAGGGTATTTGTCTTTGTCTGTGATTACTGATTGCTCAGACAAGACTGGATGGGAATTAAGAAAACAGAAAACAAGCCACTGTGGGTGTGCTGCCTGCTTCAGATACAAACGAGACTGCAGTCTGAAAATGTATAATTTCTGTAAAAGATCCTGAACTTTGAAAGCTTTTCAGAGGCCAAAATATTGCAAAGCTGTTTGTTATACTGCTGCTTGAGAGAACATGGAAAGTTGTCACGGTCCTTGACTTTTTTTTATCTTACATGGTCGACGGTGGATGGACTCTGTTACCATTTACCTGAGGGGCCACCTCAGTGTTATGCTAGATCAGTCATTTGTGGCACAAGTTGAGCAAAGGGGCGCTGGCTGGTCTAGCGGTTCAGACTGTTAAAACAACAACTTAACCATTTGACTGAAATTCGCCAGTGATTTTAAAATCCCTGACACAATGGTCTTATCTTACTGGAAACGTAAGCTTCAATCTGGTGGCAGGAAGAGAACCCTTATATCTGTACAATCTATTTCTGTATTTTTAACTTAAAAATAGCACTTTATCCCATGATTTTCACTTTATCGGTTTTTGTGACTGAATATCAATCTAGGAGAGATGAAATGACAACAATTTGTCAGTATGTGTGACTTGTAGGGCTGTAATCAACCAAAGAAATTCTTGGTTGACTAAAACCCTGACATTGACCAAAAATCGACTAATGGGGGTTCCAACTCTGACGGCAAACCCTTGCGCGGCGGAGGATGATGCAGCTTGGTGAACGGTGGCTCATCGGGTTGAAAATATACTGATATCAGCACAAGAAGGCAAGTTGAAATGCTCAAAATAAAAATAAATATTCTGCAAACTACCAGACGTTGATTAAGATGGACGCTCTTCAATCTTCAGGGCTCCAGACGATATTCGATGAGTTGGGTGAATCCAAAATGGTGAAAACAAGGAGGGTGTTCTGAGACAGGCTGTTACGTGTGAAACGGGGGTGCTCTGAAAACACCACCATTAGAACTTTGTATGTCCCTCCAGATGAAATTAACCATAGACTGAAAATTGACGCGGGAAAAAAATTTAGTCGACCAATCTTAATTTTGGTCGACTTAGCACATATCAACCAATAAGTTGACCAGTTGACTAGGACTTTACAGCCCTTGTGACTTGAAAGCTGATCACAACACATGATAATAATATTTTAGAACCCCATCCTGAAAGAGTTGGTTAGGACCCCAAAATGAAGTATCTTCCAGCGTTAATTCAGGTAAAGATCCTGTGTGGTGCAGACACCAGCAGTTACAGTCACTCTTAAAAACGCCACTTTGTACTGCCTGTGGGTCTCAGAACTCAATACTGTATGCACAGTGCCCTGCAGGTATAGACAAAAAGTTATATTTTATGGAACATCCAATCCCTGTATAGTCTGCAAGAGTAGTCACACAGTGAACCAGCAACAGCTCAAGGTGCAAGTAATGAAGGGAATACAAAAAAACTCAAAAGCAACCCCACAAAGCTAACTAACTGCTTCTTTGTCCCATGATCTCTTTGTTCCTGAGAGTTTTTAATGAATACTTTCATGGGAATATTCTTACAGCCGTAAGACACAAACAAACTAAAAAAACAAACGTAACTCCTATTCTGCTATAGTAGTAAAAACAGACAACAAAAATACAAATTCACACTCGCAAACTTACACACAGCTGTGAACAAAGTCTACAAAAAAGTACAACGGTTTCTTCAAGTGCACCCTTGTGGCAAGGTGTTTACGCATGATCAACCGACATGGAAAGCACACAGCAGGATTTTTTTTAGACCTATTCTGTCCCAGGCTTGACAAACAACATTGTCACCGCACAGGTGTCAAGCAACTTTCTCAAGCCGTCACTCAACACCAGATCCAAGCAAAACGAATTCCCCGAGTTGTTGCTGCGACATCTCAAAGACCTGCAATGGCACGCCGCTGTGCAGAGGTCCCCGTCTCGGGGAGTTTACAACCACACAGCAGAGCGTGTGACTATGTGGGAGGATAAAACATGCCTCTGTGCCTCTCGCTCTCTTTACTTTTCCCTGAACCATCAAAGCAGCTCTGCACAGCAGCAGACAAAAAGGAGGTGAAACTGTTGAAAAACCGAACAAGTAGGCTGAGAGTTCAAAGTGCTGTCTGTGGGGTTGAAATGAAAGAAATGCCACTTTTTTCTCAGTAGCTCTGCCGTGGAATTCAAGTGTCTGCTACTGCTAATTTAAATGCATGACTGCATGGTTTGTATGCCTCTCTCAGAAAGCGAGTAAATCTGTGACTGCTTCTTTGGTTACAGTTTGTTTCACCTCCTGCTAAGAAAATGGCAAAGATGGGAAAGTCTAGAGAGAAACATATGGTGGAGATGATGTTCAGACGACCAGCATTTTGATAGGACAGAGCAAGATGTTTTCCTAAAGATAAGGACAGTGCCAACCACCTTTGGGATTACAGAGAAAGACCAAAAATGAAAAGAGTCACGGACTACACTCAACTAAAATATTCTACAAGTAAAACCTCAATTAGAGAAAAGTAAAATGTTGATGAAACAAAAATTGATGGTTTGCAAATAATCTAAACTTCATATTTCATCAAATGTTAAAACTGGATTACCTAATTATTTTATGCCCTTGTTTAAAACTTTATGATGGTAGCATGTGTTGCCCTGAAATCAGCAGTAATGGTACCTGCAAAGATGTGTAAGCCACACATGTCATTGGCAGTTTTCCTCTCCATATTACCATGGGTTGTGTCTTTTGAATTGTGTGCTGATATAGAACCAGGTGGTCACTCTTTGTGTTCATGAAGACAGAATTTTGATTAATCGGACAACAGGACAGTTTCCCACTCAAGTCCGTTTTAGATGTGTTTACGCTCAGAGAAACCCTTCGAGTGTTTTTAGATCATGTTTTTTATGGTCTCTTCTTTGCACTGTACTCTTCAAAGCTGTGTTTTTTTGGATGTATCAATTAACTGTGTTTACAACCAGTGGTTTTCAAACTGATTTCAAGCCCATGTGGTAACTACCACTTCAGAGTCATGTCTGTTTTTACTGCTGTGCTGCCTGAGAGCTTGAAGATACTGATTTTCAGCCTTGGTCTTTTTGAACACAGAATTCTCTTATCTTTTCAGTTATACACTGCAGATGATGGATTCCTTTAAGAAGAATTTTATGCTGAGGAACAATATTCTGAAATTGCTGAACACGATTTCTGATAGACTGAGGCTCTCTGGGATGCCCTATTTTCATTCCCTGTAATACCTGTTGCAAATTTACCAAATTAGCTGGGAGGTGTTTCTCCAGATGTTTAAGAGATGGACGAAGAAGTTTCCCATGAGTTCAGTTGGAAAAGCTGTCAAAGCATTTCAGTGCCTTGACGCACTTTCACCAAATTACAATCTGATTTGGCATCGGATTAATGAACTGTTTATTAACAACCGACTCAGACTCCTCTCTGAACTTCTTCTGTAGCACAACACTGTCTTCCCACTGTATCGTTCGTGAAGACAAGGAAGGCGGCCACCAGGAGTTATCTGAAACCTAATATACCCTTAACTGTTAATGATTCCCCTCATTAGGCCAATCACTAGTGAGTTTGACTTCTTTTCAACATGACAGATTACAGATGAGGCGAGGCGTTGGCTCTCATGTCTGGCTGCAGCACTGCTGGACCAGATTGGGGAATCTATATGAGCAGATAAGAGCTGGTGGGGTTCATTAGCTGGGAGCAGCAGAGGGAAGCAGCTTCAAGCCTGGGGGGATGGAGAGTGTGTGTGCACCATTGTTCATTAGTGTACAAGTGTGTGGGTACATTTATTGAGTATTGCGCATTAATTATTAGTTTTGTTGGTGGAAACTTTGCAAAACTCAATAGTTTCAATATGTAGTGTGTGTAATTGTGTATGTATGCAACATACACTCAAAGATATGTACATATATTTTATAATAACAGCAGTGTGCACACTGTTTTTCACAGAAATAACAACCTTTACTAGCAATGGGAAGACATCTTGCACTGTAGTGTCTTATATAATAATGAGTACCTGTTTTAATGATGAGTAGAAAATGAATAAATACGTGTATTTTTTTTCCAACTTTACAGTTTGCTAATTCTGCAAACTTAATTTCAGACTTACATGTACATGAACATTGTTTTATTTTAGTGACATCTTATTTAAAGTCTGGTTATTATGGATTCCTCAGTTAATAAGATATGATGAGGTATGACTGTATGAGGCTTCAGCCCCAACTCATTTCGAGAGTAGCCTTACCCCCAATTTTCACAGCATCCGGAACGGCTCCAATCTGGAACAACAGTGATTTTCGCTGGTGTCTATGGACCCGTTGGTGAGGCAAATTTTGTGGCGGATTATGGACAGCGGTAATCGAGAGAACTCACAAGAACCCACAGATTCATGTGCAATCACGCAATGACGAGTTGTCTCTATAAAGACAGCCACAGAGGCTAACCATAAAAGCAGTAGATTGTGTCCTTCCAAAGGAGGAAATCCACCTCTATTTCTAAAAAATAGAACTCCTGCGATCAGCTGCAAAGTCCGGCGATCTGTAGCGTAACAGAAAGAAGCCAGTGGAAATTGACACATTAACTTGAGTGGTTACAATCAGCTGCGATCGGCAGGTGCGGCCTTTTCGTAGCCGTTCAGGTTGCGGTGGGAACTGGGGGTAAAAGTTAGTTGGAGGCAGACATCTTGGGTCTATGTAGAAAACAGTTTACGTCTACACCTTAACACAAAGCATCAAACTGAGGAAACTGTGTTTTTGTTTTTTGTTTGAACCCACTCAAAGCTGAACAAACAGCGTACCAGTTTTTATACTTGACCACTGAGCAAACTATTGACCCAAATGTTTTTCTCAGGAGTTGCTGGACCATCAGAGCTGAATTATAAGTCAATATTGGACCAGTGCCAGCAGAGTTTACCAATAATTCTCCGCTCAAGTGAAAGGAATATCAACATTTTGTTTTGTTTTGTTTGTGACTGTATTTTGGGGATTCTTTTTGGCTCTAGAGGGGCCAAAATCTGCTCACTCAAGCTCTAAACACAAACACAAACACACACTTTCCAATGATTTAAAAGTGTAAAAAATGTAATGAAGTCAATACCTGCAGTTTGTCTTCACCATTCCTAGCAAGACTCCGACAAGCTGTGTCTAGTTCCTCACCCAGAGAAGTGAGGACTGCCTCTCGCTCAGACTCCAACCGCAGAACCTTTTCTTCCAGCTTAACAAGCTCCGACTCTGAGGCACGTCTTCGTTCACCTGACTTGACCTGTGGGGGACGGGAGAAAGCAGAGCGTGGTATAATGGAGCTGCAGATCAGCCATCACTGTGTTTTTTATTGTTATCGCCAAAGACAGTAGAGGGGGAAGTTATTACGACGGATTTTTCAAAAGGTAATCAGAGAAATTCCAGGGAGGAGAAAACCAAGTTCATTTTAATGAGACCAAATCCAGTTTATTATTAACACATTACTGAGTGTGTTCACATGCACACTAATAAACCAATTATCATCTGATTTCTTAAGTTAACTGATGACTCGAGTGGTCATGTAAGCAGTATAATCTGTTATTCTTTATCAGATAAAGCCCATTATCAGATTATTAAAAATAGAATCAACACACCAAGGTTTTTACCCAATAATCTGATTCAATCAGTGCATGCATACGTTATAATCTGGTTTCTTTTGTTTTGTTAAAAATGCATGAGTGAGGAATTTACAAAAGCAGTATAAAAACATGGTTTTAGCAGTACAAAAACATGGAGGAAGACGGGCTTTAACCACCAGGTGTTTTCATAAATGATTTATGAACTTATTTACTCTATTTATGTTCTAATTTTTGTTCATATAATGTAATTATGCTGGAGATTGACTGTATTGAGTAGCAGAGAAGGGGTAGGTTTGAAAAAAGCACTACGCTTAGCCTACTCCTTTTCGGACATGTTGGGTTCACATTATTATTAGTAGTATTTTTTATGTTAATGTTTATGTTTTTTGCTTTGATTATTGATATGTTGTTTTGAATATTCTCATTGGTTTTGTTTGTTTGTTTGTTTTCAGTTTACTTTCTTGTGTTGCACAGGGTTGTTGCAAAAAAAAAGAAACATGAGCAGATGTAGAAACGAAAGAAAAAGTTCTTGGCAAACATGGTGAGCAGGAGCTGGAAGAACGCAGCAAAATCCTCGACTCGAAGACAGATATGAATATTTTTCACACCTCTGTTGATTGTTAAGTATCAGTACAGCCTTTTTATTCACTTTTACACTGAATATCGATCATTAAAACCTTTGACTCATTACGGAGAGCTGTTTTAAGGCTAAAAAAGCCAATTCTGTCTGAGCCGAATAATCAGAATCACTAAGAATCTTCTAATGATGCATTAATGAAGTGCTTGTAAACACATATAATCAGATTATTATCATAACTTGATAAGTCCCAGTAATCAGATTAATGTGATCATGCAAACACATTCAATAATAACAGAAAGCTGAACCTGGGGCAGCAGAGAGACACAGAATCCTCCGACACAAACAGACCTGGTTAAGCTTCCCTCTCTGGCCTACAATATCAATAGTTCCCTGGTCCCAACCAGGACAAACGATCAATATGTCAGAGGCACAGGAACCATTTGATTAGGGAGTGTGGATCATTATCCTGTCCTTGGGATGATAAACCACCATGTTACATTAATAAAAGACCCTTTTCTCTTTTCACCCAATTCCTGATCAATACATAGATCCCCCCAAAGAGCCCTTAACAACTTATCAGGTACCTGTCAGAGAGGTAAATAGAGAACCTCTACAGCTGTAAAACACCAAAGGGTGTATTGATAAGGCCCCTCTAAAAATAGTGCTGATGTGGCTCCGTTTAACCTTAAAGGTTTGCATGATCACATGACTGGAGCAGATATCCCCACCATGTAAGGAGAGAAGGGAAGGAGGGGGAATAGGATACTTAAAGGTTATAACCTAAGCATGGCCTCTCGATAACCCTCCTCTATATTAAGATCTGGTGTAAGATCATCTCTCAAATGATGTCAGATAAGAGATATTCAGTAAAAGATTTGATGTGACACTTGTCAGACTCTTGAAACTGTCTCTGATTCATGTTGGCGTTAATCCTTTGTTCCTTTACATGATAATGTCCTTCCCTTTATCTCCTCATGTCTGTTTGCATTTTGAACAAAAAGCCCTAAAGTGAAACCAGTCTTGTTGTCACACGCCTCCAGACCCAGGGGTGCCTCTCCCCATGGCTACTCGAGACCCTTAGATTGGGATCTTAGTGGATATATCGGGATGTATCAGGAGGTTTCTGGGTTCAAAGCTGTGTACTACTGTATGTTATGTGTGTCTATGTCCCTTTATAGAGCTTGGCAATAAACCAAAAATTTAGATACCGAAATTTACGACAATAACCGATGTCATTTTACCCATATTGGTATATTTGGTGTCAAAAATGAATAAATAAAAAGTTGGTTTTGGATGTGTGTAAGTAGGCTATGGTCTCATGTCCCTTTAAGATGCTGTCCTATGTCAGAGACGTGACTCCACCCCATCCAGTCCATAACAAAGAGGTAAAGACAGGTGAGGAGATGGAGGGCGGTTCAAAAGTTGTCGCGGCTTAAGCAGACAAAGTTAATGTGGGAGGGGGTGAGCAGCTTGTGGAGTAGTTATCGCCCATTCATCGTTATCTTAAGTGAACTGCTCAATATATTGTGATACTGATTGGAGGCCATATCGCCCAGCCCTAGTGTCTATGTCCCTTTGTGTATTTGTATAAACTAATAACAGCACCTGGAAGTATCAACATTTATTTATTACCATAAAGTTGGAAGAACTTTTTCTCCTGAGGCATTCGCCAACCATGTGTCACTTCCTTTCTGTTTATTATACCGTCTTGGGTTTTCATGTTCTTGTACTTTTCTAAAAATCTAAAACAAAAAGAAAGGAGGTCTCTTGTTTTCCTCCTCATGTACCACATAGACGGTATTATATAAGTTGTCAAAGTAACAATGTGAAACCCACACAGTCAGTCAGGAGTATGGATCTTTAAGAGTTAGAACTGTAACCGCTGCTGAAGGCGAACATGTCCTCACAGTTTGTCCTTTTATTGTCCCCTTAATAATGCTTCTGCTAATGGTGGATATAACAGACCCTCGTCTGTCTGCGTTGGAAGTATCACGCCAACATGACTCATTGTGTTGGTATAACATGACAGAGGAAGCAGGGCTTACTTTGTCATCCAGTTCCTGTTTGAGTAGCTGGTACTTTCTCTGGAGAAGTGCATGTCCCCCGTCTTTTGTGCTCAGCTGAGCTGCCAGCTTATCACACTCATCCTTCATCCTGTCCAAGTTGATGCGCAGTGCCCTACACAGCTCCTTGTCTGACGCTGCATCTGCCTGGTAGAGAGTGGATTTGTTTAAAAGATGATACGCTGATAACAGTTTCAGATCGTGCCGACTCATTAAGTAAAAGTATAACCTCAATCAGTTTGTTTGAGACCTTAAAATGTATCAGGAATATGACTCAAAGTTAGTTTTTAAATTGCCAATAGACTGACCTGAAGCAACGCAAGTAAATTATCCTATATATAAAACAAGAGAATTACAAAGGGACCCTGAACATTCATAAAGGATATCCAGTCAGGTCCAGGTACAGTCTGGCATAAACGGGGACCATCAAAGGTCATGAGACTGAGTAAATCCTTTTGACAAGACTCTAAAATCATGTCCGTAATCCCCGTCTCCGTCTCCGTCCAGCTGAGGCTTGCAAAGCAAATCAAGCCTCAAATACGAGCCTCTGATCTATAATGATCACATCATTTAACACGGCTCAAGATACGGAAAAGTGGAATAAACAACAGTGATTGAAGACTGGGAGTTACAGGAGTGACACGTAAAAAAGAAAAAAAAAGAAAAGCGGAACTGCTGGAAGTGAGAAGAGAGGGAAAAACAGACGGAGAATGCAGAATTAGAACTGGAGGGAGGCAGTAAGAGGGGGATTAAGACAGAGAAAGGGGAGATAGAGTGGAGGAGAAATCAGGAGTGAGAGGACAAGGACAAGAAATCAGAATATTTAAGCTTTTTCTGACAGTTGACTGTATCAAACGCATAATACAGGCTTGGGGCGATGCTGTGTGAATATTGGGTGGGCTTCTTAGGGACATCTGCAGTACCCGGAGGCTACTACTTAAAAACATCCGAGCAAACGCCCTTGTCCCCACCGCACTCGGAAATGACACTATTACAATGAGCTATGTCAGATATTAATGCCGTTCAGCACAGCTAATGGGCTAAACTCAACCGTATCAGGGAGGCCCATGCCCCTTAAGAAACAATGTACTCACGAGGGCTCATAACTGGAGATACTGAAGTGGGGAGGGCACTGAGGGACTGAGTGGAGAGGAATCCTGTATCTCGAGCACTGCTTGATGAGACTTCTGAGGTCTGATATCAGGGGTTTTTAAATATTCACGCTATGAGCTCAGGAGCGGCCGTGAGGATCCACGGGGCACCACACACCATTAAGGGCTCAGCTATCCTCGATTCACCCGCACTCGGAGGACGCAGCCCCGGCCAATAAAGAAAATGAGCCGAAATGAGAGTTTTGTCTGTGTCTCGCTGAGTCGGAAATACGCCAGATGTTTAGTGGCTGAGGCATGTTACCCCGTGCTGAATGTGGAGTCTGAGCCAATAAGAGTGTAAATGTCAATTAGAGTGCGGCGCTCTGTGATCCATGCCTGTGTGCAAAGAAAACCTCATCTTTCTGGTTGGTTTATGACCTTGACATCTCGAATGATTTGACAAATTTGTCACATCTGATACATAATCCAGGGCTCAGCTATGCTTTATGGAAGAGGCCTGTAGGTACATTTAAAGGGAGAGTTTGACATTTTGGGATGTATTTGCCCTTAACTAAGAACTGCTGCTAAATTATTTATACTCCCTCATGTCTGCTACAAATTTCCTAGCTTTAGGCGGCACCCAGTTAACACAGTTTAGCATATATATTCAAGGAAAATGCAATTAAAGCCAATTACCCAGTGTGTTATATCTCTATGGTTCAACACATGAAAAAAATGTGTTTATTTGTCAGATTATTCACCACCTCAGAGTGGTTTCTAGCTCTGATGTGCCCTGAATCTAGTCTGACCAGATACCAGCTCTATTAACTAGATAGTGTTAAGGTGTAAAAGAATATAGTATGCCTGATTTTGTCACACTTGCTCTTCCACAAAGCACCCTTACCTTAATCGCCTGCATTTCATCCCGCTCCTCATTGCAGAGCTTGATCAAGTCCTGCACCTCCCGCTCCTTCTTTGTCCTGCTGTCTTCATTCATCGCCTTTAGATTGTCCAGTTCCTTCTGATGCACCTCCCTCTCCAGCTGCAGCTGCTGTCCAAATGCCGTTCGCTCCTCCTGAGCTGCTTTCAGCTTTTCCTGGAGCTCCTTCTTGGAGCTCTCCCCCTCTGCCAAGCGCTGGGCTAGCTGTGCGTTGGCTGTGGTCATCTGCTTCAGGGTGGCCTGGAGCTTGGCCTGGGCGTCCTGGTCTTTCTGAAAACGACGGGATTGTGAGTCAGCTTTTTCCTCCAGTCTTTGGTTCTCTTCCTTCAGTCTGGCCTTGATGACGGCCTGACGCCGGATCTCCTCCTCCAGAGCAGCAGAGGCCTCTCTCACCTAAAGTTGGAGAACGCTGTTAGATAATGATCAAAGGTCTTCTTCATGGTTTTTGTTATATATGAGGTTTCCATCATTAAGGATTTTAAACTTCGAAGATTCAAATTTTTAAATTAAGTTTAAATTTTGGTCATTTTGGAAAGTTGGCCCAAAAATCATATCAACTGTTTAATTATATCTTTAAAAAACGACCATTTGTTTCAGCTACTTTACCACTGAGGACAACAGACGAGAGCTGAGCTTGAGTGCATAGGTGTTCTCTGAAGAGTTGATGCTACGTTCCAGTTACCTCGGAGGTTAGATGTCCGAGCTGGGATTGACGTCACACCCGAGTTACCAGTGTTTCAATTACCAAGTCAGAAAAAAGCAAAGTTGGAGGCAGAAACAAGATGGCTGCATCTATGAGAGGGGATGCTAAAGTAACTTAAAATAACTAAAATAACAAGCGCTGAAATAATTTTCGTAGATGTAGCCATCTTGTTTCCGCCTCGTATTTTACGTCATTTCCAGCTCGGACATCTAACTTCTGAGGTAACTCAAACGCTACATAAGTCTTGAGCCTTTTCTTAAAGGTACAGGGGGTAATATGCAGATCTGATAATCTGAAAAAGTTCAATAATCCATTCCACCATCGAGGGTCAACAGAAGCTATTTTGGGATGAAAACCAGACAAGCTGCTGCATTTTGGATCATCTGCAGAGGGTTGACTGTGCACCTGTAAGGAGTTGCAGTAGTCAATGCATGATACTCCAAGAACATTTACTAGGAGCTGTGTTGTGTTTCAGTATAACAGGGACTGTTACATAGGAGAAAATGGTCTTTTTGTTGAGGCAGCAGCCCAATCTAAGTGATTGTGATTTCAATATTAATCAAAACAATCATTATAATGATATCTGTCATCATCAAGCAGCCCTAAATGAAATGTTTTCAAGCTCAGACCAGCACAACTCTTAGCAGATTGTTTGTGAAAAAATTCCTCTTAGACTTAATAGTCATAATAATTGATCACTTGATTATACATGAACACCTGGTTCAGACTCAAGTTCATTTCCTAGAATCACTGGATAAAATAAAACTGTTAGGACATCTCCTATCTCAAGTCGAGGAGAAACAGAGACTCTTCCTTTGTCCAGTGGAAATGTTACAACCCCTCACAGCGGCAGCAAAAAGAGATGTCATTTTTATATCCGTGGTAATTTGAAAGACATTTCCAATTTCTGGACATTTGACCCCCTACCTCCTGTATTTCCTGCTCCAGTGACAACTGGCGCTGGCGGGTCTCGGACAGCTCCACGTCCTTGCGGTGGAGTTCTTCTTCACGCTGGGCCAAACGGCCTAGGATTTCAGCGAGCTCCCTGCGGGCCGCTTCGGTCTGCTGGCTCAGCGCCTTCAGCTGGGCCTGAGAGCTCTCCTTTTCCCTGGCTGCCTGGAGGGAGAAAAAGAGAGAGAGAGGGAGAGTGTGTGGGAGAGGGGTGAGAAAGAGTGAAGACAAGAGGAAATGAAGAATGACAAATGAAGAGGAGGCAGGAGATGGTGTAAAAAAAAAAAAGGCTAGAACAATAATGATGAGAGGAGGAGAGGAAGTGACAGAGAGACAGAGGGGGAGAAACATATGCAGAACCAGCTCTAGCACTGATAGCAAAACGCTGGCACTCAGCTCCCTGATAAGGGACAATGGTCAGGTCTGTTCAAGGCAGATTGCTTCTAATACTCTGGCTTTGACTGGAATTTGCAAAGACTTTGCTGTAGCTCAGAACCTAATCATTTAATTGAGCACTTGATTCTCTCCCCTAATTCATTAAGGGGGCAGAAATGATTTTGTAATTAATTCGTGTCACGTCGACTATGCCAGGTGGGAGTCGGTCTGTCTCTCTGTATGTGGGGAGCGAGGCTGCTGACTGGGAGTTTGGAGGTGACTCACTCAGTTCAAATGGATGGAAATGACAGGGAGGTGACTTTCAGCTTATAATAAGAGTAGGCTTTTAATGATTTGACAGAGAATAGCAGCTGTAACACACCTTGTAAAATGTAGTACTTGACTTCATATTTGGTTAAAACTTTAAAAAGGTGTTTCAAAATACATTATGATGAGTTTGGATGAAACTGACAATCGTCCTATTGAAGCAAAATGAAAATCAAATGATTGGGTGAAGGTCTGCATTAAACATTCACACACTTTGTTCTGTTTAGGTTTTACAGTAGGATGATGAAAATATCAGGTTTCTTATTTGTGTATTTGTGACTGAACGTGAACAGCTAATCTCAATGATATTAACCCATCATTCAGTCCTTCAGTCCTTCCAACTAAAACTGGATCCATCTATAAGGACTGAACGTGGCATTTTCTTTTTTCCTGAATGTTAAGAAAATCTGGAAGTAGGGCTGGGCTATATGGCCTCAAATCAATGTCACGATCTATTGAGCAGTTCACCTCCATAACAATAAATGGACGGTAACTTCTCCACAAGCAGCTCACCTCATTCCACATTTACTTCGTCTACTTCAGCTGCTACTTTGAACCGTCCTCCATCTCCTCATCTGTCTTTCCCTCTTTGTTACGGACTGGATGGGGTGGAGTCACGTCTCTGACGTAGAACAGCGTCTTAAAGGGACATGAGACCATAGCCTACCTACACACATCCAAAACCAATTTATATTTATTTATTTATTTTGACAGCGAATATACCGATATGGGCAAAATGACGGTTATTGTCGTAAATTTCAGTATCAGTAAGTATTCGGTTTATCACCCAGCCCTCATACTCTATACAGACAAAGCCATGGAAGGAGAGGCGACAAATACTCAAAATATAACATTCAAGTTAACAGCAGATTTTCCATGTTGATAAGTGATTTACTAACATTGTGTCTACTGTGCTGCACAGAGAGAATTCAGGGGAGAGAAGTTTTGTCTTTTCGCTGCTGTTGGCATCCCTGCAATTCATTGTACCAGTGAGCTGAGAAATACTTTTCAGGAAGGACATTATTGATTGCTTTTTAGAGCACACTGTCAAAGTCAAAGTTGCGAAGCGTGATCCAAACTTAACTGCGAAGAAAACTCAACCAAAATATTTAGTCGTTGATAACAGTCGTGCCAGCTGGCTCGCCACTAGCTCAGCCAACAGCGGTACATTCTGATTGTTAGAGACAGACTTGCTAGGAGCCAGTGAATAGACCTGTAATTGAGCTGTAGGCACCAAACACTGCCAACTGATAACTTTTCAATAAGCTCCAGTGTTATCCTTCAATGTCGCCCAATTTACTTTTGCTGGAATCTTTGCAACCACAAAGAATTTTCACTTGTTTCATAGATATGCCAAAACAGCGACTGCTGCCAACAGCAACAAGAAAGCAGCTGACTGCTGAGCAGTTTTGATTGGTATTCTGGCAGACACCCTGAGCCAGTTACACTCTAATGTACAAAAACAATAACAGCCATGCCTGGCTGTAAAAATACGGCATGTTTAATTATGTAAGTCTTTTATACATCCAGTGCAAATTGTGTTTTTACATTTTGCTTATATTGGAATAACAAAGACAATCAAACCTGCGTGCTGCCAGTGAGAGGTACAATTAGTTCTTTTAATGATAGATTAGGCATCCAACAACACAGATTCATGCACAACCCTACTTCCTGGGCGAAATAATAATATCACGAAGATCCTACATGAATTGAAAACAGAGCAACAAATCAAATGCTGACACTTGTTTGACTTGTTTTACGAAAAAATCTATACAATGCTCATTTGGAATTTGATTCCAGCAGCATGTTTCAAAAGAGTTGAGAACAGGTATTCAAGAGATGCAGAGTCAGAACTGAAAGGTGTTTCACTATTCTGTGACAGACTGGGTGGGCAAATAGTCCAGCAATTTTAGAATTATGTTTCAGGATGTCAAAATAAAAAAGAATTGTGGGATTTCAACTTCTCACTGCATAAATAAATACGGGTTAAAACTGAGGGACTCTTACATAAACATGATCCAGAAATGCTGGGGGTCTTCTCTGGGTTCAAATCCAGTCAAGATGTATTGAGGCAAAGTGGAAAATGTCATGAGGTTTGAATAATCCTACTCTGGCATTCTTCCTGGATATTATGGTGGAATCTTCTGCTCTGACTCTGCACAGTCTGGGTGCTAAACTGGCCTGACTTCAGTCCTGACTTGTTATGCACTGAAGACATTTGCAGCATTCCCACTCTCGAACAACTCCGTAAACTGACCTGAGAGGCTTTGTCGGTATTGAACTGAGCCTGGGCCTGCTCCTCCTCCAGCGCCTTCTGAAGTCTCCTGCACTTTGCCCTCCACTGGCGCACGGCCTCTTGGGCTCTGGTCTTCAATTCATCTCTGCTCCTGGAGCTCTCCTGGATCAATTCCTCTGTCTCCCTCCTCTCTGCCTGCCTTTGGCTCTGAAGGGAGGAGAGTTTATAAGTGGAGAAGTTTAATTTTTTAATCATCTGAACCGGTGTTTTTTTTATTTCCACTGAACCCCCTCCTGTGAAATATCATTACTGCAGCATAAGTTTTTCAATTCTTTACACACTTAGTCGTGAACTCACACACAAATTGCTGTCAAATTAAATTGCCACTAGAAGAAGCACCTCTTGTTCCGAGTCCTTGAATTAAATTACCACTGATGAATTACAGTCGGCTGCAATAAGCAATAATAAAATACCTGTATGTCCCTCAACTGTTCAAGCATTCGTAGCTGCTGCTGCTCCCGCCGTGCCAGGTCTGATGACAATTCCTGGTGTACAGAAAAGAGAAAGGTCAAGGGCGGATGTGAGTTTGTGTCTCATCTACTGCAAACAGGGAAAAAGTCAGAAAGAGAGGGGGGGAGTAAAAGAGAAAAGGAGCAGGAATGAGTGGGTTTAGAGCAACGAAAGAGAGGAAAGGAAATATAAGGGGTGGAAGCAGAGAACAAGAGATGGGGTGGGGGATTTTTAGAGAAAGGGCACAGCAGACAAAGATGAGGACGAAAGGTAAAGACAGAAAGGTCGAAGACGGAGCGGACTGTGTTTACAAGCTGCCTACGATTGGATTATCTGCAAGGCTGGTCTGAAAAAGCATTCTGGGTTCCACTAGCTTAACACGACAAAATCACAATCACTTTGAAGTTCCAAGTTTGATTGAAGTCTAAAGAAAGGGGCATGTCAGGTTCGCCTGATGCGGCGTGTACTGAATAAGCCTGTCAGTTAGCAGTAATTAGACATAGCCTGATTAGTCATAGCCCTATTACACGCTAAATAAATTCAGTCACTGCAAAATTGAATCTCCTAGCTTTTTCTTGTCATTATACTTGGTTTTCGCTCATTTGCCGTTTAAGTGAAACATTTTTCAACGTCTATTTTGATCTTGACAAAAAAACCATAAGAGGTGCCCCCAGGTGATACACGCAAACACCGACTTCTTCTCTTAACACCTACTCGGCAATGAGGGAAGCGTGGGAGTTTAAAAAAAAAACAGTCAGTGAAAGAAACATCAGAGATGAGAGGAATGTGCCAATGCTTTAAGTGCTGCTATTTCTACTTAGGTTTTATTGATATCCACTAGAGCATTGAATTCTCCTGTTAAGCAAGAGAATTTTGCTCGTTTTTCTGCTTCTTTTTTATGTCTTCATACGCTGATGGAAGCGACACATCGCACCAGTTTGAGGAGCATAAATGACTGCCGGTTTAATTTCTGATCTCCTATTCCAACTGTTACTTGATCTGACGATTTCAGGGGCATCAAGTGGCTTCGAGTTGGCGGAGGATGAAGACCACAGATGAAAGAGGACGCGCGAACTGAGAAAACCCTTCTCGGGGTAAAAGACGGGAAAACCGGCAAAGTCAAAAGGGTCAGCTCCAAATGAGAGATCCTCAATTTTTTCCCATTTATTCTTCAGGGTGTGATGGAGAGACAGCCAACTCGACGGCAAAGTAATGTCATGGATAGTAATCCCTGACCCACTCGTCTAATCAGCACTTGTCATCTCCACGGCAACATGCGTTTTCTTGATACTCACCTCAACTTGAAAGCTGAGCTGGACCCTCTCCTTCTCCTTGAGTTCCAGGGCTCTCTTCAGTTCTTCAACGTCCCTGAGGACTGAGGCTTTGCTCAGCTGGGCTCTCAGCTCTGCTACTTCTTTTTCCAGGCTTACACGGTCTATACACATAAACACGAGTTATAAAAGAGATGTTCGGATTGAAATCTACCGGTGTAGGAGAGAAAGTGCATGGTACTGCCTTACTCAGCTTACTTTGAAGTGTCCTTTTCTAGTTCTTTGACAAGCTGCGTATATAGATTTATTTATAAACTAACATAAAGCTAAAACTACGAGGTTGAAAACTAAACTAAAACTCAACCAAACCTTACAGCCCAGTGATTAGTCACAGACATGATATCACAAATTCAGACTCCCTGGAGGATCTGCAGCCTCTCAGTTTCTTACTTCATAATTCATGCTGTTATCTCTGCAGGCAGGGATGCTGATGATAGGGCGCTGTGCTGAGGGGGAAGGGCAAAGACTGGTGCAGATGGATGCAGAGGTGTAAAAAACACCAAAACAACCATTATGAGTGCTACTGAAAAACTTGTACCGGTGCTTTTCATGTATGATCCCCAAACAGGAGGAAGCAACTGCTGAAGTGCTGCCGGGGGCAGTTAAAGCAGCATGTCTCTGAGTGGTAGGGTTAAACTTTGAGTGTTATTCCTCCTTTCTTGCCTTCATGTCTCACAATTATGTGGTTGTTGAAGCAGTCCGGGGGTAAAGTGGTCTGCGCAAACAAACAAATTAGCTCCAACTGTAGCTGGTACAGCCTTGTTAAAAAGTAAAAGCAATCACTGTTCTCTTTGGTCATGCTACGAAGGGGTAAAAAGTAGACACCTGGGTTTGTTTTGTAGTTGTTGTGCCACACTCTTACCTTTGAAATCTTGGCTTTGCAATGATAAGGCAAAACCATACCAGTACAGAGGGAAGTTGAATTACTCTTGGGAGTGATTCGGCGTGCATGCCTATGCAAATTACTTCTTTTTATTACAACGCCACAGGAGGCGATTCAAAAGTGCTGGTAAAGCTGAGTTTTCCCTGTAGGTGGGCTACACAAACAACGCAGAATTTCATATTTTCAGGGTCGCTCAGCTGGAGGATAACTACAGTATACAAAGCATGTATAAGACGAGGAAAAATACGTTTTAGTTAATATTATTAGAATATGGAAGATGGTGAGTCAAGCCCAACTATCGAATAAGACCACATTTCTTTAGGGTAAGAGTCTATTTTAAACTATTTTTATCTGCTTACTCTAAATATTGTTTACCTCTTTACAGACTAGATGTTCATATGCATAACTCACTGTCAATCTCTTCACTTTGTCACCTGGGGGAGACTACGAGTCGATAGTCGTGAACAGAATAGGAATGACGAGAAAGGAGATGTGAGGGAGGCAGGATTTCATGAACAAAGATGATGATGCACAGTGGGTACTATTGGTGATATGTCAGTTTTCGTCTTTTCACCATCTTTATTCCAACAATAGTGACCCTGAAAATGTTGATGAGTTGAAGATACCCGTTTTATATCAGGGTACTGTATCCAAAGCCTTTGAACAAAAATCAATACCATAACAAGCAACAGAAAGATATTTATAAGTCAGATTTTCAGTACTTTTCTTCTACCTACACTCAATTTTCTCCACTTTTGAGATCACACATTTGACTTTTTTTTCTCCTCCCACTCTCGGCACTGTAGTCCAATCAATTCTCTGGTCCCTCAGACACTTCACTTGTTTTGTCTTGATTCTACCTGGCCCTGTAGCTGATCTCAAGGTTTTCTCTCTCCACTGCCCTGCATTCACTCGTTCCCCTGCCCTTACAGGTAATTTGATCCAGCTATTGGTAAAGCAAGTGTGCTGTCTGGAGATTTTCTCCGAGCAGAAATTGATACAAAACAATAACACAGAATAGTACCAGCTATTTCTTTGGTCACAGAGTTGGCAGAGCAAAGTTTTAACCCAGCTGTTTCGACCTGCGTCTAAATCTTCTGCCTTCTCCGTGCCTCTTTATCCAGAACTATATTCAGTACCTGAACCTTCCTGTCCACCTCTTCCCTCCTCCCTGTCATAGTAGCTGCCATGTGGCTGAGCAACGGGCCGAGACGTCTCCAGCCGGGCCCTCTGAGGCTCATTCTTCTCCTTCGTCATCCTGAGCAGCTCGCCACGCATATCCTCCACCTGCGGATCATCAGCCGAGTAAGTCAACACAGAGAAAGACATCTGACTGTCTGGGAGCTGGCAGAACAGCACTGAGGTATACCCTGACAAGTCATTGCACTGGTTATTGCTTCATCCCCTGAGGTTAACTGAACATCTAAATACACAGTTGGGCACAGTCCACAAAGACACAAACAAACCTGTTGAACAAGGGACTCCCTGCTCTCCTCAGACTGTTCAAGACGTCTCCTGGATCTCTCCAGTTCCTGGTCCATCTAAGGAGCACATAAAAAACAATATCAGGACAACAGCTAATGATCAAATGTTTCAGGAATTAGTAGTGCCAGACTAAATGTTACCACTTTTCCACCACTGGCAGTGTTGAGCTTTTACATAATTGATAGTTTGGGTAAAGCAATTGACAACTGATGATTAACATTCATGAAGAGTAATCGGGGGGAAATGCCTAAAATTCGTAACCTTAGAAGGAATCTATCCTGTCATTAATACACGTAATGTCCCGTAGCGCCTGTCACCGTCCACTGCTGTTCAAAATTGCACACAGGATGCATCAAAAGCCGAGCTGTTCGTTTCTACCCACTGTGACAAACTTAACATAATAACTCCCCTGTCTATTTGTTCTGAACTTCTCCCAGTCTAGAAAAAGTATTTCAACCTCAGAGCCTAACCCTCTGGAGGACATCTCATACACTACTAGAGAAGATGATGCATGCCTGACCCCGTGTAAATGCCCTCTGTCACTCTCTCCTGACCAGGGGTGCAATACTTTTGAAATAGAGGGATGCTGCTCCACACATCCCTTTATTTCAAACACACATTTACTTTCAATAGCTCAGCTGTTACTTCTTTTGTTTATCTTTTTACACTTATCGTATTTTCCAGGCTATAAGTCACACTTTTTTTCATGGTTAAGCTAGGTTTGTGACTTATACTCAGGTGCAACTTATATATATTAAAATATATAATTTCACATATGGTCTGACGACAGTCATGCAGAAGAGGAAGCGGCGCTTTGTTCACCTCCGGAGTTGGCGGAGTTGTTCAGAAGTGACACAGAGGATGAAGAATTCGATAGATTTAGTGATTTGGAGTGACATTGAGAGTTTGGTAAACTTGTTTTGTCAGCTTTTAGTATACTATAGTTATCTGAATAACTGTTAATACGTTACAGTAACATACCAGAAATCTCTTGAGTTCATTGTTTGTGCTTCATGTAGCTGAATCACCAACGTGTTACGTTAGCACACTGTACCCCTAATCAGCCTGTTGTTCTCTATTCTATTCTTATTATTATAACTTGCCTTTCAAGATGAAATGTCTGTTCTTCGTCTTGGATTTTGTAAAATAAATTTCCCCCAAAAAATGCGACCTAAACCAGTACATGTTTTTTCTTCTTCATTATGCATTTTTTGGCTGGTGCGACTTATAGTCCAGAAAATACAGTACTTTTTATTACCACGACTAATTTTGTTTTCTACTCTCATTATTTTTGCTCTTCTTGCCCTCAGAAAGGAATAAATGGGGAATAAGGGAATGGGTAAAGGAAGTATCTTATTTCCTTTATTTGTTATGCAGATTTTAGAGCAGAGATTTTGCAGTAAAACGTTAAAATAATAGACCGAACGCTTTTTGCTTCTCTGAATACATTTCTTCCACATTTCACAGCTCTACCTTGAACTTTTCCCTCTCCGCCTTCAGCAGCCTGTCCGTCATGGCTCCCTCTCTCTCCTGGGCTTGAATTTGGCGTCGTCCAGAAGTCTGCGAAAAACACAATATGCAAGTCTCAGCATGTATCATAATAGAAGCACACTTATGAAAGTGGTGTAAAAATGAGACGGAAGAGGTGCCGTTGCATTACATCACCTCCCTGCCTCTCCTCTTAGAACATGATACTGGGATGATGGTGGATTTGCTGAGGAGCTTAGATCCCCCTCATTCTGAACAGGCTATGGTGATGAATTAGCGGCTGCTAGCAATAACATCTACCCAAGTGACTCATCATCTATTTGATTCAGATCACAGCGGGCCCATCGGTGGGGAATAAATGTGCCCTCTGCTCTCCTTCCTCTCCTGCTCTTTAGTAGTAAAAGAGATTATTTTCCTCTTCATTTCCTTATGCTTGTTTATTTACCCTTAATTTTTTGGACAAATGCGTTATTTCCCATCGCCCCGGGCCCTGCTGGTGTCCCATTAGGGCACTACGGAAGAGAGGGATGCAAATGAATGAGTAGCTACTATCATTACGCAGTGTTCTGAAAAAGTCTGGCTGAGGGAGAAAAAAAAAAATCAGTCTGGGATACAGCTCCACAGTGCCCCTCTGTGGTCTGTATGTGAACTGCAGGATGTGTGGAAATCCTGTGGGAGACTTTAAAAAGACTGATGTCATGGCAATCCTCTGCACATACAAAACGAGGTCGTCCAGCTTGGTTAATGAGGAATAAATGTGCTGTCATTTCAGATATAAAATAACACTCACATGAATGTAAATCAGCTCTGCGATGAGACAAACTACTGTGTCCTTTACAAACTGTATTAGCAGTGAATCTACAACATGAAAGTGCACCTATCAGAGCTCTGACAGCTATTAATGTGTTAAGAGAAAATCAACACTCAAAAAGGGATTAAAAAAACATGTCTGGCACGACACACAGGAAGTAGTAATTACTTGCTTAATGACCATTTTTACTTGATCAAAGTAGCAGCCTAGGTTTTTTTAAGACTCACTTTGCTTGGTGACAAAGTGAGTCCACCGCTTCACCAGACAAAGGAGACTGTCACTGTAGAGAGATAACCCTCCAAGAGGACATGTATTTCTGTGAGTTCTGTGACGCACACATCGCTTGTTAGTGCTTTGACAAACGCAAATATTCCGGTGTTTAATTATGTGGCTAAGATAACTAATCACACCAATTACAGAGAACAGTTTGCGGTCTTCTCTGAATTCTGTTTTCTAAAGGTGAATAATAATTAGTCAGCACGGATGGCTTGGTGTTCCAGCTTTCATTTTTAACACTGTCAGAACTGGCAGTGACACATCCTCATGACATTTTTAATGTTAGCATCCATAGACGAGTTGGTGTTTGAGTCACGGCAGTCTGTATGATTACTTTGAAAAACCAACATGCTGTGATAAGAAGATGACTGCTAATTAAGGGGGCAACACCGTAGATAAACCAAATTTCTACAGTAGGTTGGTCTCAGATTACGCAGTGATTCCCAGCCGATAAAGCAGACTGAAGAGGTACCTGCATGAGACCAGGAGCAGATGAGAAAATAAGTTTAACAGGCACTATTAATGTCTTAGATACTATATTTTGACTGCCTTCATTGTTATGCCACAGAGTCAGTGTTGACAGGAGCGAGTGAAGAGCCATTCAGAAGGCAAAAGCCATCCTGAAGGACCCTCAGCACCCTCTCTATGCAGAGCACAGACTTCTCCTGATACCAGAGGGGAGGCTCACTTACGCAAGACATGAAATCTAACGGTTATCTTTGGTGATTCGTTGCATCAGCTGCTGCGCCTACGGCACTGCAGACGTAGGACATACAGTATACAGAGGACTGTTAGACTTGGCGTCTCATATCTCACTACAACATCAGGGGGGTTATATTATCATATATGTATGTGTTACCTGGCTGTCTCACTCATCGGCTGTGATAAATATTTGATTATGACTGGTCGAAACCCAAAACTATTAGGGGTGGGAGAAAAAAATCGATTCATTTAAGTATGGCAATTTTTTGTTTTACAATTTTTAAATCGTTTTTTTTTCAAATGTAAGAATAAATCCTAAAAACTGACCAACATGTGATGTGTATTCTGGGGGGGGGAATATGGTTCTTGGAATAGTCAGTAGACAATCATAATCATTCAACTGTTTCCCCAGTGTTAAAAATGCAGACTAAAAATCGAGAAAATCGACAATATCATAGAATCGCAATTTAAATCAAATCGGCATCCAAAAAATCGTACAAGAATCGAATCGGGAGAAAAGCATATCGTCCCAGCCCTAATAACTATGTTTTTTTTTTATCTGAATAGCAAGAGCAACACAAATAGACAAGCTGATCTAGTGTGCTGTTTATGATTTCACTTCCACCTGTTGACAATAAGCCTCCTAAATCTGACACATTCACATCTATTTAATATAGCTCTGCCTTGAGTGCCTCATTGTAATATCTTAGAATTAATATGCTGAATGCTTTCTTTGTGTTACAGAGTGTAAGAGTGTCGACTGGGAGGTGTCGTATGGCGCTATCACAGCAGATGACTAATGGACAAGAGCGTCACCTCCTGCAGCTCATCAGACATGGCCGCCCGCTGATCGGCCCTCCTTTCTCTCTCCCCGGCGTGCATCTCTCTCTCCAGCTCCTGCAGACGCCGCTCAACGCGAGACGTCACCTGCAGGACAGGACACATCGGGTCACACAAACATAGCCCGTGCAGGAATGGCGGCGCAATGTGATAAATGAGACACCAGGAAATTAAAAGAGTCGATGACAAAAATATCTCCGAGAACTGACGGGAAGTATTACATTTAGGATGCAAGAAACTCCTGGTCTAATCAGGAAATATCGCATCCAACTGTAAGAGACAGCTAATACCTTTATCTTGTCACGACCACAGACATGACAAGATAAAAAATATTAAACATGGTGGATGTCTTCTGGTGCAGCATATTTATCACAGCCGTGACGGCGCAGTGAGAAGTCATGTGACAGTAAATGATGCTAAATCATTTGCTAAAGTTGGACTTCAGAAAAGTGACTTTCATAGAAGTAGATGCCACTGGTCTGTGGCAGTTTTCTTTTTATCAGGAAAGAAATCTGGCAATCTGTGATCTGGCATCCTTAAATCCAGGTTGCATTAACTTTTACTCTGAAGCGCACAGAGCTGGAAGGCCTACTTTAAGAATTTATGGAGAAATGCTCAGCTATAACTCACCGAGGCCTGTCTCTGGGATGTTGTCAAGTGCCCTGTGAGGCTCTCCATCGCTCGCCTGGTGTCAATTTCAGACCTATAAAATAAAAAAATATGCCTTGGATTGAAAATATTTACAGAGCAGAGTTCCTCGTCATTTCATTCAAGGACATCGTTGATCAAAATGTGAATGCATAATGTGAAGCCAGTGAAAATTACAATGCAGCTGCAGATGCTGAGATATAGCGAGGGGTCAATTTGGTCTGGTCAGCACGCCTAGAGAGAAGCGATTTTTTAATAACCTGAAAATATCAAATTCTAATTTATGGGGAGAGAAAAATCTGCCTTTTGACTCCAATTTACGGCGCTGTCTCTTGAAGCTTTAAAAAAATGCTTTTATCATTTTCTCATCAAAGAGATTTCAAAGTGCTTAAACGATAGTTTCCTTTAGGGCCACAGCAAAAACTTACCATTAATGTGAAAGATTAAGATCGATATCCTACATTTGGCTCAATCAGACCTGAAGCATAAAGCTAGAGAAGAAAACAATGAAGGAAATCTGCAGACAGGCCTGGAGAATAGACTGTTTTGACAGCAGCTCAGCCTCCTAATATGGCATCCCAGCCAAACAACACATTAGACTTTAACCCCTCCCTCCCCATACCTATTCCTCCGGAGGATTTCTTTGTCCAGGTCATCAGACAGTCTCTGCTGATCACTGCGCAGATCCCTCATGGACTGGTGCATGGAGTGAATCTAAGAGTGACAGCCAGAGTATACAAAACCAGTAAATACAAACAAAGCAAAGCAAGAAGACAGCTGTTGTTTTCTTAAAGGTGGGGTAGGCAGGAATCCGTTAAAGAAGCATCTCTTTTTGTGCTATTAGCTATACCTATTAGTTATTGATGACATTTGGTGATATAACGATATCGCTGTGTTTTGTTATGTCTGTGTAGTCAACATTTTAAAATTTCAGAGCGCTCTGCTCTTTCTGACCGTAAACAAAGCCGTTCCCCGCCTCCCCCATCCTGATTGGTTGTGAGGCAGACACTGCTCCCAACTGCCAACACAAGCAAGAAAACGAACTAAATACTGGAGACTGTGGCGGAATAACGGGCGCTTAAAAAGGAGGTAGACCGGACAAGAGCTACGAAGCCCGGTCAACAATGATTGGGGGTGCTCAGGATCTTACGGACCCTGTAACCTTTCTGCTGGACAGGTAAACCGCTTTAACAGAGTAGGCCGAGTGTAACAGAAGTGTTTCTTGTCAAACGGGACCTGCTGCGTGTTGTAGCGCCGCTAAAGTGTGTCACTTTATCCTAGTTGTAGAAGTCCTGCAAACATTGTGTTTGCTGGTAGTCTGTTGGCATCTACTTTAGCACCAATGCTTTTTACTTTCACGTTGACTGGGCCCAATTTGTAATTACCTTAAGTATTTATCTGCATTACATCTGAATTTAATTGGAACGATACGAGCGAGCAGGAGCGTCTGTTTGTGGGCGGGGCTTGCTGGAGAAGAGAGGGAGGGGAGAGGAGGAGCTGAGGGGAAAATTGGTTGGGAGGGGTAGAGTTTACATTCAAGATTTCTCCCCAAAACTGGCACTTCCTCATATCCTGCCAACCCCACCTTTAAGCGTAATTGAGTTGCTACATTCTGTATGCTGCTGACTTAATGTGCCCCCCTATGGCAGGTCTGTCTACATTTCTTACATCCTCTCCTGTCAGGCTGGTTTCCCTGAAGCGCACACCGGCAGACTGTGACCTCCTTCTTCTTGGTGTGCTTGTGTAGTCCCTCAGCGGAGATGTAGGATAGAAACGCTGGCCATCTGAAATCATGGATTTACTCGCTTTAAAGCGCTGCAGTCAGGGCGTGGGCTTCTTCGGGTTGTTTCCTTCGCATTCGTTATCATTCATAAACAGTATATGAAAAAAATGAAGAGAAAGCTGAACACAAATCCTTTCTATTTCTCCATACCTGATCCTGAGCAGGCCTCCAAGTCACTGGTGTGCAGAGTGGAGGCTGACCCTGAAGCACTCCGAGCCCCATTGGGTCTGCTCAGCCTCTGTGTCTTCAGCTGACTGATTGACTCCTCTAGGTTGTCCCTGAGCTGAGTACAAGATCATGATAGAGTTAACGAGCAAAAACAAGACTGGTATAGAAGAGGACAAACTATGAAGCAGCTCACATCCCTAAGAGAACGTGGAGAAAGAGACATAAAGGGAGGAGGGCCGAGACCTCATTCATTAGCTGTATTAGTACATATAAGACTTGTTTGATATTTTCTATGAGATGTTGAGGGTTAACACTGTGGATGTAGACTTTTAAAAGTACTAGCACACCTATGACACCACCCAGAATTTGTTTTTCATTCCTGAATGTCTACGTTTCAAATAGAATATATTTATCATTTGTAGCAGTATCACTTTTATTTCTTGTTTTAAATCTATTTCTAAAACAAACCGTCATATTTTAAGAGCAATTCTGGTACACAAGAGACATGATATTCTTCACAATGAAAGAACATGTAAATTTTTCATTAAATTTATCATATTCACAGTACCTCCATTAAGTATAACTGTAAAATGAGTCATGTAACAGTAAAATGCAATTATCCAATTAAAACATCAAAATACTTTAAAGCAAAGTCCAGCAAATTAATTGTTGTGGGTAATGAATCAGGTAATAATTAAAAGAACATTTAACCAACCAGTGCCATGGCTTCAGCTTGATCATCTGTGTGGTCCCTGTACTGACCCAGCATCCGGTCCACTTTGGTCAAACTCCTACTGGTGTCCTGTCAGAGAAAAGCATTTCATCTTTGTGAAATGTATGATAAAAAGTACAGGGAGACTGATATTTCTTTGATGCCTTTGTAAATTATGGGTTATGGTTTGAGGTAAAAGAATTTGTAGGTCCAAATCAGAGTAGTCAACTGGAACAATGAGTAAAATATTGATCAAAACAGCTCTGATGGTTTCAAAAATCGTCTATGCCTTATAAATAGTACAAAATAGTGTTAAGACACACATGCACAAGTGTAACAGTGTCATCAGTTAGGTCAGAGTACCTGTAAAGTGTTTGCCAGTGTGCTGATCTTCTCGCTGATGTCTGCACCACGTCCATCACCTCCACTCCCACTGGCTCTGCACCTGTCCCGGCCGGGTCTGCGGTGGGCATCCCGCCCCCGAGGTCTGTGCCCCTGAGCTCGCTCGTAAGAATCCGTCTCGCTTGATGTATCCATATTTTAGGAAAGGTCAAATTTAACGACGACAAGCGGCTGATCGATCAGCAGCAGCGTCGTCTGCATGAAACGCTAACTGTTAACTGAAACGTTAATCAGATTATCGACCAAACATCGCTGCCTTTGAACCGTTTTCACCAAACATACTTTTGTCATAGCTCACAGAGATATAATACGGTTCACTGTTACCTTAACAACACATAGAGAAAGACTGCTATCTAACCTGTAAAACACAACCGTTCAAACTTCCATCTTCCCAATCAATCACAGTGCAGCTCATTGTTGTGGGTGATGCTCCTCCAGTTAGCAACAAGTGGAAACTACTATGAACGTTAGCAAGCTAACCAATTGTTAGCCAACTATTTAAGCCTTGTGACTATCCCGTCAGAACTTCAAAACGCTGCGAAAGTCCAGCTTCAGGTGAGTACATATCAGCACTGTGTGAATTCTACACGACAACCGTTGGCGTTTCGCTCAACAAGTAATAGCGAAGAGAAGCAGCCCTCTGCTCCACTGTGCTATGGCAACTTAAACTAGCCGCGTCTGAACAGGAAAAACAACGGATCACGGCGACTCCAAAGGATGATGGGAAGTGTATTTTTCCAACTGCCAGGCAGTGTTGGAATGTTGCGTTTGTGAACTACATTGTCCGAGGTTGTTTGTTTGCGCCAGTGATGCCGCGCTTCGGTTAGAAAAGTGAGAATTGAAAAGGGTAAATACAAGAAAAACGACGAAAAAGTCACCGAGAAAGATGTAGAAAAATGGTAAGGAAAAGGAAATAAAGTTTGGATGAAGTGTAGACTCATAAATATATCTTTATTGAAACGGCTGATTCGAGTTTTTATGCCCTTTTATTTATGTTGAGTTGGATATCTGGATTGAGTTCCTTTTTTTTAGAGTCTATAACTATCTATCTATTTATCTCCACCTATCTTTACCCTACAACACTATCGCTGCTACACTTTTTATATATACTGTATATAAATTGTAAAGTTGGTTTCTTTTCCACCCATTCCTGGGGCATGTGAGTCTTCCCTGGTGAAAACTCAGGGTCCTGCAGGAGAGAGAACCAAAATATGGCAGAGTTTGAGTGAGTAAAAATGACCAGCTGACTAAAATATTTCTTTCCATATGAATTCCCTTAAAATCACTACTTTGTGATAGTTATTCATAACCACTGCGCTAAATAAAGATAGGCTACCATGCAAATTCCAGGACCACTGTTACTGACCTTATTCGCCTACATGCAGCTATCAAATCCACCCAAACCTACTTTACCGTCTCACACTATCGCTGGGTAAAAATCACCCAAACACGTGCCTGTAGGAAAAAGAGGATTTTGGATCAGGGAAACAAATATGCCTTCAAAGATGTCAAAGGCAAAGCTGAAGCTACCCAGGGACCCATGATACTCAGACAAACGCAACATAATGAAAATCACGTAAACATGTTTGGTCGGGTGGAAATCACCCTGGGATAGTGTTCTAGAGTTAAATCTCTACAGACATCCAAAATATACACACATTTTTTGTTTACTCGTGAAAACAATAGGGTGCAATAAAATTCAAGTTCAAGAGGAGGGAAAAAACTATTCTCCAGTCTGACACAAGAGTGCCTCAGAACCAAACCCACCACAGAGCTGCAGCTGTCCGTCCTATACAGCATCCACACCTTCACAACCTCACAGAAACTCCTGAGGCCCTGTAAGGAGAACAACAATCCTGTGCAGCCCCACTGCATCTACTTCAGACTTCTTTTTTTAGAGTCTGTCTATCTATCTATCTATCTATCTATCTATCTATCTATCTATCTATCTATAAACATTCAAAATATAGACAGTTTTTTCATCTACCAGTGTAAAGTACAGGGTGCAATAAAATTCACAGTTCAAGAAAAGGGAAAAAACTATTCTCCAGTCTGACACAAGAGTGCCTCATAAGTCCACCCTCCCCTTGAGTTGTAGACCACCTCCAAACCCACCACAGAGCTGCAGCTGTCCGTCCTATACAGCATCCACACCTTCACAACCTCACAGACACTCCTGAGGCCCTGCAAGGAGAACAACAATACTGTGCAGCTCCACCGCATCTACCTGAGGATTACGCACCAACAACATGATCATCAGACCCCCTCACAGAAAGTGATTGAAAACTTTGCTGCTTTGGATCATCAGGTGGAGAAACAGAGCTTCAGACTGGGGATATTTTTGTATCGACTCTGACAGCCTGCAGCTCTCCAGCATGCAGGTGATAACAAGTGCGTTGTTTACGCTCCTCACGCTCTCTATCAGCGCCGTGTCGGAGGCTGACTTCTGCCCTGCAGTCTGCGAGTGCTCTGAGTGGAAGAGTCTTACAATCTCCTGCATTGACATTGATATTCTCCCCAGGTTTCCATCAAGCACGGAGACACTGTAAGTAGGCGTACAAAACGCGTCTGTAAAAGCGATTCTGCTGGGTGTTTTTCATGCATTTTGAATGTAAAATGGCTCTTAACCCCGAGGAAAAATCATTATAATATCATGAATATTCCTTCAAAGTGCTCCCTAGGGGACAGAGGCTGTCTGTGATGTTAAGTAGTTATTCCATTTCAAGGTATTCTTTTTCGTCTATTATGGTATTACTAACAAGCCGTGTCCCAGTTGTCAGTGTGACTTGTATTTCAGATTAAGTGTGAGGGTGTAGTCTGAAAATATAGAAGAGGAAAACTGGTCTTTTATAATGAAAAAGGAAAATATTCTTACTGATTTTGGGAACTTATTTTGCAAAGTTTCCATCTTTGATCAATACAACATTGTTCCTCAAACTTTATACACTAAAAACACTTAAATGTCTTTTAAATGTCCTTGTTGATTTTCCGCTTGAGCTGTCATTGAGTTAAAAAAATACACAATATTGCCTGTGATTACTCCAAATTGGTGCTTGTCTTATATATTTCATTGTACATCTGTACTGTATGTAAGTTAAAACTTAAGCGCAGATTTCTGATTCAAGGGCTTTTACAAGAAAGCGGTAGATCTTTTATTCATGCAAGTCTGAGGTGAACTGGGAAGATAATTTGGAAAACAAACAATAAAGGCTCCTTAGTGCTCGTGTCATGTCCCCAGCCATGAAAGCTTACATACTTAGAGCTATCTAATAATGGCCTTAACTTATTTGTCAGCTGAACATGCACAATGTCTCCTGACAAGGGCTGCGTCTAATGAATATAATGTTTTTCCATAATCGGTATAATGCTGATTAATTGCTAAATAGTTGCTGAACATTTGCAAGATAATTGTGAAGAATTAACATAATTTTTGAGAACATGAGTCAACATCTTTAAGTCGTTTTTGTCCGACAAAAACCTCAAAACATAAAACAGTTTTTTACCCGTGTGCCACATAAATGAAGGATCTAAAATGATCAAATTAAACTGAAGTAGATGCTGTATTGTTTCTGACTCTGTTAGCTCCTCAAACTGAAACAAACAGACATGTAAAAAAAAAAAAAAAAGAAAGTCCTTGCCAACTCCATGATCTGTGTGCAGCCTGTCATCTGAGGCCCCAAAGAATCTGTGAAGAATCCTGGGAGCTGACGTGATGTAATATGTCAGGGTCACGTCTGAGAAATGTAGCGGCGCTTTTTACACATCCTAAATTGCTTAAGTACAGTGCGAAAATTACGCAACAGAGAGCGACCAGTTTTCTGTGGCCTTGAGTGATGGAAACACATGCCTTTCAGGGGGACTCTGGCATGTGAGGAAATATACAAGTGAAGGAGTCAGAACGGGTGTTTTCAATTGTAACTCAGTTCTTGGATTAAATATAAAACAATGTTGTTACAGAAATAATTAATAATTAAACTTTAATGTTGTTGAAGACCAGTTTTCTGTTTATCACTATTTTTTAAAGCATATAAACTGCTCATTAAACAACCACTTTAAAAACAATCAGGGTCAACAACATCCTGAACAAGTTTATTTATCGTAATTTTACACTGAAGATAAAAGTCTGCTCATACAGTATGTAAGCTGAGCAAAGGGGAAAAACCCTCACACCAGTTTCAGGCATAAAAAATGACAAAACCAAGTCAGCGTTGTTGCTGATTTTCATGTTTGCTCTCAAACTGGCAACAGTATAAATGTCAGTCTATTTCATGAATGTCAAAAAATACTCATATCCGCTTTAAAATGCCAAATAAAGGAAATGTGCAAGGTTTAATTGTAAAGTATTGGATGAATTAATAAGAATAACTGCCTGCTGGGGAATTGTGAAAATTGGTAATCTCACTTCAGATAACAAAAACAACCAATTATTGTTTAGGATTTTAGACTGACTCCAGGGGTGGCCAATCAGATATCAAGGCCACCCTTGAGGACCTTCCTGGACACGTCCCTGACAAGTATCTGTGCGAAGTTATGATCATTTTTATTCCATTCTTGCACATTACTGCAACATTTACCCCCATCTCTTTGCATTGCCTTTACCAGCACCCTTCACATACAATTATCTCCCAGTCACCACCCCAATTCACATACCCGCTTGCCCCTCTGCCCCCTACTATTTCCCCACATTCCTGCCCAGACATCACCCACAGCCCTGCAGGAGGACAGACACATAAAAGCTTTGGATTGTCATCCCTCTCAATAAATACCTGCCAAATAAGCCTGAAATAGACTTTGTATTGACTGGGTTGTTAGGGCAGATGAGTCATAAAGATGTTGGCTTTCACTGAAGGATAAATGACCCTGATGCCCCAGTCAGGCCGCTGAGGTCCAGTCTGATTCCAGGCAGGTTCTACTATTGGCTTATTTAAAAGACTCCCTCTGTAAGCAGTAGAGATCTCTGTGGACTTCTACAGGGAAAAAAATGATTACTAATCATACAAAGAGAAATAGATACTTGCTGTAGGGTCATAATGAACTCCAAATCCACCTGATTGGAAGTTTGTGTTTCGGTCAAGTAGCGTGAGAAAAGTTTGGAAAATATAATCTATCTCAGTCCTACGAAAAGATCAATACCACTCTCTCAATATAAGTGGTTTCAATCTTGCCATCGAACTCTGCCAGAAAATAAATAAAAGTATTTCTTCAAAAATGTTCCTTGTAAGGCTTATTCCAACATCAGCGGAGGTTTGAGCGCTTGATTTCCAGTAATTTTGAAGAGTTCCAACTACCGGCAACGACTTTTTACCCTGCATGCTCGAGCTGTTATTAAAACAAGAGTAATGTGTGCAAAGTTTCCCCTTATGGAATCAAACTAAAGCAAGTGCAGAGAAGACATCTGTGCATGTCTGTGTGTAAGTGTGCATATGTAAACACTTAGCATTTGGAGTCCTTCGTGTGTGTGTGTCTGTGTATGTGTGTGTGTGTACTTGTGGAGGTTACTCCATGTGTCACTGGGAGTCAGAGATGTGGAAAGGAAAGCACAGGCGCACTCAAAAAGCCTGCGTAGCGTGACTCGTGACTGCGTCTGGACGCTGCATTCAAATACAATATTTACCTTTTACGGCACATTTCTCAAACAGCCGGTGAGTTCCATTTGAGAATAATTAAGAGGGGGAGAAAAAAAAAGACTTCAAGGGGAAGGGGGGAAAATACACAGCAGTTCCAGTCTTTCGAAAACCACAAAAACGTGATAACTCATGATATTCGTTGACCCCTGACCTTTTGTCTATTAATACTCGCTGCTGAGTGAAGCTTTTAATGCAGTTTGTGAGTGGTAACAGATGAGTTCTGCGATTGATTTTAAAATAAGAATAGAGACTTTGGACATCATGAGTTGATATTAGTGGAAATACTGACAGTTGCTCAGCTATTAATTCGTCAGAGGGCTCATTGCAATGGAAATTATTACTGTTATTTGACATCCTGGATAAGTGCTTCTCATATTTATGGGAAAATAATTGTGAATATAATCTCAAATAAAAGCTGGAGTCAAAAATAATTTATACACTGCTCTCACTACTGTTTTTACGTTTAATTTTCCCGTGTGATAAGAGTTAAAGACAGAGAAATAAATATGAGAGTTACAGATTCAAGACGTGATTTCTAAGTGCCACACTGAATCACATCAGAGACAGATGAAACATGCAGCAGAATACTCAACCGACTCTCTCTCCTCGTCACCACAGACCATTACAAATCAAAATGCAGCCCAGCCTGTCGTAAACACACGTTATGTTGCGCTGACAATGAATATTATGAATTATGTGGTTTCTCCCCACTTCAAACTCAATTCGCCACCTGTTTGTTTTCACGGGTTTGTGTTTCGAAATGACAAATCGGAGGAGCACTTTTCGAATCAAACCTCCGAGATGGGCTCATTGGTCTTCTCCACACGCTCCTGAGGGAAAATTTATGCTGGTTGTTTGGGTTCGAGCGTGGCGGTGAAACTGGTGGTTCTTACAGAGGGGTGTTGGGTGTCAGGGTCTGCTCTGTCTCCTCATGTTTGTTTGAGTTTGTCAAAACGTGTGCGGGGTGCCATGCTCCAGTGACTACTGACTGACTGACTGACTGACTCCCTTCAATATACCGTATATGTGATGCAGACCTACAGGCCAGATCTCAGACTCTGAGTTAGTCTTTTGTTCCCCTGAGGGATCAAAGGTGTGTGAAGATGGTAGCTTTTGCTGAGTCTCTTTTCATGACTGTTTGAAAATTGATCTAAAACTACCACCTACTCCACTTTGATTACTTTTTCAGTCTCTTCACTTGGATTAAAACAATCCTGTAAACATCTTTGATTTTGTCTGGTCAAGTAGAGGTAATAAATTGGCAGAGTTAAGTTAAGAAATTTGCTGTTGCGACAAAGAAAACAGTGTTGTACATTAACCCTCATATAACTATGACATGTTGTATTTGGTACAGAACCAACAGATGAGGTAAGTGTTCATGAGTGGGTGTTAGAAGTGCTGGCAGGTCTAATGTTTGTGCCAATTTGGCCTTTTTTAATACTTTTACATTGAGCCAAGCTAAGCTACCCATCTCCTCGCTGTTGCTTGGTACAATATTAAATACAGTAGGTATTAATTTTGTGTTTTTACCCCAGAAATATGCAGAATTTTATATGCAGTTTTAGTAAAGTTTTGATATTAGAAAAAGTTAGCTTTGGGGTTTAAGGCAGGCAGAGTTTTTTTAAGCCTTAATGTTCAGCTTTGTATTTACTGTCCAAATAAGATTAGTCCTGATCTAACCATTAAACTTGATGAATATAAGCCAAAAGGCATATTCCCTAAATGACAACTTAGATAAGATGTTGGTTCTGCAATAATAAAGAAAACCTCTAATAAAATATTGTCAATGTTATCCTCCGTATTTCACAGTGTGTCTACAACAGCAGGCTCTGTTTAAGCTTGTGTATGCATCTCTTGCTCAGGTCTGTCCTAACCTTACTCACAGGAACATTGCCCTAAACAGACGCAGACATTGTTGAACTTGGCTGCCTGCTCAGGTCCAGTCCAGATCCAAGTCTTTGTTCCCCCCTAGGGGTTCTGTTTTACCGAAAGTATTGGGAAAACCTTTCATCTGTAGCTGCGGTTTAACAGTGTTGAGCTTTTATCTGTACCTCTGTTTTTGACCTGGACATTGTCTCCGTGTTCCTGCAGTTCTCTGTTGAATTACTGGACAATTTCAAGGACAATGCGCTGTTTGTGGCATGTGATAACTTCAAATACCAGGACATTTATAGGGCTCACCCTGTATGTACTGTTGATGAAGTTTAGATGCTGTTCTGAGAATTATTTGTGGCTATAGAGTGGCGTTTGGGTTGAGGTTTGTTTATGGCTCCTCAGACCGCTGTGTATTGCTAACCTGTGGTCATTACTAAAGTTGGTATAACTAGAGAAGCAAGCAGACGGCAACATTCATCTCTCGAGGGGGTGTCTAACTCGGTGTTACAGTGTGTTTGACCCTAAATTAATTTCACACCGGAATGTCCCTTCAAATGCATATACCGTGTCTTAGCCACAGCGGACTACCAGAAGCAACTCCAGTCCAAAAATCATCCTGGAGCATCGGTCCAATTCAAATCACTCTCCTCAAAACCCTCCTTGGAAATACAAAAACCCCACTAAGAAACGCTCCATCTTTGTCTGATAAAGCCCCACTGAGTCCCTCAACCCCAACCCGACAACCAACCTGAGGCAGACTTGTAAGCAGGAAATTAGCGTGCTCAAATCTGACAACCAGCAGGACCAGGGCCTCACCTCGCCCACACAACAAGTAACAGATGCAAGAAATCACCTGCTGATTTGGGGACAAATCTGGGAACAGTATTTGACACAGTTTTTAACCCTGATCCACTCACAGCTCTATCTGTCCCCAAATATCTTCAAAGTTGTCAGATGTTGAATAAAAAGTGCATTTGTGTCAGCTAACAGACTTGTTTTTACTCTCTAACCAGGTGGCTCTTCGAGACCCGTCTCTCATCCATACCCGCAGATGCCTTTGCAAACATGGTCAACATATCAAGAATGTGAGTTTCGGTGTATTCGCTGCTGTACTTCCATTCAAGCCTGGAACATATACTGATTTTACACACACTTGCTCAAATCCACCTGCTTTCTTTCAACTGCTCTGCTCCAAAACAGAGAGAAGCTATCAAAGTTCCAAACTGCCCACCCTTTCCTTTCTGTCTCCCACCCAAGCAGATGATTTACTCTCTGTTTAGTATCACCGCCGGCTCCTAATCACAGCTGGAAGCACTAAATACGTTCCTTCAATAGGAATGTGGGTCCTTTAACCGCAGCAGGGTTTGGACATCAGCTCAGAGGTTTTTTGGGTGTGTGCTGATTTTAGACTCTATGTAGAGGTGAAGTCTCCATGTAGAGGTAAAATATACACTGGATCCTGAGCCGCTGAGTCTGAAGTCTGCATCCAAGTCATGCATAAAGGGAGACGGAGGTGGATTAGACGTTTTCTGTAAGCCTCAGACAGCTCGAGTGCACGCAGACAGTGTTTCCACTGACTCACTGTTTGTTTTGCATTTGAAATAATAGACCGAATTATTGAAAACTTACATCTTCTGATTCTACAACACCAGCGAATGTTAACATTTAATTTTGCATATTAAGTGCCTATAAACGGCTGTATGAAAACAGAATACTCATTTTTAAGGTTGTTCGGGAGTGAAGGTTTTGGTTTATTTGAAGAGCTCAAGTCAAAATAAATGGGAGTAGAGTGACTGATGACTGTGTAATGTATACGTGGGGTGCATACCTGTAAAATAACCCGTGTCTTTAGAGGCTTAAGACGAGGTGGGATGATAAATTCAGGAAGGAGTTGCAGGCTTTAGGATAATTTCCACAGCCACACACAGAGACTCTTTGATGAAACGCGTCTGATGTTACATTTGCACACAAGTAAGACAGATGCTAAAAAAAAAACACCATTACATTGATGCCACAAAAGAAAATTTGTCCTTTCCATAAGCTGTATGTGTTTCTTTTAGATACATATCAGTGGATGTGATGCTGCAGAGGCTGGAGAGACACTCGTTTTACAACCTGAAGAAAATCACCCACATGTAAGTAACTAAAAGAAAAGGGCACACTCTTTTATCGATCTTTATCGATCAAGCTGTTCCATTTGCTCTCTGGAGAGGAAAAAAGCTTAGTTTTAAACCTTGCCGGCAGCAAATGAAAGCGGGGAAGAAACACATTAGTTGCTAATTTCTCTTCTACGCTCCCGTGCCTCTGATCACGGCTCCTGATCAGGGGGGTACAGAGCAGTTAGGAAAAACACACTGATGTGAAATTATAACATGCAATTAGATGTAAAAGACTCCATTTCAATAACATAACTTGTTATCTTGCTTATTATCACCGTGCCAAGGTAAATCAAAAAGTTAAAATGACCATGTTCGAGTCAGTATTTGGTTTTTCTTCTTTTTTTTGCTCCCGCTCATGTTGAAGCAGCTCAGGGGGGAAAAAGTCTTGCAAGGTGCACTCTATTCTCAATTATGGGATCGAGATTTATGGCCGAGGCTTCGGGTGGACCACACACTTTTCCAGCAGAACACCTCCTAGCACTTCATATATTACTGTGAGACTTCCCTGCCTCTGTGAATGATTTGTTCCTGCGTCTCGTAACACAGCAGTTTTGTGTGTACGCAATTTGTTTCCACTCTTCATTAACAGCGTGAAAATGTGAGAGTGGGTTTCGGTACGACACAGCGACTATAATATATGTCTACAGGAATTAATTTGACGGGGTAAATGAATGTGTTCACATCATTCGGCTGTCATTTTTATCTAAATCACGCTTCCTGTACGTCTTTTCTAATTAGCTGCTGAATTCCAGACATCCAAATACAGACAGAAACGATCCTTCAGACCGCTCGCCGAGGGTTATATCTTTGTTCTGGTGGTGTATTTTGGATCTCCGGGGCCTATTTGCCTCTGATTGGTGTGGTGCAATGCCATACATCAGATAATGGCATCTCTCTCAGGTTTCCTTCAGGGTCAGACGCAAATTAATGCTCGGCTTCCTGTTGGCTGCTTGAGGCCGACAGCAGCTGTGGTTCAGGGACTGCAGTTGAAGACGAGAATTCAGAGGGGGGGACTGGGTGAAGGTTGTATCGTGCCAGCATCAAGTGAAACCGCCACTGTCAGGAATTCTGGTCGGGCTCTCTGCTGCGAAGCGAAAGCTGACGGTTGGGCTGGCGTAGGGATGTATCAAGTGCAGAAATTATCGACCTATAAATGGACGTTCATGTTTTTATCATTTAAGTTGTCTGTTCGGGGAGAAAAATGATGAGAAATCAAATGTGTTTTGTCTTTTGGATCAAACACATTTGGTTTGGATCAAGTCTGAGACATAGATGGCATGATGGAGACTTTATTTGACTAGAGGTGGCCCAGCTGGGGTTCTTACTTCTTACAGAAATAAAAAGCACTGATTTATCCTTTTTTCTCCTCTGACAATATCAACTCCACGATGACTAGTTTAGCTCAATGGTCAAATTGCATGCCTTAGGTGCAGGGGTGATGGTGCTGGATGCGAGTTCAAGGTCAATTTTGACCCACGGTCCTATGTTGCATGGGTGTGTTACCACCTGTGACCCCCAATTTTCACCGCATCCGGAACGGCTCAGATCCGGAATAGCAGGGATTGCAATCGCGCGATACCACAAAACCATAAAAGCAGTAGATTGTGTCCTTCCAGAGGAGGAAATCCACTTCTAGACTTGTAAAATCAGCGTCTCCTCATCCATCGTGTCATCAGGATAAAATGCTCTCTATAAACCTTTCACTTGTTCATCCCCGCCCTTATGCATGGTGTGAAATACGATCCACCTGAAACACGGACTATTTTATTTTGAAAAGAAGCCAGATGTTTTATTTTGTGTCTGTGCCTGACTTCCTTTCCAGCACGGGTTAATCTGTGCTGAATTTATCCGGCATGCTCCGGTGTCCAGGAATAATAGAACTCTTGCGATCAGCTGCAAAGTCCAGCGAGCCGCTGCAGAATGGAAAGAAGACAGTGGAAATTGACACATTAACTTGAATGGTTACGATCAGCTACGATCGGCGGATACGGCCTTTCCGTACCTGTTCTGGATGCGGTGGAAATTGGGGGTTACGCTCACAGGAGGTGTAAAGGCCAGACTTTCAAAACCATTAACCATCATGTGTCCCATCATGAAGCAGACAAACTGTGTGGCGATGCATTAGTTAGTGCCGCTACAGCACTTGCACCAATCTAGATAAGGCTGGACCGGTCGCCTCTGGACCACCACAGAGACAGAGAAGTCCATTTTCGGGGCAGTTGTTTGCACTTCAACATTGAAATAACAGAATCAATACAGACTTCTCTTAATGGTAGTAGCCTAGTGTATGAGTTTCTGAATAAAATCTGTTAATCAAATATTCATTTTATCATAACATGCATGTTTACCAATGCTGTAAATATTCTATATGTTGTTGTCAATAATTACAGTGCAGTTGTATGAGGTACTCGTTAGTAACTTGCCCATAGTAAGTGTATTAACCACAGATCCAGATCCACTGAATGGCAGTGTGTCTTCAGACTGGGGGCTCTATTTTCGTGCGCGCCGGTGAGGCGGCGGAGGGCGGCGAGCCCCGCGCAGTTGTATTTTCGTCTGGCGGAGCCCAGCGTAAGGCCAGTTTGGTATTTTCGTGGCATGAGCCGCACGGAGGCGAGCCGAGATCCGCCAAGCTGGGCGTGGTGGCGTGGCAGGGGGAGGTTTCGACCGAATCAGCTGGCGCAGTGACATTTTCGTGCTCGCCAACGGCGTGTAAAGTGCGCTGAAAGCTCGCCGATTCAAACCTGGTCAGCTTTCAGCGCAAGGCGGAACGCAGCTGGTCTTGTAGTATTTTGGTAGACCGGCGGCGTATCGACATACGTCACTGATGCCTCACCGGCAGGTTTCCACAGTGTCAGGCAGATTTCAGTGCAATAAATAATCATCATCAACTATTAATCAGAGTCAGCACATACATTTAGATCTATATAGATATATTCTGATCTATATCTGATCTGATGAGTGCGTTTGGCACGCGTTTGGACACACAACCTGACCGAATCAACACAGCTGAAACCGCATCAAATTAAATTAAATATCTAGTAAATATACACACATGATGAAGTTAACAAGATATGTAATGTGTCTCCCTCCTTTTCTTTCTTCCTCTTCCTCTTATTTCTCGCACAGCTCGACCTGGACACGTCTCCGTGTCCTCTGTCCGTCTTGCTGCTGCTGCAGCTGAACAGATGATTTGTTTCAGTGCTCAGATGCGTTATCTACTTTAAGCCGACATACGGATATTATAATATTCAGTTTTGTGAGCCAAATTTATTTATATGCCAACATCTATGAAAGAAAGAGCCAGGCCACGGAGCGCGATGGGTCATTTACGCACAGATGGTTCCGATTTTAATGCCATTTTTGGAGTTTATGTTGTGATCTGTGCGCTCAACCCACCTTTGTCACGTGAGGTTTGAATATGAGCAACTTTATGTGAGTGTCTTTATTTGTGGAAACGGGTGTTTGTCTTACCAGTGGGTCCAACATTACGCGCACTAAATCCATCTGTGCTCATATGAGAGAGTGTGGAGGACACTTGTTGAGGAGCTGCCCTCTGTCGCCATCTTGTGGCATTACTGTCTTAAGACATCTCTTGATCTCTTTGACTACTCCATGAAAATAGTAATACGCATCGCCTGTGGCGGATTTAAAGGCAAGGAGAGGAGCCTATGTGATTGGTGAAAACAGGTCTCGGCTGTGTTAAACCAACTACACGCCCCGTCTACGACTTATGGTGCTGGGAGGAGCTGAGTTAGGGAGGGGGATACTTACGCTGGGCTGCGCGGCTCACCAAAATACCAAAATGTGCTTGGGAACGCCTTGTCAGCGCGGCGGATCTGACTGACGCTGCGCTTGCGGCACGTCTCCGGCGAGGCACCAAAATAGAGCCCTAAGTGTTCACACACAAGTCTACATGATACGTTTACCTTATCAAAATATGCCGTGTTTGCTGTCGAAGCTGAAAACTGAGCCGAAATAACAAACTCTCAAGCACTTGCTGTGATTGCCAAATAGTCCAAGGCATTTGGGGATAGAATTAAGTCAAACCTGATGCAAAAATATCAATGCTGGCGTAAACAGTGATTGGACTGTACTTAAACTGTGCTTTTCCAGTCTTGGGACCACTCAAAGCACTTTATCTCTGTATGCCTCTTTTATACACAAATTCACACTCTGATGGATGTGGTCACAATACAAAACTTGCCAATTTTTACAAAATTATCCATGTATGCACTTTTACTTTTTGGACGACCTGCCAGCAAGAGCGACTGTCTTGTGGAGCTGGGGATCAAAACTTAAACCTTCCCATCAAAAGATGACAGACTCTACCACTGAGCCACAGCCGCCGCTGGATGGATAACAAAGACAGGACACAATCACTGTGAACTCAGTCATTGGTTTGTGGGCTGTATGGAAGCAGAGGTTACCATACTTAGACACGAGAGCGGAGCTAAGGAGTAACAAGGAGCTGCTCAGTTTTCAAAGCCAAACAGACCTTACCTGTAAACTACTTAGCTGGCTAATAATAGCAACAGTGTTTATGAACCACTAAGATTTTATTTGTGACAGTAGTTAAACTAAAAGGACCAGAAAACAATCATGGGACCTTGTAAAATATAACAAATTTGCCATTTGCTCCCTAACTATGAGCAGCTGGTGGAAAAGTAAAACAAATAATGTTGTGTATTTCTTCTAGAGACCAAAACTGTTTCATGTAGCGGCTGAAAAAGCTAACTGATTCAGAAAGATCTTCAATAAGCTCAACAAATTCAGAAACAATGGAAAATACAGACATAAAAAAGCAGTGTAACCTATTTAGTTATAGCAGTGGAGCTTAGGTAGGCAGGGTTCATTACACAGGATGAGCTGAGGTTTACTGTGAAGGAATACCGGAAGTAGTGTTGTTGTTACCCGGTCTGAGTTCACATGTGAAAAGAAAAAAGAATTAAAAAAAGAGTGGACCCTGCTGTCAACAATGAAGACAGTGCAACCTATTTAGTTATAGCTGAGCTAAGTAGCTAGCTACTGCTAGCATGTTTAGCTTAGCTGCTCAAGTGTAATTAGTACAACATGTATGCCGTGTGTGATAGGATGGTAGGGAAAAGTCCTGCCTCCTTGCCTCTGATTGGCTAGAAAAGCTGCAAACGTCATCACACGCTCAAGCCAAACACAGGCTGTCGGCTCTGTACATCAAACAGAACATTACAGAACATTATCGCACTTCTGAATCTCCTAACCCTAACCCTCATCCTAATCCTTACCCTGACCCGACGATGACGTTTCACAGCCATTAGGAATAACCAATCCGAACCCAATCGGAACCCCTGCACTTTGCAGTAGGAAGCTCGGTTCAAAGAAAAGAAAAACAAAAGCTGCTATAACAAAAATAGGTTACAGCAGCAAATGAAACGAGCTGCAACAACGAGAAAAAATTTGCCAAAAAACTGAAAAAACATATTTTTTTCTATCAAAGCAGTCAGTCCCTCTCTATTGTTTCAGAAAGAGTATCATCAAGAATGCAAACTTCCTCTGACGGTTTAGTCAAAGTGGTCAGCCAAGGATACTTGAAGAAAAATCACCCGTCAACCATAAAAACAAACTTTATCAATGGTATATCCAAGTAAAGGCTTATTAAATTCCAGACAGCACTCTTATATTATCCTCAAGTTTGGAGGTTGAAGAGTTGTTACAAAGATTCAAACTCTTAGAGTCAATTTAGGTGCTGCCACTCACAAGTTTTGTAGTCCGCTTGACAGACTGTTTAATAGTTTTATTAGCCAATATAAAATTAGCCTCCTGACATTTCAGTGCAGCTCCGGTCTTCTCGCTGCCGCTCAAGGATGATGAACTTCTCCCACTCAGAGACTCATATTGACGTCTGTCTGCTGGACTCGCTGTAGTTTGCCAGGTGTGTGAAGAAGGGCCAGCACACACGTTCCAGAGAACCACATGTCTTCAGACAGCAGAGAGAGGTGTTCAGCTCAGGGCGGACCAGAGTAAACACACTAATGAAACACTAATTGGACTGTACTTCCGGCCCTGGCTGTCTGCACCGACTTTCCCTCCTCTCTCCCTGGCATGCACTTTGTCCTGTGCTGTCAGCAACTTTGAAGACACGCTGTGCTCCTAAATGTGTCTTTAACTGTGCTCCAAATTAGTTTGTGTTTGCGTGGAGGTGCACTCACAGCCAATCTTTTCCCTGTCTGTTCTTTCAGAGAGCTACGTAATGCAAAAAGTCTGACCTACGTTGACCCAGAAGCCTTTAAAAACCTCCCAAACCTCAAATACCTGTGAGTATTTTTCCTTTTTTTTCCCCTCATTGAATTCCACATACTGACACCATTATGGTAATCCAGAAAGATGAGTGGTTTATATTTAAAATGCGTCAGTCTGGCAGTGATTTGGACTTTGTGATATTCTCATAGCTTCGGTGGGCAAGGGTTGAACTGTGCTTCATTTGAGTTTAATGCAGTGGTACAGGTCAACTCCAGAAAAGTGAACGCACGCTCTAAATAACTAAAAAGAAACCTGACGTATTTGGCCGGAGAAGGGAAGATGTCAATCTTGAGTAAACTTTTGACTCGTGAGAAAATTATAGGTTGTTGTTTCCTCGACGCAGGCCACAGCTGTGTACTTTCGCCTGATCTCACGGTTACTTAGAAGTACTTAAAGAATCTGCGGCTTGGCACAAAACGAGACTATTTGGTGTCGAAAACAAATGCGCCAAAAATGAATTGGGTTAGCTATTATTAAATGAAGTCATCTGCCCGAATTTAGAGGTTTTTGTTAAACCCGCAAAGCCACAACAACATAAGACAGCTATCATTTTTCATAACAAGCTAAAGAGAGTTTGTGTGGCCTTTACTGCGCTCTTGAACGTGCTAACTCTCTGCACCTTTTCTCTTCAGGGGGATTTTTAATACAGGCCTCACTTTCTTCCCTGACTTGAGCAACATCCGCTCCAACGACATGAACTTCATCCTGTAAGTTGCTGTATCTTTACAACTTCTAAACCGAGCTCATGAATCAGTTTTCATGCTTGCTAAGACTACAACTTGTAGCACTTTAAAGTCTGCAATTAATAGTCGCATCAATCTAGAGCCATTACTCTGACGATCATAAACCAACGACGCTGTCGGCGAGATGATTGGCTTTTTTTCGCTTGTCCATGCTATACATTATGTACTGTTTAAGAAGCAGAAAGATGGATGTGTTTCCATTACAAAGATTTTTTTTTTAGTTTTTCATCACTTCTGCAATGTCACTAGGTGTAAAAATGATGAATAAATGAGAGGTATAGCTTGGAGATTAAGGGAAAAGGTGTTGATACTGCAAGATTGTGTTGAGTCATTACTTATTTGCCTTTACTTGTGCAACATCTTTTTAAAGTTTTAAAAGTTTCTAATCTAGAAAACATCATATTTGCAACCTCGTTCTTCTCTGTGTTGTTTTCCTCTGCAGAGAAGTTGTTGATCATCCATATATCACTGAGATCCCAGCCAACTCCTTCAAAGGCATCACAAATGACGTGCTGACAGTGTAAGACATCTGCAGACAAACTTTACTTCTATGCTACATTTTTATACAACAAGTCAAAGACTGAATCACTACATCTAAGTTGTAGAGTGCACAGTGGGTGCTCTTGCATCAGTTTGTCCTTTATCCCTAAATCCAACCAAAACCTCTTAAATAGCCACTGGAAGCAGTGGGTGCTCTTGCATCAGTTTGTCCTTTATCCCTAAATCCAACCAAAACCTCTTTAAATAGCCACTGGAAGCAATCGTGTTGCATTTAGGTTTGGGTTCGAGGGTAGAGGGATTGCAGTTTTTATCCCCAAAACAGCATGTTACAAAGCACGTCCTTTCTCTGAACTCATGTGAATCTGCACAGACAGATAAAACCTCACCATAGAATTTGAAAGAAGTAGGTCTTATTTATCTCCGCCACTCATCGGCATCAAGCAATCGTGTTGCATTTTAGTAGATTTGTAAGTGAACTTCAAGAGACCCTCATGGACTAATTCTTATCAGTACTTGGAGTCAATACAGTAAAAACGTCTTTATTCCCTCCAGGATGCTCTATGGGAATGGCTTCAGAGAAATCCATCATCATGCATTTAATGGCACCAAGCTAGATCAAGTGTAAGTATTTTATATTATGTACTTTATATTATGTGACCTTCATAAACTCTTGTTTAAAGGTCAGATACAGTGGGTTTTTTAGCGGTTCACCATCCTAGTTTTCTGAGCAAGGTCTTGAAAAACATCAAAAATTCAGCCTATGTGGATGATCTTAAAGGGATATTCCGGCATAAAATTAATTTAGAGTCCCTAACTTAATCTTACACCGTAATATCCCTTTAAACCTCTGCGTTTTTAGCCTCATTATCCATGCAGGGATCTGAGTAGGAAGGGCTATGATAATGCGGCACTGATTCGCTGCTCAGTACAAGTGGATGCAGAAGAGGAAAAACACCAAAACAAACATGGCGAGTGCGCCAGAAGAACTCAAGCTAGTAGTTGGCTAAATATTTCTTGCTATAAACTGTGAATACTATAATGCAGTATGTCTGCTGTTGTTAGCTGCCAGGGTGTTAATGTTTAATCTAAAAAGCGGCCACCATTTTTTTTGGCCCTGCAGAGGTGGGACGGAGGTATATGTTGGTTGGCAAACAACAACAGAGCAGCTGATGTGAAGCACTAACATTTGACCTCAGTAGCAAAGGAGGACATGGAATCACTCAAAAAATGGGAGTGGCTTCTGTTACATGTATAATCTAATCACTCCTGTCGTGACATCACCACAGGAGCTAATTCAAATTAACTAGTATAAGCCTTTTTTTCCATTAAGTGGACTAAACAATGCAGAGGCTTTACTGCTATCACATACTAAGGACTGTAGAATTACTTTAGCATTAGCTTATATAAATATATCGGCAAGGAAATACTTTTTTTTTCATTAGATGGGACCTTTCAGCAGATGGAAAATATGTGCCAAAAGCATTTTTTTTTCTTTTTACCTAGAATTTATTTGCAGTTTCAAACACTTTTATAAACACTGTCAAACTGAATTATCAAAAGTGCTTTTAAGCAGTTACACAACTTATTAAATTAATTATCTTTCACTTTTTTTCTTGGGTAATAAAACTCTTTTTATCAGGGCCAGTATCTTTCACTTGATCACCAAATTACTTGATTTCGAAGTCTTGTATTACTCAAAAAACAAGGCTCCTTGGTGTGTTGCCTGGATTAAATAGTTTCTGACATCTGGCATGTGTATTTCTTTGCCCAACGTTGTACTTCAAAAGCAGCAGGATCACAGTTCGCTCTCTCTTCTACAAGCCTTCTCATATGTACTCTGAAAGGGCCTAAGCCCAGCTCTTGATTAGCGAGCTGGACTTCTCATGGGAAAAATGTTTCCGAGAGTGGGTATCAGGAAGTCTGCGTTATGAGTTTGACTCTCCCAAACACTCAGTGACACTGGACCCTGAATCTGTGTCAGACTTGAAGAAATCAATTTCACACTCACATTCAATTACCTCATCTGGATAAAATACAGGAGAGCGAGTACGCATCGCTTCCCGTACTTCTTCTTTTGTCACAACATATTTTTCTTTTTTCCTGTCACCCCCTGGTCCAGAATCCTACTTATTCAGGATATGAGATATTAATGATATTACTTCTATTCTTTTACAACACCTACACACATCCTTATAAGAGGCTAATTAAGCCATCGGTTTGACTAGTGAGATTTTGCAGATTGGTGTTTATGCTGGCGCCTGATCTGCTCTGAGGAGAGATCTGATCCCAGCACAGCCTGACCAAGAAAAACACACCCCTTACAGGTCTATTATCCTTATTAGATTTAAGGGATTCAGGGGAGAGGTGTAGTGAGGGTGCAGTGTGTTAAAGGAGTAGGCCACCAGGTCTTACACTGTCTAATTTAAATCAACAAGGTGAGTGAGTCTTTTCTGTCATGTTTCACCCATGAAATGAGAGAAAATAAACAGAAGAGTGTGCAGCAATGAGGGCTGGAAAAACACCACGCCATGCCTCGCCTCTGTCAGTCAAACTGAAATGTGAAGGATTGATTTCCTCTCCATAAACTCTACTCTGTGCTCTCTTCTCCAGTGACCTGCACAGGAATAAATACCTTACTAAGATGGATGACAGGGCTTTTGCAGGCACCGTCAGCGGCCCCATGCTTCTGTAAGTACCTGAAGGGATAAAAAGTTTGAGCCCTCTCTTCTCAACTCTCCTCTTTATTGGAATCATTTATTACTTCACACAAACTGCCTCCAATATGATGATATTCCTCTCCAAGACACACGCCGCAAGGTTTTAACTCAGCCGTGTGACGCTTTGTGATGGATTCTTGCAGAGTTAGTATTTCTGTTCCTTCTGAAATGTTAAAAATCTACAAACTGGTACCTGGTGCGCTTATTTATTTGCAAGATAGGTTAACTGTATTAAAAAATTGATAGATAATAGGCATAGCGTGGTGATTTTATTCCTCACACATTGTTAGGTTTCAGAGGTTTCGTCATCACAAATGTGCAGACTGCATTAGACATGTCTGTGCAGGTGGAGAGCATATCATGAAGGGTTCAGATCTTTCCTCCACAGCTGCGTCTTTGACCAAGAAACCTGAAACTCATTGTGTGCAAATGTGTGAAGGAAAGAAACCTCCACACTTCTTTGATACTGTTGTTTTTTTGTTATAGTCGTAAGTTTTTAAAGCTGACTTCCCGTTTTTACAGGTGTTTGATGGTAAAACCCTCCATCACGGCTCTCCTGTTGCTGCGGAGGCTCTGATGTAGCCGTTAAGTTTGGGGTTAGGTAAATGAAGTCCGTGTGTGGGTCTTCTTCCTGTGCTCCGCTGAGGAACATGTCCTGAATGAGGTTACCTCCATGAGGTCATGGGCCAAACATCTGCGAGTGACAGAATCAGTCTGATACTCATAGACTTTAAGCTGCTTTTTTTTTCACGGCCTTTCACAATGTGTCTCATGAGAGGGAAAAATAGCAGAGGACAGAGAGGTGAGGAGGGCAAATGGGACAAAAAAAGAATAATTTGAGCTCTTGGCTGATAAAGAGATGTTTGGCGTGTGTTGCTTTTATTTAATCAGATTAATCTGCAGATGCTGTGACTAAGAGCTGTAATGGGTTAGGAAACTAAAGAAAGCAAAAGACAACTCAAACCCCGCTCGGCCCCTTGGAAGAAGGGGATCAACAGAATGTCCTGATAACAGGATCACACAGGATGTCGGTGAGATAGTCAATCCCCTGCATATCGCTGTCCCGGAGAGATGACCTGGCTTTTGCATGACAGCCTAACACAAGAAATACCAGATGTAATTACTTAAAGATGACAAAAGAGCGAGGAGCTCACCGTAGGAAACAGATGGTGGCTGTTAGTTAATCCATCTCTGAACTGACCTCTCTGTTTTCATCACATCAAGCTCCATATATAGATTTACTGACAGTGTATTTGTTTGTGTTGGCTGGTTCCTTCTGGTAGTCGAATAAAAGTATATTGATTAGTCTGATTTATAGGTAGGCCTTAGCACTCAAACACATAACAATACGACAGGCAATATAAGGATCACACCAACGTCATCTGTCTGCTATGACAGACAAAATGTTCATCAAATCCAATATATGTCATATATTGACCTGCAGTTGGTCTACACTTACATTGCTGCTGCATCAATAAAGTATTTAAATTGCTTTTGACCGATTACACTCTTTCACACTTGATGTCACACAATTAACAGAAAAGGCTTCTGTGTACCAGTCTGATCCAAATCTACCAATGTTACCCATTGGTATCTAGAGCAGTGGTGGTGGTTTCCATAATGGAAACGCTGACTCAATCCAACATTCAGTCGACCTAGCAGCAAAAAGCAAAGACTTTTTGATTTCTGTTGAGCCATCTGAAGTTGTTAAGAAAGAAAAATACGGTTTAGTAAATTCTGAGTCAGCATTGATTGGGTTAAAATAAACAAAGTCATGTTTAGGATTAAGTTTTCATACATATTAAATTCTAGTTTACATGATTATTTAAACCAGTAACATGAGTTCGACAAATCAATGAAAAGACAGAGATAGGGGGTTTGCTAAAAATATCAATACTTAATTGTATTATTCTACACATGGTAACAGAATTTCAATTAAAGCATCAGTTAGTGACTGTTTTAAATTTAGTATGCTGCTAACAGGTGACGAGAAAAATCTGTTTTCAATTGAAAAAGGTAGTGGTGATGTCGGCCTTGTAAGGACTGATGTCAAAGTGCCATTAATCAGTCTGATCAATTTGGCAGCTGATTAATTATTCTATCTTTATTATTGATGGGATGTATTGGCTTTTGTAGCCAGCCCCGAGTGGACACTCATGGAACTGCAGTTTTGTGCCTTTCTGAGTCAGTTTCATCTTTCACTTTTACTTCCTGATATCATCTGAACGTGTGGAGTTAAGGTGGAAATGATAAGTTCACACGGAAAGAATAAATAAATGTTGTTTACATGTATATATGTGCACATACTTCAAGCCACCCCTGAATAATCTGTACCCTTGTTGGACAAAGTCTGGACCATCAAGGAATCTTATCAGCGATGTTCAAATTTCCTCTGAACATTATTAACGTTTTTCGTATGTAGTCTCTGAAACTCTTGTATTCCCCCTTTCTCTCTTTAAGAGATGTGTCCATCACTGGGGTCACGTCTCTGCCGACAACAGGTATGGACTCTCTTCGGGAGCTGAAGGCACGCAACGCTTGGGCCCTTAAGAAACTGCCTCCCATCAAAACCTTCAAGCATCTCACTGTGGCCAACCTCACCTACCCTAGCCACTGCTGTGGCTTCAAAAACCTCAAAAAGAAACGAAGGTGAGTTTTCTTGGTTTAATTCTGCTTGTTGTACTCATTAAAAGTGTTTGAGGGTCATAAAATCGAGTAGAAGACACAAAAAGAGTGTGTGTGAACGACAGAGGCTAATAGAAATCACTTCTGCCACAGTGACCGAGTGGCTGCTCTTTCATGAGGTGGATTTTGGCAGAGGTTGGATTAACTTAATGACGTGTTCACCTATAACTCCTTACAGTGCTGCCATAATTAGTGTCACTCATTGCTGTTATTTCAGGAAAAGGTTGAGCCCGACTTTTAATGACTCTCCAAATAGGAATCTTTATCCTCGACTGGCTATGTTGTTTATTTGATTTGACTTTTAGAGTTTGAGAGGACTGAAGTAATGAGTGCTACAGTATGATTCCATAGACTCAATATCCTAAGTGTATCCTTGTGTATGTTTTCAGCCATTGGGAGCACTCAATGTGTAACTTGACTGCTTTCCAAGACCAGCATCACAAGCGCTCTGTGGGGCCCCTCGGCATACCGTCCCTCCAAGGAGACAGCATGGTGGACCCAGTCCCAGACGATGAGCAAAACAACGCCGGCCACAAAGAGTCCCAACAAGACTGGAGGAGAGGCGACTTCCATGGCAGCCTCTATTACCACGCGTACTTCGGGGGCCTGCCAGATGAGGATGTGGGTTTTGGAGAGACCCTCAAGAACCCCCAGGAGGACACCAGCCAAGACTTTAACTATCGAGATGATTATGTGGTGTGTGAGGACGGCGAGGAGGTGGCGTGTGCACCAGTACCCGATGAGTTCAATCCTTGTGAGGACATTATGGGTTTTGGCTTCCTGCGAGTGTCTGTGTGGTTTGTGAGTCTGCTGGCCGTTCTGGGGAACGTCGTGGTGCTTCTGGTGCTGCTCACAAGCCACTACAAGCTCTCAGTCTCCCGCTTCCTCATGTGCCACCTGGCCTTCGCAGACCTGTGCATGGGGATTTATCTGTTGCTTATTGCCTCTGTAGACCTCCACACACGGTCTGAGTACTTCAACCATGCCATAGACTGGCAGACAGGCCCTGGCTGTGGACTTGCAGGGTTTTTCACGGTATTCGCAAGTGAACTCTCAGTCTACACCTTAACAGTGATCACTCTGGAGAGGTGGTATGCTATCACTTTTGCTATGCGACTGGATCGTAAGCTTCGTCTGCACCATGCTGCCGCGGTGATGCTTGGTGGCTGGATCTTCTGCCTCCTCCTAGCCTTGCTCCCCTTGGTTGGGGTTAGCAGTTACCAGAGGGTCAGCATTTGCCTCCCAATGGACACCCAGTCCACAGCAGCCCAGGTCTACATCTTATCAGTGCTGGTCCTCAATATCCTGGCTTTTCTGGTTATCTGTGCGTGTTACATCAAGATCTACTGTGCAGTGCACAACCCCCACTACCGATCTGGATCCAAGGATACCAACATAGCCAAGCGCATGGCCGTCCTCATCTTTACAGACTTTCTTTGTATGGCGCCAATCTCCTTCTACGCCATGTCAGCTGTTCTGGACCGGCCACTCATCACTGTATCCAACTCTAAGATTTTATTGGTGCTTTTCTACCCGCTCAATTCCTGCGCCAACCCATTCCTCTACGCCATCTTCACCAAGGCTTTCAGGGGCGACATATTCATCCTCCTCAGTAAGGTTGGCCTCTGTCAGCAGCGAGCGCAGCTGTTCAGAGGCCAGACAGTGTCCTCAAAGGGCAGCAGTGGGACATCTCAGATCCGTAGAGACAAGGATAGGGCTCGACAAGGTGGGCGAGGAAGCCAGGAAGAAGTACCCATCCACATGAAGACATGCTGTGGACATACAGTGCTTAACAAATTTATTAGACCACCTTCCAATGTAAGGTTAATGCCACAGCTGCCCTAAATGAACAGCATTGGTAATCACCAAAATCATGTCGTATGTTTCTGTAATGGTTTTGATGCTAAAATATAATCATTATTGTTATCCATGAATTTCCAAATCCAAAGATAGTAAACCATGTTATTATTTCTTGATCAAGACGTCAAATTGAGGTTATTTACTTGCATTTCTGAACAAAAATTTTTGTTTTAGTCATTGAATTCTAGGCAGGGATGAATGTCTTGAGATCAGAGTCTGAGAAAGTCTCCAGAATGACCATAAGCAGACGGCTGACAGAACAAGGCTTCATGGGAAGAGTAGCTGCTAAGAAGCCATTATTGAAGCCTGCAAACGTCCAGAAACGCCTCACTGGAAGAAGGTACTCTGGACAGACGAGTCCAAGTTTGAACTCTTCAGCATCATCATGTTGATGGAGAACATTTTGATGCCAGGTACATTGCACCCACAGTGAAACATGCTGGAAACGCCATCATGATATGGGGTTCCATATGTGAGCAAAACTCACAGAATCATAAACAAGACCTCCTACCACAACATCTTATTGCACCAGGAGTCCTTTCGGGGTTCATATACCAACAAGACCAACACTTCAAAGCTGTAAAGAGACTATTTGACTAAAAAAAGAAATCTGGAGTACTGGAACTGTTGGACTGACCGAGTCAAAGTCCAGCCTTAAATCCTATTGAGCAAATTTGGGATTGAAAAGATTCAAAGGTTGGTCGCACAAAAGTTTCATCTAAAGCAAGTCTTTGGGAACAGCTAGAAACTATTTTGACCTCAATGAGAAAAGAGATTGCTGAAAAGGACTTCAAAACAATGCCACTAAGACTTTTTTATTATATGTGAAAAATGACTATTAAGTTGTGTCACTTTGTTATTAGCCAAATAAACAACAAGAACGTTTTTAGTCTTAACGTGAGCCAAACTCTAGAGAGAGGCTGCAAAGAGAGACAGGTTCAGGACTGAGCTTGAAGTGTTTGTGGACAGATCTGTTTGGCTATTTAACAGAAGGGTCTAGTATTCTGTATCTGCTTAAAATTACAGGCCAGGCTCAGCTGTTTTTACAATTTCAGCTGTGATGATTTTATGGTTCCAGTTGCTGGAGGATACTAAGTGTTTCTGAAATATGAGCTTGACTTCATCTCACCTATTGTCCTTTGTTTTTAAAGAGACTGGCTGGAATAAAACAGAGAAAATTTCGAGATAAAAACACAAAACAGAAGTTTATTACTCTTAAGAAAGTTTATCAATATCACCAGTATCTTTAAACCTATCTCGGAGCTGTATTATATTAATATAAAAGGATATATTTGTACCTGGTTCATTGTTTCAAGGACAGCCTGCTGGCTCAGAGCATTCGTCGTGGATTTTTATCCATATCTATATTTATCCAATCTATGAGAATAGAAAAACACTGCATTTATCGTAGTCTTTCAATAACTCTCCATGCAGTATAAATATAGAACAGAGTGCAGTTTATTATTGTTAATGGATGAAAATAAGACCATTTGCTGCAGTTTTGGGCATTTCTTTGAATAATGGAAAGTAAAATAGATGGTTTTGGTGGTGTGAATTGTACTTTATATGACTTTTATTGATGTATTACTTTCTTGGATTTATGAAATATTTGTGCATTTGTTTTTTTCATGTTATTGAGTATTTTCAAATGCAGCTACTTGGAAATGATCCAGAAAAACAGTCTGCAGAAGTACGTCCTCGTCTCCTGAGAACATGTGATCCAATTACAAAGATAAACATAGGACATATTTTGATTATTAGCAATTTTCTACAAATTACACTCAGGCATGATAATCACAAATATATATCCTGCTAAAGTCTTGTCTCTCCTCTGGAATGCCACTGTTGTTTTTCTTGTATGATCGTGATATTTTCCCATCCTCTCACGGAAACAAGTGACTTATACAATCAGCAGAGATAGCTTCGCCTTCACCGGGAGAGCTTAAAGTAAATACAGCTGAGGCATATAACCGCTTTAACCAAGCCATTATGAGTTAAATAACACCTTCTGCCAGTGTGAGCTTAACATCTGGATAGCATTTCATCCGCTGGGTGACATTTTTCAAGGCAATGTACAGATAAACTGAGGGGAAGAAGGGCTTTCCAGGAAAGAGGGATCATTTCAGTTCTTTTTCAGATTTTTCTTGCAAATCTGTTGAGAAGATGTTTAAGTATTCTCCTCGATAGTTTGCTTCAGGACTTGAAAAGATTTCCGGTTTTATGGTAGTGCACAATCAAGATACAGTGGGTTTTTACAGAATGTATTGTTTTCTATGTTTATATTTGTATATAAATCACCTGAATAAAATAATTATTATTTTTTTGTCATTTTAGAGTCTTTTTATGTGCAGAAGCAGAGGCCACAATCTTGCACTACCACGTTTCTATGGTAGCACAAAGGGGACAAATTAGTAACATATACATTTTTTTATTCATTGAATGGCCAAGTGAATTACATGCAACAGATGAGAAGAAGTAGAGAGTTTGTAGAGTGTGTCTTCGAAGGCCACTGTCACTTCACCAACAAGAGGGGTGAGCATGGGGGCGATTCAGGGAAGTAAAACCTTGATATTAATTTCTGAATGATGGACTGAATATGTAACTCTTTCTCTATTAAAACCATTAAAGCAAAAATTACAAAGCATTTTAATTCAAAGACTAAGACCCAGACGAAATCTAAAATGTGGCTGCCAAAATTGACACTGATTCCCACTCATCGTACCTTTAAAAATGTCTGCTCGCTGCATTCCTGACTTGACTCACTCTACAAATTCACGACAGACTAACTGGACAGTTTCTTCTGAATGTTTTCCACAGATTTATATCTACTTTTTCCAGTCACCCATTTACAATAATCCAGAGTGCACCCTTCAAACGCTAAGTATGCAGACCTGGAGTATGATGAGCCTGGCTGCGTTAGTAAGGGCCTCTCCCTGTCCTCTGCCAGGTAAACTTAACACAGAGTTCAGACCAGTTTCACAAGTGTTTGCATGTCAAGGTTGATAAAAATCAAAATCGCTGCACAAGAAAAAAAAAACAAAAAAAAACACTCATGAAGTTGTGACACACCTGCAGAGCCAACCAACGCCTCACTTTACAGGACACATAAAAATGTCATGTGCTGTCTCAAATCCAGGATTATTACGCACGAAATCAAGCATGCGATTTCACCATCTAACAAACAGAAAAAGATGAACCGACTGATTGAGACGAGGACCAGATTTATTTTCTCATTCTTCATGTATCTGATTCTCAGGCCTGCCTGATCATTCCTCTCCAAGTATTTCAAATAAACCCATCCCTGAACCATCCGGGCCAGACAATGCACCTCGCAAACACCAAAATATGTTGCTCGAGCCAAACACAATAGGAAGCAGAGGAACTGATGTTTCCACGGGGGGAATCGGGACAGCCTCTGGAGGCGGACAAAGTTGTTTCTATTCAAGTCTTGTCTCTGGAAATATACCTGCAGTAACAACGTCACTATTTACAGACCAGTAGGAAGTCAAGCTCCCCTCTTAGATGAGAAGTAGAGCAAACCACAAGTCCATACCGACATAACCTACCTGAGAGGGACTCCATGACATACAGTTGATCCACAGATGATAATAACCCCACTTTGCTTTGTACACAGCTCATTGGTATTACCCAGGTGAAGCACATGGCATGCAGCAAAAACAGCTTCATCAGAATGCCATATTGTTCATTAAATACGCATTGGAGGAAAACCTGGCCAAAGGCCTAAAAACAAAGTATTCCGCTCACTTAAGTGTGCCAACTTTGCTGGTAGCAATTAGTGGCTAATTACTTGGGCACTGATGCTTGCAAAACCCTGCTCTTGCAACAACTTCCTCACAGCTAGCAAAAAAATGTTTGGCCCTTGAGCGACCAAGAAGTGCTAAGTATCTGTTTACTCTGCGGTGCCATATTTGTATTTTTTCGGAGTGTTAAAGTTTGCCAAAGATGCTGAGTCACACCCAGATTTCTGTGCGGCGTCTTTTTGTGCAGATTCTGTGACATGTCAGGACTCGAATCACAACAACTTTGTCTTCAGCAGGTCTAATTTAAGGAGTTTGAGATGACATATGAAGGAAAAATATGCATTTAGAAAACTTTCCACAGACTTTAGGCCATTTTTGCCTTTAGTTGATACAAAAGCAGAAAAGAGACAGCATGATAAGGAGAGGAGAGTGACATGCAGCATACGGCTGAGGCCAGAATTCTAGCTTGAAGCTGCTCCATATAGAGGACTAGTGCCTCTGTACATGTTTATTAGAGATAACACACACTTAGCTGCATCCATGATAGTATTAATGCCAAAATCTCCACTTACAAAACAAAAGATTTTGTTATGCCACAGGTTAGCAAAGACTTTTGGCACCATTAATGACAACCCAACTTCCACTGCACATTCATTAATGGACATTATTTGGAAACCTAGGACAGACAGAGTCTAGCAAAATCAGATAGAGGCTCTTTGTCTGATAGATTTGACATTTTCAGTCTAATGTATCATGCCACCGCCAGCAGGTCTGGCTACTATGTTCCACTGAACCTACAGACTATTTGACTCTGCTTCTGATTGGCAGTCACCGTCAGTTAGCTGGTAAGCAGAGAAAGCTATATAGCCTTAGCTTGACATCTCCAGGGCCTCATTATAAGGCTCATTCGCCAGCAGCTCAGACTCTTATGTCTGAGTGCCCAGAAGTAGCAACAGGGTCCACTTCATCAGGAGCAGCCAGGGATACATTCTTCCTCCACTAGGTCTGTTCAGGGCTGAATGAGTCTTTGTGAAGCATGATATGTTGTAAAAGTGACAGCCCACCTCAAATCCATTTACAATCAGGAGCAGAAATCTCCATGTAGTTTCTGCCTCAGCTTTAATCCCAGACAGCACTGCAGTTTTATCTCATAATTACCTCCAAGGAAATACACGCGGATTGTGTCAGTTTGGGGAGGAATTAGAGGCGAGGGAGGGAAGAGCCCATGCTGTGAATACCCTGACAGACATCCAGATGCTGGATTGCAGTTGCTGCGTTTACATGGGCACAAATAACCGGAATAAATGCCCGATCAGAATAAAAATACGCCATGTAAACAAATGGATCGGAAGATTCTGATTCAATTCGGCTCAATCGGAAAGAAATTGTATTCCGGTCGAGAGGGGTGATTTATGCCGATCGTTATTTCGAAACGCGTCCAGGGAAACACTTATTCCGATCGCGACTCTCTTACCTGACTCGATCTTCACTCATTAGCCTTTGGCTTATTTATTGAGGTCAGTCCAGGAAGTTTCATTAGTAACACTCTGGCAATAAACACAACCGCAGGTGCTGTGTCTGCCTTCCGGTAACATAACAAGGCGCATACAGCGTAATGATGTCACATCTGCACGCACAGTGCAACTTTTGACAGAACAGTAAAATAACTTCGCAAGGGCGCCATCTATTGACAACATTTAATAAGGGGAAAACTTGTGAAGTGGATGGAGTGAGCCACTATCACAGACAACTCTGCGCATGTCCAAATGCTTATCAATCAATCAAATTCAATCAATCAAATTTTATTTATATAGCGCCAATTCACAACAGTCGTCATCTCAAGACGCTTTTCAAGGAACAAGAGCAGGTCAGGACCGCGCTCATTGTTTGATGATCAAGAACCAACCTAAGATGGGTTTTGGCCCATCTCAACTAACATGAGTTACAGTGGCAAGGAAAAACTTCCTTTTAACAGGCAGAAACCTTGGGCAGGACCAGACTCATGCTAGACAGCCACCATGCCGCTGCTGGGTTGGGGAGGAATGTAGAGAGAAGAGGGGAGAGGAGGAGAGGACAGGGGAAGGGAGAGAGACAGCAAGATAGGGGAAAGGCGAGAGAGAATTAGTACGGAGAGGGAGGGGGAGGGAGAGAGAGTAGGGAACGAGGGTGAGAGAGAGACAGGAGGCAGCAGGAACAACAGCAACAACGACAACAGCTCATGTAATGGTGAAACAAAAGACGTTCAGTTTACAGGTTTAGGATATGAGTGATAATGGACAATGTTGAATTAATTGAGTGTGATTACAGTTAGCAGGCTTAATCGTAGTCAGTTCTATTTTGTATGTCAATAATGACAGTGAGGCTGATGTTCATGTCTGCAGTAACAGCAACAGTCCAGAGGAATCAGAGAGAAGAAGGAGCTCAGGGCCGGGGGGGGGGGGGTCTCTGCAGCAACGGTCCAGAGAAGCCAAAGAGCCAAAGAGATGGAGGAGCTCAGGGCCCAGGATGGATGCAGCTTATAATCTGAATAAAACTTGGTGCATATATGCGCACGTCATGATCGGATTGTTTGAATTTGCTCACATAAACAGTGGATTCAGATGATCCGATCCCTCAAATATTTAAACGGATCATGAAGTTCTGCCCATATGAACGTGACTACCGAGAGAGCTGGAACTGAAGCTGGCTGGGGCAGCTTCTGTGTCTCACATATCTATGTTGCATTAGCCGTAATAATCTTTCCAACCACAAAAAAATCATGCCCCAAAGGTCACCCAGATTTGGTAAAACAGCGACCAGGAGTTACTGTTAAAGGTTTCAAAAACATAACTTTGGACAGTTTCAACATGAGAGCAAAATAAGTCAATAGCGCGTAGAGTTCATCGATGCAGAAAACCACTTTACCTGTTTAAAATGCAAAGTATAATGCATTCAAAAGACAACCCTTTGTGTTTTCATCCAAACTTGTTTTAATTTAGAAAATTAAATGAATATGAACATTACATTTCCTTCATTATCTGAACAGCAGCTACAACACACACGACAAAACGATTAAAAGCAGAGATACATTTTTTTTGATAAACATACTTTTCAGAAGCTCATCATCTTTTGTGAGTGTCAGGAAACTAAAGCTCAAAAGGCACACGCAACATTCAATGAGAAAAGACTGACAAATTATTTTGTTAATTTGAGCTAAGTGGATTTTTGTTTCGATCTACTGGGTGTCATACTTAAAGCTCAGGATTTTTTAAAATGAATTTGTCCTACAAGCATGCTCCATTTGGACCAGAAACACTCCCATTGGCACTTTTTATTTATTCTTTCAGAATTTAAAGGTGACGGTCATCATGTCATTTAGCATTAATGTGGAATATAAAACAAAATAGACTTTTTAAAATTGAAATGAAACACATTTTTCTTCTTCCAATTACAATATAGTTTATGAAAAGACAAAATAGATTAGAAAGCCTTCCTTTATTCATCCGGATGTGTCAGTGAAGCTTCTTTCAAACTCTAGAGATCCAACCACCAACCAAACACAACAGTCGAAAAAACACGTACTTTATTTGAAATTGCTGCAACAGGGGCACTAAAAACAAACTGCAGAGAAACACACGGGCCCCGAGTTCAACTCACTTTGATAGAAAATATTTTCATTTAAAAGTTATGATTAAAATGAAAAGCACAGGAGAACATATGGTGGACGAAATGATTTGGAACACAGCATCAAGTCGCTTTGTCCAGCCAACAGAAAAAAAAAAAAAAAAAAGGAACACTTATTTGATTATAAGAGCACAGTTTGGTGCGGCTTTCCAACTTCTCAAAAATATAACATGTTATGAACTTCAGGAATAAATAAAAAAAAGGGGATGAGGGCGGGGGGACTCTGTCCTGACCCGACTACAAAAAAAAAGAAAAAAAAAAAACTACCAGGGTGTGCAAGAAATTAGACTTAAACAAAAGAAGCTGCGACAACACTCATCAAATCAACACACACACACATACACGTTGTAAGCCAGTCACTCACTCTCACTCACTCACTCACCCACACACACACACACACACACACACACACACACACACTCACACACTAAGACAGACCAGAGCACGCTGTGGCTATTGATTAAAGCAACTGACTGATTCACAACACATTGATAAACTGACAGTGCAAATTTTCCGACGGCTGCAGTGAACTAAAATAAGAGCAAAGAAGATACACCGACAGGACTAACTTTCAGACTGTTTTTTGTACAATTCATAAATGAGTTCGGTGTTGGATCTTCCTTTTTCTTTCGATGATTTTTTGGGGACAAATATGGAATGAAGCTCCAGAGAAGCCGGTGAGGAAATGAACCGTATTTTTTTTGGATTCAGCACTTCTAAAGATTAAAAAAATACCTTCAAACGAGTTAGTTATTTAAGGATTAATGTAACTCCGCCTGCTTTGCCTTGACCCTACGTTGAACATGTTTAAAAAAATGTTTAAAATAATAACTACATAAAACACTCTGGAGCACCATAGTCACGAAAATGATCTGAGAACAAAAATCAGAAGCCAAAAAGGTGATTCTGGCCGATCTAAAGGCAGCGATCTTGACTGGTGGCACTAAGTTTGGGCTTGAATGTAGACGCATGTCAATCCAGTCAACCGACTACAGTGCATCGTGAAGGTGTTACTCATCTACAGGGTTTAATGAATGACCTCTGACCTCCCATAGCAGGGGCAGGTCAGGTCACCCTGGTCCACTACACCTGTACGATGTGAAATGCTTACTTTCCGCAACACGTGATTTCTCTCAGGAAAAAGGTAAGAGAAGCCTGAAAAGCCAAAAAAATGGAAAAAAAAAAAAAGATCACAAGACCGCTCCGCTCACAGGACTTCCCCTCCTCTGTAGGTTTCTCATCCCACAAGGCTTTGTGGAGTGTTTCTGACGACCCTCGGGTTTGTACGGTACCTCACAGTCCCTTGGGTTTTACCAGAGTTCTCAAAGACTCAGAAAAGATTTCCTGAAATGAATCCAGTCACAGGATATGGAAGGAAACTGAAGTGTCCGTTTGACTGGATAGAAGGAGTTACAGAGTTCCTGCTCCTGTTGTTTTATCGTTTTTTTGTTTGTTTCTGTCTACTTCACCATTCGGCATCCCCAATGGCTTTGGAGAAGACATAGTCTCTCCCGTTCAGATTCATGATCCCGTCCTTCAGGTGGAATTTCCATTTGTTCTTACTTCTGTGAATCTGTGAAGTGAAGAAAGGAAATGAATGGTGTGGGCGTCGGGGACAGATGGACACTGTTTCATCTTTCAGTGGACGCTGCCTCTAATGTCTTTAACCCATGCACGCAGAAGACTCAGCCAGATGCCAAATTGATCAGCCTGAGAGGAGAGCTCTTCAAAAGCAGTGAAATAGCATCACATAGGTCTGTAATAAAACTCTCATGACCGTTCTTTTGGTGTCTTTTTGGTTATTACAAGACATGAGGTCCATTAAATATCATTTGCTGGTCAAAGAGGTGACCTGTCGAATAACAAATGATCTAAAGATGCAATTAAAACAAGACGGCTTCGATGTACGTCTTACATCCACAGATTTTAACAAATCAGAGATGTGGCGTGACTTTTTCGGTCATGTTTTCCCTCGTTGGGTAGATTCTGCAAAACCCAGAATCAAAGTTGTACCGGATGTACAAACCTGCAGTTGTTGTACCATCTGCTATCGCAGTGTTACAAGGGACTGACAATGAGAGTAGATCTCAGCCTGTGATATGGCTGACAGTTATGAGGTGTGTAGATATTGGAGCATGTAGTGACATCAAGGGGTTGCATTCTAGATTAGCGTGCTCCCATGCTCACCCCTCCCATTGGTTAAGGGATGGTGGCTTTTGAGGACGAGGAGATCGAAGTATGATCCTCCATTTGTAAGTTTTTACCCCCAAAAGCAACAACCACTCTCCTCTTTGTCTTTCAGCTTGCCACTCATTAAACTCTCACTCATAGAGACTCATGTTACTTGTTTGTTCATTTTATGCTACTGTATAAAGGTGCAATGCGCGCACACTGGGATACTGGATGAATTAGGGTATAGGACACGGATGATAAAATGAGATTAAAATTGTGTCTCTTACACCAACTCTTAAGATAAGTCTTTACCTTGTCATACTGGCACACCACTACATTCTCTGTATCGAACAGCTCCTGGTCCTCCTCGTCACTGACATCGTCCCCACTGTTCAGAGGCTCCTGGAGAGAAAACAAAAACTAAGTTTTAGACATGGTTGAAAATCTTTAACAGGACCCTAATCTAACAGGACTCCTCATTATCATGTCTTTATGATACAGTACAATATCCCTCATTTTCCTCATCAGGATCAGAACTTTAAGACTGTATTGGCTTTTTCATCCCACCTCTTCAACCTGCCCGTCCTCTCCCCCGTCCTTGTCCTTCTCCTCCTCGTCATCTTCGTCATACTCTTCCTCCTCATCCTCGTCCTCTTCTGAGGAGGTGTCCCCGGTGCCGTCCACCTGCAGCATCATCGGCGGCTGCTGAGTCTGAGGCTGGGGTTGAGCCTGAGGCTGGGCTTGCTGCTGGGCCTGGGCTTGGGCCTGAGGTTGGGCCTGTGGGGCAGCTGCACCCTGGGCCTGCTGAAGCTGCTGCACCAGGGCTGCTGTTGTTGTTGGCTGTCCAGGCTGCTGCGCCATACCTGCTGCCTGCATCACCTGTTTGGAGATAACAGGTAATTGTTCACATTAGATAGATAATGACAGTTAAGTGGCATTTCTCGTACATAAAAGCTTTTCAGGACAAGGCAGACAAAGACGTCAATCAGTGTTCGAGAGAAAAACTGCGTGCCAGCAAATGCTTACAAGTGTAGAGCAAACTTGCTGGGAGAAGAAATTAAATTGGTAATGAAGTAAGTGAAGAAGTGCTTACCTGTGCATTGCCTTGGACTTTGTTTCCTGAAGCTAAAACAATCTGCTGCGGCTGGATGATGACTCCGGTTTGCTGGGGCAGGCCTCCCTGCAGAGGAGCAAGAACCTGGAAAAAAACAGAGTCGATATAAAGAAAGCAGATTTTATCTGAGGGTAGTGATGTGTTTTCTTTGCCTTGGAGGGAATAACATCTTCAGTTTTAAGAGGCTGATAGTAAGTTTCCAAGGTGAAGAACACACACCCTGTGTTTTTACTGTTTTTAAAGTTGCTGAACGTGCGTATTTGTAGTAGTAGTAGTAGTAGTCGTTTATTCAGTCATGACAACACAAAATATTGTACACAATATTGACATTTCACACTAAATCACTAAATCAGAATCATGTGTTTAATATTGACTGAAAAGGCAGAAGCAGACTGCTTATAAAAGCCTATCCTGTATTGTCAACTTTTTAATGCTACCGACCTCCAGAAAAGCAAAGAAACCACAACAACAGATAAATAATTGCACTTTAAGCTTCAAAAATAGCTTTACAAACAATTTTTTTTTTTAAATGACATGTTTTTGGATTTATGTTGGCATCAATCCAGAATTTAACTCCAGTAATGGAGACATATCTGCTTTTCATACCTTTTTTAGCTTTTTGTACAGTAAATTTGCAAACACCTATGAGATTATACGGACTGTCCTGAATAGAAAAGAACCTCTGTATAGAGTCAGGGAGCATTTTTGATTTTGCTAGAAACATAATTTGCATTATTTTATAATAATACAGATCAAAACATTTAGAAAAAGTGGCTCCGTGTGATGATAGTAATCAGTCTTATTGATAATACGTATAGCTCGTCAAGGACAAAAACGGCGGGTCAGTTATTACTTGCATAAACTCTCCAAGTTAAACATGAAACGTGCAAACATGCCAACCCTCTGTACATGAATTGATTTGAATTCTCAATGATTATGTCTCATTTTATCCAGACTGGGAGATCGTACCTGTGTGAAAGGGCGTACCTGCTGTATAACGGGAGCCTGCACGCCACCAGGCTGCATCTGCTGCTGCAGGAGGATCTGCTGCTGGGGCTGCTGGATGATGTACTGAGTTCCATTGGGAGCACGCACCACCTGCAGAATCTGACCTGAGAGGCGAAAAACAGAGGAGACGTGACGTGACGTGAAGGAGCATGCATTCTTAAGAACTGTTGAGACCAGAAAGATAACATCATTCTTCAATTTTAAGTGTTGTCCTTTTGTGACGCACAGAAAAGCATGAGTGAGTGTTTTACCTTGGCTGGTGATGAGCTGTTGGTATGGGGCGACCCCTGCGGGCAAAGCGAGGGTTGCTGCAGTCGCTGCTGCACTCTAGGGGACAAAGAGAGGAAAGACATTTTCAAGTGGCTCAAACGAGGCGGTGAGATACTCGCTCATAAACAGGAAACCTGCAGACAAAACTTTTCTTTACAACTTCCTAAAGACAGGTTTAAGGGTTCAAATATCCTGTGAGTAACTTTTTAAGTGGTTAAGCTGTTAAGCTCTGCTGGGATATTAAAATTACAAACTGAGCACAAACAGGTATTTACGGCTCGGTTGTTAAAAACATTTCTCAGGAGGAGATGCTTAAATATTTATGAAATACAGCAGACACTCTTCATAATTAAACGTCTCATATTCATTTTCTCGTGGCTGTCCTGATAAAAGTGTTTGCATTCATTAATTTCGTTCGCCAGGTTTGATGGTTTAAAGGTGAGGAATTTGCAAGTGAAGCTGAAGGAGGGCGTCTGTGAATGAAGATGAAAATTACATCGGTGCAGATGAAAGCCCTGACATTAACAGATGGCTCGCAGAACACAAGTGTTGTTAAAAGACGGGGACTGCTGCTGCTTTGTGAAAGGAAGACGAGGAGTGATGAAGGGGAGGGTGTGTTTTTCACTGTATTTCCCCTGACTACAACGCAGCTCCTCTGTTCTCTGGTTTTAATGTCCCTCCACCTCTACTCTTGGTTAGCCTGTAAACACATTAACATCCCAGAGACCCTATTATTGTGTTGTTCACCTCAATACAAATATTTAATTAGAGAGGAGGCTGCTTTTTGTTGTTGTTGGTGTCACGGTGCAGTAAAGTAAAACAGAAAAGCAACAATTCCAGCACTTTTCTCAGAGGCATAATGGCGAAGTCGTTGCTTTGATTACTGTAGTGTTTGCGGGAGACTTTGGGCATTTGTGTGATGAAGTTTGTAATTGAAAAAGAGTCCCACTGGCATCTCTTTACTGCTTGTGTGAGTCGAAGAAAGTACAAGCCTCTACTGTATGTGGAAAAACAACGTGATTTTACAGTTTGGGTTTTTGCAGGTTTACTCGTGTTTAATGAAGTAAACTATGTTCCTTTATGCTGTGTTGTCACCTTTAGACAGAGTTAGCAGTTAAACGTCCAGTTGGGTTCAACATGGATCAAGGATTGACCGTCGGATTGTTCTGTGTTACCGGGAAGTATTTCTCATCTACACAAACTGATACACAGTCGGGAGTTCCCATATGGTGTTTTATTTTGAAACACTGGATGACATGCGCGGTTTTCATGCTTGACTTCTTGTATGGAACCATCTTTTCTGTGTGGATTGAGGCCCATTGGAAGTATAGAGCAGCAAAAATAGACTCATCGTGTACCTTTAGCAGTGCTGCTTTGATACGATGCTGCAACAGAGCTGATACGCATCCTGTATGCTTTGCTGCATTGATTAGAATGGCAACCTATTTGCTGCATGATATGCGACGCTGCTGCAAGGCTCCAAATACGCACCCTGTATGTTTTAGCCTTAACAGTTTGAACAGGGCTGTGTTTGTGTGGTTGGTTTCAGTGATTGAATAAAGCCTCCCGTTAATGCAATGATGCAATGGCCCCACTGGTGGCACATGCTGAATCATTCCTGCTGTTCCTGCTCGCTTTGTTTTTAACGGGCCCCCTGCTTCTTGAATTTGTAAATTATATATTTCTAAAACTCGTTATGAAAATGTTGCTCATAATCATCATATAATAATGATCAAAAAATTCAAGCACTGCATCTCCTGTTCACTCCAAAGCCTTATTCTGTTTGCACAATATACATAGACTATCTACTCACCATCCCTGTTGCGCTCATGTGCTGGAGGATCTTTGAATCCTGAACGATGACTTGCTGCTGGGGAGCTGAGTGGAGAAACAAGTTTGAGTTAAAGCGTTATGCAAGACAAAAAAGAGATATGTGTGTGTGAGTGTGTGAATGTACAGTATGTGCTCTGCAGGTCATGTGGGGTGGCTCCAGACTCAATGAATCAAATGCCCTGAATGTTCCTGCTCTGCTTGCATTTCTGAACTTGAACCTCACATATTTTTGGTTCCCAGTCTCACTGTGATTACAGGGTTTATGTGACAGGCAGCTAAGAGGAGAAGAGGCCCAACACAATGAAATGTACTGTAAGTTTATACAGTACATCCATAAACGTTTGCAGGATGTATTAGGCAAACTTTTGCAGGCTGTAATGAATTCACGTTGACACTGCTGGTGTTTGCAGGGTTGGTTCTGAAGAGCCTAAAATCTAGTTGTTTGTTTTATTTGATTGTTTTGCTGATTGAGTCCAGAGCCTACACCCAGAGAACACAAGGACTAAAGTGAGCGGTCAAAAAGTCTATTTACCAATCATCAAAATAATAGGATTCTGATGTGTAAATTTAGTCTGAGGAATGCTCTTGGATACTTCATATTTCTACTCTGAGTGGATTTCAAGGCTGCATAAGACTTCTTCACATTCAGATTATAAGTTTTCTTCACGCAGATCTGACTGACCCTGCTGCGGCGGAGGAGGCAGGATGACTTGCTGGGCCTGCGCCGGCTGGGTGACCTGCTGAACCTGTTGGACCTGCTGAACCTGCTGCTGCTGCTGTTGCTGCTGCTGAGCGGCCTGCAGGGCGGCCTGCTCCTCTGTGTGGAAGCCCTCCACTGCCTTCGACTGCAACAGTTTGTTTTCCCATAGCTGAAGAAACAGGCGGAGGTAAAAAGACAATGTTAGTTAGAAGACAGTATCAGTGTCAAGCAATGTAGGTATTTCAGAACCAGTACTGTTTTACAGAAGTACCGCTGTTATTCAGACCATTCTGCATAGAAAGATCAAGAAAGAAATGGCTGATATCTGAAAATAACCTGAAACCAGTTGGCTGTTACAGTACAGTGAAATAGAGCTGTGTGTCTAAAATAAGGGAGCTAGAACTCTAGAGTGTACTCAAGAGTACTGCGGTGGGTACTTCACTTTTTGGAGTTAGTTTTAAATCTTTAGCCGTGCATGACTCCTGAGATAGGAGTACTATAAAAGCCTTATAGTGTACTATCCATAAACCACGGTCATATATTCTTTTCTTAAGCATCTAGTTGCTGCTGCAAAATGTAAATCAGGCAAGAAACTGTGTACTTGGTTTAAACATTTAAATTGAATAGTTACAGAAATATAAGTTTAAAAAAAAGGATTAGTGGTTGAAATGCAGCAATGTGGAGCCAGATAAGTTTTTACCTTGGTCAGGAGAAACTAGTTTATTAGAAAAAGAAGAATATTTAAATGAGGAACATTACTGAACAACTTTCAAGGACAAAGCTTAAAAAGTTATTCATGAGAACAACAGCTCAGTGGGTTACCGTTTTCAGCTCCAGAAGCACTTGTTCATCCACTCCCTCATCCAGGAACAGCTCTCGCACCTCGCTGATCACATCCTCAATCACAGACCTATAAAGTTTAGGCTGAGAGGAAGGGCAAACACAGAAACAGAACATTTTATTACTGTTTGAAAAAAAAAGAAAAAACAAGAAGTAAAGTATTTGGTTCATCCAGGGCTGATTTTTACAGTTAGTATGGAAGTAAATTTGTGCCATCTGATTTTGGATTTGGATTTCTAAAGCTGAATTTTTTTGCATCAAAATCAGACCTTGAATTTCGAAACTATTTAATTTCAAGCATGTGTTTTTATTTCTTACACTTATTTTTTTCACAATAATGAAATAAATTCAGTGTAAAAAAAAAAAAGAATCGGTCTCTAAAAGGATTTGTTTAGTAAAAATTCAACTTTCTGTGTAAAACAGACCAACTCAACATCCAGGTAACCAGGGAGAGCAATCAATTCCTGGCTCAATCATCCATCATCAGCCAATCAAATAATGCTAGATTGGTCATGTGGCACCGACCCCAGTGGAAAATTTGAGGATCAAATTTTAAACTGACATTTTTTTTATGTTGATTTTTTTTTTTTTTTACACTGTTTGCAAGTGAAGTCCAATTTTTACTACACAAATATTTTGAGAGACCAATTTTTTTACACCGAATTTATTTTGTCTTTGTGCGAAAAAATAAATGCCGCAATATCACAGGACGGGAAAACGTCGCTGATGTGAACGCTTGTATTGACAGAATACAGGTTCGGGAAAAAGTATTGATATCCTAAATAATTGCACGATAAAAACGGTCCCGGTGTGACAGGACCTTAAGAAATAAAAATGCATTCTTGAAATTTGATGGTTTTGAAATTCAAAGTCTGATTTTGATGGAAAAAGAAATTCTGCTATAGAAATTCAAATTAAAAACCAGATGGCACAGATTTACTTCCATAAATAAGAGGGCTGTTGGGTTCTGAATATGTTTTAAAGTGAATACAGCAGTTAACTTACTAAACATATATTACACCCTGTGTTACAAAACAGTTAATGTCTCTTTGTGAAGCATAATTTTGTCCGTTAGATTAGTCAGTTGTATAGCTATTCCACTTTGAAAGATTAACTAGCCCTTGCAAAATAATCCGGAGGATTTAGCTTCGTCGTATGCACGACACAGTGTAGCGTTATAATGCTAATCCATATGGAGCAGCTCTGTCTGTCTATCTATCACGACAAACAAGGTAAACAGTGTAACCGCTTTGGGATACAGTTAAGCACAGCAACAACGAATATTAAAGAACAATAGTAGGATTTATGAACCGGGAGAACTAGTACAGTGAACACTTAAGCGCGACAGACACACACAGGCCACCGCAGTGCGCCGCTTTGTCCCCAATGTCCGCAGCACGGACCTCGGTCTCTCCTTCTCTCCCTCCCGGCCCGTCTGCTCCTCCACTATTTAAAGCTCAGTCTGGTGTTTATATGTAGAGCCGGTGACGTAGCGTCGAGTAGCACCTTCCCATCCCGGGCAGTCTATATTAGAGAGCCAATATGGCTGTATAAAACCAGGCAGCAGAAAGGAGGAGGGCCAGAACGGGAACGAAGGGGCGACGTGGAAGCCATTTTACGGAGCGGCAAACTGCGCGCTCGACGGCCCCCGTGCTTAACACTGTGTGTGGCGGAATCTCAATGATATTTTTCGGTGTTTTTGTCCTGACTAAAGTGTTATGTTTTTTTCGAGTTGGGAGAAAGGACAACTTTTGTTATGAGATGGGTATAAAGTGGTGGTTTGGGACGAATATCCTGCCTTCGGGTCGTGGAATGGTGGACAATGATGAGGCGTTTAAACTAACCGTTGACGGCCAACGACTGAAATGTTTCTCTCTTTTTCTAAACGTTAAATAATCTTCATCGTGGATTAGACAATGTGCTTAGCGTACATCGGCTTTCAATATATAGTTTTTAAAATTAAGCTAAAATCTATCTTGTCTTTTTGTAATCGACTAGCACTGAGTTGACCCTTAACGTTCATCAAAATAACAGCAAGACCACTGAAAACCGAAAATCCTATTTTTTTATGTACTTAAAGGACAATTTACACTAGATTTCAGAAGCCCCAGAAACTGTCATGAACCGACCATGAACACCACTGTAAGCTCCAACCATGACAAAGACCTCACTTATTACAACTCAAAAACTGCATTCCACCAGCAGCCTTGTGTTTCCAAGCCCTCTTTATTTTTTAGTCTAATAAAATACTATATCAGTTAGCAGATGCTAAGCTCTTAGAGAACAATCTAGTTTTAAGAAACTCGTGAAAATGGCCGATTGACCTAAGTAAAAGCTTCGTTTTATTTAAAATGTAAGTGAAGTGATTGTAAAAGCAGATCCTTTGCACTGAAGTAAATAAAACCAGCTCTTCGACAGCTTCCATTATTATCTTTACCCCCCATTTTTCCCCGCTGACAGTCCTTAGAGATTGATCCTTACCACTGGGTTCGAGTTAGCCGAGCTCGCCATTATTCGCGTAGTGTACAAACCACACGGAAATAGGCGAGAAATAGAGCCAAAAATTACAAAAAACGACTTTAAAACAACTGGGAACGGTACTCTACAACAGCCGGCATCACTTTTGTAAATAAAACACAGTTCTTGCGGTCTTATTTACAATCCCGGGCTGCGACTCCCCAGCCGTCCTCCGTCCGTCGTTGTCCTGCTTTATATACTGAGCGATGGAGCTGCGAGTGCGCGAGACATAGGGCAGGGTCAAATCGCACATCTCGCGAGATTGCCGAGGAACATGACGACCAATCACTTAACTTGCTGCTGGGAAATGAAGTTTAAATTTATCAACGTAAATGGCAAATAAATGTGAACAGAACGTATTATTTCGCTGAATTAGGCCAGTTTTATCTTTAATCTGCCCTCTTTTATCTCTTGTACCTCTATTTTATTTCGGTTTTACTGTCTTTTGAGCTTTTGTTATACTTGTACTCTTTTCTTAATCAACCTATTAGGCCTTTTATAGATTCATCTCTTGCTCATTTCTGTTGCTCTATTTTATCATTACTTTTATTATAAGGATAACCTGTTATTATCATTGTTGATGTTGCCTTTTTTATTTACTATCCTGTTTCCGCTTTCGTCCTCCCTTTTAATTGCCCTTTCCTTTTTTATTAACTATTTTATGTTTCTATTTTGGTCCTCATGGTCTCATTTTATGCTGCATGGTTCTTGTATTCCTCTGAGCTTTTTGTTTTTATTTGTCTTTTTCCGTGTGCTTTATGACTACACGTCAAAGAACTTTGTAAACTCCCTCTGACTCCTTTTGTGGGGAATTCGCAGACCACTTCATGGGGAAGATGCACAATCAGATGCAATATTTTGTCATGTCAAACTATTGTTTTTAACGCATCTGAGTGTTTGTGCTTTTTGACCTGTACATGGAGAAAAACAGTCATAAAATATGAAATGACACAGCCTGAGATGGCACAATATAATATCCTGTCATTTTAAACATTCTTTGATTCCTGGCTACTTAAAAATGAACAACTACATATTTTTTCAATTTTGAATTTTCCGAGTTAAAAAGGCACAGATTTCATGGAATTACTCACAAATGAAATTGCAGCTCAAAGTGCACAAGAAAAATAAGTAATTAAAATAGACTGAAACAGACAATAAAATATAAACTTGAATTTATTAATAAAATAAAGTAAAAAGTGGTACAAAAAATAAATACATTATAATAGTAATTAAAGTAATGAAGCTTTACATAATAGCCAGGCTAAATAGATGAGTTTTTAGGTTAAAGATTTCTATATTTGCAGCATGTTTCAGACCTTCTGGAAGTTTGTTCCACAGTTTTGGAGCGTAGCAGTGAAAAGAAGCATCACCAAATCTTTTTGTTCTGCTCTGTGGAACGACTGAAAGAGAAGATTGAGAGGATCTGAAAGGCCGCCCTGGTTGATAAATTAAAATCATCTTTGTGAGGTGTTCTGGTGCCAGGCCATGTAGAGCTTTATAGACTAGTAAAAAAAATTTAAATCAATGCAAAAACTAACAGGCAGCCAGTGTAAAGACTTTAAAATGGGTGTAATATGAGCTTATCCTCTGGTCCTAGTCAAAACTCTAGCAGCAGAGTTTTAGATCAGCTGTAGCTGGTTTGTTGTGCTTTTGGGTAGACCAGAGATGAGAGCATTACAGTAGTCAAGCCTGCTGGTTATAAAAGCGTGCATTAGTCTCTCTGGTTGTGGATTTTCACAGACCTAAGAACTGAAATAAAGCCAACTGAAAAAAAAGGGAATTTTTCAGAGGAAAAAAAAAAAAGGTTAATTGATTTTAATCGTACACTGTGAAACCTCTGAAGACAGGAGCAGACAGGGGGCACTATAATACAATATTAAAATCCCTAGATCTCTCTAGTTTGGTGCCAAATGGGACTTAACATTGATTCACTCTATAAATGAAAAGCCTAATTTGTCTGGGGTTGAGACTGTTAAAATTGATAGAAAATGGACAAGGGCTCCAACGTGACAAATTTGCACTGATGGGGGTTGTTAGATACTTCCATAAATAAAAAAAAAGTAATGTTTAATTATTGTGAAAAGTGTAAAAACAGTAATACAATTTTAAATACGACAGTGCAAATAAAAGGTGTTTCTTCAGTTTTCTGTATTTCTTCTGACCCTTGTGGTATTTGTGACTGATTATTGAAAAATCAGTTGCGGCAGGTTCATTTCCAGCAGCACAGGGAACAAAGCGATTTACATATGGGCAGGCTTCGTTCCTGCAGTCCAGCTAAATCATCTCAGGCGCAAAGCCAGTATGAAACTCAGCAGCACGTTCTCTCCTTGCTTACATGGAGATTACTTGTATTCTGCTTCTTACCTTTTTTAACACCATGAAATAACATCATGGTTGATTGGCTCCTGTGTGCATTTGTGTTGTTCTTATGTGCGGTTTTAGATTGGCTTATGTGCTTGCCTGCAGCTTTGAGCAAAATCTAACCATCTTAAGTGACAGTCATGGGCTGAAAAGTTTGTGACCATCTGTCTCGCTTTTAAGGTGCGGGATAATTTTCAAACTCTGTACTCAAACTTAAAAATGGCCCTTTCATTCACTGCATTAAAAAATAAACATTTTTCTCATCATAACACATAGCAGCCAATTAACTTTTTCTTGCTAACAAATTCAAGCAGTCAACAGGATGAATGAGCCTTTAGTGTTTTACCTTTTTTGGCCAGTGTTGGGCACAGAAGCATTCCAGGTATTTTACAGAGGTGTGTGTATTATTTAGAGTGCTGCTAATCAGTAACTGTTAGCCCTAATTAAGGCTCTTATTTAATCTCTGCAAAAGTAAACACTTCAATAGTGATAGGAGTGATTCACCTGCACAAAACCATTACCTATGAAACAAAAACTGTATTAAACTTGCTGTCTTGATGGAAAAACTTGAATGATATAACATGGATACACATGTGACTGACCAGTTTTGAGAAACTGTTCAATCTACAACTGGTCTAAATTTGATTTAACCCGGATAGATGAAGAATTTTAGGACCAAAGGTCTGGTCTTGTCTCTTAGGATGCAGTTTTTCAATAGCTACATGTGGACTTGTATGTAATAAAACTGATAAATGTTCAAATTCGTGGGGGGAACACATACAAAACAAACACGGAAACAGTACACAAACTCACAAAAGAGCAATAAAAACAATAAATAAAAGTATCTACAGAGAACCATCAAACCCACTCTGTATCAAACTGAAGGCACTAAAGTTTAAAGATTTGGTCGACCTCAAAACAATTCAGATCATGTACAAAGCAAATCAGAATCAGTTACCACAGAGCGTCCAAAAGTTGTTTCAAATAAGAAAAAACAAACATAATCTCAGGGGAATATGCATTTTTACAAAAACAACCTGTTTGTACAAACACAAAAATGCACTGTGTATCAGTCAAAGGAGTTAATCTGTGGAACAGCTGCAGCAAACAGCACACTCTGAGTGGATATAAGAGAGAAACATGAACTTATAACAATTGGCAACGTGCCTTTTTTTCTGATATATTTTCTTTCTTCTGTGCTGTTATTCCTACACATGCTCTGACTGATTAAATTACAGTAACACAACAATAAAGGGGTAGGGCTAGATACGTTTTATCAACTTCATCCTGCACCCTTTCGAACAAAGTATGATTATCTATGTTGCTACAGAGCTGTCTCTTTAGTTATTTTTCTGCCAAAGCACATTGTATATTGTATAATGTATTAACAATGAACAATATTGTATATTAATGTATTGAACTGTAAAGTGATAGTGATAAGACTATGTCTCTGTGAGGGAGTATGTGGTGCTTTTGTTTATGTTTCATGAGTGATTTCTTTTCATGTAGTAGCATCTCACCGCCACAAGAGTGTGATCACGTCTCATCTCTGAACTCGGGAAAACAAGCTCTGTTTTTACTGGTCTCGTGGCAAAACATACACACACACACACACAAACACACACAAACACAGACAATCCATTCACTTTGTGTAGCATGCAACTGTTGTACTTGTCATTCAATAAATGGAGGATGTGAGTCAGTGATTGGATGAGCCACGTTCATAGATTTTGTCCATCTGATCTAAAACACACCTGTCTGCACCACCAGGGTTGAATTTCCAAAAACAATAAAGCTTTGCAGTAAACGAGAGCTGACAAGAGAACGTTTCCTCCACTTCTGTCTCCATGGAAACTTGCCTCAGTGGTCATTCTGTGGATATGGATGATATAGACCGGGAAACACACACACACACCGCTTTGTGTGCATCAATTCACTTAGCACTTCAGCGTGTCTCCTCTAAGGTGACTTCATTTAATCTGCTGAACTGGATGAAAATTAAAGGCCTACCTGAACATGAAGGGGGTATGCTTTTTGAATCCACTCATATCACAGTTGTTTGACAAATACAAACAAGTGTTGTGAGAGATTCACTGGAGTCTTGTGTCTGATAGCTATCTCTCAAAGTAGGAGATGCGATCAAACGCTGAGCTTTGTTATCCGGAGTGTGTTGTCGCTACCTTTGAGTCTCCCTCTCTGTAACTGAGTGGTATGATGCCCTCTAAAGATCTAGTGAACGCACACTTTTCTCCCCCCCTTCTTTCTTTGCTGTAGTTGCATAGCAACAGAGGAGCTGCTAGCTCCAGTTGTGTTGGTGGTGGGAGCGCGCTGCACAGGGAGGCACTGGCTCTAGATTAAGCCTGTCTCGGCTTCAATTATGAATGGGCTTCCACTGCCACACGGCTCCAAAATGGCACCTCTCAGATTGATAAGGCGTTGAGGAACTCTTTGGTACACTTAACTCTTTTACGTCTTTCCCTGAGGAGGGAGCGGAGTTTGACTTTAATCAGAAGTATTGAACTTCAATGATTAGAATAAGTAAATGAATAATTAACTGGAGGAAGAGGCATGGTTATGATAAGGCCCTTGTTGATGGGAATATGCAAGGTTAATGATTGGGGTCAGTCTTGAGAGCAAATTAAAGAGTCTCCAGTCTCACAAAGCAGCCACTTTACCAGTAATGGGGGTTAGCGTTGCAGGCTGGAGTGCTGAAAAGGAGGGGGCGTAGGAAGGGTGGTATGCTTTCTTGTAAGCGTTTTCTATATTTAACCATGAATATGAGAGGAAAAATTGTTAAATTGCTACTTTGGTTAGCCCACATGCACTGCCGATCAGTGATGCTGTTATTAAATGTGTCATAGTAGTCAATGTGGGAACTATTGTCTTTGATTACAGCTTTCACGTTTGATCCGTTAAAGGAACAGCCAAACTAATCTTCTGCAACTTGTATTTTTTATTATTGCAACCAACTGGAAGACAATACATCACATAAACATCATTGCAGTTTTTCAGAAAATGGAAAACAAAATAAAACAACATTTATATATTTTTTGCCACGGTATTGGACAACGTTGATATTTACATGTAGTGATGAAATAGGTCTTGAAATCATTCTTTGGCAATATGATTGCACAATAAAGAGGAGAGTTGAACATTTACTGAAAAAACCAACACCTGGGTGTACTCTGCATCACATCTCACAGATCAATAACAGTTTTGCATTTTGACATCTCTAACCTATGGCTTTCCAATATTCAGCTCAGACAGTCACTGAAAAATAATGGCAGTACTGTAGATAGTTTTTGTCAGAGAGAAAACAAAACAGAAAATGAAAACGCGCGTAAAGCATCAGCAAATAAAAAATGGCAACAAGTATTTTTTTTAGAGCGTTTCACTGTATGTTTGGCAGGTTTGAAAGAAACACTTGTTTTAGGGGCTGTTCAGGCAGTGAAGTTTGCTTCCTTTGCGATAAAATGTCCCAGCTTTATGTTATGTGCTGCTCTGTTTTTCCACGACTCGAAGGTCAGGAGTTCATCTCTCCTGCATGTCACTGAGTGAGTCAGAAGAAAAAAAGGTGGTTGCTAAAGCAACACATCCCCCCTCAACATGCCTCTTACCAGCTGAACACGTTATTAGTCACCACAACAGTGGATTGTTACTGCAAATACAGCGGAGTGCTTGACCCGGGGCTGTGGGGGCACTCAGACAGATATCAGACAAGAGACGGATGGCACACAACAAGAACACTGACAGCGTCTCCTTTTGGACTTTTTTTATGTGTCGGCATGGTTACCATACAAAATGCAAAGCCAGTGATGCATGCTACAGGTGGCAGAGGACTGTACCAGTGGATGTGACATGCATTTGTTTGCCTGCTTGGCTCGCTGACAACAGCTTAAAACTAAAACCGTGTCTGACTGCTGCTGCTACAACCAAACCCTGCCTATTTTTCCTCCTATGAAGCCGCTTTTATACGCGCTGCATTTCTGCAGAGGGGGGGAATCAATACTGTAATGCATTCTCATTTCAGCAAAGGCATGCCGAATAATGGCAGTGCAGTGTTTATACCACTTCTAATGCAAAGATGTCAAAGGTATGTAAATTTCAATCAAGTCAGTGTTTGCACAACCCTAAGTGAGATACACATACACTTTAATAGAGTAAAAAAAACAACCTCTGATCTCCAGATTGGGCTCTGAGATAAAAATGAGATCCGTACTGGCAGGTAAGTCCTTTAGTCAAAGGGTTAAGAATACTGTATGTGAATCAAAAACACGCTTTTTTAATCGTTTGAGCCATCTCTACATTCCTCTCTCTTTTCAATTCAACTCCCCAGTAGCCTTTTTGGAGATATGAGGTTCCTTCAGGACACATACAAAGTTTCCCATGCCCGTCTGATCCGCACGAACACACAGAACGATGCTGATGGAAAATAAGGACACATGTACATTTACACACAGGAGAGAGAAAGAAAAACAAAAAAACAATACTGTTATAAATAAAGACAGGTAAGCATGTCAGAGACATGACCACAGAGGTACTGAGGGCAGGCAGGCAGGCAGGCACAATGTTAAAGGGTGTGTGTTCCCGGGCACACAAACTCACACACTCTACACATGTGTTCGGAAATAACACTGGGGTTAACACTGAACACCTAAAAAAATCACTGTACAGGCAGAAGAAGACGGAAGCCCACCCCTAAGAGGTGATTCAGCTGGCCTACGTAGCCTGAACCCGTAGCCCGGAGGTGGCACCCTGGGGCCTCTAATTGCAGAGTGGTCTCCCACGTTCCTCCCTGAAGACTTGTCTTTGAAAGCCCGCTCAGAAAAAAAAAAAGGAACCAAAGAAGATTCAAAAGAAAGAAACAAACAAACGAAAAACAAATCCGATATAATCACGGGTATAAGAATTGGCGGCAAAACTTTTTTCTTTCCTCTAGGATCAAGGTTTATATGAAAATAAGTCATGCTTCATGCTAAATACATCGTTTATCTTACATGATCTTTGAATAAAAAAGATTTGCTTTTTATCTTATTTACAAGCACCCATGCAATATAACTGAGAAAGTCCTGCAGGTCAAATTGCTTCAATTAAGAAAGGAAAAAAATAAAATATTTTCTAACCTTTTTACAGAGTTGTCCACACGGGACAAATTGCTTATATCTTTATGAGGGTAGAGTGAGGGTAAACAGACACAAACAGAAATCCAAACCCACAGTTCATGTATATATTTCTTTGACGTCGTCAAATGAAACGGAAGGTGTGGTAGCTGCTGGTAGCTACGATATCTATACCAGGTGTCTACGTCTATGGACAGAAGTACTGGGGAGGTTTTTAGGGACGTTTACATTATGCAACAACAACAACAAAATGAAGGAGATATTGCCTCAGACCCGGCACACTATCCATCTCTATGGTGATAAACATGACCTTTTTTTTATTTTAAAATATCTATTCTTAAATACTATGAGTGCTCTTGAAATAAAACCATGTCTTTACCCATGATGCTTCTATTATAAGTGGCGTTAAATAATCTTAAGTGCATGAATATATATCACATTGGGTTTTACAATTATTTTGACACTTAAGGTCATTCTCTCCTTTACTACTATGCTTTCTTTATTTATTTTTTGTCAGCTGTCGTATCGGCTACATGAAGCAACCTGGTCGCTTGTCTTTGGCACAGTCTCACATTTGTGCTCGTGGATATGGGCGAGTGACGCCAGCGAGCGGCCCCCCCGGAGAAAGAGCGCTAAGTCTCGTCGAGTAGCGCCCGTCTCCTCGCCTCCGCCGCCGCCGCCTTTTGCTGGCATCACCGCGAGATTGCTACAGATTCACATAGAAACAAACAGGTAAGACAAACAGCCATCCTCCGTGTTCAGGTACTGTACGCTCCTCAATGTGATTCCGCTTTGTCGTGGTTCAGCTTGTCCAAATTAGTGACAAAACATGCTTTTTTTTATGGCTTTCATCCCCTTTTAAACAACAAAAACAACAAAGACACATGAGAAATACCCATAGATGTTAGTGTTGCTGAACATGTAGGAAAACATAGATTTTTGATATTGCCACAAATAAGTAGGATTCACCTAATGCCCTGCAGATAGATAGAGGGAGATGAGACATGTCCGTTGAGACTAATGCTGTAGTAACGATACCTGTTGACCTATTTGTGTGTCATATATGCAGGTGTGTGTTCATGTGTGTGTGCGTGCTTTTGAGTTGTGAATCGTCTGTGTGTGTGTTTGCATGACTATGTACTTGTTCTATGTGTGCGTCTTAGTTTCTCAGGGCCTCTTTCTGCTCCTTCTGGCCCTTAGCGGTGCGGTTTGTGATGTTGTTGAGGCAGGCTCTGACCCCCGCAAGGTGAAGCAGCGACCCCGCCGCCTCCTTCATCTCCTCGTCGTCGCTCTCCGGCGGCTTCTCCACCGCTGCCGCGCGCCGCTTCTTCAGCGGCAGCGTGTCGCTAATGCACCTCGCTCGGGTTTTGGTCCAGGGCAGGCTGCTTCCTGCCAGAGTCCCAGCACCCGCTCCTGAACTACGTCTCTGTCCGCGCAGGGGCTGCTGGGAAATGTAGGTAGCGGCGGCAGTGGTGACGTGAGAATCCAGAGGGATCTCCCTGGGCTCGGGTTTGACGTCTGATTGGATCTCCACGGCGATGATGTCGTCGTCTTCCAGGGGGGAGGAAGCGTCGTCGGCCTGGGAGGAGCACAACCTGCTGGGGGATTTGGCGGTGCTGTAGGTGTGGTCGTCTTGGAGGTCCTCGCCGCAGGGCGGAGGAGAGTAGCAGGATGGGCTGTCCTGTCCTCGGCTTAGATAATCTCCAAGGGATGATCTGTGAGAAGATACAGAGAGTGAATATCCTCGTCTGCTGTCACGTTAACCAGAAGTTTCTTTATTTATTGAATTTAATTAGGGCTGTCAAACAATTAACTTTTTAAAATTGTGATTTACTGCATGATTTAATTAACATTAAATGTACCTTAAAGGGATATTTTCACATTTTAATTACTCTCATCTGGGGATGAACAGTGTTACCGGCATGATACAGATAATAGCTGAAAAAGTTATTTATTGGTATTGGCAGCTGCTTTGAGAGGAGAAGGATGGCTTACCTGCAGCAGCAGCAGCCAATAGAAGTTCTACATTTAGCCAAACTCTACACCTGTTCAAACATCCTCACAAGAAACTGACGACTGTTTGCATTTGAATTCCTTTTGGTTGGAATTTAAACTAGACAAAGCTGCTTTTTCTCATTTTATCCTATTTAATTAGCAGCTTTTATGGAGTTTTTATAAATCTCATCTAGCAGTCTTTTCAGGACCCTGTTCAGCAGTTTTCATGTGTGAACTTATCCATACCCTGATCAAGTCTAAGAATATTCTATATTCACAATGAGTGATAGGTTTCACTGCAAAATGACAACAGGAAGAGATTTTTTAACCACGTATTTCAAAATAAATTGATTCATTTTGGAATTTTGCCCATTTTGCAAAGTTGTCATGATATTCTAGGGAGTTTTGGGTCAAATTTGGCTAATATTTGGATCATTCTTAGTATGATTTTGAAGATAAAGCATCTTTTTCTAATTTCATCCTATTTAATTAGCAGCTTTTATGGAGTTTTTATAAATCTCATCTAGCAGTCTTTGCAGGACCCTGTTCAGCAGTTTTCATGTGTGAACTTGAAACCCTAATCAAGTCGAAGAATATTTCTTGAATATTTCTTTTTCGCTGGTTCAGGACCAGAGTGAACTTAAAACTGATGACTCTTTATGACCAAAACCAGCAAACAAGACAGTTGGAGACGACTTCAGTGGGTAGGCGTCAGACCAAGTAATCAACATGTTCCTATGTTCAAAATCATCCTGAGAATTATCCAAAGTATTAGCCAAATTTGACCCCAAACTCCCTAGAATATCATGAATACTTTGCAAAGTTCCAAAATAAATTGATTTATTTTGAAAAAAGTGGATTAAAAAATCTCTTCCTGTTGTCTTTATGCAGTGAAATCTATCATTCATTGTGAACATTTGCTGTAGAAACGTAGCTGAGGCAGTTTCTTCAGTGTACCTAACCCCTTTTAGTAGTCACAGGCATCACAAATATAAACATAGGAATAGTTAATTTTGTTGTCTATGGCCTAAAAAATCCCTCACAGGAGCTTTAACTTAGACAGCCCTGTTTCATACATCTGACTGTTTCTATTGTCGTATATTTTCAGTCTTGCAGAATTTTATTTTCGTTGTAAGTTTATCTTAGTTCTCTCTCACTTTCAGGTGATATAAACAAAAGTTGTGTTAACTTGCATTGTGGTGTCCTGCTATTACCGAGGCGGCTTCACTCTCCTGCATTTGGCTCGAACGCAGAAAACGTGATAATCTATCAACCTCAAAACACTCCCCGAGGGCCTCGTGCGCACGTTCCTGCGCTCTGATTAAAACCTCTGATCTCCGCAAAGAGTCGGCGGTTGCTTTCAAAAAATGAGCAGACTCATTCTAACATTGCCACCTTTGCATTTTTCAAATGACACACTGCATTTCGAGCAGCTCCAACGCTCCCTGAGGTTGTGAAACTTGCTCAGCACATAAAGGTCCTTGCGAGCTTTAAAGTCAGAACGCCACAGACCCACTCTGATTCTGCAGGGGAGCCTTTTAACCGCCGTCCACCGAACATCAGCTCCTGCGTTTTATTGCTACACATATTTTGCTCTATTAGCGTGCAGACACTTTTCTCTGTTAGGCAAGAAGGTAGAGCGGTGTTTTCTGATAACCAATAAATCAAAGGGAGCTGCAGCGGTCCTCCCTGTCCCTCGGACATCTCCTCCCTTCTGATGAGAGGGTTTGCATATTAATATCTTACAAGAAAAACATGCACCTCTTACAGTGATCAAATATTCACTGCATACCTTAAGTGAGACTTTGGCTATGTTTAATTCATTATGCCGAGCAGGCCATCATACTCTTACGCTCCTATGATGGATGTGCATGTCCATGCATGCTCCGAGTGTTCTTTGAATCATGAGGCCTCTCCCTCTAATAAACCTGTTTGTGTTTCTTTGTGTGTCTGTGTGTGTATGTGGAACCGTTATATAAACACACCTGGATAAAATGTTCTGTTCGCCGGAGAGCGTGTGAATGCCTCTGACGTTTGGACACAATAAAAAATGTTACTGTGTAAACTGGTAGTGGAAATTTTCGGTGTGAGATCTGTTTGGTGTGCGTGTGCTTGTTGTATTTGTGTCAAGGCCGGTGCATGTGAGCATGCGGGGGGATGTATTTGTGCATGGAGAGCCCTGACTGATTTATTTTATGTAGTAAAGAGAAAGCAACTTGAACCCACCTAATAGCCGAGGTTCTGCTGCCCACAGGGCTTACAGGAAGAGGTCTGATCACAGGGAAGAGAGCCTGGCTCCTGACCCGGGCGCCATTTTGGATCACACCCCGAGGAACTACAGGAGAGAAAACAGACACCACAAGACTTTGAACATATATTCCTGCTATTTTAGCCTCAAATTAGTTTGACAGTACAGAGGAAGCTTCTCCAAAACCCGATCGGATCTCGGGGAGAGACCCAGGAGCAGTTCGATGAGACTTCACTGACCAACTGAGGAGGCCAACAGGGCGATATTGATGAGCAAGGCAAGGTTAAATTGAGCGGGAAAGCGTCATAAATGAGTTAAGGCCGCTGCAAATCATTCAATTACCAACGACCGCTGGGCTCGGCTAAATTCAGCCTGTCTGATGCTGAGGGCCGAACAGCAGGCGGCTGGAACTCAGAGGGAGACACCACTGATTCGAAGACTTGAGTAAACTACGCATTTGACTCTTTTAAAACTTAGTTACAAACTCCTTATTGTAAAAAGCAAATCCAAAACAGTTTCAGAGGTGTTTGAAACTCTGTATGATAAACATTTTAAATTCATCTCAAATCCAATAACACCACCAGAGTTTAAAACAAACATGCAAGACATGAAGTTGCTCCCATAAAGCCACCAGCAAACCTTATAAAGCAGTGGTTCTCAGCTGGTCCCACTCCGGGACCCACATTTTCCCATGGTCCTTAAGTCGTGATCCACTCTTATAAAATTCAAACCAAGCTGATTTATTTTTTATGAATTAAAAAAACCTTCAAAGACTTTAATCTTTACTTGTTTTCTTGAGTAAAGAGCATTTCAGAGCACATGAGGGGGACAACATGAGGACAACAACTACTGAAGTTGCATATACAGAAAATATCAAATATGTAATAAATTTTGCGGTAAATATTTACTTTTTTGACCAGCTGTTCGTGACCTATCAAGAACATGTTTGCGGCCAACCTTTGGTTTGGGACCCACCAGTTGAGAACCACTGTTATAAAGCACACACCTTGGCAGGATTAAGCAAGGAGCTATCCAAGATGTGAAACACGGGGTTAAACTTCGTAGAAATGCTGAAAATTTCTGGAACCAACTACAGAATCGTTTTTAGAATTGATGCGAAATTGGTGTTGTGACTGAAATATCCCTAAAAAATCAATAAATCAAATCTATTCAAGCAATCAGCATTGATACCCAGCCCTGCTCACCACTATTTCCAAAACCCTAAGAAGTCATATTTTCGACAAAATTGCAAAAGTAGATTACAAGTTAGGTGAAGATGAAGCAAGTTGCAGTAAAAAAAATTGGCTTGAAAATGAATAAAACTGCAAAAAAAATCTTATATTACTTAAAAAATGATCTGTGAAAATTACCTCAGCTCTATCTAATCATATTGAATCAATTATCCTTTTTTCTGCGTCAAACTTGAAGGTGAACCAGAGATGAATCCTGAAATCCCACATTTGTCTCAATCATGTCCCACCGCTCAAAATTAAACCTAAAAGAAATGCTCAGTGAACACTCAAGGACACCGATTTAGAAGAGAATGAGGAAAGATCGCCAGAGTTTCCAAGTTTTCTGGGAGAACAATTGGTTTTAAGATGAAAAAGTGAGATTGAACTATTAGAATCTTCCCACAGTTATCAACGGTGAAGAAAAACGACCTCGGTAAAGGAAGAGGAAGTGGTCCGACGGCCATGCAAACCAATCTTGAAATGAAACTGGAGAAAATATCAGAATGGTTCTCGACGCTCCATTTGAGTGCCATTTACTCTACTGAATAAACAGGCATATGGCAACCCACCTGGAGTTTAGCAAATAGTGCTTTTTCTGATCTAATGAGACAGAAATTGAATTCTCGAGTCTGAAAGCCAAGCAATTCAACTGGCAATAACCAGGTGCTGCTTATCACCTGGCTATCACCTGGTGTCTCTGCTGTGCAGCATGATTCCTGCACCTTCACACAGACCGAGCGAAACACAGAGACACTCTGAAGTTTTCCGAGACGAAAAAGTACAAAGATTCGACTCGACACCACCGAAGCACTTCCAGAGTAATGGACTAGCTTTAAGAACAAATCCCCGGGTGTCCTCGAGTGCCCGACCACTGCTTGGAAACCTGAAGATCATGGTTTGCCGCCACTTCATATCATGATAATGCAAAATAAAAACTCAGATTCAACAACCAAGGCAATATTGCAAAGTGCGGGATATGTTTTTGACCACAGCTAGCCGAAACCACCGTTTTCTCGAGTAAAATCACAAAATGCTAAGCTAACAGGCAGCTAGCTATAGCATTAAAAGTGTTTCGTAGCCATGAGTGGTATCATTCTTCTCATCTCACTCTCAGCGAGACACTGATCAGGTCTACTTTTTTAATAACCAAGACATTATTTCAAAGTACGGGATATTTTTTTTTAACCACAGCTAGCCCTTACCACCTCTTTCGCGAGTAAATCACGAAATGCTAGGCTAACTGGCAGCTAGCTATAGCCTTAAAAGTGTTTTATAGCCATGAGTGGTATCATTCTTCTCATCTCACTCTCAGCGAGACACTGATCAGGTCTACTTTTTTAATAACCAAGACATTATTTCAAAGTGCAGGATATTTTTTTGACCACAGCTAGCCGTTACCACCGTTTTCTCGAGTGAAATCACGAAATGCTAAGCTAACAGGCAGCTAGCTATAGCATTAAAAGTGTTTCATAGCCATGAGTGGTATCATTCTTCTCATCTCACTCTCAGCGAGACACTGATCAGGTCTACTTTTTTAATAACCAAGACATTATTTCAAAGTGCAGGATATTTTTTTGACCACAGCTAGCCGTTACCACCGTTTTCTCGAGTGAAATCACGAAATGCTAAGCTAACAGGCAGCTAGCTATAGCATTAAAAGTGTTTCATAGCCATGAGTGGTATCATTCTTCTCATCTCACTCTCAGCGAGGCAGTGAACAGGTCTACTTTTTTACTTTGCCATAATGAACAAGGTTTGTGTGTCGGCTTCTGGAAAAAAAGCGCTTGAAGATTGAATTGTGTGATGAAATCCGATGAAAGGAATTCATGTAAGTTTTGGGTGTGCTCACGGGCATTTCTAAAAACACAGACGCTTTTTCGGTTCTGGAATAACAATATATATCAGAACAAAAAAAGCATAAAGATAAACCAAATAATAAGATGTTTCTGTAACAGTTTAAAGTTTTCCAGACTCAGACGGTTTCCTTCTTTACGAGCTGACAGTTTCTGAATGGACCGTGAAACAGAACAAGGAGAATCTACTGTATGTATATGCTTTTAACTCTGCAGCGGCGGCGAATATATGTCTTTATTCTCTCTGTCGAAGAGAGGAGATAAGAGAAGAAGACAAGAAGAGTGTGTGTGTACATCTGAGCCAAAAGCTCTCATTACTCAAGGAACGCTGCTCAGCACAGCCATCCCACGAAAACAGCTGTCATTCTCATCTCCAGGGTCAGTTTGCATTTCACAAATGATGACCTGCTGTTTGCTTTCTCTGCTGCAGAAGCCTTCGCCGAGGAGTAAATCCTACATACTTACAGCATCAGAGTACGGGCGTTCGTTTTTTTTATAATTCAAATCTGGTTTGCAATCTTCGTAGATTTATGATTGATGTTATATGGAGAAATTTAATTCGCCCCAGGAACCGCGAGCTCATTAAAACATACAAGATGTCATGGCGAGACCCCCCAGAAAACCTTCCCGGAGCGTTTATTTGCTCCATGTTGTAACGCACGAAGATGAATTATGTTTGTTTGTTTGTTGTTTGTCATTGTTGGAGTGTTTCTGTAGCCTCTCCCTGTCCGGCTGTGTCCACAGTAATCTTATTGACTCCAGTTAGTGCGTCTCTGCCCCTGATATCTCCAGCTCTGCTCTCCATAACCTTATAAGTAGGTCCCTGTACAGAGTCTCTTTTATAATCTTGATCACTCGCTGCGTGCTCGTGCTCGTGGTCGCGCACGTCTATGTGTGTGAGTGTGTGTGTGTGGGCAGTGCATTAGGTCTCCCCGGGTTGATGCGCACCCACCCCTTCCTCCCTCCCTCCCTCGCTCCCTTCCCTCCCCACCCTCGCTTCAGTCAGGCTTTGGGTTGCCATAGCAACGGCTCCCCTTCCACATGCCACAGAGTGGTAGATCATGCATCAGCAGAGAAAGTGATAGAGAGAGAGACAGAGGGGGAAAGGAAATACCGAGCTCTGTTTGACACGGCCTCTCATAGCTCGGCGGCACACTCCTGACCGACTCTGTTTACCCGACACACACACACACACACACACACACGCACACACACACACACACACACACTGTAAAGACTCAGCAAACCCTTCTCTTTGTCTTTCTAATTCCGTCCCCCTCTTGTTGATTTCTTCCCCTCTCTATTGATCCCACTGTCGCTCTATGTAACGTGGTGACTCATATCGCCAACTGAGCATGCATGCTGTCTCTGCAGGTAAAAAAAGCATGGGACATATGCTGAGGAGATGGTGTGACAAAATAAAGCAAAGGGGGAGAGAAAAAAAAAAAGGGAGCAGCGCTTTCCGAGGCCTGTCCTCCCTTCACTGAGATTGAGCAATACGTTTTACAAGCTCAAAGCAGTAAAAAAGACTCGGATTGGTAGCAGAGAGCGGGACGCGGCGAGGAGCGAAAAATGTAAATAGAGAAAAGAAGAGGTGTCTGCTGGAATCTCAGCCTTTTTCCTGGAGAGAAAATATCCTCTAGTCTGCCGTTTTTTTCCTCTGTCTGCTCAGCTGCTCTGCCTTTTCTGTCTGCTTCCTACGTCTTCGCCTGCCTGTTTTCCAGGGCAAAGCAGCGCCCTCAGCCTCCCTCCCTCCCTCCCCTCTTCTCCTCCCCTCTCCTCTCCTCTCTCCTCTCTCCTCTGCTCTCATGTGCCGTACACGCACTCCTCTGCTCTCCTGTTAAATGAGTTCCACATGGCCCTGCAGGCTGCACTCTCTGCACGGCTGGCAGACAGGCACCCAGTTTACACACACAAACACACACACACACACACACCCTCAAGTCCCACTAGCAGTCCAAAGGGTCAAAGGTCAGTCCCGGCAGACCTTGAGAACGCAACTGTTTGAAAGTGGCCTCTCGCTCAGTCAAAACACCCCTCGACACACACACACACACATACACTCCTGGTTATGTGCCGTCTTGGCTGCCGTGTGTTGAACTGAATACAGACTCCGAGGGCAGGACGCATACTAATGTTGTCTGACTGATGGACTGACTGGCTGGCTGGCTTGCTGACTGGGTTGCTGGTGGGCTGAGTATTCTGGCAGTTTAACTCGATGGCTAATCGGCTTGTCTATCTGACACTCCAGCTGAGCGTCTAAGTGGTTGGCTGACTGACGTGCTATGACTTACAGGGAAGAGGGGGGACAAAATAACAGCAACACTTAATTACCGTAACTTAATAAGCCGTTTAAACACAGCGACTAACGCGGGTCACGCCAGGCTGGAGGTTAACCAGCAGATCAACTCAACGCTCCTGCATCCCCCCGCTGCTCAGCTTCAACTTTTACCTCCCGTTCGTTTCTGCTAATAGCGGCATTTTGGCTCATCCGTCTATTTTTCTGTAAATGTGATTTAAAAATCAAATCTTTTGATCTGCTTTTGGGGAAAGATAATTTGAGGCGCTCCATAAATTTCACAAACAAAGTCAGTTTATCACTGTGAGAATTAAAAACTGTTTCAGAGAGTGTCTAATGTGTCTCTGAGGGGACTTTTCCTAACCCCGAAACACCCTTTTCTGTAACTCTGTCCTCTCACTGCTCTCTGAAACTTTATCTTACATAAGGAGTGAAATGATACTGGAAAAAGTCTTTGTGTTAAGTGTCAAACTTAAAGCTCCTGTTAGTTATGAAAAAACTAAATTTCATGTTGATGCTTTTTTATGTTATCCAAGAGGAAAAAAAGACCACAATTAGAGCGATAAACTCATTCAGTGTCAGGTTCATTTATGCAATTTTCACCTGGTGCCACCATTGACCCCAATAGAACTTTCCATATCTTTCAGGACCAACAGAATATCTTGTGCTTGGACTAGAATTAATTGCAGTATCTCAAAAGAAAGGGGTGATTCCCTTCTTATACCAGAAAAAAAGTTAGTCTCTAACCCTCTCCTGTTTTTAGTTATTGCCTGCTCAATGCAGCGTGGCCGTATCATCTTTGCCGATCTGGAAAAAGAAACCTGAGGAAAACGCATTTTTTCGAAGGAGAGACTTTCAAGAATGTTTCATTTCACTTCAAACTACTTGACCGGTGGCAACAAGGTCCTCCCTCCTCGGACACCACTACTCATCCGCTTGTGATAGGTCACTTTGAGACGGCTGGGAGTCCTATTGGCTCGGGACGAAAACCACACGGACAGCTCTGTCCTCCTCGCCGGCTTAGTCTGGCTCACCAGTAACGGCATCTGCGCCACAGCTACACGCTGGAAAATTATTTCTTTGATTGTTGGCTGACGATGTGAGGGTCCAGTACTAGGATCCCCACTGGATCCAGAGACGGAAGCACCGCACTTGCGGGAGCTGATGCGCCGAGACCATTAGCTCTTGGCTAATGACTTCGGCATTTTCGTGCTCTCCACATAGAGAAAAAACACTCCACAACTAGGCTAATTGGCACACTTCTCACTGGCGAGTACTTGTTTTTGTTATTGTAACAAGGTTATGATGTATTTGTCGACTTTTCTGTTCTCATGTTGGGGAGGAGCGCCCTCTAGCAGAAAACAAAAAAAACTGAGCAATCCGTCAAAATCCATCAATGGCACTGAATGAGTTAATTACATTGTTATCGTATCTTTTAATGTCTGAAACCAGTACGAGGGGGGTAGGTGTTAGCCTAGAGAGAGAGAGCTTTGCAGAAATTAGTGAGAAACCTTAAAACACAAGGAACTAAGCGGAAAAGACATCTACCAAATTGAAGAAAACAGACAGAAAGCAAGCAAGATAGTGGCAGCAGAAAAGTTACAGGACCTTATCCAGGTGCTGCATCTGGAAAAATGCTCATAATTGATTTTTTAATTTCTAACTGGGTGAAATTATATACTCAAGTGACGCCCTAGTACCTCAAAATGAACCCTCTAAATCAGCGTATGTGATAATGTCTGATCATTTCGACTTTCCGGCTTTTTGCAGTTGCAATAAATCAAAAAAAGAGCAACAAGACAACTTTAATCAGAATATCAAAGCAGAATATCTTGACTTTTTTCCATCGTAAGGGGGAGTTCACTTGTTATTTCAACAGACGTAAACCCAATATATGATTAAGCCTTCAAAGAGGCTGTGATGTACTGATACGCTGCAATTAAACATTTACCAGCTGGTCAATTTCTCTATTATCTTGAAACGCTCTCCCTTGATGAGTAAATAAAGCCTTGGGGTTTTTTAAATCATTGCTGCTAAAAACAGTTTCTTTAGAAATGATATCAGGTGACCTAGGCAATTAAATAAAATAGACTGAACGGATCCTTCCTGATTTAGAGCTATTAAATGATGAACTTTGGGGCAGTGGGTTGGATTAAGGACACAGCTGCCAGCCATTGTCCTTGTGTTGATCCTGAGCTGGTGCCGGGCCACAGGGAGCGGCAGATTTCAGCCCACATCAGCTCAGAGCGGAGCAGCTCTGAAAGCTCTGGGAATGGGAGATGGAAGTAATAACGGAGGGCACTAACAGCCCCAAACTCACTCTCCCTGGCAGTCCAATCCCTCTTCCTCTTTTTCTTGTCTTTGCCTCTGGCTGTCTGTCACAAGGTTTCCCCTTTTTTTTCCCTCTCCTCTATGTCACGCCTGACCATTCGGTACTCTTTCTCGTTTCAGAAACACATTACACACTTTAAAAGTTTCCTTTTCCTGTCTCTCCCTCTTGCACGGGCACTCCAAGTCATTTTTGCATTTTTTTTGTTTGAGCTGAAATATATACCAACTCTTGCCTGTTGCTTGTATTCTGAAAGGCTGCAATCAACCAAAGAAATTCTTGGTTGACTAAGACCCTGAAATTTTGACCAAAAATCGACTCTGACGGCAAACCCTTCTGTGGCAGGGTGAAAATATACTGATATCAGCACAAAAAGGCAATTAAACACTAAAGGCTAAAATATAAATATTCAGCAAACCACCGGATGATGATTAACGTGGACGCTCTTCAATCTTCCTGTCTCCAGCCGGTCTCCAGTGGGTTGGGCGAATTCAAAATGGTGAAAACAAGGGGGGTGTTCTAAGCTAGGCTGTTACTTGTGAAACAGGGGGTGCTCTGAAAACACCCCTATTAGCACTTGGTACAGTCCTCCGAATGAAATTAACCATAGACTTTAAATTGACGCAGGAAAACAATCGAGTTGACCAATCAGAATTTTGGTCGACTCAGCACATATCGACTGATAACCCGGGATTTCCATCGCATCCAGAGCGGCTATGATCTGGAACGACGGCGATTTTTGCCGTACGCCAATTCCTGCCATTTGTGAAGCAAATTTCGTCGAGGAGTACGGCAGCAGAAATCGCGAGAACTCGCAAGAACCCACGGATTCACGTGCAATTGCACGATAACAAGTTGTCTTTAGCCACATAGGCTAACCATATAAGTAGTACATTGTGTCCTTCCAGAGGAGGAAATCTACTTCTAGACGTCTAAAATCAGCATCCCCTCATTCATGGTGTCATCAGGATGAAATGCGTGTGTTTTATTTTGAAAAGAAGGCAGATGTTTTATCTTGTGTCTGTGCCAACTTCCTTTTCAGCACGGGTTAATCTGTGCCGGAGAAATTGACACATAACTTGAATGGTTACGATCTGCTACGAACGGCGGACACGGCCTTTTCGTAGCAGTCCTGGATGCTGTGGAGAGTGGGGATCAGTCGACCAGTCGACTAGGACTTTATAGCCCAAGTATTCTGGGACAGTAGTCCAATTAAATAATCTTTTAAGTCACATGTTCGAGCACCATGAACCACAGCAGCATCTGAGCCCCAAACCCTGAGTGCAACGCCTGCAGAAAATGGCCTGAATATGGTCAATGTCTCTCTGATTCTGTCCGTCTATCTGGACACACAGACACATCACTCTCAGACTGTGTGCGTCTACAGGGAGTCCAGGTTTCAGACACTCTCACCAGCCTCGGCTCCTTGACCATTACTACTCCATTATCAGCGGCGATGGAGGGCGCGCCGCAGACGCCTAATGTATCCATTTCCCCCTCCATTTAGGACTCGGCGGCCCAGCGAGCTCCCGGAGTGCTCCCTGATTGGGATTGAATGTCCATTTAAACTACCGTCCAGCCACCAGGGAGGAGGTCGAGGGGAGGGGGGTGAGGAGGAAGAGGAGGAGATGAGAGGGATAATGGGAGATACTTGGAAAAGGAGGTGTATAAGAGTTAAAGAGTGAAACTGCGTGTTGTGTTGAATGAAGAAAAGGAGGCTAGGGGATTGCTCCCCAGCTGAGATTTTCTTCCTCTCTTACTCTGTCTCTATCACTTCTCTTTTTTTTTCTCTCTCCTCTCAAACTTTCAAATATGCCTCCGAAGAAAAACCATCCCTCCTCTGGCGGCGAGCCAAGTGTCAGAACTCAGCGCTCGGTATTCTCAAGGTGCGTTTCTAAAAAGAGGGATTTGGAATTGAGATGATTGGAGTTGGCACATTGAAGGAGGGAGGGAAAGAAAGAGGGTGAGACGGAGAGGAGGAGCGAGACAAGACGGAAAGGAAGATAGAAAGAAAAAGGAGGAGGAGGAGGAGGGAGATCGCATATACAGTACAACACTTGTGGAGGTGAAGTGGTACCTTGTAGGAGAACGCCTCCATTCTTCCTGAAGAGGGGACTCCCTGACCACAATGGAGGACTAAAAAGGAGAGAGGAAGAAGAAGAGAAAACTGGTCAATCATTTGATCCTGTTGCAGCAGCCAACCAGCCCAGCAGGCTTCATCACGAGGCAGATAGCAAGGCAGGAATTTGAGCCCATAAGCCGGCGCTTCTGATTATAGTGATTAGATTCCCGGGTGTCCCACTGTTGCCATTATTCCCTGTGATTACCTCAGAGAATTACAGCCTCGCCGCTGTAGTCCATGGGGGTAATTTCTCATGACAACCCCCCATCGCCGCCCGCCACTAGTCCATTCACACACATTTAAAAGAAAAAAATCATCAGCGCACGCACACACACACACACACACTTACTTTCAACACGCACTCTTTTAAGACAGACGTGTGTAGAGTGTGACACATTAAAAATGCACACTTACACTTAGAGTGCAAAAAAAGGAATACACACTCGCAAAGGGAACACACACGCGCGCAAACAGAGCGACACACAAAGCCGGGACTCAGTTAGGTGATCATTGCACCACTAATGAGGGAGGTAATGACGGCATTTCTCACATAGACGGAGACATCTTCACTCATACGCACACACAAGAGGACAATAGAAGCGGCGCTCTGGGTGATGCCATAATTTTAAGGCAGAAGGGGAAAGATGGAGGGATAGGGAGAGAGAGGGGGAAAGAGAAAGAGAAGGAGAGAGGCTGAAAGAGCTTTTCCAGGTTGAGTGGTCTTTAGCTCCCCATTAGGCAACACGTCTGACTGCTCCGCTCTCCCCCCTCTCTCTCTCTCTCCTCTCCTCTCCCTCTCTCTCCAGTTCCCTGTGAAACCAGACAGGCTGTTCTCAAGCACAGTCACAGAGTGTCTGACAACATGGATCTTGGTCATATGTGCGCTCACATACACAAACACACACACACGCGCGAACGCACGCAGGGGCAGAAAACACCTGGAAGAGGCTGTGAACTCTGGGAGAGGCAGCCCACTCGTTTTGCACTCATCAGGAGAGTTTCCTTTGTAATGTGAGTCCTGTTTTATGTGCCGCTAAGCTGCTGAATGAGAGGATTTGGACGTCTGCACTTGTGATGTGGCTCTCACCTCAACAGATGCAGGAGAAGGATGGACTCACTCACACACTCACACACTCTCACACACACACGTACTGTACAAGCACACACACACACACACACACACAAACACACACACACACACTAACACAGCAATACAAAAACAGCAAAAGCAGCGAACGCAAATTTCAGCCCTGAGCCACCTGCTGTTGCCATGGAGAGTTGCCACATTGCGTTGCCACGGCGATAACATATTTTTCCTGCGCTAACAGCCTGTCTGTTTTCCCCACCACCACCAGCCCACCCCCCGCCCATCTCACCCCCTATCTCTTCCTACCCCACTCTCTCTATTTCTCTTACTCTTTCGCTCTCTCTCTCTCTCCTTCCTCGTACTCTCTCGTTCTTTCTCTATTTCACTCTTTGTCCTTCTCTACCTCTCTTTTCTCTTCCCTTTCCTCACTCTCTATATGTATTTCTCTCTACCTCCCTACTTTTTACTTTCTTTCTCAATCGCACTCTTTATCTTTTTCTACCTCTTTTTTCTCATCTTATTCTTCTTTTCAATTTCCTTACTCTTTTTATCTATCTCTATCTTTTCTTCCCTTCTTTCTTTCCTTTACTGTGTCCTTTCCTTTTACCTTCTTTCCTTTCTTTATTTCTCTCTCTCAATCTCACTCTTTCTCTACCTTTTTTCTCATCTTATTCTTCTTTTCAGTTTCCTAACCATTTTATCAAATTCTCTATCTTCTCTTCCCTTGTTTCCTTCCTTTATTGTTTCCTTTTTATCTTCTTTCCTCTCTTTCTTTCTCCTTTTCTTTCTTTTTTCTTACCTGTCTTTCCCTTCATTCCTTTCTCTATCTCTCTCTCCTTCGCTCTTACACACCTTTCTTACTCCCTCTCTTTTTTCTCTATGCCTCCTCCTCACTCTTTACCTCGTCTCTCCCCTCTTTTTCCTCCCCTCTCCCATCTCCTCTTCTTTACCCCTTTCTTCCTTTATTGTCCTCTACCCCTCTCCTGATCCATCTCTCTCTCTCTTGCATACCTTCCCACTCTGTACCTTTTTCTCCCTCTCTTTTTTCTCTCTCCCTCTACCTTCTCTCTCTCTCTCTCTTTTCCCCTTCTTTACCCTTTTCTCCCTCTCTTGTCCTCTACCCCTCTCCTGATCCATCTCTCTCTCTCTCCACCTCTCAACAAATGGCTTCTCAGCGCGACAGCACCTGCCTTATACTACATGTGTTGCCATGGCGGCGTTCCCGTTGCCAAGGAGACCCTGTGCATTTAATGTAGTGGGCGAGGGGCTAAACTCGTGGCAGACGCTTGTTCTGCATCCACACACACCCCCACCCACCCTCCCACCCCAACATTTCACCTCAGCTCTTTCTCTCCATGAGAGGGGAGGTGGGAGAGAAAGAGAAGGAGGGAGAGAACTCCTCCCCTACCCCCCTTGGAGACACCCTTCCCTCCTTCCATCCTTCCTATCCTCCTCTTCCTCACCCCTCCTCCCCCCTCCTCTCATCCAGATGCTGATGGGGTGTGAAGGAATGCACCATGGAGCTGACCTCCTACCCAGCATGCTCTCTCTCCTTCCCTCTTCGTCTTGCACACACTCACACCCATTTGTTAATGCATGCATACGATACATACATTCACACACACACTTCCAGAGTTGGACTGCTGACACACACACACACACACACACATGCAGATATGGTCACACAATCGCACACACGCTGCAGGTGGGGGTTGGACCGGAGCGCTGTGAGTTATTACGGTCCATGAAAAACCAAGAGGTGTGAGCGACAAAGAGTAGAGGACAAAGAAGCATCATGGCTCTCTCTCTTCCCTCCCTCTTTCCTCACTCCCTCTCTTTTCTCCATCTCTCCACTCTGCCACTTTCTCCTCTCTATCTATATCTTCATCCCCTCGGTTCATCTTCCACTTCCGAGCTGTGTGGAACTGCTTGAGACAGTCCTTGACCTCCACATAATAGACATGCCGTGCAGCCATTCACAGTCATTACGCTTCATAACATAATATTCTTCAGAGTGAGTGCTCTTGAGAGAGATATTGTGGTATATTGATTGGAGCCTCTGAGTCCACAGATATGTACAAAGGCAACAGTTAATACCTTATTACATATTCTGACTCGGTCTGTACATTTAAATTAATGTTCTCCTGATGAGGTTTGTCGGAGACGATCAGTGAGATCGCTACAGTCTGCACACGGCGGAAGGACCTCCAGCGTGCGCTCAGAGTGCTTATGATTACTTCTAATGTTAAATGTTACACTTATTTTAAAGGATTTAATACAGTATTATGTTAAATGAGTTGTCTGTTCGACTTAACTTGAATGCACTAGTGTACTTTAGAGAACTGCAGGGGGTCTGTGCATTTTTAAATATTAATCTGCAAGATTTCCTAAAAGGAAAAGAAACTTCAGGCTCTATACATGATGTGAATGCAGGTTCAATAAGGCACTCTGCCTGTTTAACAGTCAGATCCTATTATTGTTAAGTGTACTGGAAGACCAACTATTGGATATGAGTTGAAATTCAGCATTTGGACGGTTATGTTACTGTATATCAGCCTTTTGATACTTTGGCTTCGCTGTTGGTGTGTGTTTCCTTCTAGATCTACTTCCTTACACCACTTTGTCTGACTTTATTGCTGCATTCCAGTTGTACTTAGAAGTCTGGATTTCCGAGCTCCCAGTCAGAAATTCATCTGGAACACACCCCTGAAGTCGGATTTCCGACTCGGGAAGTCGGGCAATTCTCACCAACGCGACTTGACAACAACGTCATGATCCATGATGGCAGCGCAGTGCATCAACAGTAAAGACTAACAGTGAAAGCTCTCGTAATGTATTATTTCTTAGCACTTCAGTCTGAATGTATGAGATCTATATCCATATTTCTGTCAAATGATATCATTACAATAGACCTTAAATTTAAAGAAGGAAAACAAGTTTAAAAACACAAAGACTTTCTTGACAATCGGCGTAAGCGATTTGAATTGAAGAAAATAGCCTTGTAGCTGGTTTGCAGTCTGTTAGCTAAGCTCATTTAAGTTGTTGTATGAATGTAAAAGAAGCAGATTTCAGACTGAAATATTACAGAGGGTGCCGTTATAATAGATAGACCTCAGCTGACTCGTCTCTCTGCACATACAAAAGTAAAAACATGTTGTAAATGCTGAGAGACCAAACATAAAGCTATGAAGCCCCTGAAGTCCTGCTAATGTGCAAATCTTTACCTGGTGCGCACACGTATTTATCACGTGTAAATAAGTTATTGAATTATATTGTGTGCACAAGAAAATAAGACATTTGGGACACGGCTGTGTGTTAGCAATAATTGAGTTAACAGAGGGATAGTGTCCCTGCGCCACAGAGATTAATGATGTAGCTTTGGTCAGGCTGCTAAAGCATAACCTAGCACACCAAATTTATATCACCACAGAAGAGTTTGGTGTTAATTTCAAAGGGTAAAATGTGGGTAAAATGCATTTTCAGCTTGTCTGGATTCATACAATCTGGCAAAAAAACTAAGATATAATAATTTTTTCCATTTTTTGCTTACTAAAACTCCAAAATAGTGTCTCTATAGCACTCAAGATCAATGTTTGGTAATGTTACACCATCAAATTCAATGAAATTTCACAGTACAGTGAGTAATCCTGGTGAGCAAATCCATCATTACTGTAGGTAACTGCTAAAGACGTTAAGAACCATACATGTCGTGTTCATGTTTTAGCCCATTAGCAACAGATTGTGCATACTGTACATGCTGCGCCTGTGCGCCATGTTGCTGCTGGCCAATTTCTAAAGCACCCCATAAATCCTTAGATTGATTTTATTCTTTCCAGGCAGCGGCTGGTTTCCATTCATCTATGGACGGCATAAAGAAGACAACCGGGGACCAGAAAGATGTTTTCTTATTGAGCCGCAGGTAGCATTTCCAAGCCCTTTTCATGTTATGACAAAGTTACGGTTGAAAGCAGTGACTATTTGGAAGCTCTTCTTTTCAAGGATTCAAGGGTGTTCAAGGGCAGTCTTACATCTGAGAGCAGTGCAGGAATCTTCTTTTGAAAATAGAAAAATGAGCATAAAGTCTCAAAAAAGGCTAATGTAAATGTTTCCATTTCTTACTTTAAAGGTTTCTTATTCAGTGGTTTTGTCTGTTTGTGCTCAATGTCGATTTTTTTAAAGTCTTTTTGCAAGTAAATGAAAACTAGAGCTGATCCAACCGCATCACCAATCCCAGAAAAGCAGAGACTCTATATTTTACTAAAATTAAAAAACAGTTGGAGGAACATCTTCTAATTGATGAGGTTTATCTGCAACATGTCATGTTTTAGAGAAGCTCAGTCTCAGAAGTGAAAATGGAAAGAGGTTGATGATGTTCTTCAGCACAAAAATACTGAAAAACTTGAGGATTTCATCATCTACAGTACTGAATATATATTTAAATCCTGGACAGCTGGGATCTCTAAACCCTGAGGCAGCACTGCTCTAAAATCAGGCATGACTCTGTAGTGGAAATAAACGCATGGGCTCAAAATCACTGCCACCGCAAATCACCGCAAAACGGCGCTTCAACTCAGTGCAGCGCAGCACAAGCAGCAGCTGAAGTTGTATGCGGCTACAGAGTAAAATATCCAGTTAATTTTCAAAACAAAATAATGTCAATACATTGAACTGTTCTCAACTTAATTATAGGAGAGGCCAGGGTTGTGGGATGGCGATGTTTATATACACCGATCAGCGGATCTCATTCAATGTCTAACAGGGAAACACGCGAGATTTCGTCCAGTCTTGTGAGAAATATCTGTAATATAGGCAAGCGCTTAACCTCTGACGGTGGAGGTGGATTGGATCCGTTGGGCGCTGTATGCTTGCGCATTTGCGTTCCAGATCCAGTGGGATTCCGTGGTTAAAGGGACATGAGACCCTTTAGAGAAGCCCACCTTCACACATCCAAAACTAACATTCATTTATTTTTTTTTTTTTTAAATACCTAAAATGACGTTGGTAACTGTCGTAAATTTCGGTATAGGTAAATATCCGGTTTATCGCCCAACCCTACTGCAAAAAAAACTCTGCTAAAATAGGGAAATGGACATCATGATAAAATGTTATAAAATTGAATTATATGTAAATTATTTTCACTTTTCATTCTGTTTTAAATTCCATATCGCTGTGCTGGACTCTGTCAGAATAAAGTCAATGATTAAAATCTTGACTTGAACATGTCAGGTAAATATTTCCAGATTTACTTATTACAGGATAAAAAATAGTTTCAGTCTTAATGGAAACGTGTTCGCTGGAAAGGTCCGATAACACACACATGCATACAAGTACATAAATGAATTTGCACCATGCATGCTCTGCAGGTGCTGCATTGTAAAGAAACGGACTCTCCCGCTCCCCCTGTGAGCCACAATACAAAATGAACAGCCTCCCTTCCTCTCCCTCTCCTCCCCCTCCCTTGCTCCAACCTTCTCCTCACATCACCCCACCTCCCCGTCCTCCTCGTGTTCCGAATCCGGCCTCCAATTTGTTCCACTTCCCCATACCTCATTGTTCAAAATGACACTTTTACATTTTATGGTGAACCAATTATTCTGTCTTACACAGTCCGCTGGCTCTGCAAGCCAACCTGCCCGGATCAACTGGGGAGCGGGCAGAGTGGGTGGGTGGGTGGTGGTGGTGGTGAAGGTATTTGGAAAGAAAAGAGGAGAGGGGGACCGAGGGAAAAAAGACGACTAATAGTAGCTCTCGCTGACACCTCCACCAGGATGGATAGAAAGAGCCGGAAACTGAGAAGTTCGCAGAGGGAGAGGATGGAGGGTGGAGGAGAGGTCAGGAGAGGAGAGGAGTGGAGGGAACAACACAGGTGGATGCCGCGGAGGTGCTTGTGAATGTGTGGGAGCCGCGAGGGGTCGGAGAATGAAGTGAATGTAGACAAAGGAGGATTTAATTGAATGATAAAGCGGCGGAGAGAGAATGAAAAGAGAGGATAAATCACAGCAGGGATAAATAAAGAAGACAGAGTACTAGGGCTAGGGTGGGTGGAGGGGGGCAGCAGTTGTAATGTATGCCTGAGGATGAGCGGGAGGGTGTGTGGGACATTAAAAGAGGAGACAAGAGAGAGTGAGAGAGGGGAGCGGAACGGAGGAGGAGAAGTGTGAGGAGCCGGAGGAGAGGGAGAGGACGAGGGGGGGAGAAGACTCGGGAGTGAAAACCGGCTCTTTTACCTGCGATGCGCCTGAGGGAGGAAGGAGATGGGAGGAGGGATGGGAGTGAAAACAGCGTGCAAAAAAGATTCAAGGAAAGGATGGGGCGGGTCAGCTGCAGACCGCCGGGGGCCAGGTGGGTGGAGAAAGAGACAGATGGAGAGAGAGAGAGAGTTGGAGAGGTGGAGAGGTGTATATGTTTTATGTTGTATGCGCCTCAGGGCTGCAACTTCAGATTTTCTTTTTTTTTTTTAGGTATTAATAATCTCTCTGATTAATCGTTTAGACTCTAACGCATCAGAAACGAGAGGAGAGGCTTTCCCAGAGTGATGTCTTCAATCGGCTTCTTTTGTCTGAAAACAGTCCAAAAACTCTGAGATAATTCACTTACAATGGTCTGTCGGAGTGAATAACAACACTGATTTCTCAATTTGATCGCATTTACTTTCACAAAGTCCCGACTTGATGCGAATCGATTTGCTTCTCAAAGATCCACTTAAATAACGCAACGGCGTAAATACAGTATAAAAGCATTTCTCTGCATTTATTCTTGGAGCTCCATTTCGTCTTCGACTCCACGAGTAAACAACACTGTTTTCTTTTAAGTATTAAATCGCTTCGAGAGCAAACCCATTTCTCTGATATTTAACCGCGGACCAAAAATAAGCAAGCGAGTAAACACGAGTGCACCGCTCTCGAAAAATAACCACAGGACAGAACTTTTTGTGCACTTTTTTTTTTTCTTAGAAGAGACACTGATGAAGGGATCTGGCTTGAGTTTTTATGTTGCGTTGTCATGGTGACCCCTATGGATGAAGCTGTTTGAGTTTTACTGGGATGGAGACTGCATTTCCCATGAGCGCCATCATCTACCGCCATAAAACGCAGCTTGTACCAACAGGTGTGTTTGTTATGGAAGCAAATAAAGGGACTAGAGATCTTTCAGTGCTATCTAACTTTGTTTAAGATTTTTTACAGGGTGCAGAGTGATGAAGCACTGATTTGTTATGGCAGTATAACAACAGCTGAACTTTGTAAACTCTAATTCACAGGCGTTGGGATCCTGTTTTTAGCTGTGTTCAATTAAAACTCAAGTTTTTCTAATTTTTAGAAGAAGTCAGGATTTAGATTTCCATCCAATCAGAATGCTGCGAGTAGGGCTGGGCGATACGGGAAAAAATTTATAACAATATAGTTTTTGCATATCAGTTGATATTGATATATATCACGATATATATATATATATATATATAAAGACTTTTCAACCTTGAATGTAACATAAAACAGATTCAAAAATTTACAGATAAATTTTTAAAATATTAATTTTATAACTAAAATCTTGTCTCTTTGACGTTTCGTTGTAAAGCGGACTGAATGGTCGGCTGTTTCGGCTGCACAGGCGCCGTGGGCTGCTTCGCACTTGCTCCGCTCGGGGTTTGTAAACTTTTAGATTGCGCATGCTCCGCCTCACGGCACTACTTCAGGTGGTGAAAAAGATTTGAGGTATTCCCCGACTTTGCATAAACATGTACTCGACATAATTTGCAGTGCAGACTCGAAGCAACTCCTCTTTTCATTGGCTATTCTTTCAGTCTACCAAAACACGGCAGAATGCCGGCTATGGCAATTTTTGATATATATCATTATGGTTTTATCGCCCAGCCCTAGCTGTGAGTAAAAGGAAAATTACCCAAAGAGAAGCATACTCTTCTTTCTTGATGACTTGTTTCTTCATCAGCCCATTTCTAAACTTAAACACTTCCAGGTGAGTTTTAAATATGCCAAAACCCCAATCTAAACCCAGACACTGACATTCAATACAGAGAAGAAACGCACTGATAATCTTATAGGTCATAAAGAGGTCTGAGTATAGGAGTGGCGCTATTTTAAAATCAGTTAAAAACTCCTCACAGAGCCTTTTAAAGTTTTTAGTGGATCATTTCACTCAAATATCGCAGTAAATATTCATGTTGTAAAACATGGAACCAGAAAGTGGTTTAATAATTCATCACAGCAGATGTTCATCCAAACTTTTGGCTTTGTTTTCCCTCTCTGTGCAGATTATTTGGGTAAACATCTGCTTTTTTCTGGGGTTTTCTCTTACAGCCAGATTCAGCAGCGTCTCAGCTGCAAAAAAACAAAAACTCGTAATTTCTGCCTCGATTTTAACAAACCTTTAATAGCTGTGCGAGCCTGCTTGGCATTTTTTCTGAGAAAGGTAGCTCTATCAGGACCAGAAGCTGAGTCTCCACCACATACGGCTCATCCACAGCTGTCTCATCTAATAAAGGCGACATAAATGCATTATAAAAGAGGAGTGTAAAAAACGGTCCGGTCGATGGGGGTTGGCACACAAATATGAGACACATTTAGCAGCGTGATGGTCTTTAAAGCCCTGAAACGGTTAAACAAAACCTTTAAATGTTTGATATTCTCTGAACGGGTTAAGAAATAAACAGTTTGACGTAAATAAGGAGCTCATTGTTATCCATAACCTGCATGAGAGAGAAGATGTTGAACTGTCAGCTGCAACCAGACACAAAGACTGTCGTCAAACAGCTGATGATATATATTTATGTATATTTTTTCAAATGCGTTTAAGTAAAGATGTAGTTTAATAAACAGTCTATCTCAGCGTGGTGTAAAGGAAACACATATTTTTACACGTAGTTTAATTTTGAAACCACTTCTACATCTAGGAGCCAAATTTGTGAGCTGTGAGAGGACCGTGACGGAGCCAGAAATCTGCTGTGGCATCTAAGTATGATAACTATCCATAAACATCCCACATCGTCCGACAACAGAGTGAAAAAGACGATCTATTCCGAGCTCATACAGGGATTTGTTCAGGATTTAAGGCGTATTTAATGATATAGATGGTTTGATTTAGTTTCTGTGAGACATCCCAACATGTTCAATATGCAAAACTCAACTCAGACTCAACTCAATTCAACGCCATAACGATTTTAAAGGACAAAGTCAATCAACCAATCAGCGGAGTCGTCTCACCTGTGATGAAATGTCTGAGGCAGGGTGGGCGGGGAGGTGGAAGGGGTGGCCAGGCCTGGCGAGTAGGGATGGTACGGCGTCTTCTTCAGGGCCTGGATCAGATTGTGCCGATACTCTGGATCTATGGACCACAGAGAGCCTTTACCTATGCTCTGAAAAACAAAAACAGGAGACAAACAGAGATGTTAGCACGCGAGCGAAGACGTCAAAGTTCAGACCTTGTGCCGGATCCATATTTACCGAACCACCTGTACACAGAGCGGTGATTTTAATATTCCCAGAAGAAGAAAACACCCGCAGGAGTGCGAATTAAAACATCCTCATTGCTAACACGTTCAAGACTTTCCAATCCTCTGCCTCGCCTTGGAAGAAAATTCTGGAGGCTTTTTACTGATTAAGACACAGGGAGACTCTTTAACTTTTCCACTCCAGAGGCGATGATAGTGTGTATTTTTAGATCAAAGCGGTCCCCCCGCCCCCCACCACCTAATGAAGCTGTGGGCTCCCAATCTGAGGAAAAACCAGCCTATAGATTACAGAGGCAGGAGCAAAGTCGCCATGAAAATACAGTCCCTGTCTTTATCTCTCGCTGACTCTCCTACCTGCTTTCATCTTCCTCATCATCTGAAGTTTGTGTACAGCTGAGACGAAGAACAAGAAGAGGGAAATAAATGTAAAATACAACCTGTCCTGTCGCGAGCTGCGCTCACTTTGTAGTGTTGTGTGATGTGATACAGGTACAGGCTACAGGGAGGGGAGATGTCATGACTGCAGGCTTCTGATTTCTGCAAATACCACCAGGAATCTATTAAAAAGGAAATGTCAGATATGCCAGAGCATGTTAGCGTTAATTGGGGACAAATCTTTAAACCTGAGCGGCACTTTTTTTTTATTCAAGTGGAGGAGGTGCACACCTCATTACATCGTGGTAGAAGTCAAAAGTCCACGAGAATCAAACAAAAATCTAAGTACAGAGTATGAAGACATAAGAGGATTTATGGACTTTTTGTGGGGTTGAAAAGTTTTTGCAGAAAGTAAAGCCGTGTTTTTTTTGCAGACTGTCCCTGTTTCTTTCTTTTTCATCCACATATCCAATCTTTGGAAACAACTTTTTACATAAAATTCAGTCCTTTTGAAAGAGCGACAAAGGGAAATTTAAACAGAAGATGTGGTACTGGTTATTTTTAAAACTTTGGAGCAACTTCTGCCAAAATAAATAAAACTTTCTTTTTAATAAGTTTCATTTCTCATTTGTTTTATTTGTCGCCTCTTTGTTAAGTGACTTTTTAGAAGTTACAAAACTTTTGCTTACAGAGTGGTGTTTTGAGTTTGAACTAGAGGTGTCCGGATGCAACATTTTTACTTCCGATATGATACCGATATTGTAGTCTTCAATATCGGCCGATACCAATATTGATCTGATATTAACACAAACTTGTGCATGACAAGTTTTGCACTCAGCTACAACGTCTTTTTTGGACTTTAGTGAAAAGTACTGCTACACAGCCGACATCACTCCTACTCCTTGGTACTTGCTGGTCGATAGAGGTGCTGGCGCTGAGTCTGGATTGGACTGCTTGTATTTTTTGCTGATATTGGATATCAACAATATCGTATCGGGACATCCCTAGTTTGAAGTACATTTCAATGCAAGCTCTCATTTTGGGGGGCAATAAACAGCAACTATGAAACAAAAACAAGTGAAATTTAGGAACTTTTTACAGAGAGATTTCAGTGTCAACTAGGGCTGGGTGATATAACCTCTAATCAGTATCAAGATATATTGATCAGTTCACCTGGATAACGATAAATGGACGATAACTACTCCACAAGCTGCTCACCACCTCCCACATTAACTTCGTCTACTTCAGCCGCGACAACTGTTGAACCGTCCTCCATCTCCTCACCTGTCTTTCCCTCTTTGTTACAGACTGGATGGGGTGGAGTCACCATAGCCTACCTACACACATCCAAACCCAACTTTTATTTAATTTTTTTTACACCAAGTATACCGATGTGGGCAAAATGACATCGCTATACTCGGTGTAAAGTTTGGCATCAATAAATTTTCGGTTATCGCTCAGCCCTACTGCATCCTGTGCTCAAAAAGGGAAATGGACAGTTTTTCAGTTTTGAGTCTGGACTTGGTCAGAATAAAGTTGATGATTCAAATCTCTGTATCTGTAAATTTTCGGTTTATTGCCCAGCCCTAGTGTCAACCTAACAACATTTCTGCCTCCTGAGGGTGAAGTTTCAGCCGATTGTGACCCAGTTGTTCAGGCTCACACCAAAACATTGTCTGCAAGCATGAAATTTTATTATTATCGTACTTTTGTTTAAGTAAATAAAACAAATCTGTATGTTTAGATTTTATCTTTAACAGGTTTAACTCAAATCACAGCCTGCTTTTTATATTTACTGTTCAATTGCAGGTTAATCTTTATAACTCCTGAAGCAAACGACACACGCCTCAGGTTGCATTCTTCACACTTCTGCTGTTCAAATAAAAAATAAAGATATTGAGCGTCCCAAAGGTAAAAAAAAAAAATCTATAGCATCCTTTTAAACGTGCATTTGACTGTAACAGCCCATAGGAGAGCAGCAGCTTCAAACAGTGCTTTAAGTCTGAGGGTTTACAGGTGAGAACAGGGTTAAAAGAGAGACCTGAACCTGAGCTGAAATTCACTTAACTGCACTCTGGCTTATGCGCTGAAGAGCTTTTACATAAAATGATGCATATGCAAACAACACTTGAAAAAATCCACAAAAAAAAGATGAAGCTGTAGCTGCAAAAGTGGGACAGGTCTCAAACCGAAAAAACAGAAATTAGGAACATCTGATGCGGCGCGATACAATCCTGCTGCAAGCCTCAAGACTCAGTCTCAGAGTAACCCTCTCATTCATGTCCGATTTGTTTCAGATCATCTCTGATACTCGGCTCCATGATGCAAACTGTCTTCTTTAATAGATGAAGATCCCGCAGAGCCTCATAGGAAGCCGCGTGCGTCTCCTGATCCCAGCATGTCCGGTGTATCTGTCAGAAACTCCGCTCCAGTCTGACCTTGTAAGGATGCAAGAAGCTAATAGGATCTGTGTGCCCTGTTGATTTGAGTCTCCCCTGACTGGATCTGTACATTAGTATGGGAGTCGTGTTGAACACAAGCCATATGTGCCATGTTTTGCTCTTGGTGTGTGTGTGTGTTGGGGCTGAGCGTGTGTGTATGGCGAGTTCCCTGGGGAGTGTGATATTACCCAGCATGGTCTGCTCCTGGGAGTGCTTCTATTACTGCCAGCAACGCCTCTCCTGGAGAGCATGATATTACACACACATACGCTCGCTCCCACAGAGGTGACCCCCACTGGGCCAAATTTCCCCTTGCACCTCCAGCCCGCCAGCCAGTTTGTGTATACGTGTATGTGTGTGTGTGTGTGTGTGTGTGTGTGTGTGTTGACTGTCTGCCCGCTTGCCAGCCGATTAAATCAATGCTCCCTTCAGAATCTCTGTCTGCCGGGGCTCCTGCCTCTGCCAACCAGCCAGCCAATCGTAACGCTCCATCTCCACAACAACCACCCCCCCCAACCGGGTCGATAGGCCAATCACAGGGCGCGGCTCACAGGAAGGGTCTGTCACCTGGGTTAGAGTGGTTGCCTTGGCAACAGGCATCATCTAGAGTTTGGAAGCCGGAGGAGGTGAAATGGACTTTTTTTCATTTTCTGACATACTTGGAAAAAAAGTTGAAAAAAATCAAACTCAGCGTGTCTCAGAATTGATTATCAAGAAATGTATTGGACGTCAGAGATTGGCTTTAAGTTTCCAGAGAGGTTCAACTTCGATACAGTATGACTTTGAGTCTAAAAATAGCTCTCCTCCACTCGGCTGATAGATACAGGATTGTGTGTTTGACATTTACCTGCTCTCCATTTGAATAATCTCCCTCTTCATCCTCTGATCCCACCTGGTCTCACTCTCTGGATGATGCGTTTACTTACTTACAAATATTCACATTACTGTAGTATCCCCAGGATTAGACAACAAATAATCCATGACTCTAAAAAGGTTAACCCCCACTTTCCAAAACACATCTCATCCAGCAGGAGATGAAACCGACGGAGGCGCTGCTTTGGATTTTAAATTGCAACTTTAAGCAACATTACTCTCAGAAGAAACAGATTTAATTATATGTATCTGTGTCAGTACAGCAGTTTGTGGAAGTTTTGATTAGGGAAGCAGCAGCAGCAGCGGCTTTTATTCGCCTCCTCTCCCCGTTATAAAACTGCAGAGCACAGAGCAGCGCTCAGGTATTTTCATGATGGAGAAAACATGCAGACTCCAACTTGCCTGAGACACGTCATGGTGTGAGTAAAAGACAAAAGGGGAAGAGAGGGGAGACAAAGGCTAGAGAGAGAGAGTGTGTGTGTGTGTGAGAGAGAGATGATTGTGAGTTGCCAACATCTGTTTCCTGTGTTATATAAGCTGTGGGGGCTGGTCTCCCTTGGAAATGGGAGATATTAAACAGTCGTGCTGCCTCTGACCCCGCTTGTAACACTATACTACTGCTACTGCATTCCTATCTGCTCGATCATCCTCACACACACTCACACAGAGTCACCTAAAGCACACAAAACAACATGTGAAGTGTAAGGCAGGGGCGAAAACACATGAGGAAAGTTATAAATCCACAGAAGTCTTCAGAAGTTCCTTTCCTTCCAACACACTTTCATTGGTTTGATCTTTGACATTCTGGTAAATTTACTGGTTTAATTCTTAAGTGTGATAACTCTCTAACTTTTATGTTAAATTCAAGCGAACACCAGAAGTTGTTTAGCTTGACTTTGCATAAAGATTTAGGTGGGGTAAGGTTTTCTAAACACTTTCAAGCTTGTAACAACACACACAGATTTTAGCTACATCTTGATTGTAATGCTCCCTTGCTCACCCCCTCTAGAGAAGAGAGGGCTTATTGATCAACCTAGAAACAGACTAAACATTTAGTAGGGTGACCACACGTCCTCTTTTACCCAGACATGTCCTCTTTTTTGGGGTCTGTCTGGCCTGTCCAGGGGGAGTTTATAAAATCCTTCAACTGAGTTAGAAGCGCGTAAAAAACACTTGACCTGACCCAAAAACTCCTCAAAATTTTGTACGCGACTTCACCCCCCTATGACCCTAATATGGTCACCCTACATTTAGTGATAGGAGTTAGAATCTTAACTGGAGCTGTCCCCTGCTCACCTCTGTGACGGTGGCCTTCAAGGACAAGACGCTAAGTATGATCCTCCATCTCTAACATTTTTACCATCAAAAACTTCTGTGAAAACAAATTCTTTCATGCACAACAACCACTCTCTCCTTCTTTTTCTTCTTTTCAATTTCGCACAGACATGTACAGCTCTTACAAGTTTGTCCATCCTGTGCTACTGGATCAGCTTCTTATGTAGCTGGATCAGCTTATCTGTCCCGCAAACCCAATTTGTGCGAAACGTACGTCACTTCCTCTACTAGCCATCTTTGCGGCAGCTCAGCAATTCTTGGCCCCCAGTGGTTTGCGTCTCGGTCAGAATGGATGCTTCAGTTTATCACCAGCTACACACATTTCTCCTGGTTGTGGTGCACTATGTGGCCAGGGGAAGGTCCCGCCCTCCTTTGCCTCTGATTGGCTAGAAGTGCTGGGTTTCGATTGGTTATTCCTAATGTCTGTGAAACATCATTGTCTGTTGGGTTAGGGTTAGAAGATTTAGAAGTGCGTCAATGTTCTGTAATATTCTGTTCGATGTACAGAACCAACAGCCCACATTTGGCTTGAGCGTGTAAAGACGTTTCCAGTTTTTCTAGCCAATCAGAAGCGAAGGAGGCGGGACTTTCCCCTTCCATCCTACAAAAAAAATATCGGATGGGGTGGCCACACACCTCCAGAGCTTCCCCCCTTAATACTTTGGAAAGTCAGAGAACCATAATTTTGACCCGGTGGCGGTGCTCTCTGTGGCCCAAAAGGTCTCACCATGCTGGGCAGGAGTTCTGGTGAGCGCCTCGGTATTAGCCCTGGAGCCTCCTGCTAGCTAGCCTGTCACATCACCAGCTGATTCCTGTAATTGATCGGTAGTTAAAATAATTTTTTTTAAGGTGACGTAAATGGATCGGGCAGTTAGCAATAGTAACATTAACTGCTGTTAAATGCATTGAAATACGAAGAGAGGAAGTGACGTATGTTTCGCACATGCACAGTACAAATCGGGTTTCCGGGGCAGATCGGATAGCGACATGTAGATGAATGACACTAGTTTTAACATATGTATATTAGGGGTCGGCCCAGAGACTGAATAAAAGCTTAAACACAGACACATTATACATGCACAGAAAAGCTATAGAGTATTTTGCTTCTCCTTCACTAAATCTCTGCCTCTCTTATCCTTAGTTGAGCGTAAACTTTACAAAAATGTAAAAACAGTCACTGCCGGTCTTATCAGCATGTGCAGGTTAGTGTTATTGGCTCAAGAGAAACGGGCATCCCCTGAAATAAATGCTCCAAACACATTTTTTCTGTGAACACCAGGCTTTAAATATCATTTTCCGTGCTGCAGCCGAGCTCTGATGTTCGCCTAAAGCTATTAAAATCACATCATTGAGACCCACAGTTTCACTCTGTGGCATTATCGAGATTTAAAAGTTAGTCAGAGTAGTTTGTTCCTCTGTTGGCACCAAGTTTAAGCTCCTGTTGCTCCAAATACACACAACAGTCCCCACAAACGCACTATTTTTTCTCCTGTTTGGACAATATTTGCTGAAAAACCACCGTGTCCAGTGGCCGGGAATAACCAAGCCTCTCCCAAAAGACTCATTTTTAATTTTTAACCTCAATTTACCCACAAAGACTTCTTCTCAGTGAGAGCCAATGAGCTAGATAAAGAAGTCTGACAGTGTGCAGCCATGGATGGATAATAGTTTTGGTGTTTTAGATTCAAATGAGGAGAAAAATAACTTTAATTTTTAAGTAAAATGCTGTTTTTTATTGTGGCTGAATACTGTTCATCTACATACTGCAGAGCTCCATTAAACAAGTTCACGTAGTAGATTTAGTCTGAACCGAGTTATGACATGAGATTATAAAGATGCGTGATGCACAGAGATGCATTAAGAGGCTTTGTCGTCCGCTGCATTTTCACGTGCAGCCTGACTTAACCTATGCCACATATTTAAAGCTTTAGGACGGCAAACATTTCACTTTGATGGACATCCACCGTCAGAGTCCTGGCATTAACCCCGGGTGTGTTTAAACCCGATTAGGCACAACTCTGATACACTGATCTATCGTTTCTTACTGTATGTGCACAGATAAATATCAGATTAACATTGTAGTCAAGTAGGACGAGTACAGCGCGCAGCACGTTCACGCCTGAGCACTGATTAAGATATGCAGCCCCGCTGAATCAAAACAAAAAGAGGTCTGTTTTGAAGAAATGAAGCAGAGGATGCAAATGTTCAAACAAGGAGAGGAACGCAGAGCTTTTGAAGAGGAGAGAGGGGAAAAGAGGGAGAAGAGGATATCTCTTCTGATGAAGCTGCTTGATACAGGCCACTTTTGTTCTTGTTCAAGGATTTCACGCAACAAAGAGGCCCTGTTCGGGTGTAAAAGTTACATATCAGTCATTTTTGTAATGCGTAGAAAAACAGAGCGTGATCATATGTTGAAATCGAACGCAGGCTTTGCATGTGGTTCTGGTTTATGCCAGAGTTTGACCTGGTTTGTGTGGGTTTTTAAGATGCACTGGTTTAAGACGTTCAGCTTTGAGATTCTCAAAGACACGTAGGAGTGACGGTTTTCAAAACAAATTTTCTCAAAATATTCAAATCAGCTTATTTGAAAAGCACAAACCCCTGGAGTCCCAAAATGATATGTTATATGTATATATATATTTGTGCTAAAGTTGTCAAAACAGCCTGAAATTCAGATTCATGCTTTTTCAAGAAGAAAAACAAGACCACATGTGACCAAAAAGAGAGGTTAAATGTCAGAAGGGCTGATGAAGACGGCCCTGTTTTCATAATTTCACAAGTTAAATAACTTGCATTCATGTTGAAATCATCTTGTGGGAGTTTATATCTTGTGTGTACAACAGAATTATCTCTTACAAACCAGTTATCTTGCAAGATAAGACAGCTATGGTTACTGTGCAGTAACTCAGACGTCTAGAGGAAAAACATCCTGTCCACTTCAGAGGACGATAAAGTAAACTGATTACCTCAGTATCTTACTACAGCTCTGTTATGTGACTGCAGAACTGTGTCATCAAACATAGGCAAAAAAAAAAAAAACTGGGCCCGGTCCAATATGAGCAAACCCCAGAGAGCTGAACTCATAGCCCACCTATGAGAAGCTGTCTCTGAACAGTTTATTTCAGTGAGCTCATCGGGGGGTTTCTGGACTTCCCTCTTGTCAAAGGGGGCATCAGTTTTAAATCTCTGAAAGTCCTCCAAGGACACCACCAGGAACCAATCTTACAGATGTTTAAATTGTCTCCCTGCGGGTGCGCTGAGCAAATAGTAAGTGACAACAAGGCTTGTACTCACACTCATGACTCACGATGATTGACATGTTATTATCACCTTGTATCATCCTACTTTGATGGAGCTGACACAATTGCATAGCATTGCTATTTACACATCCAAGGACATGTTACATCAGCCTTTAATTTCTCTCTGTCTCTAACATTGTCTTCCAACATTCCCCTGTTTAGAGCTTACTTCACTGCACACGGCAATAGCATCCTAACTTTGGTTCTAGTTTAAAGTCGTTTTTAGTCTTTGCCTGCACACAACCATTTCCTTATATTTGCATGCCTGGTGCACTGTTATGATAAAGCAGGGTGAGACTCTCTGTTAGAAAACACCACTCACACTTTTACAGAATGAAGCTAACAAGCAAAAAGATTAGAGATGCACCGATCCATTTTTTTTTGTAACCAATCTGATACCGATACCTGGGCTGAGCATATCGGCCGATATCTGATACCAATCCGAAGGCATCAGGCTTGACATTAGCCTTGTTATAAAAAGGTAACAAATTAACACAGATATAAATTTACTTAATACTATTTATTAACAAATAACAAACTGCACATTAGCACACAGCAAAAAGAAGTAAGACTTCCATGTAAACAAAACAGGGTGAACAGAATCACTGTGTTGCTGCGTATGATAGTAATTAAGAGAAAAAAAAAGACTGGATTGGCGTCATTAATCAGATATCTGATCCAGTTAATTAGTCAATATTGAAGCCGATATCCAATGCAAATATCGGATCGGTGCATCCCTCAAAAAAAAAAAAAAAAAAGAAATGCACCCTTTTGTCCACAGGGGGCGCCAAAATCAACACAAACTTAAACCAATAGATGAACCTTATAATTGACAGTCCTGCTGATTAAGCCAAAATTCAAGTTTAAGTGGATTCATGGACGAAATTTTGATTTCAAAGGTGGTGGGGGACACATGTGACTTATAGCCTAGCAAACAGCACATCTCACACACACAGTAACAGAGAAGGGCAATACGGCCAGCGGGTGGATGGAAGTACAAACCCAATACAGGGATGTAACTCCAATGAATGGGACGTTACAGAGGGAAAATGAACGCCGCCCTCCTGTAAACTTACACGGACTGACTCTTCCGAGCAACTTGCAAAACACTTGTCTGGCAGGGATAGCAAATCACACACAAAAAGCGGCCCTGCTAATCAAGGACCTTGTGGGCGGTCCAAACCGAAGAAAACCAATTTTCGGCTTGAGCGGCCGTTTGGTCCTAGTGCCTGACGCTTGTCGGTTTGCTATAGCGAAAAGTAACATTGTTTTCAGACGGTTAAAACTGCAGGGGACGGAAACAGGCTTTTGAGGGAAAAAAAATCATCCGTTGCATCTATGAGTGGATTCAATAAGGTGCAAGAATTTTCAGTTACACACAGCGACATTAATCTTTCAGGATTAAACCTCAGTACGTCCACACAGAGTCAAAAACAAAGAATAAAGGACAAATCCATGTCAAAATAAACAGTTCACTTCTGAGAGCCTGGAAGTCCAGACAATAAAAGCAAATATGAATCAATACGCAGAACCAAATTCAAGACAGAAATCCAATAAAACTGAATGGACACCAGAATCTTTTAAATGAAGGAAATACTACAAGACTACTTAGACTCAGAAAAGCCGCCCACATGTTCATTGATGGGAATAAAACAGTTAAAAATCTGTTTTTCTCATTAGTTTTGGATGCGGGTGGGACATTTTGCCTGCACAGTTAGAAAGACTGTTTAACATGTGTTTATCACACTATGCTTTATATCATCCAGGTCCAGGATCCGGTTCGACATAGGATATCTATCGAGTCCTATAAAGCCTGACATTACACAGCTTTGTCTATATCCAAAGGTCAGATTTACTAACTATTACATTTTGTTCCTTTAAATCAATACAACACCCTCAGGAAATTAAGTCTTAAAACGAATTAATGTGTTTTTAATTCGAGGGAAAGAAAAAAATAAAACAGATTTTTACAACTTTTCCAGATAAATTAGCTGCAGCACCTGCGGATAAATGAGCGTCAAAAAAGCACCCCGAGGAGATAAATCTCAGCTCACTCTGGGTGCTCGGATGAAAAAAGGAAGAATCAAGGCCGCTCTCATCTGAACAGGTTAAGGTGAAGGTGGAGGTGACACACTTAAGTGCAACATAGAGAGATTTCATAGAGAGCCTGAGATGACAAAACTGCCTGTTGTCTCTGCTGTGATTTCATAAGAGGCTTTGAGAAATATATCCCTGAGAGAGCGTGTGTGTGTTCAAGTGCGTGTGTGTGTCCTTGTGCGTGTGTTACAACACTGATCTCCAGCGCTGATCCACAAGTCTGAGGGCAACAACACTTGTCATTAAGGCATGTCATTCAGCACAGTAAGGAATCCTGTTAGTAAACAATGCCATGGCAACCGTGGGACTCACACTGTCTCACACTTTCTCACACAAGTTTGCACACTCAAACGCACACACAGAGAGTGGCAAGCTTACTCTATACTAGCCCCTCATCTTATCATCTGCCTGGATATGACCCAGAAATACAGTCACTGGAACAAATAGGCCACTGTCACATTAATCTCCACCTCTGTAAATTGATGGAAATATGATTTGGTGCATTCTCAGTATAAGCCATGTCTGCCTGCCTCCTTCCTTCCTTCTCTCAGTCTGTCTGTGTCTAAGCGGCTACCTCTCTCCAGCGATAGCTTGACCTCCTCTTTAACAAATCCCTTTCTTCTTCTCCACGGCGAGTAATGAGTACAACATAATGCAACATAAAGAGGAAAATATCTCAGACCCTGTAATTGCGAGCTCAATTCAAAAAGACATAAACAGGTGAATAAAAAAAAAAAGGCAAAGCCGGGAGGGAAAAAAAAGAGAATTCACATGCAGATATTCTCAGTGAAAGGCTTTGAATGGCAGAGTCGGACTGAAATTACAGAGATTGTGTAATTGCAGCTTCAGATAAAGCTCAGCACTTGGCAGGTAGAGTAGGAGTCTGCAGAGATGTGCCCTCATTTCTACACCGACACCGTGTGAGTGTGTGTGTGTGAGTGTGGGGGGGGTCCTTTAATGCATTCATGCATGCTCGAGAGTGTGTGCGCGCGTGTGTGTGTGCTTGTTTGTTGGTGTGTCAGACAAGCCACGTGTGTGCGTGAGAGAGGGGAATAGGTTTGAAGGGTTAATTAGTGCGCTGTCTTAAACGGTGTGCAACGACAGGAAGACAAGGCAGGCTGTCCTTGCCAAAATCACCTCTACACAGGCTGCTCCACACACACACATGAACACACACGTATATGTGCAAATCACACAAGACGAGCGCGCAAACTCATTCTCCCCCACTCAGCACCTCAGTGCCCATCTGACGCCTGCACACACACACATCATTTCAAACACAAACTCTCTCTCACACACACACACACACACACACACGCCTAAGTCAGTAAAGCCAAATCAGTTTTCCGGTTGCTACAGCAACAGCATACTTTTATGTCAACTGCAACCTAGTTACTATGGAGATATGTATACAAGAGAAACTCTGCGCCGTTGTAGTCAAGGGCCAGATGACAGCATAGCGTGAGGGTGTGTGCGCAGACACACAAAACATGTCCTCTTCATCCTTCATCCATTTTGTTCCTCAACACAAACACACGCACACACACACACACACACACACACACACACACACACACACGCAGCCGCACACTCACTCAAAAGCGAGGGTTCAGGTTCACACGCTGGTCAAGGAAATCATAAAGAGCTCCCATATCCTTCAGTATAATCTCAAACAGCTAAACACGCAAAGCTAGCATTGATCCTCGCTGTTTGTCCCCCACCCCCTAACACCCTGGGGCGAGATGAAATCTAAAGTCTGCTGGCATCTGTGTTATTAAATCCTCCAGTATTAATTTAGCACTAATTGAGTGAGGGATTCATTCCCCCTTTACCCGCAGTCTTTAATGGAGTGAAATCTGGATAGGAAAGCCGGTATAAAAGAGTGTATCAAGACTTAAATCAAAAGCGAAACGCTCTTCCCACTGGGGGAGCACAGAGCGTCTGACTGAAAGAGAACTATGAAAGCAGAGATCATCAACTATTGATAAGGCCGAATCTGGTACAGCTGTAGACAAAATACAGAATATGTTTGACTTCAAGTTGGATATGCCTGCAAACGGCTGATAACTGCCTGGCTGTAAAATAAGTTAAAACGACACATGATAGAGAAGATAATAGGCTGAGTATTTACCCTGGAGCTGCAAAGGTATTTTAGAAAATTATTTATAAGATGAGGTTTCCAAAAAAAAAAAAAAAATCTGTGAAGGAATGAATGAAATGAGGCCGGGACGATTCCTAAGTCGGTGTTTGAGGAAGGATGGGAGGAAATTAAAGGAAATACTCATGAGAAAAGCGCGCCCTTTGTTGACCTTGGATGAAATGTGAGGAGAGAAGAGTGTCTGAAAACCTTTAGCTCATAAACTGTATCACTAAAAACTGGAATAACATGAATTTGCCTCAAAGTCTGATCCACAAGAATTGACCATAGCCAAACTATGACTTTACACAATGGGCTGATGTTATTTCCACTTTACTTGACGTGAAAATGGCCCTAATGTTAAGATAACACTTAAAGATTAGGAATTAGGATGCCTTTATTTTAAAGTTTTAGCATTTTAGCTGCTATGTGAAATAAAAGTCTGATCACTTTAATGAAAAGCTTTACTGTGGTGAGTATTTCTCCACATCTAGTTGACTTTTAATGGAGAGGGAATAGGGAAGAGGGAAGGGAAGATTATATAAAAAAAATCACTTGTCAATCTTAAATGTTCCTTGTTACTCTTCCCCGACTTTTTGAAAACATGTACTCGACAAAATCTGCAGTACATATTACTCTGCTTCATGCCCGACCTCAAAAAAACAAACTACCTTCACACCACCGATGTTTTCACACCAGTGTTGTCAACGATGTCATCATCTGATATGCTGTCAGCTTCATGTGTTGCGTGCTACGGTTGCGTGTAGCTGCAGCCTGCTACAACGCAGTTGTTTGCTACTTGGTTCTAATTCAGCACATGATTGGTTCAGCACGGTGCGGACTCAGAACAACTCTCCTTTTCATTGGCTATTCGTACAGACTACTAAAACATGTCAGAATGCCGGCTATGGAAAAGCATATTGACCATCGCCCAGCCCTAGTTTAAAGTACAGCTTGTGTAGTGTGTCTTCATGACCCAGAATCGAGGACACATCTGCAACACAACACAACTTCCAGACCTTCTGACTGATTTGGCCAACGGTGGCTGAGAACGCCATGCACACTCAAAAACAAACAAAGAAGAAACAGCAGAAACCTGGTGAGGAACAAGCGTTAGCATAGGGTGACCATACGTCCTCTTTTACCCGGACATGTCCACTTTTTGGGGGGCTGTACAGCCTCGTCCAAGGGGAGTTTATAAAATCCTTCAAATATCCAGGGTTGTGTTTGGAAGATTAGAGTTTGTGTTGCGTGGACTAACTACGCTAGAAGAGCGTAAAAAACACTCAACCCGACCCAAAAACTCTCAAAATTATCTATGTGCGACTCTGTGACTCCCCCCCGCATAGTTATGTCCTCATTCTGGGGATTCAGAGTACGGTCACCCTACGTTTGCATGTACGATTGTCATCTAGCCCAGACCCTCTTCCTTCCACTAGCATCACGCTGGTCTTGGTAACTGGTTGTAAACCAGAAAAATCATGTAGTCCAACCTCAGTGAAAGCTAACCTCTCTCTCCAAAGAAACTTCCCGCCCTGCTAATGTTTTTGCACCAAAAAAAAAACCTCCAGCTGATTAAATTCCATGACATTTCATCTCCAGTCAAAGGCATGAAAGTCATGATGAAGCACGTTCAACAGAAAAATGCAAGCAACTCCATTTTCGGCTGAATCGCCAAATGTTTACTGACAACAGTAGACAAAATCTGAAATACAAGCTCCCGTTGGCATGGGGGCAAATCAAGCCGTGATAAAGCAACTGCAAAAAAATGCAGTTCCTCAAGTCTCCACAAGGGGGCAGCTCCAAAAGCCAAAGAAACCCCCATGTAATATGTTTCTAGCCTGGTTTTAAATACAGTTTTGGTCCAAATAGCTGGTTTTGGAGGTCCTTACCTGGCTCCTGTCTTTGTCCACCTTCTTGAAGCACTTGTTAAGCGACAGATTGTGGCGCACTGAGTTCTTCCATCCTGTGGGGGCGCTTGCAAAGTAAGGGAAGTGCTCCAGAATCCAGCCGTAGATATCCTTCACAGGGAGCCGCTTGTTCGGCGCGTCCTCGATAGCCATGAAGATCAGGCAGCTGAAGGAGTACGGCGGTTTCCTGTTGGCGCCCGCGGCCAAGTCGTACGCTGAGTGTGCATCCCCGAGCAGGGGGTCGTCTGGGGAGGGAGACGAGGAAGAGGGCGAGCGAGGGTGCTGACCGTCGGGGTCCTGCAGGGGAGAAACGCTACGCAGCCCCGAGTGGCTGAAGCTGTTGAGGAGGTCGGTGCTCTCGTGGAGCCAGGAGAGGCTGGTGAGCTCTTCGTCCTCGGCCTTGGAGAAGGAAGCAGACAAGGACAGGGAGAGGTCGGCGGCCTCAGCCTCCGATGCTGCTGTGGCGGCGTCTCCCTGTCTGTAAGGTGGGCTCATACCCTGCGAGGCACTGGCTCCACTACTAGGGCTCTGGGCCTTCTTACTCGGGGGCATGGTGGGTCCCATCCAGCCCAGGGCTCACTCCTGGAGACAGCGGAGAAAAAGGAGAGAAAACAAATGAGAAAAAGTCAGCCGGCTGCTCACATGAAGCTTGAATTTTGAAAGGCCAAAGGGTGGAGACATGCAACAAGATTTCATCCACATTCCCAATTAGGCTGTTTCATCACGGGGGGAATAAACTCCATCATTTCGCTCTGGGGCTTTCTATCCAATTCTGACTGGGATGGCAAATTTAGTGCTTCATCGGCTGAGGAAATCTTGCCTTGTACAACTACACTCTAATTACTAGTGTACCAGCAGAGTATTGACATTACATGGGGTTGCTGTCATAAAATACCGAATACAGTTAAAGGTCTAACAGTCCGGTCAAAGACGTGATCCGAGCAGCAGGAGGAGTTTTCACTGTCAAGCCAGCGGGAATGAATCAGAGCGGAATAAACTTTAACTGGTGGATTTTTACAACATTACAAACAATTAAATGTCCAATGATCAGACTTAGTACCGCAGCCGAATATCTGTGACTGCAGCTGATCAAGATTGGGACGTTCGCCAAGGAAGAAAAAAAAAAGAAAACAAATTAGAGTGTGAGTTCAAATCCGCCTCTATTCTAATCAGACCATTACTCTCCTGAAATAAGAGCAATGCTGTGCTCGTTAGACGCAGGCAGAGTGTGTGTAATTGAAGGGGACTGTGGCGGAGTATCACACACCACAATCAGGAGGCTCACAGGCAGGCCTTTGATTTTCCTCTAGCACAGACAGCTGTGGGAAGCAGCCCCAGCTAAATGTGAGCCGCTGCACCCGCCAACCAGAACATGTTTCGGCGTCTGAACTCGAACGGCGCCGTCGCTCAGGTGCACGAAATAACTGTAATTTTCATTACGGCTTCATGCATATGGCAGAGATGGGCGCAAGTTGCTTTTTACAAATCAAGTCATGCAGAGTTTTGATAAATAACAATATAAAAGGTCTGAGTCTGCCTCTGACAGGTTTTATTTATGCCTTACTTATCAAAAACAACTCAGCTTATGATCTGAATGATACGTCATTATAGCAGGTGATGTTCAAACTGACCTTAAACCGAGACATAAGCGGTAAGACGCAAGACAAAGACCGAAATCTCTGCATTATCTGAGATACTTGTATTCATAATGAGTCAAATATGCTCAAGCCCCGCGCCTTGTTAAGGTTCATGTGTGAGAAGCACAGTGCCATGAGGGCAACAGGTGATGTAATGTGGCTGCTGGTGACAGTGGTGCATAATAAATGAGAGAGATTGGGGATGACGATTGACAATCGAAAGTTAAAGGGATATTCTGGTGTATAATTAAGTTAGTGTCAAACACACCGTAACACCGAGTTAGACACCCCGACGAGAGATGAATGTTGCCAACCGCTTTAGTAACTTTAGTAACAACCACACGCTAGTCCATTACAGACTACAGCGGGGTGACGCAGCTCAAGGAAGAACATTTATGATCATTTCTTCATGGTAATGCAATCAGACCGAGACGCTAAGGCAAAAGAACTACCGGGTCTGCAGAGCAAAATGATTAATATGGTGGTTATTACTTCAAGGAAATGATAAAGAAATGATCATAAATGTTCTTCCTTGAGCTGCGTCACCCCGCTGCAGTCTGTAATCGACTCCTGAGACCACTGTGTATTGCCATCGTGTGGTCATTACGAAAGTTGGTACAACTAGAGAAGCAAGCGGTCAGCTTAACTTGATTTTTTGCCAGAATATCCCTTTAAGAGTGTAACGCTGATGTTTGATTGGTTATGTAATTTTCTGATTAAAATAGGATGTTTGTTGACGGGCAATAACTGCAAAGGTGCACATTGATTTTGACTGACATCATGACACTGTCGCTCTTAGCAGGACACCGCTCAACATTTTATAGAGGAATTAATCGATAAAGTTGCACCAAAACAAATATTTGCACTCGATCAAACGCTGCCGAAACATAAACTGAGGTTGCACAGATTAAAGTTTGCATTTTTGATCCCTCAAACATCATTTACAGACACAAAGAGACAAAATTAAGGTGCAGAAATGATAAAAAGAAGCAAAATGAAAACAATATAAGAATTAAATAGTTCAAAAAATGAAACAAAAGAAGTTTAAGGGTATTAAAATAAAAGGAAAGATAAATTAAAGATAAATGTTGGGGGAATAGCATGAGAAAGACATTTTAAAAACGGTGTAAAAAGGAAAAAAGCGATTGAAAGAAAATAGACACAAAGCTGGAAATCAGAAACATGATGAACATTTCTGCGAACACACGCACGCACAAACACTCTGAAAGGGTGATGCAAGTTAAAACTAAAAAAAGATTTGCATGCAGACACTTTCACATGTGCACACACGCACAGACACACACACACACGTCACACACAGACAAACACACACACCATTAGGACACGGGGATTAAGTCCAGATATGTTCTGGCTGGCCTCTGTGTTAGTGCGATCACTCTCTAATCCAAGGTGATCATCTGCCGATCTGTCCCCTCACTCTGCGTGATTGACTGACAGCTGTCACCCATGGCAACCTGCTGTGGCGTGACAACTGTCAGTTCGCTACAGCTCCAGCGGATGTGTCTCCATAGCAACAGAGCAAAACAACTCAGCTCCTCTTTCTATCTCCTTCCTCTTTGTTTTTCCTTCTCCGTCTCTGCCACCTATCCCTCCCTCCCTCTCTGCCTTTTTTTTTTCCTCCCCACTTTCTCCACCAGCGCTGATAACTCTGCTTAACAATGCTGATAGGCTGTAGTGGAAGGACAGAGCTAAATATAGAGTGGAGATGTATAGACTGCTTTACACTGTTGCTGCTCAGCGTACAGTTGGCCAGCCTGCAGTCACCCCCGCTGCTCCATCCGCGGCGCACGGAAACAAACGCGCAGATGGGGCTGGATGTCTTTGATCTGCTCTCCACTTCTTCTTCTTCTTCTTCTTCTTCGTCTCTCTTTTTTCCCTTCCTCACACTTTCTGACAGCTCGCACGCTTATTCAACAAGCTGTACCTGTCTGAGCTACAGCGTTGTTGCACCAATATTGACATTGAGCGTAATGAATTCAAATTGCTCCGGCGACGATAACGCCGCAGCTGAAAATAGTCAGTGCATAATCAAAGGGATGGGCGAGGTGGAGAGGGTGTTTGACAGGCTTTTCAAGGTGTGTGTGTGTGTGTGTGTGTATCAATGTATGTGTTTGACAGCCTTGTCACGGTGTGTGTGTGTGTGTGTGTGTGTTCTTCGTGGGAAGGAAGCGAGGGCATCGCAGTGACATTGTTCCTGGTAGGAGTCCTCAGGAACGCGGCGACGGGCTCTGATGCTCTCTTCTTTCTCTCCATCTTCCTCTTCCTCCTCCTTGTTATGTTGCCATAGCGGCGAGGGGGCCATGAAACATTACGGCTGACAGTAAAGTCATCTCATTTTACTGTTGCTATGACAACAAACTCCTCACTGTTGGTTGGGGCCAGCGCGAGCTGCCGCCCAAGCCTCGTGCCTGGTTTTGTGTGTGTGTATGAGAAGATGCATGTGTGTGACTGTGTGTGTGAATGTGTGTGTGTGTGTGTGCCACCATGTCTCCCGCGGGCTCTCATAAAGCTTAACACACTCGCTCAGCTCTAAACAAACTTTCATGCAACTTCTACCGCGGCCCCTCAGGACCCACTGCTAAAGGACAAAGGCAGATATCGCTCAAGTTCAGACTAAATGATGCCTGCTGCGTGTGTGTGAATGTGTATGACTCTGTTTGTGTGTGTGTGTGCGTGTGTATGTGTGTGAGAAGCATCCTCACATTTGTTTGACAGATGGGACTGTGCTATTCTCTCTGTCTTCTTCGTTCTCTGGATCTCTTTTGTGTTTGCATGCTTTGTTTTGATTTGTGTTCATCTCTGTTTGGCATGTCCACATTTGGCTTAGCGTGTGCATGTGTTTTTTTTCTCCCCCCCTCTCACCGTGTTTGTGTGTGTGTGTGTGCATCAGACTGTAATTACACACTCCATCCAAGTGTCTGTGCATACCGATGCGATTTAGAGCAGCTGTAATCTGCACGGTGTGTCTCTGTTCTCGCTGTGACCCTGGCACCACACTGCTTCTGTTTGCTCTCTGCACCCCGATAACATGGACTTAAAAGACAACATTCAATTAGACTAAATGGCTTTCTCCACTTTAAACAGCAGACTTGAATGCAGAGAGGTTGGTAGTACACTCGAGTCAGAATGTTTCTATTATCACGCTGCCATGAATATCGGTTTCGTAAGACTTTGACAGGTAACAAAGGCTGAAAATTACTGTGGCAACTGAGCTGAACATTCAGACTTCCCTCCGAGTGAAACCGCCGTCTGTTCATTGTTATACATGACTGCAAAGCCTAAATGATAAGTGGCTTAAAAATCTTAGTGTTTAAGTGGATTCATCCCAGGTTTTCAGAGTTCAACATCTTAAATGTGAGCATTTCCTCTTTTTTTTTGGCCGTTTTATATAATCGCATTGTTAAACCACATCTAAACTATTACACCAATTACAAGAAGTAGACCTCTTAAAGGGGCAGTAGGTAGTTTAAAGCCATATTCAGCAAAATAAAAATATGATATGATATACAGAAGTGTATTTAAAGCTCACATGAGGAGTTTTTTGTGGTTGCATGACAAACTAAAACTGATATAGATGTGTCTTAATGACTTATATATACAAACAAGACCATTAAAGAGAGGCTTGACACTTTTCTGCACCGATAATTTCAATCAAAGGTGGAGCGTAGGTGACAAACTAAACAAGATAAGCGTGCGATTTCACTGTTAAATGACAAAAAGGCGATTTTTCATCATTAAACATGAATTACATACAAACAGGGAAAAATCTGCAAATATGGATTTGTCCACAGGGGGCGCAAATGATAAGACAAACTCAAAGTTCCTGACAGGAGCTTTAAATTAGTGTGTAACAACCTGAAATAATCAACTTAGTTTTCCTGATTTAGGATGAAGCTTTTGTATCTACACAGGAGTTCATCTTCTTGCATCGCCGTGTCCTACAGTAACACAGGATGGACAAACTAGTGACCAGTGCATTTTTGCGTATTGTCAGTCATTAAAGAAAGTAAGTTTTTGATGGTAAAAAGTTGACAAATTGAGGATCAAATGCATCATGCATCTTCAGGAGGTTCTTCTACTTGTAGGATACCGTCACTGATAGGAGGGGTGAGCAAGATATGACCGCTAGATATCCTTCAATGTTCCTGAACTCTGCACCTTAAAGCTCACACCCCATGCAAAGAGTCCTCACTGCAACAGAAGCAGGTTTAACCCCATGATTCGACCCCATGCTGTAGGGTTGTGTCGTTCGCGAACGATTTGTTCAAAAGAACCAAATCTCTTAAGTGAACATACTGAACCGAATCACTTCCTCGAGTGATTTGTTCGTTCTTCACTTCAGTTGAGCTGAAGTGAGAAACAGCATTGCCAGTCGAGCAGCCAGCGAACAAGGGACCACATGCACCGAAGCCTGAATCACTTGGTGAACGAATCACGCATTGAACTCCACTCTCTGGAATCTTTTTCTGTCAGAAAAACTACCTTCTTTTTTTTCTTACAGCTGAATTGTAAATTACCACCACAACAACTTGCATACAATAGGACACAGCATGTAACAAGTAGTGCATTAAACGGTGCATGTTCAGTGTGAATACTTCTAAACGTTCAGTGAACGAATCACTCACTGAGCCCAATTTGCCGAGCAGACCTGATAAATAGCATACCATAGGACAGTACACTTAAATCATCATCATTATAAACTAGTTCATTTTAACAAACCTGTTTGCCAAAGCTACACAGCCAAACACTCTCGTCTCCCAGTCCCAGAAGATACGATCTGAACTGAATCCTGAACCGTTCAGCTGTGTTTCAGTTCAGGAGGTCGGAGTCAGAGGCTTCTCCCGCCAAGCGCTACATGATTTGGTGAAGGAATCACTAGAATCAGTTCACTAAAAAAATTCGTTCAAGTGATTCAGTACATCTAAAAGAACCGCCATGCCCATCACTACCTTGCTGCATGTCTTGATTACCTGCTTTTCCTGTTTTATGAGGGCAAAAATGTCCAAAAATATCCCAACAAAAGCTCGACCTTTTGCCCGTTTCTAAGCCGATCAATACTTAAGTCAGAGTCAGCACTTCTTACACAGTAACTACCATCCTTGGACTTCCACAAGTCTCACCAGTAACCAGCAGATACCACCTAAATACTTAAAGTTTGAGTTCCTGCCTCACCTGTTGGTGACTGACAATGACAACAAAATCATCACTATCTTCAGAGAATAATTAGATAGATTTGTGTCCAAAATTTAAAAAGGCCAACCAAAACCAAAAGAAGCCAGTCAAATTTGTCCAAGAAAGCCGCCGTACGTCTGAGCTATATCTGCTGCTACTATAAGAACTCAATTTGTCACTGTATGTTTGACAATATATTGACAATCTCATGTCGATGTGCTGCTCGGTCCCGACCTCACTGAGCCTCAGCTAACAATGGTGTGCTGTTGAAGCAGAACATTTTCCAATCAATTGATCAATTCACTTTGTCGTAGTCTGCAAAAACAATAAGCTGGGAAAGCACCGCGCCGCGAACCCACCACTGATTAGAGGATGTCAATGGGACTCCTCCAGGAATCGATGATCACATTTTAATGAATGCACCTCGCTCTGTAAGGCTCTCCAGATGATCAGAATGTATGGGATTAAAACCTCGGGAAACATGTTCGTTTTCAACACCATGAAACCTGCCTGACCTTTGAACTCTCTAAAGCCTTCGTATCTGGAGTCAGAGGCCAGCCGTGTTTACACAGAGGGGAGAAAGGTTAACAAAGTCCTCTGAGAGTGGAGGGAGTCTAAGCTAATTCATTGGCCTTAATTGACAGCATAATCATCTAACACTGCATTCAAGCTCCGGCTGATACTTGTCTAAATCACATGCCACATTTATGTAATCCTCGGTAGATCTGCGCTCCCTGTTGGCGGCTTTTTCTGTCTGACTCGCAGCTACTGAAGAAACATTTCAATAATGTACTTCATTTCTGCGTCTTGTAATGGAGTCTGCTGCAATATTAGCCGAGCCGACTTTCAGAGAAATCCCCATGTCATCAAGTAACAGAACCCCCAAAACCACATCAGTGCAGAAATATTAAAATAAAACCAAGAAAGGCTTATGACATGCTGTCAGCGGCGCGTTTATGCTCCGCGCTGGGCCTCGGCGGACTGAAGCGACTATTACAACTTTGTCAGTTTGATCGCGGCTCATGACACACGTCGCACGCCACATCCTCATGCTCCTCGCTTTCCTGTCAGTTCTCACTATACAGCCCAATAAAGCCAGTGCCATGGAAATAATCCCCCCTACCCGGGAAAGGAGTAGTAATGGTAGAGCAGGAGATAGTGGCGAAGAATGGAATAGAAGCTGGTTGGAGTTATTACTTTGCAGAGGGGCGAGCTGAACCTTGTGGCTCCTCTGGCCACAGTGATAAAGCAGAGAGTCAGATGCACCGAGGCAAAACTAATCTGGAGTTTTGATGACAAAAGGACGACCTTTATCCCTCCTACACATATGCTGGATGGATGGAAGGGAGAAAGGAAGATCAACAGAGAGAAGGAGAAAATGAGAACTCTCTCAGAGACTGGAAAATAATAACTTCTGCTACATATATGTCAACACTGGTTGAAGGAAGCCTTGTGATGTTCTCCATTTTCAGCCCATGAAATCATCCCCCCCAGTTTCTGCATTTCCTGCTTTTCCCCAGCGACAAATATCAGGGATCCAGGGGGCTTTGAGGAAGCAGAGCAGGACCAATCACATCCTATAAGGTCTGACTCTGTCTTCCTTTTATGTCATCCACGGCAGCAAAGAGTTATGGGATAGAGGTCAGGGGTCAGGGTGTCTCAGAGGACTGCTCCTGACCCTGGTGGTCCTGGCTGCTGCTCTCGGCTGCCTGGAGAATCATACAGTCAAACACACACACACACACATGCGCGCACATACACAGGCTGTTTTTTTTTCTGCCTTCCCCTCCAAGGACTGATTTCGTCTCTGCAGAGGACGGCAATTCACCAGAGGAGCACCAGACCGGTTTATACTTGAAAAGCTGACAGTCAAATATTTTGGTAGGAGTACTGCTGATAAAATATCCTCCAATATCTGCGGAGGATGTTATAAAACGCTCCTGAAATGATAGAATCTGCTAATATTTTTTACTTTTTTGTGTAAATTATGAGTGATTTCATATGTTTTTTTTAAGGAGGCAGACGATGTCCATTCTATATACAGTCTTTGGTTGGGACTTGGTAATGTTCAGAGTTTCAGTTCTAAATCGGCTCAAACTGTTTTCCTTTCAGTTACAACAACATGACAATGTTATCTGAAGACGGAAAGAGGATTAGGGCCACAAGAAGAGAGAAAAATAATTACAGAAGGAAGATTTTTTTTAATTTCCATTTTGGGATCAAAGCCGTAATTTTGAGAGTAAGGTTGAAAGTAAAAAAGTTGAAATTTCGACTTTATTCATGTTGACATTAATCTGGAAATTTCAACTTAAATCTCAAAATTTAATTTAATTTTTAATTTGGAAATTTAGACATTATTCACAACATGTCGTAAACTTGAATTTTTGTCTTTAATGTTGAAACTTCAATTTTTAATGTCAAAATTTATTTTTTTTTTATGACAAAATTTCAATTTTTGTGTCAAAAGTTTGACTTTATTGACATAATTTTGATTTTAATGTCAAAATTTCGACTTTAATCTCCTTCCTGTAATGATTTTTTTCCTCTGCGTGTGGCCCTTAATCCGCTTTCGTACATATCAGATGCCAGAGATGTGAATAAAAGTTTTCTGTTTCTGTGATACTAAAGAAGGAAAAACTAAAAAATCCCTCAAGACCTCCCGGGCTGTCAGACCCAAATCAATGTGAAAACCTTGACCAAGGTTGAAGTGTGGGCTTACTGTACTGATGCATCCCTACTGGACCTGTGGAATATATGTACAAAACCAGTTCATGAAGGTGAAACACCATCAAAATTCATCCTACATGAGTCTGCAAGTCTGCAAGTTTTAACGCAACAAAAGTGACATGAAAGTCACCGTCACTATAAACATGTATTCAAAGCAGCAGTCGCCACAGTAAGCACAATAAAAAGGCGAATTCTGATTGAACAGATTCAGAAAGTTTCCTTCAAACATCATAAAAGCTGGAGCTCAAATCTCCTGTAAGGAACCTTCAGTTTGTGTCAAATTTGGCACCCCCTGTAGAGAAAGATCGTCACTTTGAGCTCTTGTGCTGATTTTATCCTGAATGTGCCAAAGAAGTTTTTTTTCCTGTCAAACATCCTCATCCTTTTTCCTCTTTTAAATCACTCATTGGGATTTCGTGCTTTTAGGAACATGAAGAGAGGTTTTTGTTTTATTCTTTTCTTCGACATGCGATCAATCGCCTGGTCTGACAACCTCCCCCCTTACGGCAGAAACAAAGCGACGAAAAGACCATTTTTAATCGGATTCTTATCGCCCTGTTTGCTTTTGTAGGTCATGAAGAGGCATCAATATCAAATCATTTTAAAGAATGAAAAATCAGCTTTCAGATGAGCTTAAAAGTTAAAATAAAAAGTCAGATTTGTGTGTATGTGCTGATAATATTGATCTAAGTTATTCAGAGAAAATAAAGTCATAAATTTTATTGTTATTGACCTTCAGGAGCAGGTAAATCTGTTATCCAATCTGCATTTTCCCTCTCTGATTTGACATTACAATGCCGTTTATGAAATGTGTTAAGGAAATAGACCAGAGTTATTGGCTATGTGTTCAAAATTAATATTTAATATTGATCGTTTTCAGCTGAGATATTTTCGTCTGGACCAAAGTTGTGCACCATCCCCTCGAGCCGTGGCTCAGTTCCAGCGACGGAGAAGAAAAAAAAAGCAGATTGGCAGCGTTCCTCTGCTCTGCCATTGTAAAAATGAAAATGTGGAGTTGATCAGACAAAACAAACAATTTGCAATGTCACTTTTGGCACGGTGAAGATTTAAATGAGCTTTTTTTTTTTTTGTTGTTCAGTATTAGCCAAGTTTTAGAGCCTCAAAGATTTCTGCAGTCAATCAGGAAATTACTCAGAGATAAACAGATCATAAAAAAGCTGTCATATTCAGTCCTGAAATAACAATGCGCAGAATAAAGCATACCTCTCCGATCTATGTGGACAAGGAATATAACTTTTATAAACTGTAATTTAGGTCAAAGCTATTTCTGCACCCTAACCTTTATGAACTTCAGTTCAAAGATTTTCCTGCTCGGGGATTAAACAAAACCTGCTCTCTACGAAGCAGATAACAAGCATGTAACATACACTGTATTTAGGGACCGGAGCCCCAGAACTTTCAGATTGAAAAATGATAGCGCACAACACATGAAAGGGGCCGCAGCATATGCAGCAAGAGCAGCAAGAGCATCAGTGTACGACTTTACTATAAAGAGCAGCGCACGTGGGTCATGAGAGGCAAACAAACCCCAAAAAGGACATGAGGAGTAATGCGCGCTGCAAGGAAATCAAATATTGCCAGTGAATAATTCAAGACAACACACACACTCACACACACACTCACACGGACACACACACACACACTCACACGGACACACACACACAGCCTCTGTCCTCCAAAGTGGGCTAACCAACAAAGCAAACAGACATTTGCATCAGGCAAACAGAGAGTAAGTTTGGAATGATTCATCAGCAGCCAGCAATCATGAAGTCACGCTCGGCTTCGCTCTCCGAGGATGGCCCACCATCAGATCTACACACACATGCGCGCACACACACATACACACAAAGGCAAACTGAGGTTGCAAATGTGGACACTTGAAGGTGACCCGTTTGAGTGTGAGTGCAGGCCGGAGGTCCTTTAGTGGAACAGAGGGATGAAATGTGTGTGTGTGGTGGACTGACTGCAACAGTCAGGTAAAGCTTTAAAAAAAAAAAAAAAAAAGGCCCAGGGCTCCAGACTTCACGGTAATGACCATGACACACTGAGGGGCCACGTGCAATCACACGCTCCTGCATGCTCGCTCAGCTACTCGCTCACTCAGCCTGTTCAATCTCTCTGCAGACGCTCTGCTCGGGTCAGGTCGGCGCGCTCTCCTGGATTTGTTTGGTAGACGCGTGTGTTGACAAAAATGACTCCTGCTCATTGAAAGAAGTAGGGTAGAGGGATGGTGACGCACAGACACAACAGTTTTTCGTTTATACGACATATTAAAGTAGTTTATTTAACAGATGTTTGCTGTGAAAATCAGCATCATCATCTGGTAAGTAAGTGTAGAAAATGCAGAACTTGAGTAATTAAGTGGATTACTGACATTTAATCGATTTCCACTCAAAGCTCTGACCTTTATCAATGACACACAGAAACAGATGGATGTCAACTTGTTGATGCAGCGACTTCAACTACAGAGTCACTTCTGCCGTATCAGGGCCCGAAAACATCACAGCAATCCAGTTTTAGTGTTCAGCTGTGGCCCTTTTGTTCACAGATGATAAATGTTACATGAGTCTTTCAGTATTATGTGCTGTAAATTACTGGTTCTCAACTGGTGGGTCCCGACCCAAATTCGGTCTGGAAAGAGACTTTTTGACAAACTTGGGGGTAAAATTTTGGTCGGATTTCGATCTCACCCTGAGGTTTTTCGGAGTAAAACAAAGAAAATCTGTGTTTTTGAGTAAAGATTACAAATTCAGATTAGATTGAATGCAACTTGAGGACAGACGCCGACAGTAAGAGTAAGACTACACCTTTCCTCCTCTCCTCCCTTATCCCGTCCCTCTCAGTGACTTCCACCGCAGAGTTAGGCTGTCCAATATCTTAATCTGTTCTTGTTTGAGCTTTTATACGACGAAACAAACCCCCAAAAAGTTAGATTTTGATTGTTCCTGTTGTTTTATCAAATCAACGTACTCTATGTACTATGTTTATCCAGAATTTTAAAATTTGGTCTGGAAAGAAACCTTTTAACAAACTCCGTCATTTTTTTGGCAGATTTCGATCACACGTGAAGCTCACCCTGAGATTTTTAGGAGTTAAACGAAGAAAATCTGTGTTTCTGAGTCAAGATTACAAATTCAGATTGGATTCAATGCATTTGGATGAAAGACGCTGACAGTAAGAGTCAAATTAAGAGTAAGACTACTATATTTGTTGAAAGTATGATTTCTAATAGGTACATCACTTCTGAGGGGTGTGGTTTTGGATGTTTGGCGGCTTATCTAAATCTCACTTGTTTAGTCAAACAACAGGTTTTGTGGTGAACTGTGATAATTTTCTGTTGACCATGTCACTCATCCTTCCACCCTCATTTTCATCATCACTTTTTCATTTGAAGGCAAAAGTTTTGGACCTGGATCAGCGTGTTTTCTTGTCTGTTTTGGAACAATAAACCACTTTTAACACTTAAACCGGACTGATAATTGAACGAGTCACAGATGCGAGCGCACCTAAACCCCAGCGGAAAGCAGTCGCTACAACTACACTCCTTCGCTCACCCTCTACTGCCACCTTTCCTCCTCTCCTCCCTCCCTCACCCCGTCCCTCTCTCTCTCTCTCCCTCTAAGGCCCTCCTGTCTTCCCTCTCTGACAGTGAGCAGGTCCCTGCTGGCACTCTGTGCTCTTTTACAATATTGTGGTAAAGGAGGGAGTAAAAGAGAGGGAGAGAGAGAGGGGGGAGACTGCCAGGAACACTATACAATATCAAAGCGTCTAGTGAACAGCCAACAGGGCTTTGATAGCGAGCAGGGAGGGGTGTGGGTCAGAAAAACGTAGGAGAAAGGCTGGGTGAACTCTTTAAAAAAAGGGGGAGTGTGATCTATCGGGATCCCCACATTGAGGGGAGGGTGAAGCTTTGAGGTGGTGAGTGTTTTTTTTAGCTGGATGTCCCGCAGTCAGAAAACCAGGAAAAAAATAATCAGGCCCTCCTCTCTGTCTCTGTCTGTCCCTCTTTTTCTCTTCCCCCCTCTGGCTTTTCCACTTATCTTTAACAAACAGCAGCTCAGGCTCTCAGCCACTGGCCGACAGTTTGTCCCAACAACAAAAAACCATGGCAACAACCACTGGAAGAGCCTGTCCGGTTCCAAAGGTCCGCCCTTTCTGGCTCCGCCGACTCACTCTGCTCTTTGAGCCCTCTCTGCAAATTTGGCTGAAACGGGAGATTGGAATCAATAAGCAAATGAGCTCAAACTCGGTGATACGGCGCGGCCACATGCTCCAGATAGAAAGAGATCAAGATTGACGAGTTTATCACGCCACCTATGGCAGATAAAGATGACTCAAGCGAAAGAAAAATGTGTTCTCGTAAGAAGAGAAGGAGGAATTTGAGGAAAAAAAAGTGAAGAGTGAAGGACAAAGGAGTGAGGCAGCAGTTTGTCAGGAGCCTATACAGTCCTCTCCGGCCTGCCTTTGCTGACGATACTTACAACGCTTCTGCTGATGATACAACTCTGCTTACATCCTTCACTCCTCCCTCCCACTCCTACAAGCTGTTTTTAACACCACACAAGATACCTTATGTCAACTGAAACGTGTTCTGGATGCTGACAAAACAAAATTCTGCCTTTTTATAAACTGGAAAAGACGCCAAAAAGAGGAAAAGTGATATGAAGAATCACACGAAAACAACATTTTCAAAGATTTTTTCTCGTCAGAAGTTGTGCCGAGCATTTTACTAACAAAGACAGCAAAGAGGTCGACTGATATTGGTTTTCAAGGCCGATATGGACACTGATACCTAAAACAGACCAAGAGGGAAAGTCAAATTAACAGTGAAGCTGTGGGCCCTACATACTGGGTCTGGGCGCTGCCAGATAGAGGTGCCGGAGCGGAGTCTGGAATGGACTGCTTGTATCGGAGTGCTGATATCAGAGATTGTAGATGCAGGCCGATATAATTTGGTATTCAATTTTTTGCTGATATCCGATAGGGACACCCCTACCCCAGTAACACAAACAGCTTATGAGAGAGCTTTGCTGTATTTAGTATCATAACGATATAAGGCTGTCAATTTTTATCCAAAATTCAGGTATTTGTTCAAACCTTGAGAGAAAAGTCTGTGTTTGTGAAGTAGCTTGTTGTTTGGTTCAGCAGAGGGCGCTCTTGTCGTTGCCTGACCATTGCATGCCACCCTTGACCTCAGCCAATTAATACAATGATATTTTGTTAGCAAAATAAAAGAGTAGGAGTCTTAATGTCACAAACCGTATAAATAAAAGCCATGGATGACGTAGTGGATGCACTGTCATCAACTTTGACACAGATGTCTATGACCCCCTGAGGATACACCCCCCTGACCTTGAGAATGGCATCGCCCTTCAGATAAACTGTAATAGCTTTCTGTAGCACCAGAGTCAGCTAGGATTTAAATAACTGATCTGTGACCAGCTCAGTCTAAAACTTCAAACATTCCCTATAGATTCAACCAAACTCACAAACACCAGCAAACAGGATCGGATTATCATGGCAAACTAACCATGGTGACATGACAAACCTATATACAGTATGTGATACACATTAGTGCTTTCATGCTAAGCATGTTAGCATGCTGTCATCAGCAATTAGCTCAAAGCAGCACAGTGCCTCACAGAGCCACAAGGATGGCTGCGGAGTCTTGTTTGACATTTCTGACATTGACATGTACAACAGTTTTGCCTTTATGTGGAAGTCTGACAGCTCTGGGGAGGGGGAGGGGAGTGGGGGAGGCGAGGACATGCAAATGTAAGATTGTGGTACGTGTTATGGGATTCAGGTGAAAACATTAGAGGACAGAAGATGCTCAGGGGACATCCATGTGTTACCTAACACTATCAAATGAAGCTTAACCTGGAAAATTGACATTTCCCAAAGCAATGAATTCACTGCATGCACCACCTCGATTCAAAATCCCCCTCATGTGCTTTTTTCTTTAGCACTGCTACTGCTGCTGGGATATTCCGCTTTATTCTGGTCATGGACATAAACTCTATTACGTGCAAAAGCTCAAGAAACCCTATATTTCCAATAAAAAGATCATTCATCAATAATCGTCTGTATGAAAATCTGTTAAATGTGTGACTACAGTCCTCTGCACATCCCTTGACCTTGGTTTCTTTGAAAACAGAGCTTTACTTCTTACTTAGAAGACGGCCGTCCGAACAGCTGGGTTTGTGTTATTGTGTTGGAGAAAAACACCCAAGATACCAGCCTGGGCTGTCCCTCCTTCTGATGAGGATTTTCAGAAAACACTAAAGCTCCATGACCCTGATTCCACCATCCGCTGGGTCACGTCTTAGCTTTTTTTTCCAAGTGTTTTTTGTTCTTGCTGTCCTGACTGAGCCTTACGAGTGAGGAGTGAAGCTCCTTTTCCCAGGAAATGCAGACAAATACCCTGAACAGTGTTTGCAGGTAACTTATGCGCACGCTGATAATACTTCTTGGAAATGATTCATGCAGTGATATCCACTACAGAGTCATGACCTGTCTTAAGCTTTATCTTTTTATCCTACCAGAATCTTTTATTAAAATTATGTATCTTGGTGAACTTCTTTTATGTAACTAACCTTTTAGGGATAGGAGAAAAAAACGATACAGCATCGTATCGCAATATTTTGTCTGGTGATATATCGTATCGTCCCATTGACCAAATATTGATTTTCAAATTAATTGCAAATATGAAGTCAAATGTATGATAATGGAAAAATAAAATCAACTGTTTGTCCAGGCATCATAGAGGAGAAAGTTAGTACGACAAATATATATATGGTTTGCAAGATGTGCGACATGAAAATAAAATACAGCGTAAATAGGGCAAACATAAGGAAAAGCCAAATGCTAAATTAGCTAAGCAGTTGAATACATTATATAAATTGCAATATATTATATTGCAATACTCACTGTATTGAAAAATGTTAAAAATCACAAAAATATCGTAACTTGGCCCAAGTATCGTGATAATATCGTATTGTGATAATATCGTATCGTGGCCCAGGTATCATGATAATATCGTATCATGGCCCAAGTATCGTGATAATATCGTATCATGATAATATCGTATTGTTGCCCAAGTATTGTGATAATATCATATCCTGGCCCAGGTATCGTGATAATATCGTATCATGATAATATCGTATCATGGCCCAAGTATCGTGATAATATCGTATTGTGGGGCCACTAGTGATTCCCACCCCTACCTGTTGCATGGATGAGTTCTGTGGTATTTGTATTTGTGGTCTTTTGTTGTTCCTGTCCTAATTCTAAAACATGCATCAGATTTAAAACAAGCGTATTTTTATAAATCACAAAAAAGTTTTCATTCGTGAATTTTTTTAATCGTTTTTTATCAAGGAAAATAAACAGGACATGAGGTTATGATAGAGTGGGGATGGCATGCTCAAACTGGTTGAACCGTGCATTAGGAATGCTACCTTTGCATATTCAATGCCTACTTACATCACCCAGAAACCAGTATCTCATCTACAGACATTAACTTCCAATGTTGAGCTCACCAGAGACTGAAAAATAAAACAACAGCTACACCCTACAGGATCCCCGTTCTTTAAAATCCTCCACAATCACGCAGCATGATAATTCCGGTTTGACTCCCTGGGTACTTTTAATGTTCAGAGTCGATTTGGAGGCTCACTTAGAAACTGACGTGCGTCCCGCTGAAATGAGCGGTGAAAGATAAAGTAAGTTTGACGAATATAAACCTCTGCAGGAGACCGGTTGTGATGTATTGCCTATCTCGAGCAACTTTCAAATTTGATTTCGCTGCTGTTGAATCTGCAAGGGAAAAATGGCAGCCCGGCGAGGAGGGGAGCTCGTGCAAAAGGAACAAGCAGACTAAAATGATTTTCCCCTTTGCAGAGGCAGAATGATTGCTCCTATCTCCTATTGCCATGCTAGCACTTGATTAAGTTGTTTCCTATCCACATGCATCACCTCCTTCTTGTCTTAGCTGCTGTAGCGCTGAGCTGTATTACCCACTGTACCTCTGTCTCTCATCAGCGTCACCTCATATGCTTGAGCTGACAGCTACCCCGTCCACGTCTCGGCTTATTCCCCGCTTCAGTTTTATAAATAAGTATGTAAGTCCAATCTGGGTCTACTAATTCTTTATTTTCTTACATTTCTAAAAATAAAGTAGGTGAAAAAAAAAAAGACTGTTTGCGCTCTCAGGATTTGTTTTTGTTATCTGTCCCCGAGGTCAGAGCTGAATGAGGCAAAAGTGTCTCAGTGTGCTCGGCTCCCTTTTTATGAAATCGGCTGCAAGCTGGTACTAAGCTGAACGCTCTCTCGCTGAGTTTTTACTCAGTTAATGACGGTTCTTGTGGCAGACTCAATAAGAAGCTGTCTTTGCTTTGTTGAGTCATGATTTAAATAGGTTTGGCAATGCGCCTCGCTGGTTGGACGCTCCAGTCTCGCCTATTGGAGTGCTTATAAAGCAAGATCTGAGCTCTGTGGCTTTGATTTTATTTTGCTTTTGTGTGTTTTCTTCTCGGTCGGAGGCTTTTATGTTTGTTTGGATGCTGCATCTTGGCCGGTATCCCTTGATGGAGGAGATTTGTAATCTGCGGGGCTGCCCAGTTTCAATAAAGGTTAAATAACATTTGGAGAGAAGTCCATCTTTATATTAACCCTTGACAACTTTCCTTCCCACCCTGTCCACATTCAGCAGGACTCATCCTTGAAAATTCAAATCAGATTCCTGGTTTTACTCTCTCGTATTCTGCAGAAGAAGAAAGTAAAAAAAAAAAAAAGGAGAAAAGATGGCCGCGAGTGCAAATGACAAGAGTGGACAAGAAAGAAAAAAAGAGTGAGGGGGAGTTAAGGAGAGAGAGGGTAGCTATATCCTACGGTCATTAGCAGCATTTCAAAGTCACCCCGTCTTTCAGCGTATGCTGTTTGACAGGCCCTGCCAACAGAATTAGGGTTGAGGGATGATGGTGCCGTGATTAGATGTGTAACTCAGGGGAAAGACGGGACCTGATCCGTGGTAACAGTGCGCTCACACTCACACATACATGAACGCAGTAGAGAGAAGAAGATAATGAAGAAAAGGAACGGGGTTTAAGAGATAAACCTGGTCAGTCATTGATTAGATAGCCCTGAAACTCTCTATCCCAGTGTAGCAGCCTGATGCTGATAAACACCACAGGCTCCCCTGACTCCCCCTGCGAGTGAATTGAATTCCCAAATTACCAGGCTTAAGATAACATACCTGGCTAAATTGCCGCTCTTTATAAGTCTCAAATCTCCTTGTAGATATTCATCAAAGGTTTCACTCCTGATGCGGCGAACACAGGAGATGTGGAACAGAAGAACAACACACAATGCGGCTCGTATTAGGGCCTCTGATCTTCTATCTGAAGTCCCTCGTTTTCCGCTACATTCCTTTAGCCAGGGGTGATGTAGGGGGAAAAGAGGAGGGGGGGCTGGCATCCTCTCTACCAGAACAAAATATGTGGTGTCTCCCTTGTTAGCTTGAGATTTCTCGAAGAAAGTCAAGGGCGGCGGATACTTTACCCGCGTCGACTTCTTCAGCCTCACACTACAGCGTAACGCGATCTAACCTTGCTAAAGCAACACTTGTACACCCTTTTAGCTCGGAGAGGTTACTTCAAACCTCTTGTTGTATACTCAGAGTTCATCTTACAGCGCCTTCTCTCATTCCTGCCTGACACTAGCTCTGGAGCACAGACTGAAGTTTCCATCTGCTCGGTGCCAAATGAGTGCTGCTGATAGTAGTGTTTGTTGGATAAACTGAGAAGGGTCCATCTGTTGGCTGCAAACAAACTCAAAGACACACCCACTCCTACATTAACCCTGAACATGAGCAACATGCCCACTCACAGACATGCGAACCAAAGGAGGCCTTGATTACAACACAAAGGGCCGCAGAGCTGTGGGTGTTCTGCCACAGGTATCACCAAGACAAGGAAATACTGATCTTTATTTGTAGTACTTTTAAAGTCTACATATCGGCCAATCATGTACCAGCAGGCTTTGGAGTAAAGCCTATCAGCAAGCTCTGACTACAAATCATTCATATCTGGGTGTAAGTGCAGCAAACAATCTGTTCAAAATTAAAAACTCCAGCAAGAGGGAACAATCTGCTTAAAAATGAGCAGCAGAACATCATTTACATTTCGATTTCCCTCCTCGCAGACATCAGAAATGATCTTCTTTCAACAAGTAGTGTTAAAAAGTTGTTATTTCTCTTCTTAAGGACAGATACGACAAATCGTCATTATGGTGCTGTTGTTTCGGCACACTCTGCACCCATTAGTTGTAAGTGAATTACAGAAAATGTGGTTTATTTTTGAAGGTAAAGACCACTGAGGAAGGCGTGTGCGTGTCAAAATGAGCCTTTACAAGTCAGCGCCGGGATTATTAGCGGACCAGTTGTTTATCAGCTGTTTTCATCAGAGCATGAGAGGTTCGCCAAACTTCCCAGAAGCCTTTATCGTGGTTAGTAGGGCTGCACGATTTTGACCAAAAATAAAACCCAATTTTTTTTCTTTAAAAAGTCTATTTTTGATTTCTTATTCAGTGACAACGTCACCAAACTTTACTTTAATAAGTTTTTCTATCATCTCTCAAAACGCAACCACTGAAAATGATGTAGCGCATATGCCAAGCCAGTAAGTGGCGCTGTAATGCTGCCGAGGAGATGCACAAAAGACAGAAGAAGAGTACAGAGCATGTGTATAAAGGTTGTTTTGGCCGGACATGAACAGGCGCCGTAAAAGAGTGACGCTGTTTCCTTGTGGACGAAGCACCGATACGACAAAAACAATAGCCATATTGACAGACTTTGGAGCAGGGAGTGATTTGCTCTTCGTCAGAAACTTATCGCCTTCTTTTGCAAACGCCATGTTTGTGTACTCTGGTGTATGTGGGAACTGGGGAGTGCTCTCGCAGGAAGGGGGAGCCTACGGTGGCCTGGAGGCGTAAGACATGACAGAGAGGAAAAATCGATTTGATGATTTTAAGTTTTTGAACAGGAAAGGCGGACCGGTCGATCTACGTGCCGATCCTCACCTATGGCCATGAACTTTGGGTAATGACGGAAAGAACGAGATAGCGGATACAAGCGGCCGAAATGGTGCTCAGAGTAGAACCGCTGCTCCTCCACGTCGAGAGGAGTCAGCTGAGGTGGCTCGGGCTTCTGGTTAGGACGCCTTCTGGACGCCTCCTGTAAGAAATGTTCCAGACATGTCCCACCGGGGAGGATTATATCTCTCGCCTGGCCTGGGAGCGCCTGGAAATCCCCCCGGAGGAGCTGGTGGAAGTGGCTGGGGTGAGGGCCGTCTGGGCTCCCCTCCTGAAGCTGCTGCCCCCACGACCCAGACCCGGATGAAGTGGAAGAAAACGACGATGACAAAGTTTTTGAACATTGTCATGATCAAATAGTCCGATTATGGTTTAAAATCGATCGGGATAATCAGGAAGCCAATCAGTTTAAAGTCTTAAGTGATAGTGGATGCATGAATCATCAGATGTTAAATCTAATGCAAATTGGTACCTCAGCTCTAAGAGGATTTTACAGAGTTTTACTTGAGTGTTTCCTTCAACTTGACGATAATTCGGTTTACAGGAAAAACAGGCAAACACACAAACCCATGCAGAGTGTTCGGGGATGACTCATAGTGTTTCTCAGGAACTCTCTGTGTTGGCATCCCAGCTGCATCACTGCAGTGGTCTTAGTGCAAAGAAGGAGCATGTTGCCTTGTTTCTAAACATAGCCAAATGCCTCGTATACATAGTGTGATACGATACACAGAGTATAAACCCCTTTTGTTGGGAACCTAAAGAAGTTTTCACCTAAAGAAGATCTCTGTTTTGAGGAAAAGCTCTCTGGCATCTCTCATCCCTTTTTAACCCAACAGGTCGCTGCAGATGGCTGACGATCTGTGAGTCCTGTCGCGCTCAAGGTTTCTTAATGTTAAAAGGACGTTTTCCTCACCGCCGCTGCCAAGTGCTTACTCCTGGATTTAGTCGGATTTCTGTAAATAATGTTCCAAAGAGTAAGGTCTTGACCTGTGCTTTGTATAGAGTGTCCTGAGATAACTTTAGCTGTGATTTGTAGAACAAATACAAGAGGATGAATTGATTGATCGGTGTAAGCAGTATGGAGAGACTTGCTTGTCTTGTTATCATGAGGATGGAGCAAGAATCTGTGCACCAAAACTTAATATGAAGAGCATTTCTTTTAATTTCACCATATTGTGCTAAAAAAGGATCTGTTTAATCCATACAAAGAGCAGATACTCAGCAGCTTACAAACATACACTCCAAATAAGCCCCTCAAATATTATAAGATTCAGAAAATCTGGAGAAATCTCTGCAACAGGAAATAATGATAATAATGATGATGCATCAGATTTCATATAGCGCTTTATCAGAGACCCTCAAAGTATTTTACATTAGATACATCATTCATTCGCTCACACAGTCACACTTTGGTGGTGGTAAACTACCTTAGTAGTCACAGCTGCCCTGAGGCAGACTGACGGAAACATGGCTGCCAGTTTGCGCCTACGGCCTCAAATCATACAACAGTGGAGGACACACTATGGGAGTGAGGTGGGTTAAGTGTCTTGCCCAAGGACACAACGGACAGACTGGGAATAGGGCGAAATTGAATAGCCAACCTTCTGGTTATTGGAGAACCGCTCTAACGCCTAAGCTACTGCCGCCCAAAAGGAAAGGCCTCTGGCATTGAAAACAGACATGCCTCTGTGGTGGAAATCACCGTATAAACTCCAAAAACCACTGTCTATGCATGCTGCATCACAAATGCATGCAACATAGGGCTGGGCGATAAATCGAAAATTTACCAATACCGAAATTTGCGACAATAACAGACGTCATTTTGCCCATATCGGTATATTAAGTGTCAAAAATATAAATAAATAAAACTTGGTTTTGGATGTAGACACTGTCCTACGTCAGAGACAAAGAAGGAAAGACAGGTGAGGAGATGGAGGACGGTTCAAAGGTTGTGGTGGCTGGAGTCGATGAAGTTAATGTGGGAGGGGGTGAGCAGCTTGTGGAGTAGTTATCGTCCATTTATCATTATCGAGGTGAACTGCTCAATATATCGTGATATTGATTTGAGGCCATATCGCCCAGCACTAATGCAACACACTTCAACAAGACAACACTCAACCACATTTTGCATGCATTACAACAGTATGGCTCTGTAGTAGAAGGGTCCTGCAGCTAATTCTGACTGGTCACCTACTACAAATATTTGGAAATGAAATGAAATCCCAGACATGAACGTGACGACAATTCACAATAAAACCAAAAAAATCTGATTTCTTCAGTCACTGAGTGTTATTCAAAGAAGAGGTGATGCAACACAGGGGTAAACATGCTCCTAGTTGCTCGCATCAGATATATTTTTCATGAAACAAGATATTTTTTTTCACTTTGAACCTTTTAAATTTTTGCAAACCTCCAACAGCAACCAAACACCTGCGCTGAACTGAAGCAGTATGTACCGGTTCACTAACCCCTCTCTGTCCAAACTGCCCTTCACTTATTCTTCCTTGATCCGATGTTTGTGCAAGCAGGTTTCAAATGAGCACCTTCTCCATTACACAAACAAAAAAGGCGCTGAGTGTTGTGAAGTATTACTTGAGAAAAGTGGAGCGATCAAAGTTGTTGTGACCTTGGTAAACACCGCTGTGAGATACACTTTTAGTTAAGCAACTCCTGGCGCGGAAAAGCCGAGAAGTTAAATCCACTCACCGCTCCAGAGAAACTAAAGCATGTATGGAGCAAATAAAACTAAGTTCTTCAGTGTTTCCACTACAGTGTTCTTGTACGGGTGCTAAAGCCTGTGAAACAGAATCAGACACTGCAGCTCTCCAGTGGAAGCCATACAAATGAAATATATTTTTAGGTGTGCTGGAAGTGACTCAAATAAAAAAAGAGCTTTTATATACGAGAGCTGCTTTCGAGAGCCTCCAGATTGTGAGGACATGCATTCACACGGGGAGCAATCCAACGCTGTGGAGGCACACTCAACAGAATTTCCAGTGACAGCTTTTGTGCTATCCCATAATGCAATGCAAGCAAAAAAAACCCTGAGATGTTTAAAGTTTGAAACTCGCTAAAAAAGAGATCCCTGCTCTGACTCTCTGCACTGACATCTGCTGAAAATCAACAAGTTGAGGCGCATACTCAGGAGGAGGGGGGAAAGAGGGCTTTCAGGAGGGCATTATGGGAAATGTAGTGAGACACTAAGTGAAGGTGACGAGGCTGAGTGAGTTAAAGGCGACACAACTAGAAGGCAAATGACAGGGGCTTATTCACAAAATAACAGAACGCATCGGACATCCCGGCCTGATGATTTACGACGGCGTAGGAGCGACTGAAGATGGAATTTTCCTCTGAGGCAGGGCGTTCCACTCCTTCACCAAATGGCAAGGGAAACTCCAGCATTCACACTTGCACAAACACATGCATTCCTGCACAAATAAACACATGAGACCGAAACAAAAAAAAAAGGGGGCAACACAATCATGCACATTTGGATGCATTTTCCCACACACGCACTTGTTCTCTTTTTTCCCCTCCTTCTTTTTTTTTGCTCTTTTCCAGCGGTTTTCCTGTCTACCTCTCATGCTACATTCAGAGCATGAACACCAAGAGTCAGCAAGTCTGGACACAGCTGCTGAATATTCAGCCCCGTGCTCCCCTCTTCCTCTCCCTTCCTCTCAGCATCTCTGTCTTCTTCTCCCACCTCAAGCTCTCCTTCTTTTCCCCTTCCCTCGCTCTGATACTATCCTCTTTTAGCTCGCCTTCCTCTCTCTCCGCCGCCGCTGCCTCTGCTCTCTGCGCTCCACTTTCATTAAGGGGCTCTCCTCTGATAGCCCTTCATATAACACTTAATCATCATAACAATAAGAGCACTCTCTCTCTCAGACGAATCACCTCGAGGGGCCGGTCCTAAAGATCCTCTGCTAACTGATGTCATTAACCGCCGCTTCTCCTGATTGGCTTGGGCGGCGCGGGAGATCCCGCCCCAGGTGTTTGACGGAGGGCTCGGTGGGAGCACGCAGGTCGGACAGGCCAAGGACATTCCTCTTACGGAGGAGGAGAGCGGGGAAAACACAGAGAAATTCAAGCGCTGGTGTGTTTGCGGGCACAAAGGCTCTTACTGGGAAGCAGAAGACAAGGCGTGTTTGGTTTTACAGTCAAGAGAGAGATGAATAAGACTATTGAATAAGGGGGAGGGAGGTTTGAATAACAGTGTTTTACATGAATGGATCCTCAGGGAAATGACTGCTCCGTCGCTCCCTCTGCTCTTTATTTTCGGCTGTGTGTGTGTGTGAGTGAGAGCGTGTGCGTTTGTGTGTGTGTGTGTGTGTGCGTAGGGGGTGGGTGGGTGCATTTTGGCTGATTGAGTCTACGAGTCTATCATGCTGTGGAATTGACAGTGTGCCATATTATGTTGTTGTGGGTGTTTGCATAGATGAGCAGTGACGGCGGCGGCTTCACGCGGACACAAACGCACACAAACAAAAACTGTAACACACACATATACACACACATACACACACTCACACAGCGAAATCACAGCTGTTCTCAGTTGCTATGCGGCAGTCGCACCATCGTCTCAGATAGCACACACATACGCACACACACAGGAGTGTGAGACGGGGACAGTAACACCAGACTTGGCAGGGTCGGAAGGTCACAGGGGTTTTGTGACAAAGTTGCCTAGCAACAAATGTACCGCACATATAACTGCCAGTGCGATCTCTCATGTGCCCCTATATGACCAGGTCTGAGTGTAGTCGTGATGAATGTGTTCACAGTCGGTGTGCATCAGCATTCGTGCAGAAATGTGCGGCATCAGCGTGTGTTTCGTTTCTGTTGAGATCTGCTGCTCAGATTTAAGAACGATTCGACCCTTTCAAGCATCTTTTTACCTGAAAACGTACATATTTATTTCAGGATTGTACTGCACACTTCGATATTGTTTGTTTGAGTTTCCTTTTTGCATATTTTATCGGTGTCTATACACAGAAATCAATGGGAACTGATGTCAACAGATTCCCCAGCTTATAGTTGGCTTTAAAAGAGTGATTTCCCCTCTCATTCACTAACTCACTCACAGTGAATATATAATGTCTTACAATCACAATTTGCTCTGCAGCTGCTTTAGAAATTAAAGCATTTAGACCAGGACAATCAGTCGCCTGCTTCTATTTTTTCCATTTCTGTCGACTTTATATCTACATAAACGGAGAGTTACAGAGGTAACTACAGCGGTAACTTATAGGCTCTTGTAAGAGCTGAGTTGTTCGCCGTTTTTAGGAAGAACTGCACCTGTTCGACTCGCCTAAGGCTGCGTTCAGACTTGCTTGAGCCCAGCGTGAAATGCAGCCCTCTCATTCACTTGATTGGAGCCTGTCCATCTGTGCAGCAGAGGTGCCAATGCAGAAGGGCCGCATTAAAACAATGCACATTAGTCCAGCAAAAGGAAACAAAGCCTCAACTTATGGTGCAGGCTTCTGCAATTTCAATCGAGTTCATCCAAACACTTTATTCCAACTAAAACTGGAACAAGTCAAATAACTCAGTGGTTAACATAGCTATACCCTGTATACTCTGAAACTAATAACCGGACTGCTTGGTCTGCAAACTGGGTGCTACTGATGTCTGTGGAAAAGGAATCTAAAAATACAAACAAATTCCCCCAATGCAACAAGTCTGTCATCTTCTCTCTTTGTTTTTATAAGAAATGTACCACTACAAAAATATGAACTTGCTTTAGTCAGTAAAACTTATATCGCTTTCTAAAAATCTTCACCAAGCCATAAAAGATGTCACTAATTAACATTCGTTTCGAGAGCCACTTGTTGATTGGCTGTGGGCTCTGTGCAAGTTCCCTGCAAGGCCACTTGAGATACTATAATTATAGTTTTGCATTTCAAAATAAGACTTAAAGTCCATATTAATTAAGTCTAGCCTTTCCCCCTTGGGTCTTTATCAAATACATGAAATGAAATGTGTTTTATAATCATGAATTTTAGATTATTATTTAAGTAAATGCTGCACAAGCATGACCTGAAACTATGACTTACAGGTGGGAGACTGCTGTTAAGTACAGACACTTTTCCACAGTTAGAAAAATGCAGAGGTGCATGTGTAAAAAGTTCATAACAAACAAAAAAACGGAGGAATGTGAGGTTGGGATGCAGGCGCTCAGCTGACACTGCGTCTGCGTGCTTCGTTCAAACTGTGCAAACGACTTATGACTTATCAACCGAGCTATATATGAGTTTTTCAAAATAAAATATGCCGTTTATTCTCCATCAGGAGCAGGAGGCAAGAAGACAATACTGTAAAGCTTGACTATGGTGCACTGAATAAGACTAAATATTATGTGATTTCAATTGTGTAACACATTCACGTTGGATCTTAACTGTAGGGCTGGGCGAAATGGCCTTAAATCAATATCACGATATATTGATCAGTTCACCTTGATAACGATAAATGGACGATAACTACTCCACAAGCTGCTCACTCCTTCCCACATTAACTTCATATACTTCAGCCGCTTTAACTTTTGAACCGTCCTCCATCTCCTCACCTGTCTTTCACTCTTTGTTACAGACTGGATGGGGTGGAGTCACGTCTCTGATGTAGGACAGCGTCTTAAAGGGACATGAGACCATAGCCTACCTACACACATCCAAAACCAACTTTGATTTATTCATTTATTTGACTCTGAATATACTGATATGAGCAAAATGACGTCGGTTATTGTCGTACATTTCGGTATCTGTACATGTTCGGTTTATCGCCGAGCCCTACTTAACTACATCACAATTTCTGTGACACTCAATAGTCACTTTTACTTTTCAGTCTCTGTAACACAAGACTTTTTCGTGATCTGGTGCAGGAAATAAAGTTTTTTATTTCATAACAAACAGTCCTTGTTTTTTTTCTACTTGTGAAGAAAAACTGTTTCTAAGAATCAATGCAAAAAGTAAACACAACATTTCAATACTAAGATGCACTGATATTGTCTTCAAACCAGAGACTGTTGTGTCCACAGAGGAGGTCAAATGTAGGGATGCTGTTTGATCAGCTCTAGATCTTGTAAAATGTAGCTGCCGTCAATATACTAAAAAACTTGTAATGCAGCTTTAAATCTGTGTATTTATCGAAGCATGGTGTGTCTCTGAGCTTTAGGTTTAGTTTTTCTGTAATAGAAACATATGGGACACATTTTACTCCAGCTTGGAGACCCTTTTTGAGTTACATCAGTTTGACATTTTCTCTCTCTCTCTTGCACACAAACGCATACATATCGAAAATGTGAGTCATGTTTCAGATCAAAAGCGAGCGGGGGCCTCCTGAAGACTCAATAATTGTGTTTTCTATAAAACAGCAGAAATAATAAAGTTCACTTGTTTGGCATTACTCAAAACAATGTTCTGTGTGCTCCAAAACCATCAGAAAATCAATAAAAGACATTTTTAAAAATCGAGTTAAAGCGGTGCCCTCTTCTGTTTTGGTTTGTTTTTGGCGTTTTTTTTAACGTCCTCGCTCACTTTCGCGTGTGATGTCACATGTCGGCCGCCCCGTCTGCTCCGTCTCTTTCCACCGTGTGCAGTGGAACAAAGCGGAGATGGCAGGGAAACTTATCTTTAAAAAGAAACTGCACCGTGTTGTGGAATAATTTGGAAAACTGTCACAGAGAGCGAATCCTATCTCAGGGAATGCCAGTCAAATACACACACACACACACACACACACACTCATGAGTACACACACACACACACACACACAGGGACCTTGGTGTTTACATCATATGGGAAGGTATTTTTTCCTCTCACTCTGCCAGGGAACAGGCCCACGCACGGACACACAGACGCTGACTAAGGCCTTAAGACTCCTAGGGGGTGGGGGTTAGTGTTAGTGTGTGTGTGTGCGTGCGTTTGTGTAATTACTTTGGTTGTGTCCAACTGTAACCTCTTGTGTAACGGCTGATATCATTCAGACGGCATCCATGATTTATTTGTGGCCTTGGTTGTCCGTCCAGCTCTTGTCTCTGTGTTTATTTCTGCGCGTGTGTGAAGTGTGAGTATTGAATGATGTCGAATCATCCGGCGGAGTGTTAAGCCGTGTGTGTGTGTGTGTGTTTGCAGGAATGTACAGTTGATTGTTTGTGGTTCGGTCTTAGCGGGTAGAGCTAAAGTTAATCAGTTTATTAGGAAATTCTGCATATTTCGCATTTGAACCTCGTGCATGTGTGTTTGCGCTGGCTTTCCACCGTGTTGTGTGATTTGGGTTGTGTTTGAGGTTAGAGAGAAAAAAACAAGAGAGGACAGAAAAAGACAAAGTGTGTTTATGCGTCTTTTAGCGGGCGCTCAGGTCTGCTAAAAAACCTCCCAGTTCTCCCATCCAGCGCTGGCTGATGTTCAGAGCTTCAACCACAAACGCAACAAGCGGCCTATTCGACTCACGCCACAAATAGAGCGCTCGTCTTCTCAAACAGCCGGCTAAAAACAGATATTTTTGTCTGAGAGAGAGCGCCGAAGAAAGACCGAATCACTCCTCTCTTTCCGTGTGACGCGGCGTTTCCTTGTTGTTAAAATAAGAACTGGCATGTACAGTATCTGTGGAGACGACCCGGCATCATTTCTTATCTCTCTTCATTCAGTGCCTGCCTGGGAGTATTTGGCGAGTCTCAAGATGAGAATCAACAAAGGTCAGACAGGCGCAGATGGAGGGCAAGAAGGCGATAGAGTTACAGGTTTGTGAGACATTGGGACGTTCGTTTTAGGAGGGAGCAGCTCTCCTGGGGATGCAACAGGCAGGGACCAGTCAGGGAAGAGTCGGAAAAACTGTACAATTGAAATAAAAACGACTCGACTTGATCAGAATAAAACTGCTGATCCTCTTCTAATATTTAAACCCCAAAAAGTTAGCATATTCCTTTAATTTTCAGGGATTAAACAGCCATGTAAACGCTCATTCACACTCATTTTCTGTATTCAATAATATACAAAAGCAACAACTTAAGGTGGGGTAGGCAGGATTCTGTTAAAGAACCATCTTTTTTTGTGGTCTATATGCAAAAAAAGCTTTAAATATCAGTCAATAGCTGTTAGTTATTGATGACAACAATAATGATATCGCTGTGTTTTGTTATGTCTGTGTAGTCAACATTATATATTTTTTGAGCGGCCCGCTCTTTCTGACTGTAAACAAAGCCGTTCTTCACCTCCTCTAACCTGATTGGTTGTGAGGCACGCTCCACGTCCTCGAATGACGCGCATGAGCTGAAACAAAGTTAGCGTGCTATGACATCGGACAGTAGAAACAAACCAGATATTACGTAAAACTGTCCGGATCCCTCTTTGGCCACGACTGCCGACACAAGCAAGAAAACGAAGTAAATACCGGAGACTCTGGCGGAACAACGGGCGCTTAAAACGGAGGTAGACCGGACAAGAGCTAAATAGCCGGGTCAACATCAGCAAAAATGATCGTGGACGGTTCAGGATCTTACGGACCCTGTAACCTTTCTGCTGGACATGTAAACCGCTTTAACAAAGTAAGACAAGTGTCTGTAACAGAAGTGTTTCTTGTCAAACGGACCTGCTGTAGCATGTTGTAGCGCCGCTAAACTGTTGACCTCGGGTCCTGGACTATGTCACTTTATCCTAGTTGTAGAAGTCCTGCAAACATTGAGTTTGCTGGTAGTCTGTTGGCATCTACAGTAGCACCAATGCTTTTGACTTTCACGTTGACTGGTCCACATTTGAAGTATTTATCTGCATTATATATGAATTTAATTGAAACGATACGAGCGAGCAGGAGCGTCTATTTGTGGGCGGGGCTTGCTGGAGCAGAGAGAGAGGGGAGAGGAGGAGCTGAGGGGAAACTGGTTGGAAGGGGTAGAGTTTACATTCAAGATTTCTCCTAAAAACTGGCACTTCCTCAGATCCTGCCTACCCCACCTTTAAGGTTGGGAAATCAAAAAATCTGTCATAACTTGATGAATGGGAGCGACATACAGGAAAGGTTAAATTGAACCCAGGTCACAGATGTGGAGCACGCTCCGACTGCACAGAGGTAACTTTCTGCAAACGTACAACACCAACTGTAACACACATCATTAACTAAACAGAATCCAGGGTGAGCTCAGAAAGGTCCCAGGGCAGCAAGCTCAATAACACAAACTCAATCTCAACCATTCTAAGTCCTTACATACATTTTTAATCGGCCTTGTGAGCGCAGGTATCGGCGTCGTTATTTTAAAATGCCATTAATCCGCCGAACGAATAAATCTCCCCTTTATTTTTAATTTCAGAGGCTTTATTTTCAGGCTTTTTAAAGAGGACAGGGTAAAGGATAGTAAAGGACAACAAGACCACTAGACCAGCAGCAACTGAATGAATGAGTTTATGGGAGGACGGTCAGGTTGTCGCCCACGGGGCATGAGGACAACTGCTCAGGTCAATGGTGACATTTTCAGAAACCGTGAATCTGCTTCTTGAGTTTGAAAATACCAGATCGCAAACAGATCATACGTAGGTTTCAATGTTAAAGATTTGAAGAGCGTCTTTAGATGTGTCATGGTGCTGGGAAAACAAAAAAAATCCATAGGCTAGGAAGTCTTTTCACTTTGAGGGAGAAAGGAGGAAGGAAGGGAAAGAGGAGGAGGAGTAATCACATTATATAAATCAGATGGTTCCTGAGGTCATTTTTGTCTCCACACATGATTATCCACGCCAACAAACACACACACACACACACACCCGCGCACACATAAACCGTGTATGGCTGCATCCACTTATGACATCACTGTAGCTAGCCAGAAAGACAGGAGAGTCAGAGAGCGCCAAGCTGACGTCATCCCCATTCACTCAATGTCAATTACGTAATCACGGGGTCCAACGCCTGCGGGACAGACATGCTGTGAGTGTGGGTTTTTTTTTTTTTTTGGTAATCGCATGCAGGGCAAGAACACATAATTGCAATCTCATGTGTGAGAGGAGACATAAAATGAGGCATGCTGATGACATCATTAGCGGGGAGGCGGCCTGGCGTGAGCGCGGCGGCTGTGACATGAGGGAGAGTGTTTTGGGGGGGAGAAAAGGAGGAGGAGACAGAGCCGAGCGAGCAGACCTGGCTGGAGGAGTTATGCAACACAAATCCAACTCAAACAGACTAGAAAGAGCCTTTTTTGCCGTGTGTGTGTGTGTGTGTGTGCAGAGAGTGTGTGAGCGTGTCTTAAGTGACTTTTCAGTTGCACTTTAACTCGAGGTGAGGAGTGCATTAAAAACACACACGCACTCAAGCATACTGCTGAAATGCATACTGAAATCCACACACGCATACATATGCATACACACACTCACCCCCTCCACTTATAAACAAAGCTTCCTAGGGACAGGAAATCCTTCCACCCACGTTCCTGTGTTGCCAGGCAACCAGAGCAGCGTCACCCTGTGCATGCCTCCGCCGCTGAAAACAACACACAAGCACAAACACGTAGAGGCAAACACACAAACCAAAAACTCCTTGAACTCCGCTCCTTTTTTTGAAAGCAGCAAAAGAAACGGCAGCGAGCGGAGCCGGAGCAGAGCGGAGCGGGCTGATACTCGCCACAGCTGCCCTCCGATTCCTCCGCTATGGATCTAAACCAAACATGACATCAGCCCTTGTAAACATAAAACACTTTTCCCCCCATTTATTAGCTCTATTTTTACACCCGCTGACGTCTTCCTGATGCCTGTGTGCATTTCATTGCTCTCTAACTTTGTTCAGTATGTGTCAGTGTGTATTTGCGCACCTCTGAGCGAGGATGCGACCAGCAATAGCTCAGCACGACTAAGTAGAGAGAGGCTAATTGAGCAGAGGTGCCCAGCACTGTGGACAATGAGTCCATTTCAAATCAGCAGGAGGCCTATTGAAGACAATTATAACCTGGGGGATACAGAGGAGCATTATTCTTCTCAGCCATCTCGGCCACTTAGGCTGCCTGTGCAGTTTAACACTCAACTTCATACTCTCCACATGTTTTAACGCATGAATCAAAGTCAAACACACTGCAGATTCACCATCAACTGCTTCTCGAAAGCGGCGCAGCAACAGGTTTTCAAACTCGCCAAAGTTTCTCCGGCGCAGCGTAACTTTTAAGGTGATACAACTGCGATGCCTTCCAGAAGTTATATAACACATTGTTGTGCACTTTTGACTCACTTTATTTTGGAGTGACTCCAAAGACGCTTTCCATCAGAGTGAGTAACAGTAAAGTAATGGCTTCAAAGTTACGCCCTGTTCTTTTCATACTGCCTAATCCTTAAATATCCTCTGAGCGCGATGTCAGTGTTTGGATTCAAAAACTTCACTGTTGACTGTTTCAACATAAACATACGGCTCATTAAGGGTTTACACGACAAATTAAGCCCATGAGAGTCGGAGTATTGTTGTTTGGTCCTCCGACACTGGGACTGCGTGCAACACAAGAAAGTAAACTGAAAACAAACAAACAAAACCATTGAGAATATTCAAAACAACAATAACAATAATCAAAGCAAAAATAATAATAATAATAATGATGTGAACCCAACATGTCCGAAAAGTAATGTGACTGAAAGGAATTATCATCAAACCGAGGGTCACATGACAAAGCTAAACTTGCGCTGCCACCAAAAAGCAAACCACCGCTCAACATGTGTTATTCATGTTATACAATTATTCACTCTTAAAGTATCATGTCACAACTTTATGACACTTTGTGGTGGCACTAATGGCATTATTCCTGCGCTTAACTTTTTTTTTTGCATCTTATCGTGTCACATCAAATTATATCATGCCTTATCGTAAGTTACCAAGTCAACTCTTATTGCATTGCACATAACATATCTCTATCGTGTCATATTGTTTTGTATCGTATCATATTGTACCATATCATAAAGTATTGGATTGTAATGTCAAACGAGTCATTATAAGAACTCTTTAGTATCAACTGTGGATGATGCAGAAAAGCCTGATCGGCCACTAAAGGCTCCCACATGTTGACAATCACGCTCGTTATGCATAATCCGCACACATAAGGTCGCAACGCCGGGGCGAACTTGTTCCAACAGTGCGTAGCTTCGAGGCCAGCAGGCTGGATCTGACTGAACGTACATGAGGAGTCCCTGCTGTGTGTGCTGCTTGCACTTCCACTGCACTGTAATGCGCTATGTGTAAATTTGGGACAGCAATATCCCACCATTGCGGAGTTCATTATGTAAGTATAAAGGCATGATGAAGGCGGAATTGCGATGTGTAAACACCACACTGACTGTATTTATAGGGTGTCTTTTCAAACGTCCGAAAATTCAAATTTTGTGGCGAAAGTTCATAGTCGAACTGGACCTCAACTAGTTTATCATATGATTCAGGAGGGGGTGCGCTAATTGTAACCTGGCCTGTCCATGCATTCTTGACCTCACAGACTGATACAGTAATGTTACTCTTTAAAAATGGTGGACAAATATGACACCAAAACACCTCCGGAATCTTGTGTGAAAGTGTTTTAGGATCCTAAAAATTGTCTCACCTGATGAACTGCCGCCCATGTTAAGTGGTGACATCCATCAAGTTTAAAAAGCGGTACAAACACATGGTTCTCACCAGGTACATGGAGGAAGAAGGGCTTTTACCATCAGGTGTTTTCATAAATGATTTATGTTCCTGTTTATTTACTCTATTAATTTTCTATTTTTAAAGATATAATGTAAATATGTTGGAGAAACTGACTGTTCATTTAGTAGCAGAGAAGGGGTAGGGGTTTAAATAAGCATAATGCTTTATCCTAGTTCTTTTCAAACATGTTGGGTTCACATTATTAGTAGTAGTAGATAGTCGATCCCACCGATAGGATTAAATCAGGTCCATCAGATAGATGTTTTGGGTGCAGTCTGAAAAGTTTCCCTATAACAGACTGTTTGGTAAATAAAAAATAATATTAAAAAACTGCTTTTTACTGTTATTTTAGCGTTCGTTCAGTTCTAACACTGAGCTCAATGGTCACTGGAGTCACTTTAATATTGGATTTTCTGTCTTTTGGATGGGGGGCTGTGTGTGCTTTTAATTAGTTTAACTATATTTAGTCTGCTTCAATCCATGGGGAATCAAACCGGTAATGGCAGGACCATGATGCACTGTGCAGAAATACAAGTTCATTCCAATTTGTGGAAGATTTAAGAAACGCTAAACCTCTGTTATACAGTCGAGGATACAACAGCATCAAACCTGGAGCGTTGACACACCGACTACTTCCTGTAAGTCCATCAGACCTGTAAAGTTTGTCAGATCCAGAACTTTTTTTCTTGTTTTGTTCACCTCTACGGTACACTTTTTCTCTGACTGTGCATTTTTAGACACTCCGCCATATGGCTGACGGGCCTCAGCTGACCTGAGCGCAGCAGTGGGTCACTGTCTCACTTCCAGGCACGGCTAATACAATCAGAAATATTAAAACAATCGTTTTCCAGTATTTACCCTGAATAAATCATGTCCTGGCACCCAAGAAAGCCGTCTGATAGTTTTATTCAAAACACAGACTATTGAACTCATCTGCACATGAATTATAGATCCATTATAGACTGTTTTAGTCGCGTTCAGGGAATCTGACCAACAACAGTTGTGCTGAGAGCACTAACCCACTGAGCCATCCATATCAATTATCTGCGTCTAGGGTGGAGTCTGGATTCAATATTCAATTTACACAATCTCACATCAGAGCCCCCGACTGAAAAAGTGTCAGAGGAGCCGTAACGGATAAAAACAGAGCGGGGTTCTTTGTCAAACTGTGAGAGGCTGAACTGTCTCCAAAGTGCAAAAGAAGCGGGCTAACTGAACGCGGCTCCGCAGGGGTGTCCATTGAGAGACAGCGAGAGGTGGAGGGGCGAGAACTCCATTGAGCGCAGCCATGGGGGGTCAATATGTGAATGAACGTTTGCCATGGAGGTGAATTATGAATGAGCGCTCCCGGTGAGAGCATGTCAGCCCGCGTCTCCTTCACTCCATCTCCTCCTCCTCCACCTTCTTCTCCTTCCTTCTGTCCTAAAAATCTCCACCGTCCTCTCTCCTTCCTCTCTGTCTCAGTTTCATCTCTCGCCACCGGATTAATCTCCTCATCTGCCTCTCTCTCTCTCTCGCCGTCATTTGATCGCTTTTTTCCTCTCCTCTCCTCCTCCTCCTCCTTCTCGATCATCCTCCACCTCCTGACTCCAGACCAGGAGAGGAGGAGGAGGAAGAGGTAGACACACACGCCGTCTGTCTGTAGAGATGACAGAACATTCTTTCCCTGCACATACATATTTACACAGCCCCAGATGGGCACACACACACACACACACACACACATATATACACACACATGCGCACACACACACAGTAGCAAAGGATAACACAGAGGCAAACAGTCCTGCACGTGCAAAGGCAGACGCATGCATTAAGTGAAAACGCTGTCAGGCACTAACACACACACACACACTCACACACACTCACAATTCTCCCAGCTGTTCTGCTGGCCACAAAGCTTGCGAGTGTGTGTGCGCGCGTGTGCGTGTGTGTATTCGTCTGTGTGTAATCCAATGTGCTGCTGCTCAGCCTGTGCCACGCTCTCTCCTCTGTTGCTGTGCGTCTGATCAGATCTGCCTCCCCTCAACCTGTTTGCCGTCTATGGCACACACACACACACACACATACACATACACACATGCACACACTTATACACACACACACACACATTAGGAGCTGCTACTACTAATCAAGCCTCCTTCAGTGTCAACGTCAGCTTTCGGAAAACAGAAAATTCGCCCTGTGCTGCGTTTGCGTTCACCAGCCAAACATTGTGTGTGTGTGTGTGTGTGTGTGTGTGTGTTACCTGCTGCACAAAAACTCTGCTCACACACACATTTGCACGCATGCACATACACACACACTGGAGGAAAAGGAGGTAAAAATGGACTATGCCTTCTTTGGAGGGAGTGTAACCCTCTTCTTTCTCTGGCTCAAGTTGAAGCAGCCTACCTGAGAAGTGTGTGTGTGTGTGTGTGTGTGTGTGTGTGTGTGTGTGTGTGTGTGTGTGTGTGGGAATGGGATCAGGCTGTTCCCTAAAAAAGTATCCACTCCTTTTGATCCCTTCACTCCAGTTTATAGCGGTCAGCTCAGCTCCCTTACACACTTTGGCCCCTTTTTTAGCTGGTGGAAAAACAACACTAAAAACTCGCACACGCCCCCACGCACACACACACACACAGATGTATATATAGACTACACACGCACTTAGAGACACACATGCCCCCCTTCTCCTTTACTCTCTCACACACACACACACCTCCACTCTTCCCTTTAAGTGCAGAGCCATGCAGCACATGTCAACACCCCGCACACACACACACACATACACTCTCACACACACGCACATCTGCCTGAGCTGCACACACACACACACACACACACACACACACACACACACACACACACACACACACACAGCCATGGAAGCCCCATAAAGTCACCTTAGGATCCTTCTGTTTTCCAGACGAGTCCCTTCTTCACAGTCTTCCTCTCCTCTGTCACACTTCTCTCCTCCTCTCCTCCTTTCCTTCCTTCCTTCCTTCCCCTGCTGTCCGTCCGTCCTTCCTCTCTTTCTCCTTCTCTCTCTCTTCTCTCTCTCCCTCTCTCTTCGTCTCGGTGCTCGGTCAGTTCCCAGCGTTTTTCCTGAGCCCCTCCATGTCCGCCCCGCCAGTCGTTTCTACCACCGAGCGAGCGTACCTACACACACACGCGCGCGCGCACACACGCATACGAGCCGCTGCGTTCCTATAGTCTCACTCTCTCACTCTCTCTCTCTCTCCCTCGGTTTATCCCTCTCTGCGCCCGCGCTCTCTCTCCTCTGTCGGAGAAGAGCTGTCGGTTGAGTGTGTGTGCGTGTGTGTGTTTGTGTATGAGTGTGTGCGTGGATGTGTGAGTGTGTTTGTGTGCTCTGCCTTGCCCCGCCAGCAGCAGAGGACTTCCCCCGGTGCCCGACGAGGGTCCTAGCGCGAGCTCGGTTCACTGAAAGAATGCTATTGTGTACGGAAGGCAGCGTCAAAGATCGTCTATGATTTTGACAAGACGGCTCACTCTTGGGCGTCTTAAGTACGGTGGCTGAGAACCGCCACTGCTGCATAAAAAAGAATACAAAAAACAAAAAGGAAGTTACTGATGCAAAAGAAAAAAGGAAACCGAAGCCCACTGGAAAGAAAAAAAAATACCGGTGCAGAAAAAAAAGCCACAACGGAAGTTAACGACAAACGAAAAAAAAAAGTGGTGATAGAAAAAAAAAAAATAATGCAAATAAGAAAATAAAGGATGCAAAGTATGGGCGTCTAAAGTATGGTGGTTTGAGAACCGCTACTGCTGCAAATAAAAAAAGAATGAAAAAAACCAAAAAGTCACAACGGATATTACTGATGCAAAAAAAAAAAAAAAAGTAGCGTTGCAAAAAATAAAAAAGTTTATCACCGCGAAAATAAAAGGATGCAAATTAATAAAGCCACAACAGAAGTGAGCTGCAGGGGATACCCTGGGTGGCTTCTTTTTTTTATTCTTTTTTATTTGTAGCAGTGGCGGTTCTCGGCCACCATACTAAAGCAAGTAAGAAAGGAAAACAAATGAGATTAGTATCATTTAAGTGAGGATTAAGAATAAGAAATAAAACGTTTTAGATCACAAAACGTCCTCTAAAAAGGGTTTGCCTTACCACATCTACTCATACACTTACAGTAGCACCAATAAGACAGTAAACGATGGTCTAATAAACAAAAATCTTTTTTGTCATGTGTTATAATTGGGTCTTGCATAGAAATTATATGCTATGTTGAAGAAATGCAACTTTCCAGGAACAGCAAGTGCAATTGTAATTTAGCTCCAGCTCTGTTAACTAGTTATAGACTACATTTATCATCTATTTTTTATTAAAAAGAAGACATCAGGCTTGTTTACAGGCTAAGTAACATCATTCTAATAGCTTAAAAGAAGCTTTGTATGCTTTACAGCTCAAAAATCCTCCATTAATCTCAGGCTAGTGTCTTTGAAAACCCTCATTTCCACCTGAAGAGCTTCATTTCTCTCACCTTTAGCCCTCCAGAGGCCTCCTCCACTGTTGCCACACTTCTTCTAAGTTCTGTTTTTTTAATGTCAATTTTAAAAAAGAATACATTAATCATGTTTTAGTCCTAAAAATCTGAGCTCACATGTTTGGAAAGAGACTAGTTAAATCACCAGGGGAAAAAACACACATGGCAGTTTTGCAAATATTAAGGAGATTCATTCATCAATAATGTCATTAATTGAGAAAATCTTGTTCAAGGTGGAAGTCTCATGTGATTTTTGAACAAGCTGTTCAGAGAAGCCTGCAGTCTCATCCTGGGATTTGCAACTTTGATAATTAGCATTGACATCTAACATCTTTCTTAATATATTTGTTTGTAAAATAAAATGAAAATGAATAAAATCAGCTCTTTAATAAGACGAACGAATGTACAGAGCTAAAGATGGCCGATTTAAGCCACCCAAGGCTTATGTGGAGTTGTTAACGTCCAAAGGTAAAATGTAGGTTTTTGTCAGTAAGTTGTTGTGAGTCTTCACCAGAGTGGTCGCTATGGCAACAGCAAGGCAGAAGCAGAGGCAGAGCTCCATGCAAGGGTGGAGGAGCCATTATAGATGAAGGATGGAGGGGGGGACATGTCCTCTGCACAAGATTACTTCAAGGCTTTTTCTAACCTCTTTGTTTGAGTTGTCAATTATGTATTCATGTAATCTGTGCAGCACTTAGTCAAACAGCTTCAATTAACTTTAATGTTAGTGCGTGGGAATTTTATCCTTTGTTATTCATTAAAAAAAAAAGTACACACAGAAACGATTCTCTCCACTTTGCTTCAGAATCATTCAGAAAAACACATTTCTTATTGAGGCGTAAAACTAAAGCTAGAAATGTGACAGATGGCTGACTTACACTTTGAACGGAGTGAGGCATCTTCCCAAACATAAGCAATCTTTGGTGCAGCTACCTTCTTCCTCATCTCGCTGAGCCTCCCTCCCTTTTTCCTCCCTCCCGTCCTTCCTCAGAGCGTCATCAGGTTGCCATAGCAACAGCCCGCCTATGGGAGACAGAGATCAGATCATTATGGACCATGGGATCCAGAAACTGAAGGACAGGGTTTTTTTTTTTTTCTTTTTTCTGTGAACACAGGAAGTGGGAACCCTTAACAGGAAAGCTTGAACTCATTCTTAGTTAAACATCCAGCGTAGCAGTTTTGCTGGAGGAAGTTTTGCTGAGTGCAGTTCGGGGCAGAAAGAGCTCTGCTGGAGCATTAGAGCTCTTAAAAGCATTAGTAATGCATGTCTACTGTCCAAACATGTTGCTAAAAATAAATGAATTTGACTAGATATGCATAATCGTCTGCTTTAGATGTAAACATGTTGCCTCGAGAAACAGTTAACCAGCACTTGCTTGCACACTTGTGAATTAATGGATCTGACAGACGTGGCAGCAATCGCCCTACCGAGAGCCCACAGTCAGGAAATCCAAATGTGCTTTCATTTTATTTATGGGAGGGGAAATCGTAGAGGGAAAAGTGCACTGCTGTGAGTTCAGGTTGAGAGATGGAGGCACAACGCGCGCCGAGGAAACAGTTTTGTTTGATAAAGATCAAACAGAATTGTTGGGGGGAAGAAGCGCGTTTATGAGCTCCCCAATCCGAGCTGCTTCTCCCTGCCCCTGTTATTAGTGGGAGGTCGTGTGTGATTGTGTGGGTCTGTGTGTGTTTGTACTCTAAACCTAGAGGGCTGTATTAAACTGAAGTGACAGTGGGGATCTTAAAGATGCCTTCCAAAGTTTGGCATTGAGGGAGATTGTATCTCTGAGCCTGCAAGAACAGGGAGTGGAGGAAAGGAGAGAAAGCTCTTTCTGCACATGAACTCCTGACATTTTCTAGATAGTTTCACAAAATATCGCTCGATATTTTTGTAACTTGAGCTTAAATTATTTGCCTAAAAGTGCGGTAGGCAGGATTCTGTCAAAAAAGCTTTTAATATCAGTCAATAGCTATTAGTTATTGATGACATTTGGGAATATAGCGATATCGCTGTGTTTTGTTACGTCTAATGGCTCTTTCTGACTGTAAACAAAGCCATTCTCCGCCATCCCCGACTTGATTGGTTGTGAGGCGGATGCTGCTCCTTCGTGCTGATTGGTTGTGAGGCAGACACTGCTCCGCCATGTTGTGTGGCACGCTCCACGTCCTCGAATAACGTTCATGATCCCAAACAAAGTTAACGTGCTACAATATCGGACAGTAGTCCTGCAAACATCTTCAGTAGCACCAATGCTGTTTACTTTCAAGTTGACTGGGCCCCATTTATAATTATCTGAAGTTTTTATCTGCATTATATCTGAATATAATTGAAACGATACGAGTGAGCAGGAGCGTCTGTTTGTGGGCGGGGCTTGTTGGAGCAGAGAGCGAGGGGAGAGGAGGAGCTGAGGGGAAAACTGGTTGGGAGGGGTAGAGTTTACATTCAAGATTTCTCCCACTTCTTCAGATCCTGCCCACCCCACCTGCAGCTGTAGCACAGCCACCTGCCATAAACTGGGGTTCGAATGTGCCAGTATGCATCACCAGAGACTTCACACCCCCACTGTTAAGCGTCCGTCACATACAGGTGACTGCTAAGCATTGCTGTTAAGTCGGAAGTCTTTACGAAACTCAATGAGCCAAGTCATCTGCTCAATTCTGTCCAATACCTGAAATGATCGTCATTAACAAGAGTGTAGATTATTGACACTGCCTGCTCATGTTGAGCTCTTTGCCTAGCTGAACCATTGATTTCCTGTTTACACCTGGGGTTAATATGTCACCTGTATCCAGATATGGTCCAAAGTGAACTCAGACAGACCGACAATGTTGCATCCATTTTCCTTATTTCACATTAGAGACCCCTGCCTGTTTGATTGACACACAAGTCACATCAGGATTGGTCCGTACGGAGCTTTCCTGAAACAGCAGAGAGGCACCAGGAGGCGAGAGGGGCCCTTCGCTTCTGTTGTTGCTGTTTGTGATCTGACAAGCAACCCTGTTTTACACAGTTGACACAACTGGGAACATGCAGTCACTAAAGCAGTTATAGATGGCTGCTGTTGAGTGTTTGAGGTGTTGCAGTGATTTGCCTCCAGATTTCATATACAAGAGCTTAAACACTGCCCACAACTTGGACTTCTTGCCTAATTTTCTTCACCTGCTGGTCAAGTTTGGGCAGAAAATGGAAATATAAGATACTCGCCCCCAAACAATGGCCACAAACACTAAAGAATCCAACTAACAGATCTACAAGCAAGCCAGATGCCTCAGATGTTGTCTGTGTTCGCTTACTCAATGCACCATGCGGCATCTTCAGCAGTCAGGTCATGCAGATACACCCTGCATGTCAATGTCTGCAGCAGGTGGGATCAAAACATTCATCAAATGATTCAAAGATGGGAGGTTGTTGTACGCCAAGATGTCTGCTGTATTCTGAGAAACCAATAGCATCAAAATGAAAATATTCTACCAGGATAAAGCTTGATGTCGGACACTGAAACCAATAAAATGCAATGGTCATATTGGTGGGATTATGGGTAAGAGATTAAGGTTAATGGTAACAGGGTGAAATGGGGTAAATGCTGGACATCACAGCGGCACACTTACACAGTGTGCACTCCAGATAAGCTGTATATGGGCTCGGGAAAGCACGGGTAATGATATGGACAGAGGTATGGTTTTATAGACGTGTATGCTTGTTATCATCCAGACATTAAATAAAAGACAGTCCATTTATGCATCATGCTCCAGTCTTCTTCCTCTGCACATTTCTGCTGGATTAACAATCAAATCTCTGCAGCATACAGAAGAATTAAGCTGAGGGTGACTTTCCTTTATTTAAAGGCATGGTTGACGATTGGAGAGATTAGTTATTATTATGAACTTTGTTTATATGGCAATCATGGTCCCATAGTGCGATCTCCACAAAATGAAAAGAAAAAAAATGGAA